GCTGGTGTTCCACCACCTCAACGCCCAGGAAGATACGATGAACGCCCTGGATGCCGAGGATTCCGAGACTCCGGAAGACTGGCACCACGATAAGAAGCAGGACAACTAAACCGAAAACCCAGCTAAAAGCGAAAAAGCATAATCTTGCATACCTGCTTTTCGTTGAATTTCTATTTCCTTGTATCATAATATATACCTCACTGATTTCGCATACATAATTTGTTTTGGGGATGAAGAGCGATGATTTTGGAGTTGGTCCGCGCAGGTCCGCGTCAGAGCAACCTACTGAGCAAATGTGATGGACGGCGATGGGGACGTGTGATGGGGACGCGATAGATGTATATACATGAATTACGCTCGTTCTATGAATATTGAATAACCTCTATTGAGCTGATTGATTTTCTTTGGTTCTGTAATTTGCATGAAGTGTTCTCTGTACTCCCGAGTACATTTACCTCGATTCCGCGCCTTTTCGTGACAGTGAACTAGAATCAGGACTACGGAGTGGTCCCCTCCTAGTAGGTACGGACTACGTACGGAGTACGGAGTCAAGAAGGGATTGAAATTAAAATTCAGATCAGAGCTGCAAAGGAGATGCGGAGTGGAGTCAACCACTGTTCTTACTTTTAGCACACAAATACCGGGGACGCAGTAATCAGTGCAATAACTAATCAATAGCGATTGATTGTTAAAAGTATGTATGTATGTATGTGTAATTGGTCCTAACTAACTACTTATCAAGGAATGACTCAAACCGAGTAAAACTAGGTAATTATGTAGGAGGTCCCTTCAAAACAAAGAAAGGGAGATCAATCGCCGAAATCTCCAAAGTGAAACGTCGTTTGCTGCTCCGTAGGTGCTCGTTCGTCTGAATCCCGGGTCCCGAGCTATTCGCGGACCGAGGCCGACGCATATCTTCCTGAAGTGTCAGTGTCAGAGTCAGACTTAGGGTTGGACGCCAGCCATTTAAAAAGGTACCAAACCAACTCCGTTGACCGTTCTCCATTATCGTGTCTGGAATACGACTACGAAACTACGAGGACAGGTCCGAGGTCGGTACCTACATTTGCTTCATCCTCATCGCCATGAACACATTTCCATAGGTTAGGATTCCATCCACACATCCGGGTACCTTTTTTCTTTTCCCGTTCTTTTTTCATTCTTCTCTTTCGGTGAGAACTGAGAATTGAAAATCAACTATAACTGGTGGGATTAATTAGCTAGCTCCGGAGTTACTTAACCTAGGGCTAGTAACTAGCACTCCAGGAACACCTACACCGTAGATAGTTAGACCCGAGAGCCAGTCCTGTGTAGTGGAAGTGTCTAACCCAAAAAGAAACCCAGGTATGCCGGACCTGCAGCACAACTCCGACAGAGAAGGGGTCCACTTTCCCACCTCTCCACTTTATTTTTCAACGGGGTGAACCAAATCCAAATGGCACAGGCACAGGCAGATGGAGATGGAATGGATGGAGATGAACCTTGAGTGTTGAATGGAATTGTAATTATTGTGGTAAGTTGATGTCCGGGTTTTCTTCTATGGCTCTGGATTGGACGGTTAAGCGGGTATGGAAAAAGTCTTGTCTCTTTTTGGCTTGGCTTGGCTGCCTTGGCGGGATGGGATTGGGTTAGGTCTGGTCTTAGTGTTCTGGGTGGGATGCGCTAGGAGAGATTGGGTTAGGCTGGGGTGGTGGTTGGACTGGTGTGCCTGATTTTTTTTTATTGCTGTTTAATTTTTTTTTTTTTTTTTTTAATCGAGGTGTTAGAAGAATAAATAAGGTAATGGACTAAAAGGCACCGTGGTTGGGACTGAGTCATGGGGGAGAATCCGCTGTCTTTGGGCCTTTACTCTTTGGTTCTTTCTACTCTGTTGATTGTGAAATAACGCTATGCTATTTTGTATGGTGAGATACCTTAAGATTGGACAGACCAGACCGTACTCTACGGTGACGGTGAATTATGGATAAGGTAAAGCGTGTCTATTTGGGGAAAGCGCGTCAATGCCGCTTGGCATCGCGGTGCGTGGCTTACAAAGATGCCTTCTCGTCGCTCTCTCAAGAGCGGTCACCCGACGGTCTTCCCAATTCGAAGCCCCTTGAAGCGTTTTTACTATTGGATCAGTCTTCGTATGTTCTGTACTTCGCCACCCCCTTTAACGTTATGGGTTGCTTGTTACTCGTGGGACCCTCGTCAAACTGATTTTTATTCGTTTGAGCGGATTATGGGACAACATGACGCAACTAAGAAGCTCTGTGAGCCTGATATCTTCTTATTGATTCGATAACTACGACTGTTGTATCTACCTATACTCTGAGGGCGGGATTGTTATGGGCTTTTTCTCGTGTCAGGATAAGCTAGGCACTAGATACCTACCTAGTTTGGGCATTCCGAGGATCATCACCAGTCTTTGAACCCGACTATGCATGAAACATGGGAAGTCAGAGGAATATATTAGGCCTTGGTGATAAAGGTATGAAAAGCATCCGTATCGATGAGCTGAGGGCCGTTAGATTGTTTGCCGACGCTTAATAACAGGACCAGCTACCCGGAAGAGCTGGGAGCTAATCCGACCATTTCTATATAGGCTGCCACGTATAGCTTCACTGATTGCTTAGCACCCTCATAATAATGCCACAGCTCTTATGGCGGTAGGCTCGATCTAGATAGTACAGCCAACGCCTTGGTTGATTATGATCCAATTAATCCGATGTCATCTGCTATTAGTGTGGATGTGCTAGGCCTATGCGCTGTTCATACGCAGCTTGAGTTTGGCACGATATTTTACTGTTTATAAACCTGTATCTTTATTGAGGGATGCACGTGCTCCATGCTAAAGGTTCCCCCTATGACCACATAATCCGTATGGCGATCAAAAAGCCACTAAAACCGTGGCCTTTCATGGGGCAACCTACTCCAGGCAGTGGAGCATACCTCACGTTTTTACAATCCATATGGTAGTAAGCGATCTTACTGCAACTGTGGCCTCCCATATGGCAGAGTCCCTCAGCCCAAATCGTCTCATGTGGAATGGCATGCCTCGTGGCTTCATAGTTCATATGGAGATCAACAATCCGCCAAAACCGTGGCCATCCACATGGCAGAGTTCCATCTGGTAAAACATACCGTGCGGTATGACATAATTCATAGCTTCATCATCTATATGGTGACAGATAATCCACCCAATACTATGGCCCTCCAAATGGCAACGTATAGCATAGAGTATTCCTTATTAGCCAACTCGTAAGTCCATAGCTTTGACTACGGCCACAGATGCAACGCTACGTTCGGCCTAGGGATGCTTTCGCCTGTTATATTATTCTAATTAACTTGGTCATGAACACAGTAAGTAATTGTTATTTACCAACTTCTATCACACTGACCATAGCATCTCAAGCAAGATGCATATATGGTTTGAGAGAGTTTAGCCCAGGGGTTATCTAGAAGAAGTCATCTTGGCAGAACGTTAGAGCGAGAGACATTTTAACTGCTCAATGATCTATATTACCTGGAGAACATCCCAGGTTGGCTTTATTTGGTATACTCTAGACAAGGCTGGCTCCTAAGAACTAAAAGCCGGAAGACTCGCCTTTTTTGACAAACGTGCTTGGTTTTAGGAATTCAATTACTATTTTACTAATACATGAATTTTGTCCTACGTACTTCCCCGGTCAACCCTTTTTAGCATACAGACGCCAATATTTGCTGTTATGATTAGTTAGGGTCCCTTATATTGTGATAGATAATACATCTATCTTAATTGATCTGCTTATGGAGAGTGGCCCATTCTTCACATTTAGATCCTTATGTTTACAGCTGTATTTCTAGTGGATATACCCGATACTGTCCGGGGATTCGTGACACTATACAACAACTTCATGCGCCTTTAGCGAGCCAAATAAAGTTGAAAAAATCTAGGTCAGATACAAGTCCATCAATACACATAAAGAAGGTAGCCCTAGAATGCAAGATCTCAAAGATTAAAGGTCTCTAGCGGAGGTCTTATGTAGTCAAGCGATGCTGCGATACGGGAATTAGGCACTACTCCAAGCTGAAAGGGAGGTGGATGCCTCATTTAATTAGCAAAATATGAGAGGGTTTGGTATTAAGGTATTTCCGCCTGGAGCGCCCTGGATCTTTTGTATATAGTTAGGGCAGCGCTCCAGCGACACCCCCTAGTGTTGTAGCGACACCCCTTTCGTTCCTGCGACACCCCCACGTGATTTATTGTTCCGTTTCGGGTTAGCCTAGGAACACGTGACTTCGAGAATCGACATTGATAAGATATAATTAGCTCGGAAGTCAGGAACAACGTTAATCCTTCCGAGGCTCATATTTTGCAGAGGCCACGACCCTCTTCAACACTTGAGCACTCAAGTATCTCTGTACTCTAGGCTACGTTATAGATAGAGTATTACCTCATTCATTTGCATTCTCCTTATGGTTTAGGCCTCGTACAGCTCAGACCGATCGAACTCCCACCATTCCCCTGAGTTTTACCACTTCAAAACGGAACAATAAATCACGTGGGGGTGTCGCAGGAACGAAAGGGGTGTCGCTACAACACTAGGGGGTGTCGCTGGAGCGCTGCCCTATAGTTAAGAGTCCCGGCAAAGAGCCAGATAAGATATTTTACTTAACCTATACTACTCTGCTAATTTTATTTTATAGAGAGGTGGGTAGCAAAGATGTAAACAAAGTAGCTACGTTTGTTCGATTACATTAGATAGCTACCTTAAAGAAAAGCTAAATGTCCCACGTTGTACGTACTTCGTCCTTATGATTTACTTACCGTACCGTGTGCATAGTTAGTCCTTATGACCTACCGTAGTATCCCGCTGTCATATACGGCGCGGATGGCGATTAATCCAACGCATCTTCAACCATCCATGAGCTTGCCATACTAAACAAGTTGAGTACAGCGAAACTTTAGGGTTATAGAAGCCATGACCTGCTAAAACTTATGAATGATTATAAAGCTATTAAGCTACTAGTCATAACGTCTAATTTGTATTCTCCATTAAGACAAAAGTGTTGACTTCGCAAAGATCTGACGCATCAATCACTGTAACCTTCTGATATTCTTCAGAAAACACAACGTGGTACAGATGGTCCCTGAACTCTAGAGAAGGTGTTAGTTAAATCATAAGTAGGTGGCGGCAGAATTACCTGGATGGGATTTTCGTGGCAGTATATTGGTGAAGTTGAGAACAATATATTGGTCCATCTTTCCTTTTTCAATCAGGGTAAAGTATTGTCCATTTGGTTTAAACCTGTTCATGTGTTCCTGAAGCCGGTTACGATCTCTTAGGAGTTCCACTCCCCACTTCTTCTGGATAAGAAGGAAGTCAATTGTTCCACCTTTAGTATCTGACTGAATTACGAATTCGGGAGACATGACAACATGCCCATCCAGTAAAGGAAAGAGGCAGCGATAGAACTCCTTCTGGTATTGATCTTCCAGTGGTCGGGAATTACCTGCTAGCGAACGTGGCGCATGTGCTAGCTGACACGGCTGAAAGCGTCTGATGGTGTCGAGCGCTAATTCTAAAGGAGTGACGTAATCAAGTTGGTTATCAGAGTGTTTCTCGGAGAAAAGACACTGGCAGTACCTAGATCATTGGGTTAGCAAGCAGCACAAAGTATTCTATAGACTTTGCGCCTACCAGCGGTGGATTTGACTTGCGAATATGAATTGTTCATCACCATCTGAGTTCTCTGCATGGAGCCATCCGTTCGCCAAGATATTTTGCAGAGCTTTTTGTAACTTTTCGCTCTTATTTAGGAATCTAGATTGATAGAGCCCATCACGAGCAATAGCTTCTTTGAGCACACTGGTGATAGTAGGGATTTGTAGGATTTTCAATGGAGGCAGACCCCTGGAAAACGGGAGGGCTTGGAGACATGTGAAAATTCCATAGGATCATGGAAGAGAGTTTTGCTAATTGTTTGCCAATAGACAGGTTCGCAGATTCGCACCATTGATGAGAGTTGCTATTGTGGACAGCATTAAGGTTAGTAAACAGATCAGCGATGCATCGTTTTCAGGATAAAGCTTACCGGTACAGACCTCAGAGCTTGTACAAGCGATGTAATTAGCCCTACATGTCCATTGCTGCTTTTGAACAATCCTCGTTTCAAATCTTGCGTCAGAATAGGTCCACAGTTTGGTATGAAATGTGGCGCTTATTGTTCGACAACTTCAATGGCTTCATCTTCCTCCAGTAACAAGCCAATAGGTCTCCAAGGTGGTCGAATATTGACATCAGGCCTGAGTGATATCTGCTGTCCCGCAGCGAAAATCATGGGTGTCGCCATGTGTTTCTGTTCGAAACCTGAAAACCCCCTAGTCCCTGCTGAAGGCGATTCATTTTTTCCCCTTAAGATAAACCACCTAGGGTGAAGACTTGCCATTCCCAGTGTCGACGTTTGGGGGTCCAAATTGTCCACGAATCCAGCAGCTTGCAAGGTCAGTTTAAACTTGATCCAAAGATAACAGAATGTAAACATACATTCATCCGTTAACAGGACTCAGCTTGAGCTGGCCGTTCACCCATCCAAGATTGTTTGCAGGCTGCGGCGCAGCAACGTTAGGATTGACAGCGGGCTGCTGTGCAGTAGCAGACTCTGTGTCGAAATCCTCTTCGCTCTTCCGAACGCGCAGACCGTATGCTAACGTCAAGTCTCGCGCCACAACATTCCAGTCCGTATCGCCATCTAGGAAGGAACCGCCAGCGCTGTCCAGGGTGTGACAGTAAGAAGTAAATTGAAATTAGCCTGCAATAACCGAATGGTTCCCGTAGACTTAGGATCCCGTATCGATTTGGTGGGGATAAATTCGCAGGTATTGCGGTGAAGAATGCGGTTCTACCGCCGCGGACAATCGCGAGATGCCCAGTGTGACGAGGATGAGTATTTTCTGCAACGAGACCTCCTGGTAATCGGAGGTGGTTTGCCGGCGAAACGTTAGAAGGGGAGGGCGAATGGGGACGGAGATCGTGATTGTGGACCGGAAGCCCATTAATCCATTTCTCAACCAAAATCTCAGGGCGGGAACGGTGGATTGAGATTAGGATAACCAGCTTTACCTGGCCTTCAGAGCGGCGTAGCCACCAAAAGGCATCAAGCCTGAGTCGACTGAAATTCCCAATCATAGCAAATTACCGGCACAATGTTGTCATTAGGTCGCCATGCCATGAGGCCAGGGGAAACAAGTTGCCAGTCCTCAGTTCACAGCTCTTCTGGCAACAGTGGAACTTAGGAAAGTAGCCCCGTAAGATGTACCCTTCATACATCCCACCCTTTTCGTTCGGTCCGCTCATATTGGAGGACTTTATATACTCATTTCTCTGCCGGCATAAATTCGCAGTGCACCACCTTTCTCTCAAAGCCCGGGATGCTTTCTCGTCGACTTGTCGTGAACGAAGAGGATTTTTGACCCGATTGTACGACGAACCACATACAATTTGCTAGAATATGTCGAATCCGTTTGCCCGTGGTCTGCAAGGTGGTCCCCTCGCCGAAGTTGAATTTGTTAACCACTTTTGTGGAGCATAAAATGATGAGCGTGGCTCTGATATGGCTAGAAAATCGGATGGAAACGCTTGATTATCTCTCATACTGCAACTGCAGAGGTTCTAGAAATGCAGCGGCCCGGTGTGGGTCAGCTGGCTGACCAACTCCGTGCAGGCTAGCGCCGCAAGCCATACCAGCAGGCTCCAACATAAAATGCTTTGGTCCGCTTTTCTAAGGGTTCTTCCCTTGAGTGTTTCCTCAATTGCATGTGCAATGGAACCAGACGTCGACTTCTTTAGAAGCAACTCGGAAATCCGCTTAAAGTCATGACTCATGAAGACTATTGAAGAAGGGTGTATGATGCTGTCGAAAACCTCAATACCTTTTTCAAGTAATATTGCTTTTTTCCACTCCTCGACTTCTTGTTCTTCCCAGAAGGTCTTGAGTTGATTCTGGGAAGGACAAGTCCGTTTAAGAAACTTTCGCTGTTAACCAAAGTGCTCTATTCTTAGAGCTCTGTCCTGCTCTTTATAGTCCTTGAAATAACCGATGTCCGTAGGTAAGAGCATGAATCCAGGGTTATGCAAGTTATCGAGGTTTCGATGGCGAATAGTGCCCGTGAGCTATCTGAGAATATAGCACATGTGGTTAGTAGCCAAGCGTAGTTAGTATCTTGAACTTTTGAAGTGGTTCATCCTCATGAATCTGTATTAATATAATTCCCTTCAATCGCCTCTGGTCTGTTTCGTCCCGTTTGGACTGCTCTTTTACTACTGCCTGTGGGATCCGTCGCGGTCCGCCTTAAGCTTATCGTACTTTTCTGTAAGACCGGCGAGCTCTTTCTCGAGGGCCTAGTTCCTGGCCCGCGTGCGATTCCACAGTTTTAAAAACTGATATGGGTCGACATCGTCGTCCAGCGAGGATTGAGGATCAGACGGGGAGGAACGTTGTGTTGAAGCCGGGTCAACCTTGACCTTTGGGCGGAATTCCACTGGAACCTCCTTTTCAACGACATCGGCAACAGTCTTATCCGGCATCTGGAACTTGAATTTGCCTTCAGAATCGTAGTTGGCAACCTTGGGGAAAGCATAATTTTCGCGCCAGTCGATATTGGGATAACGGTCCATAATCTCGGTGGTGACCGACGTAATTCATTGTTAGTGGCCTGTCGAACTAGTTCCTTGTATTCGGGCCCTTTGCGCATCGAGGACTTGGACCTGTAAAAGGGTCTCCGTTCTTTCATGCTGTTGGAGTCGGTCTTCCTGCGCTTTGATTTTGTCTTTCGCCCTAGACAGCTCTCTGCCCAGCTTCGCGTAGCTTCTCTGTAGAGATAAATACGCTTCCGTGGAGTAGAGTAATTGTTCGTTTCCTCGGGCGAGCTTTTCGGCCGTGGTGTTACCGATAGGACCTGCTTCACGTGTTCTTGGTGTTCGATCTCGTTATCACTGTAGATGATCAAGTCGTCAACAAATGCGGTCATAAAGCGGTCTAAGTAGTTCTAAGAAGATGTCGTTAATCAAGCGTTGAAAAGTTGCAGGTCCATTGGTAAGCCCGAACGGCATTACTTGATACTTGTAGGTCCCGTATCGAGTCCAGAAGTGCTTCCTCCAGGATGGGTGCTTCAACACCAGCTAACGTGTTGCCTCGGAGCGTATCCGCTACTAGCTGGGCCCGGGACGTGCTCTCCAGTATATAAATTTCGTCCGGTTGGGTCTTTCGGTAGGTCCCGTCATTATTTCGACGCTGTTCTAAGACGTTCGTTTTCTGTTCTCGCTCCCTTTGTTGAATCTTCTGGGCTCCACAACGCTCCTGTAAACTCCTAGCCACCCTTTAATATTCCTGGTCATGACAGGCCTCGGGAGTCGCTTCTTTCCTTGACCGAGCACCTTCGAATACAGCAATTGTTCATTTCTTTGGGCAAGTTTTTCGGTCGTTGTGTTCCCGATGGGCGCTTCCACACCACCTAACGGGGTGGTCTGCACCGGAACCAAGACAATCTAGCAATAATTCAGCCACAGATAAGCTTTGGCATACTTCCTTTGTCTCCCAGCCTTTTATCGCGGGGGCTACTGTCATCAATCGACTTTCTTGTCTTCGTGGTCCCTACGTATAGAAAATAGGTAGCTGTCTCCTTTGTCATTCCGAAAATTTCACCAACGACTGACAGTTTTGAATGACTTCATGCATCTTGTCCTCGTAGGAAAACTCAGCGATAGCTCTTAGCGGATTCTCTCGTCCTCTACACGAGGAAACGAAACGGCGAAGCTTCGTTCGTAATATCCGAAAGCCAAAGCGCAGCCAACTTTCGGAATCGTAGGCATTTCATTTTTCGACAATTTTTCTAACTGCACACGCAATGAGTCCTATTCTTTTTCGTGATCTGAAAACTCTGGGAAAGTTTGAGTTTCGTTGGAGGCATCGCCGAGTTCCATCGTACCTTCTGGGAGGGTGGATCTGGTTCGACGCGGACGTATCCACGAATGGTTCAGATTCTCATCGACAATCGGTTTTTTTATCGATTGACTTGTCCCCCGCGACGCCAGCGGGGGACCAGTGGAACTCCACCGTTAGGCTGGTTGGTGTCGCACGTATCGGTCGAAGTGCAAAACGCGCCGTGGCCCAAAGGCGGTGCGAATTACGACACAAGCACATCAGGTTTGCGGGCGTCTCACTGTTCTTGACTGCGTCGATCCATTTACTGATCTTCGCTTCTCTCCAGATCGTTCGCAGCGTTTCCCAAAATCCCGAGGACGACGAAAACGGTTGAAGAATAAGAGAGGACGGGCCTCCTCGTAAACAGGAGCGTCGACCCGATCCCTGCTATTGGATCGCCTCGTAAGGTATCTGCTATTAGTCTGGTTCGAGTAGTGTCCTCTAAGACTTATATTTCGTCCAAGAGGTGCTTTCTGAAGATGCTATCTTCATAGCACGTTGAGGTCCCGTTGTCGATCTTTGGCAGCTCGGGTATGTCAGCGTGCTGTACTGCTCCGTTCTGCGCGTTCTGGTATCTTGCTCTTCATAGTCCTTGAAGTAACCGATGTCCGTATGAGAGAACAAAACGCCCGGGCTGAGCCAATCATCGAAGTTCTTGTGGCAAAGGGCACACAGAGGGATACCGTTGTTCATATAAGATGTTGCGGCATATCTATGAATCTGTTAGTGATGAGCTACAGTTCCAGCAGGTGATACCGTTGCTAAGCTCTTTTACCTGTGTCTTTGTCGTTTGTGGTTCCGTTATTTGATTTTGGCAGCTCGGTGGACGAGATATACTCGTCGTATGATGATATTGGCCTCCTGCGTTTCCTTGTCGACGACAAGGCCGACGCGGACAAGCGTCCCTGATAATCCAGCCGAAAGGGCCATTGCTGGTACAGACGTTACATCAGTAGAATGCTAGTGGAAAGAGTCCAGAGGAACTAGTAGTTGGTACTCCGTAGAGAGAAGATGTGATGAGAGAGATGGAGAGGAAGAGGAGTAGGGAGAGAAGCAGGCGGTATTTAATGAAGAGCAGACGAAGCGGGAAAGGTGAATGTACGCCGTAGGGTGATAGGGAATCTACGGATACCAGTATGTGAATAACTATAAGATTTAGAATATTCCCTTATAAGGCGAGATGAGGGTTAATTGATCCATGATCATGCTGTACAGCGGTGGAGCCCTAATGTTAGACGACTCCACCGGGCGCTGCCCGTTCATTTCAGGCTAATTGGCATCTGCATTGGTGAATCAAGTTGAAACAATTCTGTGAAGGTTAATCTGTTGGATGATGTATTTCCCCTCCTGCCATCTCTGGCTGGAAATGGGTCAATATTCATCGAACGATGATTGTATACACAGTGTGTATCTCTGCCTCAGGCCGCACGAAAAAAACGCGCCGCATGGCTGACAAAGCCGGACGGTGGCTGTGCAGCGCCTGAGGCTCAACCAGGCAGAAATTTACTCCGGCTGTTCTAATTATACACACCACAAGCTGTCTAAGTCCCAAGTCCCAAGGTCCGTCTAACGTCGTTCAGGGTCTCGGTGGAGCTCACCCGGCAGACAAGGCCGGTTTGAGGTTGATGGAAGAACCGGTGAGCTGAGAATGCATAGGACGGGGCCAATAACACTTGGGGATCTCGTGGAATGGGTGGAGGAAGCTGTGGAAGGGCGAAGGAAGTCGACAGCACCGTTAGCTCTTACATCGTGACATGGTCGGTGGGGGCAGCACACCACGAGAATCTGGAATCTGTCCGTATAGAATAATAGAAGATCAATCAGATAGACTGGTTCTGGCAGTAGTTATATAGATGCCTAGTATAATAACTGTCCATGGCTATGAGACTGGTATCTCATATCGAGCTGCAGATGACGTGCAGACTCGACTCCGTCTGGTTGACGGACATTATTATTGGCCTACAGTGGGATGTGCATCCGATGCACCCACGAATTGGTCGGACTCCATCGCGAAGGCTTAGCGGTGTTCTTTGTCCAGGCATAAGAGAAGAATGGCACTGCCTGAATCAGGCAACGAAGACTGCGGAGGTGTACGGAGTATATCTTCACTCTTCACTCTTCATTCTTTACTTCGTAGACTTAACTCAACCAAGTCAATTCAATTCAGAGGAAAGATCCAAGACATCCAGTGAAAGTATTGCCCAGGACTGCCCGTAGTTTCGGCCGTTTCACCACCAGCGAAAAGGGGACTCGACGATCGGTCTGTGCATCGCCCCGACAATCATAATTTTCGTGAGATTCGCCCCTGAACGAGCAAAACAAAATTTTAGACCAAAAAAAAAAATTGATTTGAGCATTGTTTTCCCTTTTGGATTTTGTACACAATCGTTCCAACTACCACCGACACTCTTTTTCCCTGGACTGTCGGGCGCAACGAGAACCGTCGTCACGACTTGCCGCCCCAAGAGACCAGCTCTTCAGCCACTCCCTTCTTCTCTGCTCAGCCGCGTGTCTCACCCGGCACTCATCTCTTTTTCCTCCACTTGTTCTCGCTTTCTCACTCTCCTTCAACCTCCCCGTGAACCATCGGGATTTCTCGCTTTCTGCCTTCGTCGCGGTCCTTTTTCTCTTCTCTCCGTCTGCTCGCGCCTTTTTCTGATCATTCCGGTCCGCCTCGTTTCCCGTACGACCCGGTTCTGTCATCGATCCGTCCGGTCCAGCTTAGTCCAGACCCGACCACCATTTGTTCCCCTCGCCGTTCCAGCGATTCGCAGTCCTCTACAATCCCATCCCCTTAAAAATTCGACACGTCGAATCCAACTATCATCATGAGTGTACGTTCGCTCCGGATCTGACCCGCTCACTCGCTCCATACCCCTCTCCTGTCCCTGTTGCCCCCTCCTGGCTCCCCCTCCTTACCCGCCGGGCGCGCAAGCTTCACATCCACCGACTGACCCCCGGCTTACATAGTATCAGAATCTTGAAGGCGGCCAAGGCGGCGGCTACGGCTCCTACAACCCCTACGGCCAGGAGCAACAACCCAATGCGTACGGAAACCAAGGCTATGGCCAGAACCCCTACGCCCAGGCCGGTGCGACGGAGGCCGGCAACGGATCCTACGGTATGTGCGCCCTCTTGAGTGACACCGAAGCAAATTGAAACGGACTAACCTGGTGGCCACTGCAGAGATGGGCTCCTACGGCCAACAACAACCCGCCGACCCCACCTCCCTGCTGAACAAGTGCCGCGAGATCAACGAGGGAATCAGCGACATCCGGGCCAAGCGTGAGGGCCAGCTGGCCGCCGCCCAGAACGGCATGCTCGACTCCAGCAACGTCAAGGAGGATCAGGTGGCCCGTCAGACTCTGGATTACATCGAGGATGAGATCAACAATGGCTTCCGCTACCTCCGCGATCTGATGAAGAAGATCAAGGGCACCCCCGGCTCCGGCGACAGTCGCGTCCAGACCCAGATCGACGTCGCCAGCCGGAACCTGCGTCGGGAAATCGAGCAGTACCAGAAGACCCAGGTCGAGTTCCAGAAGCGGTTGCGCGAGCAGGTGCGCCGACGATACGAGATCGCCAACCCGGAGGCCACCCCCGAGGAATTGGATGCCGGCGTGGAGAACGTTCTGATGGGTCAGGAGCAGATGTTCCAGGTACGATCTGACTGAAGTGTAAAGATGAGGGGCTTGCTAATAGCAAATAGGTTTCTGGCAGCCGGACTGGACAGGCCAACGATGCCCGTAAGGCCGCCATGGAGCGATCGGCCGCTATCCGGAAGATCGAGCAGGACATGACGGAGCTGGGTCGGTTGTACCAGGAAGTGGCGGAACTTGTCCACCAGCAGGAGCCTGCCATCGAGCAGATCAACCACGACGCAGAGGGAGTTGCCGAGAACGTCGGACAAGCCAACACCCAGATCAGCCATGCCATTGACAGTGCCCGTCGCGCCCGAAAGTGGAAGTGGTACGCACTGCTCATCGTCAGTAAGTCGGATTCATTCTCTAGGTTTTCTACCGGCAATGCTAATCGCTGCAGTTCTTATCATCGCCATCGTGGTCGGTGTGGCTGTCGGTGTTACCCAAGCCAACAAGTCCTCGTAATCGCCGATTGCTCGGTGATCCCTCGACTACGACCCTATTATCTCCGATAATACTTGCGATTCCCACTGCTCATCTTTTTGCTTTACCTTGCTCCCTGAACAAGGTCGGAATGAATGTTTTGTTGTCGATTCCCGCGTCTCTTATGGTCTTAACGCTTTACTGTCGTGTTATTTCTTGGACCACGGTAAGCCGAGTCGCTCGATATCCGTTCGCTATTGTTTCCTTTGTATTTTTATTAGCTTGTTATACCACTGTCTGTTGCTGTTTTTGTCTGAACCAAAAAGCTCATGCTTTCTGTTGACCTTGTTTTTGTCCACTATCCTATGCGCGCTTTTTTTCTTCTTCTCCACCTTTGATTCACTGATTGGTCGTGTATAGTTCTGCATCTTCGTACACGACTTGATGGTCTGACTGGACTGCCTTGGCTAGGATGCGCTTGATGCTTGCTACACATGTATATATTAGAGTCTCTTCGATTACTTCTTTGGCGCTAGATTTATGTAATAATCGTTTTAATAATAATCTGTTGCTCCGATTACTTGGTAAGAGTGAGAGTGAGAGTATGAGCATGAGTATGAGTATGAGTATGAGTATGAGTAAGTATAAGTATAAGTGTAAGTGTAAGTGTAAGTGTAAGGGCTACGGAGACAATGGTTTTATATGATGAGATTGATGGGTTTCATTGAGGGGTTCTTGTCTTGTCGTGTTGGTCAAGGGCATGAGCTAAGTATCGTTGGTCCCACTGTCTACATCATATGTAGATCTTTCGTTCAGGGCGAGGGAGGGGGTAGGAGACGTATCATATGTCTAGGTATGTCTTGATGCATGCATACCTCTGCTGCACTTTTTAATTATGATTATTGATAGGTATAGCATGGATATATGGGGTTTGATTAGCATACTTGCTCTATATCCTCCATCTCTCTAGTTCTAGTTTCCGGTTTCCGGTTTCCGTCTATCTAACTACCCAGATACTGTCAATCTACACTCAACCCAACATGACATAGTACTGTACAATATGATACAATATAATTAACCTTAGTAAAATGGTATAATATAAAAATAGGTACCATAATGCGCTGACTATTTACACTCCCCTCCCCTCCATCTCAACCTACCAAATTATAAGATATGATATGATATTATATGATGATATATTGTACTTATTCTTGTTCTTGCAGCCTCTTCTTCTCCCTCTCCTCCTCCTCTGGCGTCTTTGTCTTCAACTGCAATGCGTGGATTCCTCCTTCGCGACTCATTTCTTCTTTCAAGAGGCCGTAGACGAGCCGGTGTCGGGCGGGTTGCATTTTTGATTGGAATTGGGGGGACGTTATTGTTACACTTTTTTTGTTGTTTGTTAGTAAATGGGGTTGGAGATGTTGGGAGGTGGGTAGAGAGGTGGATAGGTGGGGAGATAGAGAGGTAGAGATGGATGGGTATAGATGGGTAGAGATGGGTTTGGGCATGGTATGTGTTTTTGTAGGAAGACGTACTGGAAATGCGTCTCCTTCGAGGTCGATCCGATCATTGGTGCGTGATGCGCGTGCTTGTGCGAGTCGTTGCGGATGATTAGGGAGGTGGGCGAGAAGGCGGTCGTGAGCTGTTGTTTATTGGGATGATTAGCTTATTCTTCTTGTTCATGTTCTTCTCGTCCTTGCTCTTGGGGTAATGGTAATGATAATGTGTGCTTGAGAAGGTAAGGTGTAGGTAGGGCCGAGTCGGAGTCGGAGTCGAGGGATTGAGTTTAGATGGATGGATGGATGGATGGATGGATAATTATATCCGAGGGAAATGTAGAGCGAAGAGTGTATAAGGATATACCTTCTCACGAATCGTATCCTCCATCGGAGTATTCGACGTCGTCGAAGAAGCCATTCTACGCTGGACTGGAAGCCGAGAGACGAACGGACTCGGGGAAACGAAGCGGCGAGATAGCAGGCCTGAGGTGCTGGTGCGGAGGAGCATTGAGAGTCGGTATTGAGAATGAACCGCGTGTAGGTCCGAAGGTCGAAGGCCGGAATGTCAGGTCGGAGGTGAGGTCGGAGGTAGGTATGGGGTGGTTAAAAGAGACGATGTAAGGTACCGGGTGTTGGTTGGTGATGGAGATGCGAAACTACTGCAGGTGACCGGAGATTAATCGGCTTGCCTGTTTGGGGAGGAGGACGGGTTGATGCCTCAGGTTGATATGATGAGTCAGCAATTTTTTTTTGGCTGGGCAATCAGATCGACGGAGTTGTTAATCGTTACATCTACTGGATGGTATTAAGAGTAGCATTGTGGTCAACTTTTTGTCGCTAGATAATGCCTGACTCGATACTTATTACGAGGATGGATCATCTAATTAACCAATACCTATGATGACTATACCTAAATCGAGGAATAATATACTAGAGCTACAACTCTGCACTAAACAGAATCCTTCGGAAGGACTCCCTTTCTTAAGTAGAGACTAGAGAATGTGCGATTTAAATCACCGCTCATGAGACTAGACGATACAAAAAAATCCGTTGTTAGGCAGGGATTAGGAGAGACAACTGAGCAGAACAATTCTGATAATGCGTGGGTTTTACACAGGGAGTATGATCGACCGCATCATGGCAGCCTACTATTATGGTCTTCCCCGGGGCCAGGATGGGCTCCTCAGGCAAGACATAAATTATACTTGCTATGGCTATTGTAGAAAGAGATTGCAGAACACTTAGATACTCTGTATTATCTTATTTTGTTTAATACGTAGGTAGAATGATATCTTCATTGGATCCGGGATCGAAGCTCTCTGGAGGGTCAGACCTATCAGCATCCTGGAGATCCGAGGAGGATAACAGAGATAATGGTGAGATCTGATATCAATATAGCATCTGACATGTTAGATGGCACGCTGAGGCCAGCATATTGTAGGCTGACCGAGAATAAGCGATGAATAGTGCTAAATGTAACTGTTGGTATATGAGAGGTTGAACACGAAGGAGTCTGGGTATTGAATTTTGAATCAATGGCGCTGAAATAAGCTCTGCTGTAGATGCGAGCACTAAATGATTCTACATAGACTGAAGGAATGAAAAGCGGAGATAGACTGTTTTTTTTTATAGGTATCGATTACGTGGTATATTATAACTTTACTTCTGGTCGATATTGCGGACGTTTCCTCGGCCTGTACTAGATTAGTTGAACGTTGATGCATAGTATCTGACACTTACCCTAATAAGTTAATAACCATCAAAAGATGCTGATCATTTATTTAGACGAAGAAGATGGGGAAGCATAACCCTCACCAGGCCCAGTCTATTGCGCAGAGCTGGCTCTTCCCGCGCTCCACGTCCTCTGGCCACAAGGACAACTGCTTGAATTTGGTCGCCTGGATACCACTCACACGTTCGGATTGTGCAGCTTCTGGAGCGTCCGAACGAGTGGGCCATCTGTCAAGTTACTGGGGCATGGGTTTCACGCGGCCAATGTTTCACCATCACGATACTGAACCAGGTGCTGGATCAAGGAGAACCAAGTCCGGATCACCCTTGATAGCAAAAACTATGCCTGATTACCTGTTTCAAAGTAAAAATTTAGTTGCCGACCTCCACAATTGAGGTACGGAGGTTTCATTTGCATGTTGGTTAGTTCGCTGCTAGGATGACTTTTTCAGGCGATAAAAACACACTTGTCAAATCATACATATGACGTCTGGTTATTGTGCAGCCATTGTTGAACATGATCGCAGTCTCCAGAAGCTGATAGTACCGGGCCAGAAATGAGAAGTTCTCAACTCGCGTGAACTAGATTCGCTCAGTCAGAATAACGAGGTATGTGTCTACCTCCGTACGGTTTCACCAGTGGATAGGGAAAATCCAAATAAGCTTGGAATTGGGACATCTGTATTCTCTTGAAGCCATGCGTAAGTCCCCGCTTCACATCGAATCTTCTCGTTCCCATTGCCGGGCATAACGGCTTCACCGACGCGGTATGGAAGAGGAAAACGAAGAAGAACGCGATGATCGTCCCGATTATCATTAGTAATTGGGATACAAACATTGAAGCTACCGTGGAGCCAGTTCGATTCTTCAGCTACATGGCATACGCTGGATGATCCTAAGCCAAGATGATGAGCAACAACGGCCCTCATCCAATCCTGTCGGACATTTGGATGAGCGAAGAAGTGGGTCTGTTGTTCGTGGTATCCTAGCTGATGAAGGATATTAAGTTCCTGCTCTTTCGCAGCGGAGTACGTGATCTCCTCATTTCGAAGTAGACGTCGGGTTCGTGGCATTTTATAGCAAAAATTCCACTGCACCAGAAAGGGTCCACCCTCTTAGCGAAGGAATATTCAAGTTTATGCAATGGATTCCTCGCGGTGACACATGTTGGTAAGGGGTTGATCCGCCGTCGTGATACAGGCGCTTGGCATCACTCGGCAATAGGTACTTTGTTCCGACCATGCTCTATCATCTCTTGGCTGCCCCTCTTTCTTTGTTCCCTAACACGATATGCAAATGGTTAATTGCCGGGCAGAGGAGATTTTGCCAAGAGCCCAGTCTTAGTAGGGGTATTTGTGCGAGCTGTCAAGTTCCTTCTGAAATGATGCTCCCACTATACATTCCACCGTGCATTCACACTCCCGCCGGCCAGATCAACCGCTCAGAATCCAAATTGAAGGCCCTCTAGTCGCCATCCAAAGGATCCCGCCACATGTCGCCTGGCGTCTGGGTCACCTAGATCGGACTCCCCCACAGCCGGCAGGCCCAGAACTAGCACGGTTGACATACCGAACAATATACGGACACGATACTTGTCCGCAAGTACCAGGTGATATGGTAGTGCATGATGAGTACATGGGTTGGATGCCAGAAAAGTACCCGGAGCAGTAAGTTTGATCTTATCTCTACCGGCGGGGGCAGTCGATTGCTAACCAAACCCCTTCCGCGATTTCGTAGGTTGATTGACTATTACCGCGTGACGTTTGACCATCTAGTCCCGGATGGTGATATCTACCCCGAAGTGTTACAGATGAACATTGCTGAAATCGAGGACGACAATGGCCTCAATGCAAATACGTGGCTTCTGTCTGCAGTAGATCCGACTGAGTTTGTTGGCAAGAAGGTACTCGCAGTGCCGAGATGTTGCCAGAAGAGAAAGGGGACACAGGATCGCTGGCGAGTTAACACACTTGTGGATCAGAGACATCATGAGATGGAATTTCTAAAAACAGCCGAAGAGTTAAGTTGTAACCGAAAGGTGTGAAGAGACTGCATTTTTGTGGTAAAGAGGACTATCAGCATTCCTTTCTCAGAGTCCAAGATTCTGTTCCATTTTTTTAACTAGCTATACTAGCTCTATGGAACTGAGAGTAAACGACTTAGTATTAATGATGAAGATGTCGGTATTAGCTGCCCAATTTTTCCCCATCATGATCGGAAGGCTCGACAAAGTCAGCTCTTACATCATAGATGCCTTCGACATGGTGGGTATAGCTAACTGATCTATCGGTATGGGAGCTAAGCAGCCGAAATACGAAACATGTTAAAGTGCGCTTGAGTGTAAGTGAGGTTAAGTCCTTATCCAGACAACTAGAGGAAGCAAGATAGCCCCCTTTAATACGATTCGTTCGATTCCCTGTGAATAAATAGCCAAAATCAGAGCAATGATTGTTATCGCGTACCACGCAGGCAAAGCTAGACGAGTCTTTTAGCACGTTGATTCAGCAATATTTTGGACAAGGAAGATTGCGGGTCGTTTATGCAAGGGAGCCGGTAATAACGTCGGTGTAGCCCCAGAGGCGGTGATATGCATAGCAGACCATCCCTTGCTGCGACCGGCCCTCAGCAGGATATTTGTTCAATCAGCTCTACTGAAGGACGTGTATTTGAGAGAAATCTATTCGACTGTGTTACAGAAAACCAGCACTAGTGATTCCCGGCTACTTTAACCTCGTAACTTCTCAGGCACTATCTTTTTTGGCAGAAATAACTCAACATGCCGCCAGGTGAAGAGGAAGAGCAATTTTTGATGAGCTCAACTAGCCCGACAGAAACTCACCCTAAAGAGCAAATCTCGACTGGAAAGCAATCCAATGCCTCCATCGTTTATGGGACTTTCTTCGGTAGGTAGACCGCTACATAGGTACCGGTCTGATGGCAACCTAACATTCGAGAATAGGTGCCTTTCTGGCAAGTGCCGATGAGTCGATTATGGTGTCGACGTTTAGCTCCGTTGCATCGGAATTTGATCGTCTTTCAGAGGGCTCGTGGTTGGTGGCCGCTTATAATTTTGGATATTGTATGTCCTTGCCGGTTGTGAGTATTCATTCTTTTCAGGTGGAAGAACTTTGTGGATGATGTTGCTAATAGTATCTGGGTAGTATGGTCATTTGAGCAATGTTTACAGTCGCAAGAATATTCTTCTCTGTTCATATGTTCTATTCGCTCTCTCGTGTCTTGCTTGGTAGGTTTTGCCTGAATGTTGCTGACTTGCAGACTGATGTGGATTTTGTATAGCGGTGCTAGCTCTTCACTCTACTGGTTGGTGCTAGCAAGAGTGTTTGCAGGTCTTAGTGGTGCAGGAATGGTTTTGCTTATCTCGATAGTCATCAGCGGTAAGTGTCCCATTCTAGATTGAATCAAAAATGAGAAAGACATGCTCATCCGGACTAGATGTGATGCCAGCGGAAGATGTTGCCCTCTTTCGAAGCTACGAGAACCTAGTGTGCATCGTTGGTCGCAGCCTAGGAGCTCCTATCGGCGGCTTTCTCTTGGACACAATCGGATGGCGATGGTGAGTAACCTAGCCCTGCATATCGAGAATGCATCACATCTAACGAAGACAGGTCATTCTACGGCCAGGTTCCACTGGCATTAGCCTGCATCCTGTTTGCAGCTCTCAACCTGCCACGCTCAATGACTAGAGCGGAGTCTAAGTCACAGACGCCATCGTCTGCCTCTGGAATTTGTGACATTGATTTTGCCGGGCTGTTTAGTCTTGCTTCTACGGTGCTTTCTATCTTGTTCCTGCTCCAGGCAGCGGGGGCACAAACGATAGATCATCCTGAGTGGGTATACGCTACTTTGGTCATACTTTTAGTGTCCATTGTTACATTCATCGCGATAGAGCTTTTCTGGGCACAGGACCCCTTGGTACCTATGGATCTGATGGGCAAAACTTTTGGGGCTTATTGCCTGGGCCAGGTGGTGTTGGTTATGGGACGCTCTGTGGTAGGTTTTCTCTGAACGAAAGGATCTAAAAGGGTACTCATTCTGTGGCAGGTCATGAGCAGTCTCGCACCGTACTTTATACGCGTCGAAAATTCATCAGATCTTGGTGCGTCGATGCTATACATCCTCTTTTCTCTCGGTGTGTCTATCGGAGGAATAGTATCCGGCCTTATAATTAAGAGGTGCGTCCCAAAAATTAGAAATCTGATCATCAATCGACTACTGACAACTCACGAATGAATCTAGAACCAAACGATACAAGAGCATGACACTTATTGCGCTAGGAGTCTGTATGATGTCAACGCTGGCAATTTTCTTTCAATGGCGAGACGGCTGCACCATTTGGGAGACATTGATCTTGCTTCCTATGGGCACCACATTGGGTGTTTTCTACTCGACGCAGTTCATTGGCATGTCTGCAAGTTTACCAAAGAGTCGCCAAGCGGCGGGTTTTGGGACGTACTACGTATACCAACAGCTTGGATTTATAGCGGGACCGGCAGTAGGGCTGTCTATGGTGCAAGGGCTCTTTAACCAGAGCCTCGAGCAAAACTTGCTGGATAGTCAGAGGAAAGAGCTGGTAAGTAAGTTTAGTTCATTTCGATGAATGTTCACAGTTGCCATGATACTGGCTATATAAAGTTTGAGGCTGACGGATAAATAGATTATTGGAAAGATTCTTGATGACTCCAGATTCTCTAGGAAGCTGCCACAACCGATGCAAGAGGTTGTTCGATCCAGTTATCTATATGCCTTCCAATTTGCGCCCTGTAAGCCCTTTACCTGAGCAGGCATGTCAACCGAGGCTAACATCGAGAAGTACTCTCCACGGCGTGTGTTGTGCTTGCCCTTGTGATAGTATTGATGTTAAAGGAGCAAAATCTGCCTTAGATTGGTTTTTTTTTTTCTTTTTTTTTGCGAGAAGTAGAGCTGTCTGTATGTCTGCAGTTCAGTTTAGGGCATTCAATGTCATGCGCCGAGGGATTCCGAGAACTGCCGAGATTCTGCCGAGGCCGCAAACCTCCGACGGCGGATGACATCAACTGTTTTTTGTTCATCCTTCTATCTTCACCTCGTCCACGCGAGTCTCTCAATGTCATTGCCTTCAATTAAGTTCTAGATCTAAATAATGTTGATTGTGATCCGGTAATTCGATATCGCCATGCAAGGGCGCACTCTCCTATCAGCCCTCTCACGGGGCCTCCCCGCGTCACGTCGCGCCACCCCGACCATCCTAGCTTCGAAATCCTGCCTCGATCGTTCACACTCCGTGGCAACACCTTCTTTCTACCGGTCGCTATCATCTCTACCGAATCTGTCACTCTTCCGAGCCCTTCAGGACCACGATCGATCCAGCTTGGCCGTCGTCCACAGCGCGTCGTCGCGTTCCTTCACCTACGGAAATTTGGTCGCAGATGTGCTTCTCGCGCAACAGCAGCTGCGCCAGTCGGCCGGCGGTCATAACGATGCTCTGTCCGGAGAGAGGGTCGCATTTCTTGCGGAGAACAGCTACGACTACGTAGGTACTGTTTTTCTTGTTTCAGATGACTTTTTCTTTAGCCTCGCTAACTTCCATTTCAGTGACGCTTCTTTCCATCCTCGCGAACGATGCGATTGCCCTTCCTCTCTCCCCGGCCTTTCCTATCGCCGAATTGCAGTATATCATGGATAATTCACGTGCAAAGGTGCTTGTTGCCACTGAGAAGTACGCGGATAAAGCTCAGAATATCATGAAGGCGGGGTTGGATCGAGAGCCTATCTTGAACGTGCGGGAGAAAACCACAGCCGGAGCGAACATCTCCGTGGATGTCACATTGGAGGACTACACACAGACACCCAAGGGTGGAATGATGCTGTATACTTCCGGGACGACCAACAGACCGGTAGGTGAAAATGCGCGAAGACATACGGCTCATGCTGACAATGTACTAGAAAGGTGTGCTGATTCCTCAATCTGCGCTCACCGCGCAAGCGGCTTCGTTGCTGGAGGCGTGGAATTATACCCCGGAAGATCGACTCCTCCATCTCCTTCCGTTGCATCATATCCACGGAACTGTGAATGCTATCGTGGCTCCTGTCCTTGCCGGATCGTCAATTGAGTTCATGTTCCCATTCAACACGGATGCCGTGTGGAAGAGACTTGCCGCTCCATTTTTACCATATAGTACGCCGACAAGCAAGATATCGTTCCTAACAGCCGTTCCGACTATCTATAATCGACTATTATCGTCATTCTCTAATTTATCCCCCGAGCTCAAAGAGGCTGCTAGGAAGGGGATCTCTCCCGAGAACCTTCGCCTCAACATCTCCGGCTCGGCGGCTTTGCCAACCCCGACGAAGCAGGCGTGGCAAGATCTTAGCAATGGCAACGTTCTCCTAGAGCGTTACGGCATGACAGAAGTTGGAATGGCTATCAGCTGTGGCCTAGACTTTGGGGACCGTATCGACGGCAGCGTTGGCTGGCCACTACCGTCTGTGGAAGCCAGACTGGTAGACGCAGACACGAATCAAGTTATCAATCCTGGCGAAGAGCTGGATGAGAACGGCCGTGAACGGGAAGGCGAAATCCAACTTCGCGGCCCTACCATCTTCCGCGACTACTGGGCCAACGAGAAAGCCACGCAGGAGGCATTCGTCGATAGCGATGATGGCAAGGGAAAATGGTTCAGGACCGGCGACGTTGCGACGCGACGCGTTGTCGAAGATGCCGGCAAAGGCGCCAGTGGAGAGTGGGCGCGAGGACCGATGTACTTCATCCAGGGACGACAAAGTGTGGATATAATTAAGGTCGGTGGGGAGAAAGTCAGCGCGCTCGAGGTGGAGAGGGAGTTACTTTCCCTGTAAGTTTCGGCGGATTACTCCGTACTTGCGACAATGTACTAACGGGTCATAGTCCTCAGATTGCCGAAGCTGCGGTGGTTGGCCTTCCATCTGAGCAATGGGGCCAAAGAGTCGCTGCGATCGTTGTTCTGAAGAATGCCGAAAGAACTGCCACTAGTCGCAATGGCAAATCCTGGGGTCCGATGGATATGCGAAGGGCACTGAAGGACCGGCTGGCAGCTTATAAGATGCCACAGGAAATGAAGATTCTCGATAAGCCGATTCCGAGAAATGCCATGGGAAAGGGTGAGTGGATTTCTTCCAGACCGAGTGATACACTCGATACTAACATTGCCCGCAGTTAATAAAAAAACACTCGTCAAAGAGGTCTTCGAAGTATAGACCGGAGCCTCGCGACTATTTGTATTATAATCATCAATAATAGATCTTGGAAATTAGACTTAGACGGTAGCTCGGGCTAACCGCAAACACGAATCTCCACCATCTTACCATAGACTTTACGGTCTGGCTACACGTACGAGATGAAGATTCTTTCTGAAACAAAGAACGAACCGTTTTTCGTCTATTTGCAACTTTCCGTGCAAAGTGTGCTTCAAATAGAGTACGCTGGCTGATCTCCGTGTTTTCGGCCCTTGGCCCATTGGGAAAAGATTCTCCAGTGCCAAATTCGACACGGACCAGACATTCCCCCAAGCCTTCCAAGACATGCTAAACGGCCTCTCCACATCCATTTTACCGTTCTGCAAGTGTCTTCTGATGCTCCCCTCCTTGGTGCGGGACCGTTAATCAGTCCTTCACATTCTCTCACCCGGTCTTCAACCCGCGCGGAGTTTTCCCGCCCTGTTGATCTTAATCTAATATGGTGTCTAGCCCTGCAGATGAAACAGATCGAGACTCAGACTGATAATTAGGCTCTGGTGCGGACCAGCGGACCGAAACATTTTGCCGGCATATTAGCCTTCCCCACAATTGTCAGAATGAAGGTATCATGCTATCGCGACCGATTGGCTTGACCCTGATTTTGCCAGCAGCTTAACCTGATCCTTCGTGCCATTGAAACTTCTGCGGCCTTTACCGATTGCAAGGTCGGTCACTGGTCAAATGAGGTATAAATAGTTGGACCCCTAAAAAATGCAAATGTAGCATCATCTCCGATTCAAAAAACGCCATCAATCAATCCACAGCAAGCGATACTTCGAAATCATGGCGCGGACTCTCGCCCTTCTCGCGCTCCTCCCTCTCATCACCGCGCAACAGATTGGCAGCATCCCCGAGGTTCACCCTCAACTAACCACCTACCACTGTACGCGTCGCAATGGCTGCGTGAAACAGAACACTTCCATCGTGCTCGACGCGGCCACGCACCCCATCCACCAAGTCGGAACCAACACCTCCTGCACCAACGCCTCCGGCCTTGACTCCTCCATCTGCCCCGATAAAGAAACCTGCAGCCAGAACTGCGTCGTCGAGGGCATCACCGACTATAGCAAGTACGGCGTGCAGACCAGTGGCTCTCGCATGACCCTTCGCCAGTACCTCCGCGATGCCAGCACCAACCAAACCCGCTCCGTCTCGCCGCGCGTCTACCTTCTCGCTGAGGACGGCGAATCCTACCACACGCCCTCCCTCTTGAACCAGGAATTCGCCTTCGACGTCGACGTCTCCACCCTCGTCTGCGGTATGAACGGCGCACTCTACTTCTCTGACATGCTTCCATCCGGCGGCCGCAGCGACCTCAACCCCGCCGGCGCCACCTACGGCACCGGGTACTGCGACGCCCAATGCTACTCCACCCCGTGGATCAACGGCGAAGCGAACATCGCCGACCGCGGCTCCTGCTGCAACGAAATGGACATCTGGGAAGCGAACGCCCGCGCTACAGGATACACCCCTCACTCGTGCAACACGACCCGCCTGTACGAGTGTACTGGCACAGAATGCGGCGACGCTGGCGTCTGCGATAAGCCCGGCTGCGGATTCAACCCGTACGCGCTCGGCGCTAAATCCTTCTATGGCTACGATATGACCGTCGACACCACTCGCCCGTTCACTGTCGTCACGCAATTCCTGACCAAGGCCAACACCTCTACTAGTGCGCTCTCTGAGATCCGTCGTCTGTATGTCCAATCTGGCCGCGTGGTCCAGAACGCCGTGGTCCAGGTCGACGACGGGGAGATCGACTCTCTTACCGAGCCGTTCTGCAAGGACACTGCCTCCGCGTTCACTCGTCTCGGTGGGATGAAGCAGATGGGCGAGGCGCTGGGTCGGGGTATGACTCTTGCTTTCAGTATCTGGAATGACTCTGGCTCGTTCATGCAGTGGTTGGATGGGGGTGATGCGGGCCCGTGCAATGCCACCGAGGGAGATCCGAAATTGATTGAGAAGCTGTACCCGGATACGAAGGTGACATTTGCAAATGTGCGGTGGGGAGATATCGGGGCTACTTATGGAAGCAAGACGGGGCTGTGAGGGAGCTTTAGTTGTGGAGCGAATTATCAGTTGTGGTTTTGTGTACTGTCTATAAGAATTAGTTCAAAAAGATTTTGCTTTGTCTTTGATGCTAGATCTATGCATATGCACCCGACCTTCTACTGGTCTTCTTTGTATAACAATGAACCTATCACCTTGCCTCAGCGAACCCTAATCGCCCAAAAGTATGTATAGTACAACCCCCATACCCCCTCCCCCATCAAGGAATAGCATGAAGTCCCTGGCCCTCCCACTCAACCATAGCCCTCTCAAACAACCGTTCCTGCTCATCCGCTTCAAAAGCCACTGCCTCCTTCCCCCTCCCCCGTCTCGACTCAGCCGTCTCAACCAGCGAAACATCCCCCTCGTCAACCTGAAGATAATAAGACCGCATTTCCGCATTCCTCCACCCACCCCCATTAAACAGCCCCGCGTCTTCCCAGTCCTGCGTCAGAAAATGTAAAATGCTCACGTGCGCTACTAGAACGATCTCTAGATCTTCAACCCCCTCGTTCTCGTGCAAGGAATGGGCTAGATCGAATAGTTGTCTTCGACAATCCCGTGCTCGAGCTTTCAGCGCCGCTCGCGAAGGAAAGTACCGTGAGTCTGAGGCCTTGGTGTTCCAGCCCGAGTTGACACGGGTTAAATCAACAGGGATATTTAAACTCTGCGCGGACACTCTTTCTTGTAAAGTTGAGAGATCCGAACCCGTGTTGAAGGGATAATCGCATACTTCTTGCGCGTCAGGCAGCGCGAGGATCTTGGGCTTGCAGTGCCCGTTGCGCAGGGCGGGTTCGAATGCTAAGAAGGCGGTTTGGAGAGTTCGGGTCATTGGGGATGCGGTGATGAGTGAGATTCGTGGATGGATCTTTGATGCGCTGGATTTGAGTGAGAGGCATTGAGACCGGCCGTTTGGTGTTAGGAGGGGGTCGGTTAGATTGGAAGGTGCGGTGGGGAGGTTGTGTTCGCCTTCGGCGTGGCGGATCAGGTGGATTGTTGCGCGCATGGTGGGTTGGAGTTTGAGTTTTGCGGTGAAGGGTGTATGGAGTATGTGGTTGGGAAGGCACCGGTGATATAGGAGTCGTGAATCTTGGGATCCCCGCGCATTTTATAGAAACCCCCACGGAGTAAGTAGTGTATTTCCGGGTTCTCTGTTTAGGTAGCTGGTTCCGGTGGAGGCTGGACCTTGACTAGGAAAGCTATGCCGGCTCCCCTGAGATGCCGATGTTCCGATCAGTCGATCACGGGTGCCGTTAGCCCTTATCTGATTATGAAGGCGGTCTATCAAGGTTGTGGCAGAGTGTTTAAAATACTGTTTGTAAGATACTTCCTTGTAACTATAATGATCCTTGGTTAGGATTTAGAGTCTATTTGGGGTCTATTAGGGACTAATGGTTGTTTAGAATTTAGGACTCAATGATCTAGGTTTATGTTTCCCTTTTCTCTTTTTCAATATTATCTAGATTGATTAGGGTACCTAAAATATAGAAAACTTCGGTAGCTAAATGATAGGTAGTAGTGTAATAGTATTACAAGCTGTCTGTCCATTTAATCGTTAACATCCGTCGATCATCCCCTTCGTCACACTTATCTTATTCCTTTCTGACACCGATTGACTTATGATCTATGAGAACTGTATGCATGGGTTGCTAGACTATAAACTGCAACACCTGCATAGTTGTACGGTGCCCAGTCTGCTCACCGAACCCGATAATGATAGTAAGTCAAGACATTGCCTTCTACCTACTTCGTAGTTTACACTTGGCATAGTGTCTAATGGTCGGCATATCTAGAATCCTCGCGAAAGGAAGAACATCGCACTTGCCTGTGACTCCTGCCGAGCGCGAAAAGTCCGCTGCGACGGCGTTGAGCCTACCCGTAGCACTTGTTTGCTACGTAAGGAGTCATGCAGATATGCAATGAACAATCCAAAAGGGCGTCAGGATAATAGGTAATCTCAACCCATCCTCATATCCAATTGGTGATGTGCTTGGTTCATCATTTATCATTGTAGATACATACAATAGGTGTAAAATGTGTCCAGCACAACGACAACGGGTGCCCAGTCCATTCCGATATCAGAAAATTTGAATTTATCTCCCAACGTTCCTAAGATCCCGGACAGCTCGAATGGACACAACTGTGGCCCTGTCACGAGAGTCCAGGCGCGATCTCATCACGGCTTCGCGCCAGGTGACACCCCATCTACCAGCGTAAGTTCGGCAGCATAATGTCCTAACAGAGTTGATCGACCCAATACGATAGACCATCCCCATGAAACATCGGATTCCGTCTATACCTCGCATTCCAAATCACGCAAGAGCCAAAGCCAGCCTACAGCCATGGGAATCGCCTCCAATCGACCCTCGAGTGCGGCAGAAAGCCAGAACGAATACTTTGGCGACTCATCAGTGGCCTCATTTCTGAAAGAGATCAAAGTTTCCGACGCCGCCAATTCTCGAGGCGATTCGTCATCCCAGCCAGGTCCCAACTTGCCAGGAACATCGCGTTTCGCTGTCGACTCATGCGATCTGCCCTCTCGTCAATTAGCGGACTATCTTCTCCAGTGCTATTTCGGCAAATTTCACAGCCTTTATCCGTTCATTCATAAACCGTCGTTTCTTCGCATGTATGATAGTCTATGGACACCGACTGTCGTGGATGTTGGAAATAGCTCGGCTGGGATTGGCTTGGGTGATCCCAACGTACCATCCTCGACATTCCTCTGCGCATTGAATATCGTCTTAGCTCTTGGGTGTCAATTCTCTCATCTGAATCATACAGCCCGCGAAGCTACCTCCGCGGATATCTTCGAGCGCTCTCAACGTTATCTGAATACCCTCTCCCGGGACAAAGGCGATCTCGCCCTCGTACAGATACTTCTTTTGACAGCTACATATCTGCAAGGAGGCGAGTCTCCTTCCAAATGTTGGGACATGATTGGTCTCGCGTGCCGAATCGCGCAAGGACTGGGAATGCATTCCGTGAAAGCTGATAGGAACCGACGACCGGCGGAGATTCAAATCAGACGCCGTGTTTGGCATGGATGTATCATGATGGATCTGTAAGTCTCTGAATATTTATCTACATTGCAATGAGTGGGTCTCCTGACAGTGCTGTAAAGAGCAAGTAGTATGATGCTGGGTTGTCCTCCTATGACCCATACGTCGGCAGTGCCTCTCCCAGACGCTGTTGATGATGAAGCTCTGAATTATCCTGTTGAGCGATCGCAAAGTCTACCTGGAAAGGCATCTCGAATCGCCTTCTACGTACAAACTCTAAAACTGCATAGAATACTACGAAGATTATACTGGAAGTCTATGAGCCCTGCGAAAACACCACCAGTGTCGATCAACTTGGACAGCCGAAGGCCGAAGACAGCCACGCCCGGACCTTGATGAAATTAGATGCAGAGCTCGTGTCCTTTGTTTCCAAAATTCCAAGCGCCCTGCAATGGAATAAACCCGGTAGATCTGCAACCACCGACAAGCAGCTCTGTCGCGAAAGCAATCTGCTTAAGGCATGGTAAGGACTAACTTTGCGTAGTTCTTTATCCTTTCTAGCTGACTCTATCATGTAACTGGATTCCTCCACTTTAGAATCTTACTCTTGCGCCCCACCCTGGTCAACTTCTGTCGAGAAAGTCGCTTGTCGCGAGCGACTGACGAATGCCACCCGCAAATAAGTTCTGAAGAACGGCCAGCCGCTCCAAGGAGTTAGATATTTCTCGGTTTCAGTTTCAGCTGCTCGACTTATTCCGTTGAAACCGCAATTGAACTGTCGTACTTGATGAACGAGATCTCCAGGACTGAAATGGCTAGCGTGTGGTGGTATAATATACCTCCCATCCAAGCACCTAATCCCCAGCAATAACACTACACTGTTGCTAAGCCGCAATCTCCGTTAACTGCCAGATACTTTCACGGCTGGAATCGTTCTCATATTCGCCCAAACATTACCAGCTCTTGAGACCAATTCCTCGAAACAAACCCTCGCCGAGGCCTGGCAGAGCTGCACCGACTGTCTAGAAACCATGGGTTTTTATAGCAACACGGCCAAATTCTGCGCCGATTCTCTTCGCAGAGCGCTGGCTCAATCTTTGCAGAAATCCAATGCAGCAGACCCCACGACGTCTAGTTCAGAGACCCTCCCTCATGTCGAAGAATCTCACACGATGGGACATCCAGGTTCAGGGAATATTCCTAGTCAGGATTCGTCGTCCTCCAATACTAGATTGCCAACTGTCGTTCCATCCCCGATCATATACGACGCTCAGTTTGCTTCTGCGGACCCGTCTTTTCTTGATCTTCCAAAATCAGAATTCTTTAGCAATGCGTGGGCCGGGGATGATTCGACTGGCAGTGGCTATTTGATGGAGATGATTTTTGGAGGACGGCTTTCGCTCTGTCTTAGACATTTTTGTTGGATATGATGTATATACCCTTGTTCTGTAAATTGGGTTCTTCTGTTCTTGGGTTATAATATCTAAATACTTTTACTGGTTGGGGTAGAAAATTCGATTTATGTCTAATCTCTATATGAACTCATCTATAACAAGAGAAAAACGGAAAGAAGAATGGGCGTAGATACAAGACCAGTTTCACTCATCCCCACTCAGACAACAAAGCCCGCAAAATACTCGCCGACCTGCTTCACACCATACCTATGCTCCTGGCTCGCGGTTCCCGACCCGCCTGTTTCAACTCACCCAGAACACTAGAATCTAGTCAATCCTCGTTCTCGGAGGCCATCCCGATAAGACCCATTCCAACTTGCGCGGCGCCGTGCAGGAACTGGAGAAACTCCATGCAAAGCTGCCTTCCGGGATTCTGCGTTTCGTCACAATAGTCGCCCAGGCTATTGGCGGGGGAGATCAATGGGCTCGTATTCCGAGAATAGGCAAGCTCTATTACAACACTTCGAGATCTGCCCACACCGCGTACACAGTCTCTGACTCTCAAGGGGCGGTGGCGGTCATTCGCCCAGATGGTCTTTTGGATTATGCTACTCGCCTGTCTAATCCGATATTGAACCCGACGGGATATTTGCTAGATGGCTTTGTAGGATGGTTGATTGGGCTTGTGTGCTTTCGAAGACTCCTGGGACATATAGATCGATCCTTCTATCCAGTATCTCTAGCCATCGGCACAGATAGCTATGGCTTCCATCTCGGAATCAAGTGGAGTATATCATTTTCGGAGGAGAGAGTATTGTTTCATGAATAGATTAAAGAGGTACTAGGAATTAGTAGACTCGGAGTAACTATTTAATACCGGAATTTGTAATTATGTTATCATAATAGAGTCCGATACGAGCATAATACCGGATATGCCCCCGTCTCTGCAGCAGAAATGATTTGCAACGGCTCGGAATGCGTAACCACTGGTAACCAATATTTACCACCTTACTAGAAGAAGTATGTCCCTACATTGTTCTTAATACTGTAGCTATGAATCAAATAGAACGCAACATTGTGGAATACAGTAGAATATAACCCACCACCTAGCGTCCAAGAGATTCTCCCACTGCTGTACTGGCAACCACAGTAATTACATCCAGGTCTTCGCTATATATTTTGCTCTGGGAACGGGTAGAAACACATCAACAAAAGCACAGCCGAAAAAAGTTGGCAGAGTAGAACAGAGCAAAACAAGGCCGTAGGGTGACAGATACATAATATTTAGACCCAATATCCAACATATCTCCCTTTCCACCAGCTATCTAGAATATCATCTCGAACTACAAAGATGAACTTATCTACTCTGCACTCCGTGTACTTTGCAAGAACATTAGACCGGGATCCCGAAGGCAGTGAACAAGGCGGCTATGACGGTCCTCGGGTTTTGCCCGCTCATCATCTTTATGGGGCGACCGATGATGTAGAGGTCTCCGGTGGAAGCGGCTACCGCATATGGAGATCACTCCACCGGAGGACTAGAGCTGAAGCTATTGCCACTATCAACATTAATGAGAGACGTCTTAGATATTTAAACATGCCAGATACCCCTCCTGTTGCATAAATCTGTTCAAGCTCAACTAAACTCACTATCAGAAGCTAGTTACCTTCGAACCCATTCCGAAATTAATTATCACATCCAAATTATCAACCCCCCAACCAACAACACCAATATGTCCACCCAAAACACCATCACGGTCAATCTGACCCAACTATCCAAAATGATCGACCACTCCCTCCTCCACCCAACCATGACCGACGCCGAAATCCTCGCCGGTCTAAAAATTGCCCGAGACAACAATGTCGCCACAGCCTGCGTCAAGCCCTACCTCATCCCTCTTGCCAAGCAGGAGCTCGCAGGCTCCGATGTCCTCGTCTGTCCAGTCATCGGCTTCCCCCACGGCAACAGCACCACCGCCATCAAGGTCGCCGAGGCCACGGCCGCTGCGCAGGCCGGGGGCAAGGAAATCGACATGGTCGTCAACGTGGGCAAGGTCCTTGGTGGGGACTGGGCCTATGTGTCTGATGAGATCCGGCAGATCAATGAGGTTGTTACGGCTAATGGTGCGGTTCTGAAGGTCATTTTCGAGAATGACTATTTGCAGTCGGAACATATTACCCGGTTGTGTGAGATCTGTACGGAGATTGGTGTCGCGTTTGTGAAGACTTCGACGGGGTATGGGTTTGTGAAGCAGGCCGATGGATCTTATAATTACAAGGGTGCCACGATGAAGGATTTGAAGTTGATGCGCGCGAAGTCGGGAGAGAAGGTGCAGATTAAGGCGGCGGGTGGTGTGAGGACGCTGGATGACTTGTTGCATGTTATGAGTCTGGGTGTTACGAGGATTGGGGCTACCGCTACCATTGCGATCTTGGAGGATGCGAAGAGAAGGGGGATTGGGAAGGAGCCGGTCGAGGTTTCTTTTAAGCCGATGAAGGAGGAGGGGGAGACTGGTGGTTACTAAGTAATTTGTTAAATAAGGTCTCTAAAACGGTTCATGGAGGATGATATGTTAAGGACTCTGGGGATTTAAAGTTATGGGCATGAGAGAAAGAACGGGTTTTGCTTGCAGAATGCTATAGAACTGCTGCTTCTGTCAATTTATTGTTTCCCCTTTCTCGCTATATCTTGAAGCAGCGTTTTATCTTGTTACTATCTTATATCTCATCATCCAAGAATCACTAAGTTTGTGGTTGCAAAATATCATCCAAAGCCAATTAAACGTATAACCATGAGTCCGTGCTTTAACTATTATAAGAGATGCTGCCAAATAAACAAGCCAAAGCGTTAAAATGCCTGAGGCAAGCTGCCAAGCCAAGCCTTTCGCCGTTTTCCCCAGGCCCTTTTGTCTAGACAACATCATGGAATAATTCGATTTCTCCTACATCAATCAATCAATTAAATCAATTGCACAATAATTATCTTTTGAGGCATGTCTCTGTTCAATTATTACAGTATTGCTGACCACAGCGGCGCACCCAGCCCTCGAACGTCTACAAGAAACAAACGCGGTGTGTGTATTGAAAACTTATTTACGCTTATGATTACCGCAGATTTTTCATTTTTCATTACAAATATCGCGAGTAGAATATATTTCCCTGGCTCAGTTCGTCTCTTGAATCTTGATGTGCCCTGGGAGGCATGGTTAGTTGCAGAATTGAGTGAGGCTTTTTGGACGCTGCCACAACGCAGCGTGCGTCCGGCCCGGTTGCATGTTCAACTCGCCTGTGGCATAAGTCAGTATGAATGGGAATTAGGAATGGATTTTAATCAAATCAAATTCAACAAAAGTGGAAGAGTAGTGGGTTAGATTGACAAGGATAATAACGCCGAATTTGCCCTTTCTATACTTGCACCGTTATCGAAACCACCGAAGATACAGAGCATTAGAATTATGTGTTTCTTTTCTCCCAACTGGGTACATAGAGAAGAGAAATAAAAACCAAGGAAAGCAGCAGATGGAGCCAACATAACAACCGAAAAAAGATAAAAATAAAAATAAAAATACAAGAAGCCGAAGAAGAACTTTTTAGAGAGCAGAGAGATTCAACATAAAAAAGGATTGACCCCGAACGCAAAAAGGGGGGGAAAAAGAAAAGAAAAGGGAAAGCAAAGCGAGGCTCAGGCCAAGTCACGGTGACGGCGTTTCTGATGATCACGTAGGTGATCCTTCCTGCCAAAAGACCTACCACAGTGTAGACAGGAATAAGCATCAGGGGAAATGTGGATCGACTTAAGATGACGGACAAGGTCCCCTTCGCTGCTGAAACGGGTGGAGCTCTGGCAGCCTTCCCATTTGCATTCAAAGACTGGAGGGCTACGGGCACTATATGGGGTAAGAAATACTCTACTGTTAATGTGCCATGTTCATACCATCGCTCAGGGGCCAGCGATTAAGAAGACTAGACGTACCTTTCCGGAGCCTTGTCTCGTTGGTGGCTTGCGACATTATTGGGCGTAGCCAAGGCTGAGTCTGCTTGTGCGCTGGCAAGCGTCTCGGGCTGACCACTAGAAGCGTCCATCACAGCAAAGGTACCGGCAGGGATTTCATCACAGGCAGAATAGGCCTGCGCCACATCCCCTTGCAGTGAAATATCACTGCCGCCAGAAACATCCGTCGGATTGACTGTCCAACCACGAGGCTCAATTCTAAGGGGAAATCCGGCATTGCAGGTAGAGAGCCAGTCTGGATAAGTTGCAGGAATAGAGGAGACCGGGTAGGATCCAGGAACCGCCGGAGAGTACGGAAAGAGGAAAGAATTGACGGAAAGGCTGTCTGGATGGGTATCCTCTCTGGACGGCTGGAAAGAGCTGGTCGGCCACTCCATGCTGAACTTGGGTGACTCAAGGCAGAGTAGTGAATCAGACTGAGTGCTTTGAGAACTGAATGTGTCCGGAAATCATTGGAAGATATGCCTTTTTATACCAGAGAAGTCCAGTACTTGATGAAGAGGGCCATGGTGTGTGCGCGCGTGTGTTTCTGTATAGACTGCCCCCGGTATAATTGATTAATTATGCCTCCGTTGGGCGTAGGATTATAGGAAAAGGTGGACCCAAGATTATGGAATGGACCAATGCTCAACGAGGATATTAAGGAAAAACGCTTGGGCCCGGGGGCCGCAGTCGCGGCTATTCTTCACTGGTACTAGGTCATTTTACGCGAGATCAGGATTTTAGAACTCGCCAATAGATTCGAAGCTATCCGGCGCGTATCTGTACCACTCCCTCGCCTTAATTCCGGACCGATGCCCCGTCGTGCTTTCCTACTTTGGTCCCTCCGGCTGCAGTGAGCCTCACCTTGGCTTGACCATATACTTATAAGTACCAGGTTGACTTCCATCAGAAGTTTTCTTTTTTCTTCTTTGCCATGATACACAAGACGCCTGCATTAAAGCATGGCGGACGCCGTCTGGGAATCCTACCGGCCCGAGCTGGTGCGTCTCTATATCGACGAAGGCCAGACGTTAACTCAAGTCATGGAATATATGGAATCCAAGTATGGATTCGATGAAAGGTAAATTAACCCCCCCCCTGAACCGGAGCTATCGGTACAAGAAAGCTCATACCAGAACAGAAAGTCGCAGTACGAAAAGTACTTCCGAAGATGGGGACTGCGCAAAAACCAGGCCCTGACACCGTCCGAGGGGAAGTTCATCGGGCGGCGAATCGAAAAGAGAAAGAGGGAATACCAGAAAGAGAGTGAGGTGTTTATCAACGGGGTTCAATATACTTCCAGCAAACTGAAGAAGTCACGGTACAACAAAACCTTTGTTTCCACTGTGGAGAGCCTCCCGGGTGGTGCGTCTATCGTGTTGCTATACTGATCCTACCCCCTCCGATGGACTCGGGCAGCTAACGAGATCTTAGTTGATTCCCCGAAAACCCCAGAAGGGATCGTTGTTTGCACTCCTGCATCACCGGGTATGCAGCTAAACTGGAGCCCGTCCCTGCCATGGTTGCAATTCTCCAAGCTGCTCAAACCTGGACGAGACAACAGTAAGGGCCTTTGGCTATGCTCACCCGTGTCAGGATTTACCTTAACTCTTCTATAGGTCTGCCAACGTTACCGTCCGCCCTGACTATGGCGTCGCCGCAGTCGCCCGGTTCTTTGACAAACAACGTAAACCGAGATTTGATGCAACGACTGGGCTCGATTATTCCTTGGAAGACGCTGTCATGCCCCCCCAACACCTCCCGTATAGTGACTGGACTTAATATTCTGATGCCCGAGGAGTTCAATGACCAGCATTTTATCCTCGCCACAAGGTTATGCAGCACTCCACGCACGACGACGGAGACTCTTAACCTGGAACTCTTTTTGTTGTCCAATAACATCATCTCCCATGGTCCAAATGGTAAATCCGAAAAAAGTATGGGCGTCCATGACAGGAATGTGAGGAAATTGTTCCGCTTGTCTGGCTGGAAGAGCAAGAAGTATATTGAGATATTGCTATCAACCCGAGAACCAACCGCAGAGGCCATATCAGAGAAATTGTTTGCCAGTGCGCTGCGGCTCCGGGATCTCGACACTTTGAAAATGATGTTGGAGGCCGGAATGAACCCGAATAGCCGAGTCGATGCGGTTCGACATGGGTCTCTTACGTGTTTACAAATTGTTGCCGATATGAGCCCTGATGATATTGACATTCAGATCATCGAACTTTTTCTGTTTCACGGGGCCGATATAAACTTATCATACAACGGCTACCCCCCCCCCTTCATTATGCAATCAAAGGCGGTAATTATAAGGCGTCTCGGTTATTGCTGGCTTGGAATGCAACCATTACGCCATCCTGTTTCGCAACTGCGGCAAGAAAAGGGAATGTGGACCTGTTCAAGGAGATTCTTGATCGAGTTACCGAAGTGAATCTACCGATCCAATGGAAGGATACCAGCGTCTTGGAGCAGGCAGTACGGGGTCAAAATGTCTCGATTGTCAACCTTCTTCTTGCTAGAGGGGCAGATGTAAACACACCGTGTCCCATTTCGTCTAGCGACGATAGGAGGACCACAGTCCTGGGGCTTGCAGTCTACTTTACGCATCTGGAGATGATTCAGATAATGCTCCAAAATGGTGCCAATGTCAATCCCGGACTAGAAGAGCCGTTTTATCTTTCACCTCTTGCCTTGGCTATTGAGGGCAATGATACGACAATAACACGACTTTTACTTGAGGCGGGTGCTGATATCGAAATTGCCGACGAGTGGAAAGACGAATGGGAAGACGAGGGGAAACCATCACTTCTTGAATGCGCTCTCGAGAGAAAAAACGAGGAAATTTGCAGGCTCCTGATACAATATAGTACCAGGACGCTCATGTCTGACCTATATGAGGAGTCTTCAGCCCTCCTCCTTGCTGTCCAGAATGGTTATTACGATATTATCAATGCTTTACTCCAAGCAGGGGCACCGATAAACAAAGCCTACAATAATGCCCCAGGAACAGTGCTTGCAGCAGCCATTGAAAAGGGAGATCTAATGCTTATTCACTTGATGGAGTCCGCCGGGGCTACATTGATCGGGCCACGGCTCCGACAAATCGGAAACCTAGAAACTGCAATGTATCTGCAAGCCAGGGGAATCCTGCAAATCACCCTCAAAAAATGCGGAGGAAAGATTTTGACTTGTGCAATTTATTCTCAGAAGTTTGATTTGGCGCAGTGGCTGCTTGCTCATAATATTGATGTTAACGGTCGTTTTCGGAATACCGAGAATTTTCCAGAAACGCCTTTGGAAGCCGCAATTCGAAAAAAATCCAACTCCTTTGTGGAGATTTTGATGACCCGCGGTGCTAAGGTGACCGACCGTGATCTTTTTACGGCAGTGAAGTTTGGTGATATTTGTTTGCTACGTCGCCTTTTAACCGGTTTCCTTGGATTTGCTCCCACTGCGATTACATTGGCGATCGTGTCGAAGAAACAAGAAGCCATGCAACTCATACTCGAGGCAGGTGCAAATCCAACAGGTAAACCAGACTTTGACCGCTATTTTTATCTGTACTATGCCCTAGACTTTGACCTCGAAGCCCCGGAATCGGTTCTTGAACCAGCGGCAAAAGTGGGCGACATATCATTTCTTCGACTTCTGTTACGATCGTGCATCTGGGACAAACGGCTTACCGGTCGTGCATTCACAGTCGCAATCATTTGTCAACAGACTAGGCTGATAGATGATATCCTAGAACTGGCGGTGGATGTGAATCAAGAGATTATGATCCGCTACAATGACGAGGATTACGACGATGACGACGATGACGAGGATGACGACGATGACGACGATGACGACGATGACGACGATGACGAGGATGACGAGGATGACGACGATGACGACGATGAATGGTATGATGAGGATGATGAGTATGAGGGAAGATCAAGATGGGATGAGGGTTTTACCCCGCTACAGGCTGCGGCTAAGAACCAGCTTGTGCCCATAGTTCAATCGTTGATCAAAAGCTCGCATACAAATATTGACTACCTAGGTAAAGGCAAGCGGCGACGCACGGCCTTACAGCATGCAGTGAGCAACGGAAACATGGAATTGATCAACTTACTTCTTGACCATGGAGCCGATGTCAATAGTGCACCATCATTTTATGGTGGAGCAACCGCATTGCAGATTGCTTCCATCCACGGCTATCTGGGAATTGCTCGCAAGCTCATCGACCTAGGCGCGGATGTTAATGCCGCCCCTGCAAGATTCGACGGCAGAACAGCCTTGGAAGGTGCTGCAGAACACGGTCGAATTGACATGCTTGGGCTTCTATTTAACGAAGGAGCATTGCTGGTGGGCGACTACGGTGAGCGCCAGTTTCGGCGTGCCGTGGCACTGGCCGAAGAAAACGGGCATATGGCTGCCGCGAACCTTTTGAAGGCTTCCAAGGATCGGACGGACGAGACTGGGAATTGAAATCGACTAACTACCACGACGTGGCGACTTGTATAACTCTAGTTTCGGGGATTACTTTTCATGTCTTGTATCTATTTTCAATAGCTCAGAATCTTTTGCTTTATTGATTGCAGTCTCTGGATAGAGACTGTGGTAGTTTAAATTTCGTTACATTCCGATTTCAGTTCTTACTATTGTTAGTTTTCACTGTCGAGACAAAAAATCCTTGTTCTAGTTCCCAAACCATGTCTGTTCTGGCATATTGAGTATACAGATTGTTCCGAATTCTAAGAAATCAGTTTTTACCTGATTACGGCTGGGTTTGTTCTATATGAAACAGCAACTTGCTTGCCATAATGAATAAGAAATTGTACGTGTTACTGAAAGACTATGTCCCCTTAAGTCCTGAGGTTGACTCAAAAGGAGGGCTTCCAATTAGTAAGAGACACAAAGTAACTATTTATTCGCCACATTATATGCGCATCAATTCTCCGACCGTAACCCTAACTAGCAGATACCGAGAATAATCACTGAGTCAAATACCCTCCATCAATGGTCACAAAATTGCCATGTACAAAGTTACTTCGATCGCCAAGAAGCCAAACAATACTTTCCGCAACCTCCTCGGGCAAACCGAATCGTTTCATCGGTGTCCAGTCATGTGCCTTGTTCAGTGCATTCTCGCACATCTCGCCAGGGGCATCGGTCAGGGGTGTCTTGATCCAACCTGGCACCACATCAAGTTTATTGTCCATACCGAGCCCCTAGGGCTATGACAGACGGTGTGTCGTCGGCCTGAGGCTAGGCCTCAGGCCCCTATCAGTTCCTAGGGCTATTCCCTCGTTTGTATACATTCTGTTCCTTTTCCTCGTCCCATACCGCCTTCTTGCGCAGGGACTTTGAGCATGTTTGCTCTCCTTAGGATTCTAGCAGGGTGGGTGACACCTAGGTGTGACCAGGCTACCCTTCCTGCTAGCCTTCTCCGGTCCGTTCAGCCTCCTCTAGAGTTTCTAGGCCCCTTTCATCATCTCTCTCTGCTCTGTGTTGGTCCTTCTGGTATTATTCTCCAGAAAGAGCCACGCCTGTATTAGCTATAAAGTCCAGTAGGGCTTCAGGACCTAAACGTCGTCGTCGAAATTGAGTCGAAAGGGTGGCCTTCCTAGGTAGAGGGCCCAATGGCTGGAATTTTCAGTTCTCCATAGATTCAATTTCGCGCATAGATCTTATTACTTACTGATCTATGATGAAACTGCCCCAGAACGCAACTTTCCTGGCCTCCGCTTCATCAGACGTCATCAGACCCTTAACATTTTCTGACATATCTAAGCGCAGTCCTAGGTCAAAGGAAAGGCACATTGCCATCCCTACATTCATCAGACAATGTTTGCATAACCAGTTCCTACTGGGGAAACAAACCACTATAGAGCCACCCCTTCCCATCCCGACCTCTTGCTGCCTCATAGCAGCTAACTATTGACAGAGCTTGCACTGTTGTGAACCGAGGTCGTTCAAGTTCAATATCGAGCCATATTTTAGCACGCTTTGCGAAGAACTCTGGAAGAGGCAAAGGTAGATCAGGTAGCCCCCGATTGCTATACAGAGCCCCAAAAGCACATCTACTGGAGTCACTATCTTATTCACCCTTTGTGTTAGAGCATAAAGACTTAAATTATATTAACAAGAGCCTCCGATGAGCATTTGACTGCATCATTCCTCGGCGTGGTATCTCGAACGTCTCTATCGAAGCTTTTTTTATCCACGGCGTGAAACGATGCATTTTGCCATGCAAAATATAGAGTTGTTAGATGGTCCATTAAGGACGTATCGAGGTCGAAGTCAAGCCCCGCCGCCCGAATCGCTTCATGACCATGATTCAGACTATCTTTCATAGATCTGCGTTCCTCTGGGCCAGAGTATCCATCGAGAAGAGCGAGGTTGGATGTAGCTCCAAAATATCGAAACTCGCTACCCCCTAGACTTTTGAGCGTTCCTTTCCGGCTTGAAATGACCTCGCCAAGGTGGTCACATGCTGGTGGCTCCCAGGATCTTATTTCCTGGTTTTGAACCCCTGTTTCGTCTAGCTGCGGGATAGCGGCGAGAAGAGATGGGTCGATTTCTGACGTACTTTCTATGCCTGGTATCGATTCAAAGTATAGGTGAGGCTGTCCGGAAAGGTCAATCAACCAGTCTGTCATGCTAATGCCATCCGGAGAGACGGAATGAGCTTGTGGTGGCAGCTGATCTGCTATTGGGAACACTGCAGGGTTTTGTTGTGATACGTGCGACGCCGCGAGGTCCAAATCTGAGGGTTCTGTACCATTTATCTCAACGGACTCTAACATCGCCTGGATTTCCCGTTCTTCATCGGGGCCTGGTCGAGGCACAATGCAGTTTTGGCTGCGGATGAATTGCTCTAAGTGTCTTATTTGTCTACCTAAGACTTGAACGGCTTTTCGAGTCAAAGTTCTAGTCCCAGTTAGTCATTTCACGCAGAAAAATAATTACAGTGCTCCATGCGTACAGCTGTTTTCGCTTGTCGTTGGAATGCCGATAGACGCATTATTTCCTCTTGGATCTGCAATTGTCGCATTGAGGTTGATTCGCGTCACACTGGAAACTCTCACATTTTAAACTACCAGAACGGTGTTATGATCATGATGCGTGCTGACTGACCTAATCTTGCTGTCTTGGCATGGATCGTAAGCAGTGGTGACATTTTTTTCGTCGGGACTGCAGAAATCTTGGAGAAGATGTCGAAAAGGGAGGGGGGGCAGGAGAGAAGTTGGGCGAAGTAAGGCCAGGCCGGTGGATCTCGTGCTGCTCCCCCACGGACCCTCACACCCCCCGCAAGCCGGATCAGGTGATCGATAAACCCTCACGTCGGGCTCTCTGGAATCAATCTAGTTCCTTGCTATTCATCTAGGCTGAAAGTGAGGAACGTGGAATTGTTGGGATTCTTCATGCTTCCCTATGCTCTCCTCAGCTAAACATTAATTTCATGTTCATAATATCTACTGCAGACAGTTGTAACTTAAGGCCCTAGCTTCTCAATTGACACTCGTAGTAAAGCTTTCTATCTAACGATTATTTTGGCAGTACGCATCCAGCAGACTGGGTTTCTTGATTATTAAAGCTAAGCTTCCAGCGTTCCCAATTCTCACCATTGTTGGTCTTCACTGCCGAGATATGAAGGAACGTTATCCAGGCCCCAGAACCACGTTTGTTCTAGCATCGGAAAGCCCTGGTCTTGCGGTACGAAAGAGGAATCGACGAGGCTGTCGTCATCATCCGGCTGTAGTCGAGGCATGTATGTCGATAAAGCTGCATTTCTCGTTAGTTTGATACAGCGATAGTCACAAGCGAGTCACAAGAGAGTCAGACCTTGATCAAAATCATCAAGAGCACCGGAGAAAGCAGAGTTTTCCATATATTGAAAGGGTAAATCGTTGAGCATGGGACTTGTGTCAACTAGATCAGTCTCTACCGGTGGCATTGTTGGACTACCACTAGACCTGGGTGCAGTGTCTGGGTAATTCGGTGCCATGGTGGGATTCGCAACGGCGGAGTCATCATTCATAGTCACATTTTGATTAGGGGTATCTGCTCTCGGGGTTTTTGAACTCGCCTTTCCTGGATTTGATAAATCCAGCATTACACTGAGTTCCTTCTCCATAACCAACTTTGTCAGGCGTTGCAGAATCTCTAGTCCTTGCTCTGCCATAATAGATCGCGACTTCAGCTTCTCCTGAATCCCCATGAGTTGTCGTAGGCCACGTTTTGTATCCCCAGAGTGTGAATTAAAGGGATCCATACTCGTGATGATTCCTAGCGTTACCCCCGCTGTGAATGTGTGGATACTGACAAAACCTGCAGCGTAGGTTTCTGACACGAGGTCGACAATAGTACTAGAGGATATCTCGGATATTTTGATGGCTGCCTCGCGACAGCTCCTCAGCGATGCGTCTAGTGGATTTGGGCTAGAAGATTCTGACGCATTCGAGATATTTCCAGATTCATGTCTGTTGATGAGCTTATATGAAAGAAGCGGCCGGTATACCAAGATTCGAGAGTTCTCATAGGCAAGACTTAGAGCTAAAGCTTGAAGCTGGTAGATATGGTTCTCGAATCGTGGCCCAGCGGCTCCAATATCCTTCTCAACTTCTTCCAGTGATGTGTAGTTAGTATTATGGGCTACAGTCTGCCATCGAAGCTTCGCTGGTATCTCTCCATCCCATTGGCGAAGGCGGGAATCGAAATCAGCCACTTTCTGGATCATTCCTCGCAAGTCCGAGGATGGCGGCGCCCGTGCTGCGTTCTCTGCAGAATCGGGACCAATTCGATATAGCTCCGCCAACGCTTGTTTTTTTATGACCGATAGTTTCGACATGAAGTATTTGTATGAGAGTAAGGTCGGTTCACCTGTAAGAGGCTCGTCAAAGGAGCTAGGTGATTGAGATGCTGGCTGTTTTGCCAACGGATCAAGCGGCTCGACATCACAATCGGCGTCTCTGATGCTGTGGGGGTAGCCATAGGAGACGGCACAGAATGTTTCTATCTCGTAGATAGCCCACCAGCACCGTTTCCGAGTCTCGTTCTGCATATGCAAGTTGTGTGTCCCTGATGGCCGCAGCTTTCGATGCAGTTGAAGAGACTGTGCAACACGGAGTCCACATCCGCATACAGGCCACGCCAAACGAGGGGCACCGTGGTATAGGTAATAGGTTCCTAGGAGAATGCACGTTTGGACTGCCTCGAGTGATCCTAGCGATACTATATCAAGAAGCCTGGCTCTAATTGTGGAAAGGATTCGCTCTTTCAGATCTTGACCAACGCAATGACGGGCCAGGAGTCGCTGTCGATGCGGCCCGGCATACTGAAGCCCGATAGCGATGACCATAAGAAACGTGCTTACGAGCCCAGTCCAGTGGGATCTCTGGCGGGGTTGTCTCCGAGACAATTGATATAGCTTGGGCCATCGCTGACGAAACTCATCCTGGTGGAAGATAAGCATGAACCAGTGGACGCGATCGAAATAGGTGTCCACTAGCAGAGATGCTGCCTCGACGCTCGGAAACAAGCGTATCATGTCTGTCAAGGCCGGATTTGAAAAGAGAGACATCGGTCGTACTATTTGGGTATGATCTTCTATCTCATCGGCATTTGCGTTTGGTGAGGCAGCTCTCATCCCGTCCTCGTCGCTTGAGCTTTCCAACCCGACTTCCTGGGGTTGGCCACCAGGAAGAGCATTTGTGTCTGGGTTTCCAGGAGTGGATACATTATGCAGCTGGAAAGCCTGGAAAAAGTAAGCTGTGGGTCTGACTCTGGGTTGGGTAAGACTTACCCCGTTTACGAGGGACATAGTAGAACTCGAATTCCAAGATCTACCGTTGCCATGCGTTGGTATCTCGATGTCCGCTGAGCCGAGCAGACTGGGACTGGCCCCGGATACGGCACACGTCTGAGCCTGCTCAGAATTGGCTGCATCGGAGACTGTGTGGGACGCCGTGGGAGTCCGGCTAGGGGTGGATTCCGAGGGCTGGTATGGCTTCCACCGGGTCTTTGGACATGATTGGCATTCCAAGCCAGCTCGGATGCAAAGCGTGCACGGGCGCTGGACATCACACTAGAGGTATATTAACGTCCATTCAATGGTTAAATGGAATGCGACTTGTGCTTACTTTCAGTTTCTGGCGCTTACAGCGCTGGCACGCGTTTGCCACCTTGGTGCTTGCTCTTTTCGCTGTTCGAGCCCGATCCCCCATGATGTTGAGCCTGCAGTTACCTTACTTTGCAGAAAGGAACCATACATGCCAAGGGGGGCCAAATCTGTCATACGGAATAGGCGTGGTATCGAGGAGAAATGCAAGACAGCAAGTGATGTGCGGAGAGGAGTTGCTCCACCGGATAGAGTTGCTCAAAAGGGAGCTCAGCCGATCACAGGGATCGGAACTTCAATATTCCGAAGTCTGCCTGTATACCCAGTATGAGGGAAACTACCACCCCTATCGATGTGATTAGTATATTCAGCTTACACTATACCTGAGTACCTTAGAGATGGCCGAAAATCCAGTATATATATCATTCTCTAGGCGATCTTTTGTTATAACATGTTTCACCTTATATTTAACTAAAACATGTATGGGTGCATCTCGGCGGGAGTGTCAATATGCAATAGATCTGAGTAAATAATATGTTGTAACTATGTGTAAAACCAATCGTGAGCGAAAAGGCCGATGTACAATGGTGAAATTGATCTTGGGCCCCCAAGAGTCTAGTATGTAGAAAAGCAAATCACCAATTGCCAAGAGTGATGCTCTTGACATTCTGATACTCCGCCAGCCCCAAAGCGCTACCTTCCAAACCATATCCACTTTTTTTGACTCCTCCGAACGGCGCCTCAGAGACGCTAATCTTCCCAGTGTTCACTCCGACCATACCAACCTGCAGCTTCTGACTCACGCGCAAAACCCTGCTCACATCTCTCGAGAAGAAATAGCCCGCAAGACCAAACTCGGTATCGTTAGCCAGACCAACGACATCTTCTTCGCTATCAAACTCGATTATCGGTGCAAGTGGTCCGAAGGTCTCCTCTTTACTCACAATCATCTCCGGTCGGACACCGGAAACAATTGTGGGCTCAAATAAAAATCCGGCAGATGAAACGGCGTGGCCGCCTACTTCTACCTTTGCACCCTTGGAGATCGCATCTGATATATGCTCTTCCACTTCCTTCACTGCAGTTTTGTTGACTAGGGGTCTTTGGGTAGTAGATTGGTCGAGCCTAGGACCGGGTTTGAGAGTTGCAACTCTTTCGATGAGCTTGGCCGTGAATTCCTTTACTATGCCCTTCTGGACATATAACCTGTTGGCACTGTAGGAGAAATCAGAATCCAAACGCCTTTCATGATCTCGTTGGCAGGGTGAAATACTCACCAAACGCAGGTCTGTCCCGAGCAATGGAATTTGCAGAACATCGCTCCTTCAACCGCAAGGTCTACGTCTGCATCGTCGAAAACAATAAATGGTGCATTTCCGCCGAGCTCCATACTGGCACGTTTCAGCGTGCCCAAAGCGAGCTTCGCCAACATCTTCCCCACGTTCGTCGATCCCGTGAAGCTGATTTTGCGAACGAGGGGATTCGTAGCAAGCTCTGTCGCGGCTTGCCGATTCTTGGTCGGACACATTTGTATTACTGTTGGGGTGATACCAGCTTGAACCGCCAGTTTGGTCAAGGCCAAACAGGTGTATGGCGTTTCACTGGGGGGATTGATGACGACTGAGCATCCTTCTGCGAGTGCGGGGCCGACTTTGCGCGTACTCAACCGGTGGAGAGGATAGAAGGGCCACAGCGTGCTCCCATCTATCATGTTGAAAGCAGACCATTCCGGGGAAAGGGTACGGAAATAGTACGAGCGCGCAAAGCCTGACCACGACGCAGCGTTGCGGCCGTACTTGCCAACATACCAGTTCGAGCAATTCCCGGCAAAGATGGTACTTGTTAGCTGGACGTGGATTGCGTTCGTTTCCCGGTCCTCTACCGCCTGCTTCACTTCTATCGCCGTAGCGCGACGGTCAATCAGGGGCTTGAAAAGGGACTCCACCGCTTAAGCCACCTGGGTCTCGCAAACAAAGAGAGCCAAGTTGTTTGCGGGAAAGGTATTCGGACCGAAGATGATGGCGAGGTTGGGAAAGTTATGAACGTAGGTGCCCAAATAAGCCTGTGCACCCCGGCACTCATTCCACTGCTTTTCAAGATATTCTCCGTTCGCGCCGATGATCTGCATGGGGTGAGAAATTGGGAGACCTGGAATCCAGTAGCCAAGACTATTATGTCAAAGTTATCGCTGATATCAGAGCTGCTGGTGATCCCCGTCTCGGTCATCTCATGGATGCCTTCTGGTATTTTTAGTTCCACGTTGAACCGGTTCAAAGACGCGAGGTAGTCCAGGTCAAAGATCCTGCGCTTGCATCCGAGCGGGAAGGTTGGAATGATGTGCTTCCAGTATTTCTTCGGTGCTACAGACTGTATGTAGTTTTTGGATTCTTCTTTCACGGCGAGTCGGGCTTTCTGTCCTTTGGGTGTGGGGAAATAGGTGGTCGTTTATTCATCGGCGGCAAGGAAAATTCGAAGACGGAGCAAACGCTGTCGGAGCGGCATCCAGCGAAAGAGGAATTTCTCGAATTCAGTGTAGACGTGATTGGGTCGGGCGCGGAACCACTCATCACTGCGTACATATTGCTTGACGAAGCCCGCATTCTTTGCAATGGCAGACACAACTTGTGCAGCGCTGCATCCGTTGCCAATGACTGCAACTCGCTTTCCTTTGTAGGACACTGAGTGGTCCCAACGGGCAGTGTGGAACATCGGTTCGTGGAACTTCTCCATGCCAGGGAACCGAATATCCCGGGGAAAAGAAATGGCCCCTACAGCAGAGACGAAGACGGAAGCAAAACGCACGTATTCCATGCCGGTTTGGGTATCTCTCAATCGCACCTCCCATTTGAGTTTGGCGGTGTCCCATTTGGCGCCAAGGCATTCAATAAAGGTGTGAATGTGCCGTCGCAGGTCTCCTCCAGGTACCGCCAACTCCATCCAGCTTTTCGCGGATGCTGAAGTCCTCGAACTTCAAGTCGTGCTTCAGCCGATACGCCATAGCAATTCCGGCCGGATCAGCGCCAATGATGATGGCATTGAGCTCTTTAGCGTATGCAGACATCGTGAGAGAATTTCCAACGTTGAAGGTACAGTAATGCTCGCGAGATAAAATCAACTGAGAAGGCGAGCTGAGGTAGTGAAGAAGGGTACCTTCGAAGACAGAGAGCGGCTCTCAACTTCCGCAGTTGAGCGTCGCAAAAAGATAAAGTCTGAAAAAAGGTATCGACACATAAAAATCTTCTTCAACTTCTTTCTGCTAAGTGATTCTATCAGTTATACCCCTCTCCCTGAGACGACCCCGCGCTGATGGCTCCACGTTATTTATGCTGAATCCGTATTCCGGGAGGGACGTGCATGATCCATAATATGAATAAGATACTCGGAATGGGTTTCAGAGGAAAGATCGTCCACTTCAGCGGGCGACTAGCCCCCTCAATGAGGCGGAAGTCGAATTTCCAGCTCTAGATCCTCTGGGGTGCCTTTTACCATGGCCTTTTGGTCAGCTGAACAAACAAATTAGACAGGCTACGGGATTTAATCATCGGGTCCTGATAGTTGGTAGTTATCATGCGTCCGAACTATACTTTAGCTTGTCAATATCGGAAGCCTTTTCGAGGGAGTTGAACCTGATTCCTGTTTAGCGTTAACTATGAAAACACTTTCCGACAGGTCATTAGGATTGGGATCACGCCACCTGATACTGGGGAGCTGATTTTCACGGACATTTGGGGGTTGAAGCTGTCTCCACTGCTTTTTATATGGCTATGAAGGGCAAATGGGATTAACCGTGCTGGTAAAATAGCCGTAAACCTCCCTCGAAGTGCTTAGGTTGTACCATGGAAAGCAAGCAAATTCATCATGCGAAAACACCGCTGAAATACAGTATACTACAGATATTTCGATCGCGTCAAGCTTTATTGCTTCTATTTCGTACAGAATTCTCTTCTTGAAATCATAGTAAAATGTAGTTGTGACAGTAACTGAACTTGATGCCAGGAGTGACGAGCAAAAGAGCAAATATTGAACAAAGAAATGAGGCCAGTCCTTATTGATGAAAAATCTTCTACTCATATAGTTAGCCGAAAAGAATCTTAAGTCATATCACCATATTCCGATAACAATACTTGAAAAATTGGCAATCAACAGCCTATTTCAAAGCTGCCTCCATCCAGCCATTCTCGCATTGCCACCGTTCAGGTCCTCCAAGTACTTCCGCACCCTCTTTTCAATCCCCTTTGCGTCAAGCTGGAACCGATCGTAGCTGCTCGGGTTAGAAGCTGAATAACCGTATCCCGTCATTCCAATACTGGCAGTTGTATACCGTGCCCAAGTTGTAGCGATGTACTCCTCAACACTAACGACGGGCGTTCCATCCAGAGGAAAAACACTCGCCTGATAATCCCTTCCCTGCTGATCAAAGTGTTCAAAGCTGGGCGCGCTCACCTCCCGGGTGCTAATCCCCGAGCGAGTGAGTGACTCGGCAGCTGCAACTGTGTAGTAAGCTGGGCATTCTCCGCGTCCACGATGACATATGCGCCCTTTGCCACCTCGAAGCGATCAGTTGCTGGAACGGGGCCGATCGGGTCTCGACCCAGAGAGAGCATCGTAGGTCTTGCCTCTGCTCCTTCTGTGCCAGTCGCCGAGAGTGTCACGAGTGTCTTTATTCCATGCTTGACCTATTCCGGTGCCATTCACGGCTTGTAGGTTACCAGAGCTCCTCAAAATGAACGCGAAATCTAACTCTTTGCAGGGTCACTGCGGCTGGAATATGCGTAGATCAGTCTTTCCTCGAGCGATCTCCAGAGTCTGTCGCCCGTTCGTTCAACGTGAATATCCTCGGCACATATTACGCTGCGCAGCTCGCCGTAGCTCAAATGGAAGAACAAGACCCTTCGCCACACACCGGATGCAAGGGTTCGATTATGTTCATCGCCTCCATTGCAGCATACGTGGCTAGCATGGGCCAAGCGACCGGCGACTACTGCTCTAGCAAGGGCGCTGTGGTGGAACAACGAGCCTCCCATGCGCCGTATGGGTGACCGAACGGACCTCAAGGTGCAGATTGTGTATCTTTTGTCGGATGCAAGTGCGTACCATACGGCGGATGACATCTTGATCACTGGTGGTATCCATAAGTAAGTGTGCAGCTCTCCGCCATCATCAAGCAAGCGATTATCTCCGTTTGTGGTGTGTTGACTCAAATGGTCAAAAGAATAGACACACGCATATTCGATGGATAGCAATGCTAATGTTTTGGATCGACTCTCGGTTGCGATTGGCCCAGGGTTGCTAAGCTTGCAGATATCCTGTTGTAGAGTGTCTGACATAGCTTGCAATGAGCGGGAATATGTCAGGTAATGGATTTGCTCGTTCGCTATGTCAAGGGGAACTTTTGATAAATTCCTTGTGAGATAATCCTTAGCCGACTGATGGATGAAGTATACGTAGCTCTCTCGAACAGTCAAGAAGGAACCACACATACTAATCATCCTGTAAAGCTCCGAGGGGTCCACGATCTCCTGCGGTAGCCCTGATATGATTCGCATTTCAAACAGATGGACGGGCCGGTAGACGGAAATAGCCATTAACAAGACCTGGACACACCGACGAGCATTCTGAAGATGAAGTCCATGGATTTTGTCCATCATCTGATCAAACAATGCAATGAGACCTATCGGTGCTTCTTCGAGGGATTCAAGCATATCCGTTGCGAAGGCGTTCTTTCGGAGTTCAGCTATCACCAAAGCAGCCCATAGAAATGCGCCATCCGATTTCAGTCGCATCTCCTTTTTCAATTTGTCTTCTATCTCCGCCTGATTCCGCAGAGGAGCTAGCTCTGAGACCCTGGTGTCTATGAACGTATCGATGGCGTTCGCAATTTTATCGGAATTGCGCTCGAGCTGCAGGGTCCTCAGCATCTCCAAAGACCCCAAATGACGCTCAATGTCATCTTGATTGCGACTGGAGATTATCCACTTGATTTTGCGACCGAGATGCAATGACTGGGTTATCAAATCGAGCAATTGAGACAGGTTGTTGTCACACTCGTCAACGGCATCGATGATCAGGTACATATCTAGTAGATCAGACTCGCGATTGATGGTAAAAATTACTTCCATCAGGCTGTAAATGGCATCGCGGCCCTCGAAAAGGATTCATATTTCGATCGCAGGTGGCGTAACAAAGATGGTTGTTGAATAGCTAACAGATAAAGCAACCCACGTAGAACCGCAGTAGCATTATTTAGCCTTGAGTCGCTTCCTTGACAGAGAAAGTAGGAGAGTAGGGGCAAACCCTCTAACTTTTGCGAAATGGACATGGTCTTGGTTAATCCATCGATTATGCCGACCATGAGCATAGTTTTCCCTTTGCCCGCATCGCCCCTTATCCAAAGAAATGTACTTTCTTCACTCTCATGCCATTGTCGAAACTTTTTGTGTGTTAGAAACCAAGAAAATGCCTGTCGAAGCAGACCACCTTTGCTCTGCTCAATGCGAATTTTATCGTCACGAGGATCAGTTAAAACGATGTCGCCAAGACAGCGTTTGTCGATGTCTGGGATGACAGTTTCATCAAAATTTAGATTAGACCATCATTCGTTTCTTGGGCCATTAACCATACCTTTCCGGATATTCGATCTCCAATGTAGCAAGAATGTTTTCGCGCCCGCCGCCCCTATCGCGGCAGCGTAGTTTTGAAACGCCTTGTTCTTCTAGCTGTCGGCATAGTCGCACACGCCCTTGATAATTAGACAAGGGAAACTATCCCAAACACCAGCCCCCTCCATTTCAAAGCCTATGATACCCTCCACATGTGCAAGTCTATTACGGTGTCTATCGGACTTCATTACGGTATCCCCAGATGCCATGGTTCCAATGTGAACAAGAGGCCGGGTAGTGTCCTCATCGACCCCGCCTTGCAAAGTGCTGCTATCCGTTCCCTAGATTGTTTTGGTTAGTCGTCTCTCATCGGGTATCACCGTGTCGCGGTGTCAAATTAAAACCCACCCTTAGAGGCTCGTCCGTGTGTTCATGAGAAGAGGTACTAGGATCCCGCCAAACAGGCTTTTGTGCCTGGAGAGCCTTCAAATGGTAATGAATCCGCTCTCGAAACTGGTCGCCTATTTCAGCTGTTTGGAGACTGGAGAGGATAGTTCGTATTTCACGCGAAGGCCTCCCCAACGTGGACTTGGCATCGCTCTTTCTCTGGAACCCATCGGGGTACTGCCGCCCGAAATCATATTCGATGAGGCTATCACTGATGATGATATCCCCAAGAGAAATTTTGATGCGTTCTCTAGAAACTGGCACAGCGCCACAGATCCCGGCCACAAGGGCCGGGGTAACCCATCCGGGGATTCGACGCGACAGCTGCGACGCTTCCTTTGCCCATACTAGGCAGGTAGCAAAGAACCGCATTGTGCTATTCTAATCAACCATTCACATAGACATTGGTATCACCAGAGCGCTTGCCGTAGTAGCGACTTTGGCTGTCATAAGTTTCATCGAATGAGGCTTCCACGGCGTCGGCCTCATGCGGCAGAGCGCAGATAATCGCAACTTCGAACTCCTCGCGCGTTGCTGGGCGCATGGCGACTTTTAGTAGACTGTTGAGCGGATAAAGTCTCTATCCATAAGGAGGGTAGATTTTTGGATTCTATGATGCTGAAGTTCTGTCGGTGAACCCCATATGAGGGAGGAAGGATGATGCAGGGGGAAAGTTGGCAAGCGCTGCGCTCCATTTATGTTTGCTTCCTGCCTGAGGTGGATGCCAAGCACAGCACAGCCATCGTTTTCCTCCCTTGGGATGGCTTCACGTCCTGCAACTTCTTCACGGTTCAATCACTTTGCCCGAGATGACAAGGTTAAATCCCGCATAGGTTTGTCTTCAAAAAGGGGAATTGTACGGATACGAGCACAAGTTTCAATTTTATCTCTATGCCGACTATGATTGGGGCCTACTTGATGACCTCTAATATATCCAGCGCTAATCTCATCTGCCCGAAGGTAAAACTCCCCAGTTCTGTCACTCGTCCTTGACTGTCAGGAATATTCAATGGTCTGACCTGACACTTTCGGAATTTCTTGTTTGCTACCTGAGCTATATTTCCATCAGGTAAGCCCTTCACTATCGTTACCGACGAAGAATGTACAGAATGCGGGTAGATCGGCCATTGAAGAGTTCACGGCTGAATAGCAATGAGGTCATCGATCGTAGAAGGCAATCAAGAACTGACATCCTATTAGCTCACTCCTCAGCTACACTTTAGTCATGCAGGGGATCAAGACCGAGAAGGATGAGACCCTGCAGGTGCTTGCATTGTCACATAGCACTGAGTGATCTTCTAGCACCTTTATTCGTCTATGCAGGATGGCTGACGAGAATGCTAATGCCAGGGTCTTGAGAAGGGTTATTTCCGCACCGCGTGACATAACTAACACGAGGGCTAAATTGAGCTTCCGTAAAAAAAGCGATTGGACATCGTCAAAGCTGACGGGACAGACCCGGCTAGACCATCTGCAAGTATAGCACGTTCCGTTCTTGCCCTTGTCCATGGATGGCATTTAAATTCGTTGCGCTCCCACTATTCAATGTTCCCCGATCAAGAAGCATTCCCTTTCAAGACAAGAAGTACGCTTCTTGTAACCCAATCATTGCGATGAAGGGTATAGTATGGTCACACTGCTGGACACTCGCCTCCCTGTGCATATCCCTGCTCACTTCTACCGGGGTGGCACAGGGACAGGCCCCCGCATCGGATATAGTTAAGTGGGACAAGTATTCGATTTCAGTCCATGGAGAGCGTCTTCTTCTTCTTTCTGGTGAATTTCATCCCTTCCGTCTTCCCTCGCCCGGCTTGTGGCTCGATGTGTTTCAAAAGGTCCGTGCCTTGGGGTACTCGTGTGTTTCATTCTACGTTGACTGGGCACTCCTTGAGGGTGAACCTGGCGAGGTCAGAGTGGATGGGGTATTTGCCCTGGAGAAGTTCTTCGCGACCGCCAGCGAAGCGGGTATCTACCTGATCGCCCGGCCAGGGCCCTACATTAACGCCGAGGTATCCGGGGGTGGATTTCCCGGGTGGCTATCACGACTCAAAGGGCGAGTGAGATCATCAGACAAAGAATATTTTGATGCTATTACACCCTATATTTCGACCATTGGAAGCGTGATTGCTAAAGCGCAAGTCACAAACGGTGGACCGGTCATTCTCCTGCAGCCTGAGAATGAATATACCCTGTGTGAGGAATCGTTGGACACATCCTGCCTTGACAAGGCGTATATGGCCTACATCGAGAAAGAATATCGAAATGCAGGGATTGAGGTCCCTTTTATCGTGAACGATGCCGTTCCTTTAGGCAACTTTGCGCCGGGGACCGGACTGGGCGCTGCGGATATCTACGGCTTCGATTTTTACCCGCTAGGCTGGGAGGCTGGTCGTAGGTATACCCCTTTGTGTCTATGGTCTACTATGTTAATTATTATCCAGGTTCTGATCCGTCTAATTGGTCGTCACTTCGAAACCCACTTCAATCCTACGATGCTGCTGCCCGAGATAAGATCAACCCGGGTGGGCTATTGGCAATTTTAGAATTTCAGGGAGGTGTTCCCGATGCATGGTATGGCCGCTGGTGTCTATTGATGCTCTATCTATGCTAATGATACCTAATTGTAGGGGTGGAGTTGGCGTTCAGACACAGGCGGCGCTTATCAATCACGAGTTTGCCCGGGTTTTCTACAAACTGAATTATGGGCTACGAATCGCTATTCAGAATCTTTACATGGTTTGAACCCCTCTACCCTCCCTCCCACGCCTGACCTTCATAGAGAGTTTACTGACTATTCATAAAGGTCTTTGGCGGAACCAATTGGGGAAATCTTGGCCATCCAGGCGGCTATACGTCCTACGACGTTGGAGCAGCCATCGACGAAAATCGCGGGATCAGTCGTGAGAAATACAGCGAGCTGAAACTACAAGCCAATCTTCTATCGGCATCCCCTGAATATCTGACCATGAAGCCAAAGCCCAGCACTTCTGGGGTTTACACGGATAGCAATGACCTCCTTGTTACGCCGTTATCAGGATCTTCTACCTCTTTCTATATCGTTCACCACCGAGACCTTGAGTCACAGAATTCCGTTTCTTACAAACTTAAAGTGAAATCGACGCTTGGTAACTTCGTTATTCCACAACTAGGAGGTTCACTCATGCTCAGCGGTCGAGATTCCAAGGTTCATTTGGTGGACTACGACATCGGAGGAATCAAATTGGTCTATTCGAGCTTTGAAATGCTAACATGGAAACGGGCCAGCTCTAAAACTGTTCTTGTGCTTTACGGTGGCCCAGGCGAGACCCATGAGTTCGCGGTCAAAGCGAGCCTTGGGGCCTTCACGCAAGTTGAAGGCCGCGATGCCACACACAAGAAGCTTGGCTCACTATCTGTGGTCCAGTGGAAGGTGGACAATCGCCGCCGGGTTGTCAAGTTCGGCTCTCTTGAGGTTCATTTGTTGTCTCGAAACCAGGCCTACAATTACTGGGTCATCCTGCTCCCTGCTCCACAGCCTAAAGGTCTGTATGCATCGCCTTCTCGAGCAAACGACGCGGTCATTGTGAAAGCGGGATACCTGGTTCGGACTGCAATTATTGATGGGGAAAACCTCCGTCTGACAGGTGACATCAACAGTACAACTGAGATCGAATTGATATCCGCACCAAAGAAGATTTCTTCGCTTTATTTCAACGAGCAGAAAGTTAACACCAAACCTACCAACGGACGATTGACGGGGACAGTGGATTTCAAGGCGCCTGCCATCACGCTCCCAAACCTGCAAGACAGCCCGTCCTGGAGCTACATCGACTCACTGCCAGAGATCAGCGACGAGAACCCATACGACGATGATCTTTGGACGAGGTGCAACCTCACGGGAACAAACAACCCGAGAAAACTCTCTACACCCACCTCCCTATATGCCTCAGACTATGGCTACCATGCCGGCTCCTTGCTGTACCGTGGCAAATTTGTAGCTATGGGGGTGGAGTCGGCGATAGACCTCTTGATCCAAGGTGGGTATGCATTCGCCTACTCTGTATGGTTGAATTCCACCTATCTGGGATCGTGGCCTGGATCCCCGACACAAAGCTTCCACAAGCAAACCTTCAAGTTCCCGGCTAAGCTGGACGCCGATTCATCGCACACACTGACCATATTGATTGATCATATGGGAATGGAGCAAAACTTCCTCGTGGCTACCCAGCAGATGAAAGACCCCCGAGGAATCCTTGACTACAACCTAGCCGGTCGCAACCAATCCGCGATTATCTGGAAACTCACCGGCAATTTCGGCGGCGAACATTACTTCGATCATACTCGAGGCCCGCTGAACGAAGGAGCAACCTTTGCCGAACGAAAGGGCTACCATCTCCCCGGGGCACTGCTGACACGGTTCCCGAAGAAATCTCCCTTCCAAGAACTCCCCGCGAATGGGGTTGGATATTACGCTACGCGATTTGACCTCAACATTCCAGCTGGTTATGACATCCCGCTTAGTTTTATCTTCAAAAAGTGTATGCTCGATGGAGGCCTTGCTAAGTTCCGTGTCGTGCTGTATGTCAATGGATGGCAGTTTGGGAAATATGGTATGTTACACCCCTTTGCTCTATGATCGAAGCTGATTTTGGTGTCGGTAGTCAACAATATTGGACCGCAGACAAGGTTTCCTGTTCCCGAGGGAATTTTGAATTATAACGGAGTTAACACCGTGGCTCTTATTGTGTGGACTCAGGAGGACTCTCCCTTGAAGTTATGTGGGTTAGCGCTTGAGACTGATGCTATCGTTCAGAGTGGCTATCGCAAGCCATCCTTGGTGGAGGGTGAGACTTGGAAGATTAGGTCGGGGAGCTATTAGCTACATTCTGAATAGAGCAATCTCTCTATGGAGTGTTGGCTATGAGTTATAGCTAAGTTTGTGAAACTTTTATGAGTTGTTGATTCTACCGATGATTTGGATTTTATTTCCTTGGGCACACTCATTCCACAATCGAAAAAACAAGTGTTCTAGGTGCTTCTATGGATTTAATTTGAGATGAAATCTAGTGGACCGGCCCTTCTATATTCTGCCCGTAAATCTGATATGAGAATATTGTCTGAGCCGGTATCAAGGATCAAGATAACAGACTTAATATATATAAACTCGAAAAACAGCAGAAATAATATTATCGTACGAAGGAAGCATCTACAAAATCCACAAAAAGACCTAACACGAAGCAAACGAATTCAAAATACATCGCAATTTAACATCACCAATCAAATCAATCCATACCACCCCCCAAGGCTCGACTTAACCCTCATTCCCAATCAACCCCCACTCCCCCTTTACCTTCACCGACAAAATCCCAGACTTCTTCAAGATCAGCCTCGCCAAGACGGGCAGGGAATCACTGGCCAGAATCTCCAAGATCTGCAAGCTCGCTTCCAATTCCCTAGTGATCCAATTCCGGACCTCGATCGCCACTAACGAATCTAACCCATACACGGAGATCGGGACAGACGGGTCCAGCTCCTCCGCCGGACGCATCAAAATACTCGAGAGCTTCTTAATCACCGCATCGACGACTAGACTCTCCGCCACGTCGAGGGCCCGCGCCGAACGCACAGCAGTAGCAGGAGAGACTTCGATGGCGGTCTGTTTCGCTGCCGCGCTATTTGACGCGGCGGTTTCCATGAGTCTTGATAGATGGGTGAGATTTGAGAACCGTGCGTCTTTCACCCAGTGCGGGAGCTCGGCGACGGGTGTCGACTTGATGAAATCGAACCCGATGATGCAGTGGCCTTCGCTGGATTCGCGGATCTCGTTCCGTATCGCGGCCGCCACAATGCATCGGATCTCGACTGCCGTGATGGCCGATGTGCCAAGCTGTGCGGAGACTTGTTCTAGCTTTTGCTGGTCCTCGCTGAGGTATCCAACTCCCCGAACGATGGGCAGGTCGAGCGTCGTGCAGGGCAGTCCTGAGGCTTCAGGATATTGGGCGAGTGCGGCCATGAACCCGCCACTGGCCGCGTATTGGGCCTGTCCCATATTGCCGATGAAGCTGGCGCCGGAGGAAAGATTGATGAAGAAGTCGAGGGTGCAGGTATATTTGAGGAGGGATTGCAGGTTCATGATACCGTGGACTCGCGGCTTGATGACCGCCATGTAGTCGTCGTAGGTCATTTTCTCGAAGAGAATGTCCTGGAATCAGTCAGTCATGAAAAGCTCTGGATCGACTGAAGTACTGAGGGAAACATACGCGGAGAACCATGGCGCCGTAGATAACACCACGAACGGGCGGCATTTGGCTTAGAACATGGCCCAGCTTTTCTGTCACATCTACCTCACTAGAAATGTCGCAGCGGCATATTTCGACTGTGATGCCGTTTTCTGTCAGCTCTTGAACGGTTAATTTGGCGTTATCGCTTGCGGCGCCACTCCGAGAAACTAGAATGAGATGTGTGGCGCCTTTGCTTGGGAGCCAGCTGGCGAGATCGAGTCCAATTCCTCCTGTTCCTCCAACAATGATATACGAGGCGTTTGGCTTGACGAGGGCACCGGGCTTTCTTGCTGGATGGACCTATTGTTGCAGCAATGTTAGTGCTCGATAGCATATCGGTCTGGCAGTCAAGAGCATCATACCTTTACCATAGCAGGTTGGTCATCTGGACTGTCTTCAATATGCACTACCATCTTGCCAATGACCTGGCCACCTTGCAAGGCACGGAAGCCGGATTCAATTTCAGAGATGGGAATCGTGGTGATAGGCCACTGCGTCAGGGCCTGGCTTCGCACGAACAGTTCGACAGAATTGCGCAACAATCTGTTGAACATCTTCGGTCGCTTTTCCCTTACCACGTTCATATCAACAGAGGCGAAAGTCACGTTGCGGTCAAAAGATGACATCTCTAGCCTAGAATTCTGCACAATGTCCCTCTTACCCATCTCAATGAATCGACCGAACGGGGCAACGCATTTGAACGTCGCTTGTAACGCGTCCCCGTCTAGGGAGTTTAAGGCCACGTCTACGCCCTCGCCGTCCGTGGCGTGCAGGATTCCTCGAGCGAACGAGGTATCTCTGCTGAAGTATATCCGGTCACTATCCAAATTGTAAGTCTCCATCAAGAATTCCTTCTTTTCTTGACTGCCAACTGTCGCAAAGACCTTGGCGCCAATAGACTGCGCGATGATGATGGCTGCTTGTCCGACACCTCCGGCAGCGGCGTGGATTAGAATGCTCTCCCCTTCCAGTAGTTGTCCAAGATCGATCAAGGAGTAGTACGCGGTGCTGAAGACTGTGGAGATGGACGCTGCTAGCTCTAAGGAGACATTCTCAGGTAGAGTGCAGGCGCAGTAGGCCGGGCATCGTGCTAGGGCGGAAAGACATCCAGGCGACATGGCAAACACGCGATCTCCCACTTGGAAATCAGTCACTTGCGTTCCCACAGCAGTGATAGTTCCGCTGCACTCCTGACCGAGCATGCCTTCCTGGAGCTGGCCCATGGCAACCAGAACATCTCTGAAGTTCAGTCCCACATGCGAGATGCGAATTTCAATATAGTCTTCTGGCAACGGGGCCGCGAGAGACTGGTCGTCCGTGAAATACAGCTCATCCAACATCCTGCTATTCCCGGTGGTAAGTTTCAATGGTCTTTTTGGCTGTTGGAACAATTGCAATTGCGGTGGTGCTTCCTGGGTTTCCTGCTGGATGCTCAGATTCAGCGCATCGTTATCGACAAGACGGGATACGCAGATACGCCCTCCGCGAACGGTGAACTCCATATCGGCTTCCGTGAGCTGTGACTTTCGACAGAAGACACCGTGGAACACTTTGTCAATGTGTCTGGCAGTTTCCCTATCTGATATTTTCAGTTTTTCGCCCAGATCGAGCGTGACAAACGGTAAGCCAGTTTCCGATCGTACAGTCCGAGCGAGACCTATCACCATGTTCTCGGCGAGAGATCGTGGGTCCCCACTATTATGTCGGATTACCCATAGTAGCCCCCGAGCACCACTGACAAGATTCTGGATGTTCTTGAACTGTGCAGGGCCAGGATGTGAAAGAATAGACTGGTTCATATCGCCCAGGAAGACACACCATTTGCCAGTAACGTTTGCTTCTGTTAGTTCAGCTTCAACAGGTGACACGCCCGTCGTCATCTTTAAGCATTTCTTCAATTTTCGATTTAACCGGACCCCTCTTCTCCAATTATCCCCGATAATGACAATATCACCATCATTCTCGGGTCCATTCTTCAAGCCCTTGGCTGTAGAAACCATGATGCTACTGCTCCGATCATCGGAATCCGGATAGTCGTCGAGCTGAATGTCAATACCCGAGAAGTCATTCGATGCTAGGACGCTGTTCCACCCGTCCAGTTCAAGCAGCGGCCCGTCAACACGATTCGCATCTTGACTGAGCCACCACCCGGGCAGAGAAGCGAAGGGGAAAAGTCTTGCTTTGAACGATGTCTCCTCAATCAGGATCAATTTCCCTCCTGGCTTCAACAGCATCCGTACATTTTCGACGGTCTTGTTGATCTCCGAGGTTGCGTGGAGGACGTTACAGGCAACTACCAAATCATATGAATGAGGCTGGTAACCCTGCTTGGTCGGATCGGAGGATATGTCGAGAGTTTGGTATGTCATGAGATGGTCCCACGGTTCGAATTTGACTTTCGCTTTCTCAAAGAAACCAGGGGAGATGTCGGTGTAGGTGTACTGGCTGAATCGGGGCGTTGTACCGGACTTGCCTCCTCCAAGGGCTTCGAGTATAGGCACAGTAGCACCGCCTGTGCCAGCGCCAATTTCGAGGATGTTAATGTTGGGATTCTGGTGACCCATTTGGTTAATGCAAACTGAGACCTGGGAGTAGGATTGGCGCATGTTATCAATCTCTTGATAGTATCTGTTCAGCAAGTCGTCCTCGAGCATACAGGTCAACGGGTCCACTTCACCCCGAAGGATCTTGGGAAGCGACGAGCCGATTTGGTACAGGAGAGCACCAGACCCATTCATCGTACGAACGTATTCAATCGTCTGTTCCGACAGTGGCTCCCCAAGGCGGGCGGATTTACAAGCCTTTTGAATCCAGTGATAAAATTTGACGTAATGGTTTTCGAGATTGTGCACTTCCTCTTGCGAGACCTGGTCCAGGGCGTTGCGAAGGTAATGTTCTGCCAACCGGTCCAGCAATCGCATTCGCTGAACACCATGGGGATCACCATTGCTTCCCGCCAGGAGAGACTTGTAGTCTTTTGTGGAGAGAAAATCAAGGCATGGCTCCCAATGAAGCTTGTAGCACATAGCGTTAGGTTCCTTTCCCCATGATTTGCCGCCATCGTTTGTCAGTGGCACCATTATTACTCCGTCAATTTCGATGGCTGCATTTTGATGATCTTCGGGCCGCATGACAAGGATCCGGTTACCTCTTGGTCGACGTGTTGGAGAAGGTAGAGGAGGGCGCGCATAGAGCTCAAACTGAGTGCCTGCACAGAAGGGACGGTTAAGTGAAATAGAGAACTGCGAGATCCGGGACGGGACGTGGGTTACATCCAATCGGCCGTGCTGATATCCTAGTAGTGTCCACAATAGTTGCAGACAGTGGTCCAATGTGACCGGGTGGATTATACAATCAGTTTCGTACTCGAGCGGCATGCAGCTTTTCGTATCTGGCGCAGAAAAGGTAGCTCTTGATTTCGAGTCCTCGCTGACAAAGATATCAGACAAGCACCGGAAAAGTGGTCCATACTCAACACCACTACTTCCGACATTACTGTAGAGAGTATCCGAGTCAACGGGTACTGTGCACGAGGCCTGGAGGTCTGAGATTTGGCGTGATATCTCTGCCGAAATGGCTACCTGTCGTCGCTGTCCGTCGACGGGGTTCGAATCTTGACTTTCTTGGCCTTTTACAAACCCTTGAAAATGTTGCTCCCAGCCACGCGTTTCCACCCAGGAGAAGGCTTTGAACTCATGCCAACTATCAAGAGACTTGCTGGCGGATTCATTCACGCGTTTCAATGTGAACATTGTCTCCACCGAAGCACCCTCGGCAATAGTCAGGGCACGCGAAATTGAAACATCTCGCAGATCGATCTTTTCCAGGGTGATGTGATGGTGTGCTGCGTGCGTGACCATAGCTTCGATTGCCATGGCCAAGAATGCTGTTAAAGGTACCACATTGCTCCCGAGAACCTTGTGCTGGCGAATCCAGGGAAAATCATCCAGCCGAAGAATATTTCTCCAGCGCGGCTCGAAATCAACGTTCTCCATGCAGAGAGAGCCAAGAAGGTCGTTGCGCGGTGTCAGTCTATAATACAGATTATGTGCCAAGCGAGACAAGTGCCAGTATCGTTCTGAATGATTCCATGGGTATTTTGGCAGATTCGTTAACAGCGTTGGCTTGCGAGAGTTCTCACCGAAGTCGGGGAAGTTCACGGCACCCAGATCAACTGGATAACCTCGCACGAAAAGAGCGCCCACTAATTGCTGGGCAGCTTCAACCGCGTCGACTTTGCGCTTCAGACTTGGGAGGTATTGGATGGTTTTGTTTGGGAAGCTTTGTGAAACAATCTGTTTGATTGGGGTCTGCAAAGCACAATGCGGGCCAACCTCGATAATCGTAGTAACCTTCGGATTTTCTGTCACGAGATTCTGCAGAGCCTGGACAAACTCCACTCTGGAGACGAGATTATCCACCCAATATGAAGCATCTAGATCCTCCGCAGATATTTGCCGGCCGTGTACTGCAGAATGGAAGGGAATGTCGGATTCCATGGGAACGATTTTGCCCATCAGCAGGCGATACTGTTGAGCTACTTGCTTCATGTGGTGAGAATGATAAGCAACATCTACCTGCAACCGACGAGTAAACATCTGCTCTTTATCCAGAACATCTTGCAGCTCAACGATGGCATCTTCATCTCCGGATACCGTGACACTGGAACCACTATTTACACACGCGACGACCGCATGTTTGTTTGTCAGCGCATCCACAAAGGGCTGTACTTCTGTGGAACTCGCGCCCACAGCCAACATTGCTCCCTTCGTTTTCGAGTTTTGAGTCAAAAATCCAGATGCAAGACCTCGAGCATACGCAATCTGGACGCATTCTTCGAGTGTCAGGTTATTTGCTGCATATGCTGCCGCTATCTCACCACTTGAATGACCAGTCACGGCATTGGGCTTTATACCCCAGGATCGAAGTAGTTCAACCAATGCTAACTGGACGGCTGTACAAGCGGGTTGACTCATGTGGGCCTTTGAAAGAGAGCTTGTGGCGGGGTCATTAAGGAGCAGCTCATCTAGATGAACGGTGCGTTAGAAACGAATATTAGATACCAGTACTGCATGAGTGTTTTTCTGGTGACGGCCATACCAATCATTGAAAAACCAGCACCAAGGGCTGTAAGACAAGCATCCACAGCTTGCATTGTCTGCCGAAACACTGGATACGTCCCGATCAACTCTTTTCCCATCCCGAGCCATTGAGCTCCCTGTCCGGTGAAAGCAAACGCGAGAACAGGCTCTTGTGCAGCTCGATGCGGTTCAGGATTGCTTGTTAAGAACTCGCCCAACTCTGTGTCAACAGACGCGGAAACTGCAAGTCTCCATTGGAAGAAGCTTCGTCGTTGTCCGATCGTATAGGCGATGTTACCCAACAGATGGTTGTCGAAGATCGCGGGATGCTTCACAAGGTACGCATTCAGATCATTTGCCCGCTGAGCAAGCGCCTGTTTGTCATGCCCCGTGAGAACGAATACTTTTCGTGGTAAGGGATCCGGCTTGATAGTTCCGTCCCCTTTGCTACGGGGTCCAGCCCGTAGGATTATATGGGCGTTTGATCCTCCAAAGCCAAAGTTGTTCACACTTGCGTAAGGTTTGCCTCGAGGCCAGGGCGCGAGTTTCTTCGGGACCTGTGTGAACCCGTCAGCCATCATCCTAACCTTGAGTGTCTCTGGTGCCTTTTGAACACCTTCCGTTTACCTTCATGTTCCACTTTTCTAGGGGAATATCTTCATTTGCCTTGTCGAAGTTGCAATTTGGCAGGACAAATCCCCGCTCCAACATCAAGGCAGTCTTGATAATTGAAATCACGCCACTTGCCCCCTCTAGATGGCCAAGATTCGATTTCACGGAGCCAATGAATAACGGTTGGCGGGGGGTGCGACCTTTTCCAAAGATTGTATTCAGTGCTGTCGCTTCAATCGGATCTCCAACTTGGGTTCCTGTGCCGTGCGCTTCGACGTATCCTGTCAACGCCGGGTCGACTCCGGCATCTTTGTAGGCCGAGCGCATCAATGATTCTTGTGCCGCGCCATTTGGCATGGTAATTCCTCTGGTTCGGCCGTCTTGGTTAGCCCCGCTGTTCACGACTATTGCTCGTATGGCATCTCCTGCTTTCTGTGCGACTTCGAGTGGCTTCAACACGATGCATCCAACGCCTTCGCCTCGTCCGAATCCGTTTCCTCGCTGGTCAAATGCGTATGTACGTCCTTCTTCTGAAAGCAATCTGATTCCACAAGATTGAAAGTGTTAGCACATGGTTTGATTGTGGTGGGACTATACGAAGCTTCGAACCTCGAGCGCGTCATGGATATAAACCCTTCTGGGAAAAGGTTTAAATGAGACCCAGCTACAATAGCGGTAGAACACTCTCCGGCGCGAAGACTTTGACAGGCGAGATGCACGGCGGTCAGACTGGAGGAGCACGCGGTATCTATCGTCAGACTCGGCCCCTGAAAATCAAAGTAGTATGAAATCCGATTCGACTGAAGTGACGCAGCAGTTCCCGTTGCCGCATACATGGGACTGGCCTCCGTATCCTTGAAATTGTTCATATCGTACTCCGGGAGCGATGCGCCCGCAAAAACACCAATCTTGCGCCCTGCGATGGAATGGTTGGGGATGCCCGCATTCTCAAGCGCTTCGTATGTACATTCGAGGGCCAGTCTTTGTTGGGGGTCGAGGGATCGTGCTTCTTGGAGTGTGATGTTGAAGAAAGGCGCATCGAACAGTCCGACATCCTCTTTTAAAAAGTGACCACCTTTCGTGTTGATAGATCCGGCGCGATCAGGATTGGGGTGATAGAACGCAGAGGCATTGAATCGGGATTCGGGGATTGGTGACCAGGCGCTTCTTCCTCGGGAGCACAATTCCCAGAAATCTTCTGGGCTGGAGACATCGCCGGGCAAGCGACAAGCCATGCCAACAATGGCTAATGGTTCCATCCCTCTATCTTGCTTGCCTCCATCCCCGTTCGTAATCCCATTAACACCATTATCTGTGATATTCGCTTCTGGTGAATCTTGAGAATACATTGCCTGAGGTCGGTCGGATGGAGTCAAGGAATCGAGAGGTCCATCTGGAGAATCTGTGGTGGTTAACATCCCGGGTCCAAAGAGCAAAAAAGAAATCTTAGAAGAAAACAAGGAAAAAGAATGAAGCAATATGTATAAAAAGAAACAAACAGCCCTGCAATCACCACGGAATGCCGATTTATCTGAATATATTGTCAGGACACACGGCGATAGCGTGGCATCCAAAGCACACCTAAGATGAAAACTTGACAAAGCCTGGTCCACTTCTGTTGAAAGCCGGTCTCAATCGTTCGGTCAGATCAGGCGGTCGATGCGCATTCTGTGGCCGCTGGCAAAGTCCTCGCGTGCCTTGCATATCCCTTCGTAGCCGCTTTGAACCCAACCGGCTAACCAGCCGTCAAGGACGCACACTCACCCCTAGATCCCGAGTGGGGACGCATAGTTCGTTGCGAATCTCGGAGTGCTTCGAGAGTTTAATTCTGAATGTCTTTATCGCTTGATGGACTAGGCACTGGGCCGTCATGACCATTCTTGGGAAGTCGATTCATCTTGCCGTGTTTCAAAAAGAACACATCTGGTCCACATTCTCAGATACTGTGGCTTTGGACAAGGTCCCCGATACAATTGCTTTCTGTCTGGCCAGGTCTTGTTGAACGTGTCTTCGCTTACCTCGAATCGCGAACTTTAGAACTAAGATAGACAGCCATCATGAAGTTCTTGTGTTTACCTGGAGGGTACTGCAACTCCAAGGTTCGTCCGCATCCTTCCACAGAGGCCTTCGTGGTAGGATCTTTCTAATATGCTCTTTCGATGGAATCAGACCTTTGAGGCACAACTTGGTATGTCATTCGATCCATGAAAAGCCTGTGGACTCGCGACTCACACGAAAGCTGCGATCTAGGACCATTTTGCCAATCTCTCAACAGCGATGGAAAGACCGGCTTCCATTTCACCCAGGGAGACATCCCAGTTAAGAAGTTACCTGCCGACTTCGAAGGGTTCTTCGGACCCCCGCCCAACTACAGTTTTGTCGAAGTCAACTTGGCAACCACGGCATTCAACATTCGCGAGTTCCCGACGCGCGAAACCCCCGAGGAGACGATGCGTCTTGTAATTGAGATGCTCCGCGACCCGCGGCCATCGAACATCCCGGCCGTCATGGATCGGTTGATTGGCATCCTGGACAGCGAGGGGGATATTGATGGCGTGATTGGATACTCCGAGGGGGCGGTCATGGCGACGACGCTTCTGTTTGAGGAGGCGCGGCGGCAGAGAGAAACTGGCCGCGAGCCTCGCATCAAATGCGCGGTGTTGGTCTGTGGATGGCCGCCTATGGATCCGGTTACGGGGCAAACAATGTTGACCGATCAGTTCCCCGATGAAGTCATCTCCATCCCGGCGTGTCACGTGGTGGGCGGCCAGGACCCCTTTCTGGATGCCTCGATGGCGCTATACAATTTCTGGGATCCTGATCAGGCCGAGATCTTTGATCATGGCGGTGGTCATGCTGTTCCTCGAGAGATGGGGACTTGTCGGGAAATCGCCGAGGTCGTTCGGGGCCTGATGTCGGAGATGGAAAGTAGTTAGAGCCGATGGATTCATCTATATATTTCTTTATATTTTCATGTTCTATATGTCTAACATCTTTGTTCTCTGTGTCTCACAGTTCTACTATGGACCTTTAGAACAGCAAGCTCATGACCGGAAGAATAACAGTAACTCTCCTCATTAAATACCAACATCAACCTACAGAGTACATCCGGACTGTATGTGCATAGGTACTTACAACCCACGCCCTCGCCCAGCACACGCCCAGCACACGCCCAGCACACGCCCAGCACACGCCCAGCACCTAAGTGGAAACAAGCTTCCACGGGATTCGTATCCGTACTCACATCAACAGTCCCTTTGTTTATTCCGACCAATGTAACACTGCCCCCTTGCATTCCCCCGGTAAGTAGTGCCATTCCCTCCTTGCGTGCAGAATACGAGTACCGCCACTCCGTCCGGCGAACTTAACGAATAAGAAGGATTCCAAATAAACAATCGATGAAACATTCCGCACGCCTGGTTTCCGGGCCTCGATGGTGGCGGACGGCCTAATTAGCACATCAAATTGCGGTGTCGTGGCGTCTTTGCTCGCACATTCTGCGGATACGAGGGTCGGTTTGCCTCGGTGCTGGGTGCTTGTGATAGGGTCGCGTGATAGTTGCATTTCATGTGGCCTTCTCTGTGCTGCGAATGCGATTCTATATCATTAGATGGGATGTATTGGTTGTCCCTCGCGTACACTGTCGAGGGGGCTGGGGCTGGCGTATACTCGCAGGTAGAGTTTTCAGGATAGCGTTGAATGGTCGTTTGTCGTTTCTTCAGGCTATTTAACCCTGTATTGTCAATTGTGCTCCTAGCTTACGATGTCTGTTGAGCGTACGTTTAATTTCCTCCTTCAATGTAATGTTTTGCGGACCCAGAGCCTGTTGCCAGGTGAGAGGTGGGTAAGGTGTATGTTGGTAATTGTTTTATACAGGATGGGAAACTGATAGTACATGAAGCCAAAGTAGATAGGATATGATACATATAGAAAGATCCACGAATAACGCCTGGCTGATGCTTATTTTGACTCCCGCAAGGAAGGCTAGCACACCCCTGCTGCGAAGGGTTGATGCATTCAAAACGCCCTAAACCAAATCCGCAATCATAACATGTGGGATAGATTGATGCCGCTGACAAGTAAATATATACGCTCAGCGCCATTCACCCACCCGTTCAAACGGCTTCACCACCCGCGTGGCTTCCATGATCACCACCTGACGGGATAGATCGACGTGGCGGATCTCGGCCTCCACCACGCTGAGGACGTCTATATCGGGCGACCCCTCAGGGGCCAGGATTTGACAGCGGATCCCGAGGGATGTGATCACACCCGCGTACCCGTGTCCAGATTGCGTTCCTACAAGCGCGATGCTGCTGTAAGGCTGGTGAACCAAGCACTTGAATGTTTTGGGTAGCGCGCACTCCGCGAAGTAGAAGGCTCGGAAGAGCAACATGCAGCCCCAAAATTGCTTAGACGCCCGGTCAACGTTCTTGAGACGGTTACGCTTCCAGCGGGAACTGATGATGTAGTTGTCCACGTATTCGCGAGAAAAGGGGAGAACGGACTCGTCTATCGTGGCATCTAGGCGACGACCGTTCTCGTGCTCAAACCGCAGTGCAGCTTCTATCTGATAATGGGCTAACAAGTCGGTGTATCGTCGAAGCGGGCTAGTAGACTTCACATAAGGGTCAAGTCCTAGTGGCACATGGCGAGCTGGAGTTGACGCGGAGGTTCCCTTGGGTGCGGCCATTTCGAACCAGCTTTTCCCACCAAATTTGGTGATGTTGCGGTTGGTTAGCTGGGGATATTCAGGGTGATAGTATGTCCCGTCATAGATGACCGGGATGTTACGCTCGGCACACCATCTGGCAGAGACCCAGCAGGCCAGGTTCATCAACAGAGAGACCAAGTCGCGTTTTGACATATCGGGCACTTCGTGGGGGTCCACGTCGCGTTGACGCAGCCGAATAATAGGGTCACCCAGAACGAAACTCGCGTTCTCGACTGGCATTAAATGAGGTTTCAACGGTTCCGAGCCTACAGTCATCGAGACTGAGATGTCGATCGGCGAGGGCCACTCCATGGCTCCATTCCTGCGACGCTGTTCTCTAAAAGCCAGCATCAATTTCCTCAATGTATGGAAATTAAGCTCGTCCTCGGAAGACAAGCTTTCTCGCATCTCTTTGCGCGAGGGGTCAGGTTGAAAATGTCCCCCAACAGCCAGTGACTCCGTAGAGCCCTGTGTCTCAGGCTCGAATAAGCTCCGCAATTTGTCATGTGTGATATATACGACATTCTTGACGGTGCCGTTAGAAACGTCTGTTTCCAGAACCTCGCCCTTGAGGTTCATCTTGGCGCTGAATGTGAGAGTTGGGCGGTTAGGGGCCAAGCTGAAGTGCTCCTGGGTCAGTGACTCGGGGAGCATCGGATAAGTACGTTCGGGGGTGTAGAGAGTCTGAACACGAGATGCAGCGTATTCCATTATCTTGTCTTTCGAATCGATGAACGCAGACGGGTTGGCGACGTGGGTACGAATCCAGAAGGTATCATCACACCCCGGGATGCGCTCCAGTGAGATACCGTCGTCGATCTCTTGAGCATCCAGGCTGTCCACACAGTACACTGGCAGGTCGCCCCAGTCGGTTCTGGCATCCTGCATCGTGTCCTTGACGCCATCGGATTTTAGTTGCTCGGAAGCTTGTTGAACATCCGCCCAAGCCGCATCAGACCTGGGCGAGACTCCATGGCCGGGCAGAGCTATACTAGGGTCCAGCAATCGTAGGTTCTCCCAGGGGGCAATGGCTCCTATTTCTTGCAGAAATAGCGGAACGGTTGCGGCTGAAAGATCTAGTAACGCATACATTCCAGTGGCACGCATAATATGCGACCCAGCAGATCGCAAAGTTCCAGATGTCATTTGACCGGATATGGCCCACGATTTGAGGAATTCGATTATGATACGGTCGTTGGCATTGAATGACTCTGTGTGCGCTCTCTGAACTGTGCGGACAGTCATAGACGTCCCACCCTCGCCAGGCTGGAACCGATGTGTCGTTGGACCGACCGAGGCCATTGTTGTGGGAGAGCGTATCTTTCGGCTGTGCTGTATGAGACGACGGGCTTTTTGGACAAAGTCAGACAAATAAGGCGATCGATTGTCTCCTGAAACCCCAAGTACCGCTTTGCCTCCACTCTGAACGATTTGTTTCTGATGTTCACGCACCCAGTTGGTCACGGTTTGCACAATTTGAGCGACACGTTTCGGCAGAACCAGATATTGATCGGAGAACGGCGAGCTGCGATCCTTCTCAATGAGAAATTGATTTCGGCGGGTGGCGAGGTGAACGGCACAAAGAATGGCAGGAGTCAGCTGTTCTTTCTCAAGGTTCAAGGTCTTGCATGCCAGTTCCTCCCGGGTGAACTCCAGTAGATCGTTTTCATCCGCCACAATGTCATGCATGTTGCTCAATTCATTCGCATTGTTCCGGAAGATTTCCTGTGCCTCTTCATCAAAAGCGTTCAACATGTTCACAAGGGGAGCCCCGACGGGTCTCGGCACACCACCCTCAATCGTTGACTGCAGGTGCGGGCTCAATTGTGCAATGGTGTCAGGGAAATGGGGATAAAGCGGGTCCACCAACTCCCTAGGAGCAAACCCCTTCTTCACATATTCAATATCCCTGTCGTAGGCAACGCGCCATTTCCCCCTTGTCGTGTAAAACTGTTGCTGTTTGAATACCGATCGCACATAGATGGAGAAAGACATCATACCGTCGGGGCTATATCATAAGAAAAACATAAAAAAAGTCAACAACCATCTTAAGGGGTAGAAAGCTGAAGGATTAACGTACGCTGCTAACGCCACCAAGTCTCCAGCTTCCAGGAAGTCGTGCGCACCATCCCCCTCATCAGCGAGGTTGTCGAATTCTCCAGTGTCCTGATCGGCTTCTCGCAACGCTTCGCTACCATAATCGTTGGCTTCCGTCGCATCGCTCTGCATGTTGCCGATCCAACTCGCCTGTCCCGGGATATTTGTAGTTTGAGGGCCCTTGATCGGATCCAGGAGATTCAAGTTGTTGTTCTGCCATTTGCGCAAGTAGTCTCGGATGTCTTTGTTCTCCTCGAACTCTGTTTTGAGGCGGATGTCATCGATCGAGGCCAACGATTCAGGGCTATCCGGGGTTGCAGAAGAGCCCTAGAAGACGATCAGTTAGGATCCTTGGGTCAAGGAATTCAGCCGCACCATGCAGACTTACATTCGCATCGCTGCTTAGATATCGCCGGGATGGCGGCCGCGATACAAGCAAACGTGTGTTGGAGTATGAGGGATTGAAGCGAGAGATCGAAAAGACGGATCTGCTAAGTCGCGCTGAGCAGTTGACCCTGGCCACTCCTGGGGAGGTTCGGCTCCTCAACAGATTCAAGGTCATTCTCGAGCCTTCGTGCATGCGCCGACCAGGGAAAATCCAATGGATGACATCGCGAAGGCCCGCGGAGGCCGCAAAATCTGGAGGTTCTGCCGGCAGCTCATCGCTTCACCGCTTCGGCGGTCAGATCGGTCAGCTGATCTGCAGACTGTGGCGGTGCACTGCCTTGGCCACGTCGTGGCTTCCCCCAAGTAGACTAGCGTCGCTGCCTCGTTGCCTGCGTATCGTCCGTCTTGTGGAACTACTGTACAATGTTCTCAGATACTCTACAAACCTTCATGGCAATCGAAGTCAAGTCGCAAATCTTCTCTCTTGCTCAAGGACTGAACTATAAACGGGGCATTCCAATTTTCCTAACTCTTCGATACCCGCGCACACAAATCAATTGAATAGACAGAAATATAAACCCGAAACCAAGTAGTCATGACAGATTGCAGGCAGTCACCGAGCGAGACTGAGATGTATAAACCGAAAGCTAAAACAAGTTACCACAACGAAAGAAGGAAATCTTGCATCCAAGACAGCCACGCCATGGCTAGGCTTCCTCCGTTGGTTCGGACTCAGTGTGCTTCGAGAGCACGACCAGACCGCGACAAACAATCACATTCGGATGACCATCCTCATCCACCGGGGTTGGCGAGCAGCCGTCCAATTCCTCCCGGGGAGTGGGCTCTATGCCGAACTGCAGTTGCCAGATGAGTGGTGCGAGAATCAGTACCGTTCTCCGGCTATTCGGGTTGTCGTCACTAAAAGTTTGCCAGGTTTGCCATTCCATGTGGTAAAACTCGCTGGTTTCGTTGTAGAGGCCAATCTAGTGGATATCTGTATAGAACTGATAGCCGAGCTCATCAACCCACATCTTGACCGATTTCTCGGCTGCATCACGATAGATCCCCAGCATCAATTTAAACCGCGCAAGTTTGGTCTGGGTGCCAACATTCTTCCGGAGTAAAGGATACAACGGGCTGGACCTGTCCAGCATCTTCGTGGCAAGGTGTCTGGTAATACGTCGTCGGAGCCTCAGACTTCGTACCCCTGCAAATGTGTCCTTGGGCCTTTGGTGCGGGAGCGCCTTGTTCATAAGGTGGACAGTCTGTTCTCGCCATTTATGTGCGTCAACCCGATCGACTATGATAACACCGAATTAGCTGGGTCTCTCCGATTTTCAAAGTGCTTGCGATAGTTTACAGATACCTTTCAGAAGCTTTTGCCACAGATGATACAGTTCCAGCCCCAGAGGTGGGGGTAGAGCATCGGCTCGACCAGAAACATCATCACCTAAGTCCATATAGAAAAAAGGATTCTTCGTGATCGTCTCGATAATGTCCTTGACAACCAGTGCTCGGGCAATTAAGTCCGTCATACAGCGCAGAGCCCTTTCTGGGAGAGCACCTGTTAGCGAATCCCAGTCTTTGTAAAGGCACCAACCGTCCAAGGCGTCCATGATTGCCTGCTTCTCACTGGTCAATAATGTCCCCTTTACGGCATCATCCTTCTTGATGTGATTGTGGGTCCACTGGTAGACATCGAAAATAGAGCAATCGGGCTCTATATCATCATGGCTAGGAGGATACCATTGCGTCCCAATAGGGCACATGTACCCAGGGTCATACAATCGCCCGCGGTCATCAGGATTTTGAAGAAGGCTACCGAATGGGAAAAGCCTGAAATGGGCCGGAAGAGCGGTGGACAAGCCTGAAGAGGATAGGAAACATAGTAAAGGTAACATCCAGGGAGAATCGGAAGTCTTTACCACGTTACACCACCATTAGCATGTCTCGGGATTTCAATGATCTGGAGCATCCTGTGTCTGAAGATCTCGCGAATGTCTAACACCTCGTAAAAAAGAGGGCGCAGGGCAAGTTCCTCTCATTCTGCGGTCAGTGGTCATCTACAGCCATCAGGAAGGAATAGTTACAGGAGCCATTTCCCCAGGTTTTCGGCAGGATAGTGCGAAGGGGATAGAGATATCGGATACAATATCCTCATACGCACGCGAAGATAATAAGAAAGGGGGAAATGGGGGGCGGTTCAGGAGCAGGTGTCAGCGTTTGCTGCAGGTATGCGCTCCTCTCGTAGCATGTCTTGGCTGCTAGGTGCTTACGAGCAGTAGCAATAGAAACTTCATCGATTGAAATATTCAGGCGGCATTTCTGAGTCAGTGGCGATGGCATCTGGCTCGTACTACTCCACAGTCACCGATAATCGGGGTCAATAGGCACATTCAATTCCTTTTCACACAGCATATAAAGATTACCAGATTCCCAAGTAGGTTGTTGATCTCAACAAATTCAGTCCGGGTGTCTACGCATCTTCGTTCTTCCCAGTGTTCGTTTTTTTTTTTTTTTTTTCGTCCCTGCTTTCCACATCCCTACTATTTGTCTTCACATTTCGTCCAATAAATATGGATGACAACAGAATTATCGTGTTTGCCATAGACTTCGGTCTAACTTACACAGGTATTTCCCTGCTCAGATTTTGCACACACATGCATGCGCATGAATATACACCCTGGAAGAGAGCTAACTGAGTCCTCGCCGTAGGAGCCGCCTTCATTTGCCCATCCTCTTCCCGCCGACCGGATGAAGTTGTCACCTTCAACAAGTGGCCGTCCCACAACGGTACGAAACATGCCCAGAAGGCACCCAGTGCAATCGCCTACCCTGCGCACAACCCGTGAGCCCAGAAGAAACGTTGGGGATACCAGATCCAGCCAGGGATGGTGGCATCATCTTGAGTCAAGTTCATGCTCGATGACGAGGCTAGCAATGAATTGTGGGCATTGAGCACTGGACCGTGGGAAAGGGCCGGCGGAGCACTCTGGATGCCTGAAAACAAAACACCGATCGCGATTGCGGCAGATTTTTTGAGAGAGGTCTACCGATGCATAGCCAGGGCATTGAAAGACCATGTCGCCAAAGTCACTCGGGGGAAGTGCGACGGAATTCCTGTGGAGTTATGGTTCACCGTTCCCACAACCTGGTCTGAGGTCGCAAAAGAAAGAACGAGACAAGTTGCTCTCCAGGCAGGCTTTGACACAGGACTTGGAGGATATCCAGCCCAGGTACTACTTGTCGACGAGCCTCTGGCCGCCATGACCGATATCATCGCCCAGGCGTCACCCAGGACCTATACACTCTGGGTAGGTTCTCACTATCCCCCGTCTTACTTATCGAATCTCTGCTTACTCTCGAGCACTAGGCGGGTGTCGCGGTATTCGTGTGCGACTGTAGTGGAGGCACCACAGTAAGTACAGTGCAACGGATTAGGAGGCACACGAGAGCTAACAAGATATCACTGCAGGATGTGGTCAGCTACCACATAGACGAAGTTGACCCTTACTCGTACAGCGAGATAAGTGCCCGTTCAGGCACAGTACACCAAGGAAGAAATACTAGAGTCCAGCTAAACTGACCTTGACCAGGTGAAATCTGTGGTGCCACAACGGTACAGCGCGCACTGTACGATCTCATGATAGAAAGGTTTGGCGATGCGTTCCTCGATGTCCCTCTAGCCCTAAGGGCCCTAATGAGTCCTTTCATGGCCGCGTTTGAGGAACGCCTTACGAAATTCAATGGGTTCAATACATCAGGGGTTCGGCTTCCGCTGCCTATGAACTCGCAGGGGTTGAACCAGAAGTGGTTTGACTTTTTGGGAGGCGACGTCCTTCTTTCCGCGTGAGTCACATTTATGAGGATTCATACGAGTGAAATCAGCACTGACGGTGGTGGCAGAGATGATCTGCGTAATTTGTTCAACCCGGCTTTGGGGACAATTTGCAACTTGTTGAGCCGTCAGATGGCGGCCGCATACAATCATCCAGAAAGGGTACAGATTAATGTAAGCCAATAGACACCTTGACTCATTGTTCGCAAACGCCACAAACTAACCAAATAGCAGAAAATCTTCCTGGTCGGGGGTTTTTCCTTATCCCCATATGTCTTCCAGACGATATGCAATCGCTTCGCCGTTAACGGCGCAACAATCGTCTACCGGCCCAATGATGCGTAAGCTCAAGGTCGCATCCCTCAATTTGGAATGACTTTGCTAATCTTCCACTCAATAGACAATTGTTCACAGTACGGGGAGCCGCAATCTGGGGATCAGGGGTTCTCCGACCTGCTACAAATATTTCCCACTGCCACTTCGGCGTCGAAGCGTCAATGACAATGAACAATTTCTATTCTGCAGATTTCCATCTGCGCATTTCACTGTCAGGTGGCAGGCCCGCCACGAATGACATCACCTGGCTCGTGTCTAAGGTACGTCTGTCGGTCGTGGTACATTGTTTGCAAGCCCAGCAGCGCTTACTTTCCTGCATTTTAGGGGGGTCCACTACCTATGATCCCGACGACTTCGAACACTGCCCAATCTTCCTCGTCCACAAGGACGGAGACTTTCCCATAAAAAGCCTCAATGTGTACTGTTCAGTCTCCGGGTCGTCTCGACCACGAAGGTCTGTCAGAAACAATGCGTGTGATGCCGATTTTTCTAACATCCAGCAGGTGTGCGACTGACGATGCCAGTTATGTGCGACTTGTCGAATTTAGACTCGGAGTCGACACGACACCTCACCGAGAAGTCCACAACTGCCATTTCTACCTGGTTGAATGTAATGTCCGCGTTACCCTTGGAGAAAACAGTGGGTTTGTCAACTTCGAAGTGTGGGCACAGAATCAGGTCATTGGTGACAATGGATCTCTCAACTTAGCATGACGATGCAACGGGAGTTGAAATCTATTGGGGGGGTCAAGATTGTCTTTTTGTTTTTTATTAGGGTATCTTTCAACTGCGCCCAGATTAATCTTTTGAATCTCTTGAAAATGCCGGAATTTCCAGCGACAGTTTGACAGGTATCAGTCATTTGGGTGGTTCTTCCGGTAGTCTGCCACAAACAGAAGCCTCTGACCATGCTCTAGAGCCAGTGCCGTTTTTGCCGGAAGATTCCAATCTCTCTACATTTGAAGTCTGAACGCCCATCCACCTTCCCACATAAATACGATTCCTAAGATTCTGCCAGGACTCTCTGCTAACAAGCTACACCATTCACTCGTTCTCCTCTACTGTAATTTTCTACACCCATCCTACCTGCCTGTTCTCCTGTCAAGCCATGGCTTCAAATCCGTCAGGCTCTAGGGCCCTCGTCCTTCATTCCCTCATTTACATGTTGATTTTCGTGATTCTCGCTCCGCTCGCAACCGCTAATATCTGCTCGGATCTTGAGACCCAAGGCCTGACTATCCAAAAGGACCACACTCCTGACTTTGACCACATTCTCAAGGACTACTGGTCGGGCATCTGCGCTGACCTCCGTCCGCGCTGTATCATCACCCCAGCCAATGCTCACGAGATGTCCGAAGTGGTCAAGAAGCTGCATCACGCCGACGATCTGTTCGCGGTTAAGTCGGGCGGCCACATGGCGAGTCCCGGCTTTGCGAGCGTCAGGGATGGTCTCCTGGTTTCCACCAAGAAGCTGAATCAAGTCGTTTACAACCCAAATGACAAGACGGCTGTCGTGGGCCCTGGGCTTACGTGGGAAGATGCTCAAAAAGCGCTTCGCGGTACCGGCAGAGCACTTGTCGGTGGGAGACTTGGAGGCGTCGGAGTTGGGGGCCTCATGCTGGGTGGTATGTTTCTGTTTTTGGGCTCGCGGAGAAGAATAGTTGACTAACTTGTGGGCTTCAACTAGGTGGGTGGAGCTTCTTGAGTACCCAGTATGGTTGGGCAGCCAATAACGTGGTTAACTACGAGGTGGTTCTTGCCAACGGAACGATCGTGAATGCCAATAAGAAGGAGAATGCTGGTAAGCCTCAGTCCGGAGGAAACCACCTGACCACACCAAACCCTAACATGCAGTCGTATAGATCTCTTCGGTGTTCTCGGCGGCGGCGGCAACAATTTCGGCATCATCACTTCCTACAAGCTGCAAACCCAGCCGCTGGATCACAAGGTTTGATTTCTCCCTTTCCGACCGCACAAACATCGTCTCTAAGCCATCTTCCAGGTCTGGGGCGGGGAATTCATTTACATGAATAACACCCATGCCGATCACATCATGCAAGCCATCCGCGATTTCGCCGAGTATTATCCTGACCCGAAGGCCGGTATCATCGCTACGACCCAGTACACGCCTACCCTCCAGTCATGGATCATCTTTACGTTCTACGATGGGCCCCAGCCGCCTAAGGGTGTCTTTGACAATTTCACCGCCCTCCATCCCAAAGAGGTCACTAAGGCGTGGGATTCATATGACGAGCTGGTAAGCGGATCTAGGACAAGATGTCTTCGCGTTTTGAATGGTTGAATTAATGTGTGGTCTTCCTTTCCTGCAGCTGAAAGCCAACGACATTCATATCCTCAAGTGAGTTAGCCTTGCCACTTCCATCGACACCTAGTCATCTCTAACCAATATCCAGGGACCGACGATACACCACATTCTCTGAGACGCTGCCGGTTCCTAACGCCGCTTGCGGCCCCAAAGTCATGAAAAAGCTTCAATCCCACTGGTTCAATACCACTGCGACAATTCTGAACGTGCCGGACATGATCGGGGCGCTGTCAATCCAGCCGCTGCCTCGCAAGATGTCCCAAATAGCCAAAGAGAAAGGAGGAGTACGTCATAAGGCCCTTTCCCATAATCCCGAATCAACCACTAACCGATCAACTTCTTTCAAACGCATAGGATCTTTATCACTTCCCCACGGACCAGGACTACTTTGTCATCAATGTCGACTACTCGTACTTTAACTCCAGTTTCGACGAGAAGATCTGGACCGCGAATCAAAAGATCATTGATGGATATGAGGACCTCATTGACGATCTCATCGATGAAGAAGTGCTTCCGGACGTGCCTCGTCCTTTGTTCCTGAATGAAATCGACGGGCAGCAGGATTACTGGGGACGGTTGGATCCTAAAACGACCGAGTGGGCCCGCAAGGTCAGAGAGAAGTATGATCCTGAGATGTTTTTCCAGACGCGCACGAGCGGCGGGTTTAAACTGGGATAGTGGGTCATGTCAGGCTGGGAGAGATGGTCGGTACTTTCGATACTGTCCGGTTCTCCTTTTCTCTGTCTTGTGGCTCTTGTGGAACATTTCAGTGACGTCCTGAGTATGTTGTATCGCTATGATTTGTCTATGTAGCTAGTAGATTACATAGGGGCGGTGCAGTCTGGAGACGATCGCCACCTTTTCAACCCGGTTTGTCGGTTTGACTTTATGAATTGATCAATCGATCTCTCCATACCTTCTCTTAGACTCTGTAGATCCAAGGCCCCATGCTCTGCAATGATATCACCATCACATCAAGCAAGACCTCCACTGCACAACGCATCCATCCCAACATCCTAACGCCCCGTCCACCCAAACCCGGTACAATAACTTCCCACTCTAAAAACCCAATGTATCCACTCACATATTCTAAGCCACCCATATCCCCAACCCAGACAAACGCAGCATACAGCATCAGCACCTATTCTCCAAAAATAAGCACCCCAAACCCATCTCAACAAAGAAACCCAAAAGCCAACCAAACAATCCCAAACACCCCCCACAAAGAAACGCCAAGCCCACTCCTCACCCCCAGACCCATGATTGTGTCAGATCAAAATAAGCTCGTCGATCCGTTGGCTGAGAATCCCGCGCGGACGCCCGCGTGTCTGTGTTCCAGGCGCCGCGGTGGATCCTGAAACAGGGACCAGACCAGGGCGGAAGCCCGCGGCGGGAAACACGAGAATGAACTCTAACTGGTGGAGTGGCGGGTCGGCTGCTACAGGTACCCCTTTGTACGAATGTAAGCGTGAATCTACGGGTTTGTGTGGGTTTGCTTAAGCGCTGCGCTAATGATTCCGTTCTGGTTGATCTGTATGGGTGATTGCATAGGCGCTTGGCTCTTAACTAGCTCTTAGCTTCCCGGTTGGGTGATGCTGTGCTTAGATTAGACGAAACATGGAGACGGGATATAGCCGCCTTCCCATGGTGAGTGTATCGGCAGAGGCTTGGTGCGTTTACATCTGGTCCAGATGGTCTCTGCTGCTTTGGTCTGGTCTGGACTCTATTCTAGGATACGCGTTTGAGAACCGAGCCTGGCGCTTGTGTCGATCAGTGGACGGGGATGGTTGGTTGGGATGTACTCTCCCTTGGTCATGGACCAGCTTGTCTAGCTACATCCTAGCTCTGTGTTTAGCTACAGGCTCTTGTTGCAGATCTGCTAGCTCAGTGTTTAGCTTGCTAGAGCCTTTCAGAGGCTCTATTTTGGGATGATTATGGGGTGGTCTAGAGCTGGGGATCTAGATCTCTGGTGCTAATTTTATCATTGTGCATAGCTGTTTGTTTTGGGTCCATTCTATCTGCTATGGTCTGTCTGGTAAGGGTAGGGTTGTGTATATAAAGAGGGATTGTTCTTGCTGAAGGGGATGAAAGAATTACTTGATATCAGATTCATTCATTCAGCTTATTTCATACGTAATATTTTCTCTACTTTGTTCGTTTGTTTATTTGTTCTTTTTGTCTGATTGTTACTCGAACACTCCTTTGTTGCTGGACATCTTGACTTTTTAAATTACTCTCTTTGACTGGTTCTTGTTTCTTATTTCGATTTTCGATTACCTTGGTATTTTCGACTTGTTGAATTCGTCAGTCCTCGGGTCAGATTGATTCTGCGTCACGGATACACGCTCCCTTTTGCTTCTTTCCCTTAATTTCATTCGATCAACCTCTCTGTTAATATCAAAATGCCTAATAAATACGGAGCCCTCGGCGCAACCTTCCAAATCGCCCGCATCGTTCAAGCCTGCTGCCTCATCGCCATCATCGGACTCACCGCGAACTTCATCGCCGAGATCGTCGACAACGACGCCACTCCTCCGGGAATTTTCATCGGCACCATCACCATCGTACGTGGTCTCTCCCCTTTCCGTTGCACGTTCCACAGATGGAAACTGCTCCATCAATTAATGATGATTGGATAAGCTAACAATATTCGGTGGAATAGACCTGCATCGCAACAATCTACTGCATCATCACCACAATCCTCTTCCTCGACGATATCCTTCCTTTCCTGGCGTCCGCGATCGCCGACTCCCTCGTCCTGATCGCGGTCATCGTGGTAGCGGTGATCATAGGAAAACCGCTCTCGTATTTGCAATGCAATGAGATCGCGAAGGTCGCTAGTGAGGGTTCCTCGGCGTATGCGTTTGCCACGCATCTGGACAGTTATTTGAAGAGTTTGAATGGGAGAGTCGAGTATGGGAGTTTGATTGGTGCGTCGAAGGATGTTTGTTTGGAGGCGAAGAGTATTTGGGGGTTGAGTATTGGGTTGTGGTATGTTTTTTTTTTTTTTTTTTTTTTTTTTTTTTTTTTTTTTACGTGATGATTGAAAGATTTATGTACGTGTGGGGGGTGGGGAAGTAGTGTGGGTTATTTGTGTGGTTTTTTTTTTTTTTTATTTTTGGGTTGTTTTTTTTTTTTTTTTTTTTTTTTTTTTTTTTTTTTTTTTTTTTTTCCCTCTCTCTCTTTCCTTGGCTGACTGTGGATGGGGGTGGTCAAGTCTTTGGCTAATTTTGATGGTTTTAGTATTATGTTCTTCTTCTCTGGGATTTGCTGCGTTTGTCTGTGGAAGCAGAAGAAGGCTGCTAATGCTGGGGCGGAGAAGTTGGATGGTTGATTGGCATTTTGGTCTGCGGGAGTCATATCACCGGGTGTGATGCGTCTCTGGGTAGTGATGATGTCCGTGAAATGCGACATGGCTAATGGATGTGGTAGATCTCTGCCATATAATCTGGGGGTAATGGAATGGTATAGAATGCGATTCTTTCGGGGTTGAGGTGCGGTGGAACTGAATGTGGAGGTAATAATGACTTGTCTATCGTTTTGTTTCTTGCTCTGGCCTTTTTCTTTTGTTTTTCGTGATTTATTTCCTTCGTTGGCTTCGATTCTTGCTGTTCTTCGTTTATTGATTATCGTTTTTGTCTCATTGTTGACGGGTTCATATCGCTTAATTGGTCAAAGACGTGGCATAGCGTAGCCACAGTTGCACATCATATCATATCCAATCCCCTTCTCTCAGAAACTTAAGGTACAACCATTCAACCCATTACCTAGTAGTATAATCAGCACTTTTTCATCACAGTAAGCATCCATCCGGACACGTTTTTTAGGGAGCATCTATCAAACAGAAACCTACCTCCCATCCGAACCCAACCCAATCCAACTCATGAACATCAAGGTCACCCCGAACTAACAGGCGGAATGATCGCAACCTCCTTTCCCGCCTCAATCACCACCCCATTCCCATCCCCATTCTCACCCACATCCACATACTCATCCTCCAGGCTCACGGAGCAGCTACTCAGCACTTTCTCTTTGATCCCGGGATATTTGGACTCCAGGACCTCGAAGAGATGAGAGAGCGGGAGCGGAGCAGGGAGGTGTTCGGTCGACTTGCCCGTGTAGGTGGAGGCTGTGGAGAAGTAGTGGATTTGGAAGGTGGACATTTTCCTTCTTCTCTTTGAGCACTTGATGAGTTGAGGTTGTTCGGAAATAATTGAGGATATTAAAATGGAAGGAGAGATTGGATGTTGGAGAGATTGAGTGAGGAGAATGGAAGTTGGAGAAGAGAGGAAGAGGGGAAGAAGCGATGAGTCTTGGCAGTCCTTATCAGTGCCTCTTATCGATAAGGATCTCTCCAATTCTTCTAACACTTGGGATCTATGAATTTGAAGAATAAATAAGTAGTTTAACGTAGAGGAGTACTGTCAGAGTGTTTGATTTGGTTTGTCTCTTTGGTTAACTCCTCTGGTTCTCATGCAGGATTTCGCCTTCTTATTATTCTTACCTCTCCATCCCTGTTGAGTGATAGCCTACATATATCCATGCGCTCACCTTGTTTTCCCCCTGCAAACCACCGCGTCTCAACCCAGCCCAACAACCTTAACCTTCCCTTATCCCTCCCATACTCTGCTTCCACCATGCTCTCCCACTTCATACCCCGCTACCTTCTGCCAGACTTCACCTGGCAGGACAACGTTCGACCCGTCGCAATTGAGCGAATGCCGCCCACACCGCGACCAACACCCCCCCGACTCCGCCGACTCTGGGGCATCATCCACGACTACCTTCAGCGATTCTCTCGACTCTATTGTGGCTGGTTTGGCATCCCTTTCGATAATCAAATTGCCCAGTTACCGTTCGGGCTTATTCTCAAACGGTCTGATGGGACTCGCGTCGAAGAGGTTCTGGCTATGCAAGTCGCTCGGGCTACTGGGTTTCCTGTTCCGAGAGTCATCTCCTACGGGGAACATCCTGATACGCCGCATGCGCCAATCTCCATTCTGATGACTCGGTTGCCGGGGGCTGAGTTGGGGAGGGTGTATGAGACGCTCACTATCGAGGAAAAGGATTCGATATCAAAAGAGCTACAGCGATATTTAAGGACTATGCGGGCATGGCAAAATCCATGGGGTGGAAATAGGATCTGCTCTGTAACGGGGACTGCGATTCGGAGTATACGGGTCCCTAATCATTCCATGGGTCCGTTTGAATCCGAGCAAGAGCTTAATGAATATCTGATTCGACCTTCGTGGGCCGGCGGGTTCTCGTCCGAGGAGGCATATCATACCGCACTCGATACCGCGAAAGGTATAGAGAAACAGTCCCATCGTGTTGTCTTTAGCCATGGGGATCTGAAACATCATAATATTCTGGTACAAGGAGGCAAGGTTACTGGTTTTTTGGACTGGGAATCTGCCGGCTGGTACCCTGAATATTGGGATTTTACTACGGCGTTGAGGTTTACGAGGGAGAGCGTTTGGTGGTATGGGTTTGTGGTTGGACTTGGTGGGGGGGTGTATTTGGAGGAACTGGGTTGTGAACGGGCGTTGACTTCTTTGACGAGTGCTTCTTATTATTGGTGATATCGTGTGTTGGTTTTAGCTGGACTGTTCCTTGGCTGGTACTCAACCATACAGAGTGGCAAGCTACCTAATAGAATGTCAATGTCTATCTCTGACCACCGGATCTAGAAGAAGGGAGCTAAACTGATTCATTCACACTACCTTACATACATTCCATTCCACGCAAGAGCTCCTTAACCCACATATCCCTCCACTCCCCCACAAACTCTTCTTCATAAAACGCCTCGTTATAATTACAAGACAGATGAATTCTCCCGTCCCGAGTCCACAAAAGCATCTGCAGCAGTTTGCTCACGATCTGCACGCCTAGCCACCATTCCTTGATCTCGACTGTTTCAGTTGGACTCCCAGCTGGACTCCCAGTCCCAGTTCCCGTCCCAGTTCCCGCGCCAGCTCCTCCTCCCACAGAGTACCTCGTCTGGAGATATCTATCGACAACACCTAGAGAACTTAGCTCGGGCGAGCTGCGCCAGAGAGCTAGATTGCTTGGTCTAGTGGTATATCAGTAGTATCGATCAATTTGTTCACATACGGCACCAGATACCCAAACAGGGGGGTCAGGTCCTCTTGATAGAAACCCGCCAGATGGTCCGCGAGGACGTCGAAATCAGGACACCGCGAGAGATCAACACTGCATGGTTTTCCGGTATGGTGGATGGCAGAGGCCCCAGGGGCGCTGTTCCATGGGGCTGGGAGATGGGAGATGGGTGCGCAGATCGAAGGGCGTGAAACAGATGAAGCGGCCGGAGATGGGGGCGTGTTTGCGCAAGGTCGTAAGGAGTGCGGCGTGTGCGGTTGTTGTGGCGGTTTGCTTGCGGGCTTTCCTGGCGAGGATGATTGCTGTGCTGAGGTCTGGGGGGAGTTGGAGGGTGAAACGCCGGGATGTCTGAGGCGTGGTGCTGGTGGTGCTGGTGGGTGGAGGGGCCCGGATGGAGGCGGGGGTTGGGCCGGAGAATAGCGAAGAGAGCGCTGCAGAGGATGCATCGTCTATGGCGGGTGTGATGGTCTGGGAGAGACCGGCGGCGTCGTCGAGGGGCGCGGGCAGTCGGGAGGTCTCGGATCCATCACACAGGGGGGTTGGATCTGATTCTGGACCCGTGGCCAGAATGGTGAAGAAGTCGTGTTGGAGGAGCATGCCTCTCCCGTCTGTTCGCCAATGTGGCGAGCGGAACAGGAGTTCCCGGGAATGGGGAAGATAGTACAGCAGGAAGGAATTGGTCGGAGGGCAGGAGGACGGTGTCCAAGTGGTCTGCCGTTCGAGTGTCATCGTCATCGGCATCGGCATCGGCATCGTTCGGACATATGATCAATGTTTCCTGGACCCACGATTCAAGCGATTCGGTTGAAGGCACAGTGTAGACGAAGTTGGCCCCGTTGTCATCTGGGCATGCTGCGATCTGTGGATGCCGATGACGAAGGGCTTTCCACGCGTGTCGCAGATTCATTGCAGAAGGAGGTTGCGTGAGTTGAACAGCGCTCGAGACAAGCGAGTGCTGTTTGTCCAGATGAGCACCGGAATTCGCCATGTTGCGGTGCAAACGCTCGATGGTATCGAAAGGGCGCTCATAGCGGCTGGGTGCTGTTTCACGCCAGGACATTTTGTGGCTCGACGAGGTAAAGGCGGAGAAGATAGTGAAAAGGTAGACAGCCAGCACCGAGGTAAGCAAAACCGAAGAATAATCTCCTCCACTGGTGAAGCATGGCCATATTAATATCCTTCGCTGACTGGTAAGCTGAGTGACACTATACACACGCCAACCAGAACTAGGGAAACCCTCCCAATAAACATCCAGCTTATCTCGGCAATGTTGGACAGACAGACTGTATATCCAGATCTCTGAACGGACTGGTAAGATTTTGGTCCGATTGCCAAGCATGTTCTCGAGAGACTGAATCGCTGACAGGATCATCCTGTGGCATACTCTCCCACAATGGGCCAAGTCCCATCCTGCCAACATACAAACACGAGCTTTCCAGGTCTGGGGTATTTTTCACTACTACGCCTCGTCAGCTCTCCCCGCAATATCTACCCATCCTGTAAGCCATGACTGCACCAAAGGCTGTCATCTAAATCTCGTAGCTGAATCTGGCTTATTCCAAGTCCGATTTTCATCATAAATAATCACTGGAGCCAACACATCATGCACAGCCTTTTGTTCAGCACAAGGCTTTGTCTGATAAGACGAAGAAGAAGTGGAGGCTGTCACTGTCACGAGGCTGCCTTCTGCCTTCTGTGAGTTATAAAACCCCTCTTCCCTCCCATGGGTATGTATTCTATCTTACTTACCCTTCAGTGTGATCCATTCACCCTCATCCAGTCTAGTTACTACTTACAGATCTTTTATCTGGTTAGTCAGGCACTACCGATTATAGCCAGCGATATTGATATTCTTGTTCGTATCTAATTCCGAGAAGATCCCCAAGAGAGGTTTGAACATATACTTAGACAGACCCTCCCGCTATCATGTCAAAAGCACTAATAGACAATAGGCAAGACTATTTCATCTCCTCTCCCAGCGCAACTACCGGCAAAGCTAGCCCATATACTTTACGCCAAAATGTGCTACCAAAACGTTACCTATTCCTGTGGTCATACTGGCAAATCATACTACGTTGGTTGTTACTGCGATAAGAACCAAGGACGGGATTTGAATTATAGTATGGCGTGTAGTGATGGGTGTGGGAAATAGGAAGATGATGCTGATGCTGATGCTGATGCTGAAGGTGGGAAGAAGAGGACTTGTTTCTATATTAGATTTTGGATTTGGATTCGTGGTGTTGATGTTGATGTTGGTGTGGAGTTGGTGTGATTGCGCAGAGGATTTGGATGTTACTTTCCCTAGGATAACTTGTTTTCCTGTGTCTGGTCGAGTCTGCGATGGGGGCTGTGTGTCTTAATTTGAGGGTTGTGGTTTGTTGAAGTCTTGAAATTGGGGTATAATCAATTGTGTGTTTAGGGTGTCATGGTATGATCATGCATGGGCTAGTTACCTTAGTTAATTATGGGGGTCTGATTTGGTCCTTTTTCATGCTGGGAATAGTTCGGCTGGAAATATATCTGGGGCTAATAGATAGATAGATAGGGAGGAGAGGGTATACCTAGTACCTACCTACTACTTGTTGATATCAACAGCACAGTCGAGGAAATATGTCTGGAGTTCCCAGAGTTCCAGAATGCGTACCAACTGACTACCTACCTACCTACCTACCTAGTTCTACTGTTCTAATTTGACATTTACCTACACTACACTACACACTTCAATTCGATGCACCAAATCAAAGATGCAACAGTTCTTAGCATCTAGCCAGCTATGTTATCAACAACTCTTAACAAATCAAGAATTCTAATCATATCATACCATATCATATCATATCAACAATATCAAAATCAAATTATGTACGATCCCCCACCCCACCACAACCTAACAAGCATGCCTAGGCCAACGCCCGGAAAGCCTGCACCAAGTCCGCCCGCAGATCCTCCCAGTTCTCCAACCCGATGCTGATGCGCAGCAGCCGCGTATCCACCGTCGCATCCGACATGGTGCGCCACTCGATCAGGGTCTCGACGCCGCCTAGACTTGTGGCGTGTTGGAAGAAAGCTAGCTTGCTGGGGAGCTTGCGCGCGATGTCCTCTTGCTTGGTCATGATTGAGAAGACTGGGCCGAAGCCGTTAGGCATTTGTTTGAGGAGCCATGGGAAGTCGTCTTTCTGGAGGCTGGCGTGGAAGACACCCTGTAGGGCGTTTTGCGTTGCGGCTTCGTCGCTGCCCGCCGCGGGGTTCGGGGTCCGTAAGGCCGTGTCGAGCCAGGTGACGAGATTCGTGGCGTTCTGGCTCTGCCGCTGCACGCGAATATCGAGGGTTCGAAGGCTGCGCACACCGAGCCAGCCTTCCATGTTGCCTAGCACGCTGCCCAGGAACACCCGGTCTGCGGACAGCTGCCGCGCCCAGTCCTGGCGCTTCGTGGCCAGGACACCGCATAGCATGTCACTATGTCCGCCAAAGTACTTCGTCCCCGAATGCATCACAAGGTCGGCGCCCCACAGGAAAGGATCCTGGAGACCCGGCGGGGCAAAGGTGCTGTCCACGATAAGGTGGGCGCCGCGGGAATGGGCCTTCTTCGCGTACTCTTCGATGTTGAACGCCGTGCCTTGGGGGTTGACGGGCGTCTCGAGAAGAATGACATCCCCGGCCTGCAATGCCTCCGCCGGACAGTCCAAATCCAACTTCTGAAGTCCGGTTATCCGGCTGAACAGCGCAATCACTCCGTGGCATCCATGATAGCCATTGCCGATCGAGATCCGACGGGGGTTTAGCAGAGTCAGAGCTGCATGCAACGCAGACAGCCCCGACGAGTAACTGATCACATCACCATTCAGCAAGGACGAGAGGATCATTTCGAACCGCGTGTAGTTCGGCGCGGTGGCTCGGGAGTAGATGTGCTTCGTCTTGTCTTGATCATACTGACGATCGCACCATTTAGTACGGGAAATTTCAACCAAAAACAGACCAGGTGCTTACCCCGCTGAGATCCTTGGCCGGCACAAGATCGTCGGGATTGTCGGGGTAGCGAAATGTAGTGGAAAGGTGGAGGGGAGGGGCCACATCGGTGACCAGATTCAAAGAATCATCGGCGTGAAGAGAGCGCGTGGAGGCGCCAACATTTCCATCGAGGGGAGCCATTGCGAATACGAGAAGAGGGGTGAATTGGAGCAGGAGAAAGAAAAGTGAGGAGAAAGAAAGGTGGAGAGAAAGGATCGGGTCGAAGAGAGAGTGGAATGGGGAGTGGGGAAGAGGATCCCACGTGACAGTGGGTCGGGTCGGCCGTCAATGACTCAATTAATTGCGTGATAAGACTGGCTGGCATCCTGACTCAAGGCTACCGGCGGAGAGAACTCATTCGTGACGCTTCACGAACGGATCCCGGAGCCGCGGACTGGAAATTGGTTCGGTCTGCGTTGGTCAGTATTGACGGCTTACAGGTGGGTTGGGCCCAAGAAAACGTACCGGCTTCAGAATCAAAGGCAATCGAGATATCATCATGCTCCATCGGATACTCCGGCATGTCCAGGCAACAAAAATCGGATGCAGGATCATTATCGTTCTTCGGCAGCGCAAATTTGGCATCCACGATCTTGACGCCAAATTTGCCCGCGCGGCCGAAGTTCTCCAGCATGTCGGTGGACATCAGGACGAAATTCATGCACTTGCCGTAGGGGAAGTCGTTCAGGAAGGCCAGCAGCTGGACGGTCTTCTTCTGCTGCACGATCTGGATTCGGGCCATGTTGGCCTCCCACTTCTTCGTAATGGGGACCACCATGCGGCGGCGGGATATCGTAAGGGAAGACGCCACGCTATTCTCAATTAGTCGGAGGTCATCCAGTCGAGGAGATCGGTTCTCACCTGTCAAATAACACTCTGAAACCAGTTACTGCCTCTTGGAAGGCATGAAGATCTGGTCACTGCATTAGTTACCGATGCTATAATCCGCCGCGGAGTTTGTCTACCTTTCACTGTCGCAAAGTCGAACCGCCGTACGGTCGGCTTGGTCGTAGCGAGGTGCATGAAGGTGGATATCGAGTCGGCCATGTCGGGGGAGGTGAGGTTGTCCGCAAGGGAAAGGGTCAGATCCTGCTGCCCAGGGCGGAAAAGGCTGAGGCCGGTTCGGTTGTTGATGTCAAGTCCAAGTTTCAGCTCGCCAGGGGCTGTATAAGTTAGCCAGTCTGTAAGAAAACAAAATTGGAAGATCGAAAAACACTGATAGACCTACCGAGGTTGATACGATCCGTAGCGGATCCCCATTCCGTCGCTACAAAGGCTCGCAAGTGTTCCGACAGAATCGTAGGGCCATATCCATGGTCAACAAGGCGATGCTCTTGATCAATCACAGACACGCTGCCTGCTGGGAATTGGAGGTGGGTCTTAGCGGGCTTGCCAGTAAATCGATCGGCAGGCTGTTCGATGGAATAGGCACGGATCGGGATATCCCGCGTCTTCACTTCGGTCTCTCCAGGAAGCGTTCCAAGAAGGATGGAATGCATGGCACTGCGCTCCTCGTCATCTTCGAAGGTCATCAACATCGACCGGGTCCGGCCATCCTCCTTCACCTTGACTAGAAGGGCAGGGGCACCGTCTTCGCCACGGAGCAGGCCAAACACGATCGGTTCTTTGTCGCCAAGAAGATGCCGGATGTTGCTAAGCGTTTTGATCTTGGGACTCGTCAGCACGGTCAGGCGGTGGCCCTGGTGAATGCTTCGTTGGCCAGTGCCTTCGGTCACCGTCACCGAACGCTCGAACAGACGAAGGCGGCACCGCTCCACGGGCTCCGCCGGGAAAGCTTTCTGAGAGCCTGGATCCATGTACTGAAACATTTTCAGCGTGCTCTCAAAAACCATGTTTTCGCCTGCCTCCGGTTGAAGGCTTTCCTCCGTCTTCATAGTGTACTGGACGATGTTCCAGAGAGTCTTGAAATCCTCCTCCTGGAAATTGACTTCCAGCTCGAAGCCACGGGGCAGCTTGACCCGCATGGAGTGCGAACGAACCTGCCAGTCCACGCTGTCCCAGGTGGGCCCCTTCTTGCGATCCGACTGGATCATGATATTGACCAGCTCGCTCTGGCTGGTGATGGCGGCAAAAACGTACCAGTCGCCTCGGTCGCGGACGATGGACAAAACACAGGGAATGGAAAATGCCTGGTCGGCATCGTCTTCGTCGGAACTCACAAACACGTCCACAAACATGTTCCCGTAGCTGAACAACCGATTCGTATCCCCAAGCGGCATCATATGCACCAAATCCGGTGACTTCCCGGATCTGTCAATCAGCATGGACCGACTGGTAGTACCCGAGAGGACGGCGGAGACGTCGGGCGCGAAGAACGGGTATCGCACCCACACACTCAAGTCACCCCGGCTTGCAGCCTCGTCATCGGTGCCGATCGTGGAGATAATGTTGTTCCGCTTTATCGACATGGCCAACGAGCGCAGATGGTTCAAGAGCATTTGATGCAACCCCAGCAGATCGGCCAATTGCCGGTCACCGGTTGTACTCACCACCGCAAGCAATGCCTCGACGCTCATGGCGCCGTATCGAGTGACCTCCGAGTGTTGGGTGACGATGTTTTCGAGAATCCACAGGGACTTTCCCAGATCCACCACTGCCTGTCGGGCGTCATCCGGAGACGTTCGCCGAGCCGGTCGTCCGCTGGAGCTCGACGGCCGCGAAGCGCGCGCGTAGGCTTCCAGTCTCTTCTTCCCCCGCAGAAACCACCACACGGCTGCACGCATCCACTCGGCCAGAGACGTTTCCATCAACGGTTTGACATTCTCGGCCGACCGCCGGATATGACTTTCATACCGCGCCACGTAACTTTTGAGGTCGATGAACGCGGTGTCGCCGATCTGGTTCGCAACAGCGCGCAAAGACATCTTGGGTGGCTGCGGGTTACTCTTGGGGGAATCGCGGAGTTCTCCGCTGGTGAGTTGTTGACTCAGGCGATCCAACGGAGAATCGCTTGGGATGGAGGGGAAGGATTTGGTCGGAGAACGATTCTGCGCGTTCGCGCTCGAGCTATACGATGGCGGCAGCGCGGAATATTGACCCTGGGTCTCGCTCACGGGACTCCGCAAGGAGTTGGACGGCGGTGTTGTCTCGGTCTCCGAAAGGGGAGGGGTATCGTAGGCCGAACTAGGACTATCCGGTCTCGTCTCCTCCTTACTCGGCGAGGTCGGCTCGTCAGACCGGTGTTGTTGTAGAGCACGGCCTTCCTCGGCCTGCATTTTGTCGCGCACCCGCTGGGCAAACGAATTGGAGTCGGGGGAGGCGCGGAATGATACCCGAGAGCCTTTGTCGCCCAGATTCAGCGACATAAGGAAGTCCGAATTCTGGGCATTTGGAGTGAGCAACGGCCTGCGGTTCCTGGTATCCTCATCTTCGTCCTCATTGACGTTGACATCTTTCCGATGCCGCGTCTTTTGACGAGTGATTCCCCGGTGACCGTCTCCGAAGGAAGTATCCAACTGCAGCTGGGGCAAGGATGGAGCAGCGTCCGTAGAGCCACCGCTTGGTCCGCGATGATGCCGACTGTGACGGTGCAGGGATATCTCCATGGTGGGGACTTCGGATTCATCACCACCTTCGCCGATCAATTCGGGCCCCTTGTCGCTGAATTTCACCTTCAATGTCCTCCCATTGCGCTTCTTCTGGGGTTTGGGGAAATTTACAGAAGAGTAAAGTTCGGTCGCGGAGGCGGGGTGCGCGGTGGGGGAGGTATTCGAGAGCTCCTGGGACGACGGGAAGCGTTGGGACACATCTAGACGGGGCGTCGGCAGCCCTCTCGAGGCTGCAGCGGCGGACGGCGCTCCGTACGATACGGACTTGGAGCGGGCAGGGGCTAGGAACGCTTCGATCTGCTGATTATCCGGGCCTTTGTTGCGTCTGTCCTTCGAGAATAACTTCTCCTTCCAATGGGATTTCTTCGGCGGCTTCCGCTCGGTTTCATTATGGTCAATAAAGGCAAAAGGGTCGTCGGCCGACATGTTGACCGATGTACAAGAGAATGGTTTGTGAAAAGGGGGCGAGGCACTGCTCTAGAGCATTGCAGTACCGTAGTACGGGGTCGGATAGTATGCTGGACGCCGAACGGAAGAAACGCCTCCCCGTACTTTTTCCCCGCGCTATTTGTGCCTTCGCGAACGCTCGGGCGAATTAAAGTGGATGCGATACGGACGGCTCGGGGATGCGAGGATGATCGAGGTCGGACGACAGCACTGACACAATGACCCAGAACGGTATAGTCAAAGGATAGAGAGTAGTTTGTCGGAAAAGAAATCAGGAGAGGAGGGGAGGGAGGGAGGAGAGGAGGAAGAGAGAGGGAAAGTGAGAGAGAGAGAGAGGAGGGTGATCCGGAGGTAAAGGAGAGGGCGGCAAGGAAGCGAGAGCGAGAGAGAGAGGGCGAGGAAATCAGACGCCGGCACTAGGGAAGATGATCGCAAGGGAATAATAAATTGGCCAGGGTGCAATACAAAGGACAACGCGATTCCCTTTGGTTGTTTGGTGGAGTCGGCAACGGGCGATCTACCAAGACCAATCAATTAGACGACCATTCAGAGACGGCGGCTATGAAGAAGGGGGGCCATGCGAACGACTTCAGAGTTCAGGGGGGAACAGTGGGCATTTTAGCTAGGAACTAGGGATCTAAACAGACCTAGTCGGGATGGACAACTGCACGCGAGAAAATAATTATCATTCGGTTTCACGCTTTCACCCGCCAATGGAGAGGCGAGGGGACGGTGGGGATGGATTGGACCTGGAGCAGGAACGACAGGCGCCAAATGGAATGGTTGCCAAGCTGGACCAGCAGCTTCCTTGGTGAACGGGTGAACGAATGATCGGGAGGACGAATGGAAAAGAAAGGAAGAAGAAAAAGGAAAAAGGGACGGAGGCGAAGGAAAGCTGCAGGAGGGGAAGAAAGAGAGGAGGAGAGGAGAAAGTGGACTGGGAGTCGTACGTATTAAACGTCGCCGACCGAGGGACGGCTTGGGTCGACGTGGTTCTCCGCAATAATCAAAGCAGACAAATAATCACGGTGGTACGTGGTAATTAGAAGGGTAATTAGGCCAATGGCACTGGAATGATGCTAAGCATCACTCGATTGCCCTTAATGTCTTGAATATTCCTCCGTTAAGTCATCTGCCTTACGCCGTGACTCTCCTCGGCAGTCCGTCCTGGGCTAGTATAGATACCTAGGAGTATACCTATTAGTAACTGTATATAGATAAATCAATTGGGGTCTACGGCACGTGGGCAAGAACCAGAGACCATTTTCAAGGCCGGCATTTGTTTTTCTTCACTCTCCTCACGCTCTGGTCCAGTACGGCTGGGCTCCGTACATACTCGGTACAGGACCTGCCTTCATACTTCCGGGATCTATACATAGCACCCGGCGGAGCGCAAACAACGCCGGATCATTTGCATGTTTCCCATCCTTGCACCGCCTCCTTTCCGACGCTGCGAGGGCGCTACCAGCCAGAGACGTGAACGCTGGACGCTCAAGGGTCTGGGATCTGAAGTCTGGACGGATCATGCCCAGCCCTTCTGATGGTAAGATGAAACGGACGCGGACTCGTGCGACATCCCTGGAGAAAGTCCGTGTCAATGGAGCCGGACTCCATCTACACTACTTCATAGTACTGAGTAAAGAGTAAGTACACTGGACGGTGTACACCACCTACAGTATCCGTACTCTGGTAGAGAACGGCTAAATATAACCGGAGCGAAATTCCATCAAACCAATGAATGGTGAAACCCGCCCCACCTGGCGGGCAGCCCACCCTCATTGTGAAACGCTGCTAGTCCCGTCCGGGCCAACCCTGCTGATTGAGGGTGGGGCGCTGACGACTCATATTTCTTGAATATTTTTATTTGCTTGATTTATTCGCTTCCCCTCCGTATTGAGTCGGTATCTGAGCAGTACCTAGGTACATCTACAGTATAGTCTATAGAGGAGGTATACTCGGAGTATACAGCATTTCAATCCATCCAAGGAATGGATGACGATCAAGAGGGTCTTCTCCGCCACGCTATGCTGCTCTTCCCATTGTCGGTTTCGATCCCCATGCTTTGTCTCGCTGAGAGTAAAAATAACAAAGGATGCGATCCGCCCATGAACCGGCCGATTACGTGGAAGACGCTGGATGGCCAACCTCCTGGAATTCCATCTCCCGGCCTGGCGAGTCCCGCGCGCCTGAAAAAGCCAATGATGCCGTGATCTGCTCGATCACTGCTGGCTGGGGAGTTTAAACGAAAAGGGATGGATTAGTTATGAACGATTCATTATTGCACAGTATTCTATACTACGGAATAATGCGAAAGGCAGCTGTGAATCGAGCTCGGTTTCAAGATATCTACGAGCCGTCGGGTGCTCCACGCTCCGCCTTTGCTGGCGTCCCAATTTCCCCGTTCCTGAAACATGGGAATCTGGACGGTGGATGTTTGGAGTTCTGACACCAAAGCTTGACGCGAGCTTCTTCCTATCCCTGGACAGCGCGAGCCCGATGCACCGTTGATCTCTACTCTGTTTGGTTTCTACATCGTCCATACAGAGTACTCCGTACGCAGTACCATACTACTCCGGAGTACGGTAGTATCTGACGGACTGGCCCAATTATGGACCACCGGGCCATCTACCATCTAAATTCAACTTGGTAGTCAAATGCCCCGTAGTCGCCACTCAATATCTACCAAACCACCCGGTGAACATGTGGAAAACCCTAGTCTATATCTGAGTCAAGGTACCGGGCTGGCCGGCTTTCCTCTTTCATCGATCCGGCGGCGTCTCACCAGAAGCGCCACCGTGCATGCGACAGGGTCGAGCATCCGGCATGTCATCGCGGAGTCTGGAGCGCTACTGTCGGGGATCGAAAATAGAGTGTCCAAGCCAAGGGATGTATGCAGCCTACGTTTCTCCATTTCGGGTTCTCTGTACATACTCCGGAGTACTGCATCGGAGTACACTGTATGGAGTAGTAGTGTCTACTTATGTACCCCGTATCAGGGTGTTTCGGCATTATCCAGCCTTCTGTTATTATATATAGAATATAGATAATTATATGTAGATAAATAATCACCTCTCAGTTGGTATAAGTGATATTGTTCAGGATGATATTGTTCCGGTCGATCTGTTCGTAATCCGTCAACAAGGGAGAAATCCTCGTAGCTTATCTGGAGGAAACCAAGCATTAGCCACTCCATTACCTCACTCAATGCATTTGTCTCCTCCTCGATAAGGCCTTGGACTTTCTATCGTCACAAGAAATCACTGTGGTTGGTATTTCTTTGCTGGACTTCACCCGATGTAAGGAGAAAGAACCATCCTGTCTAGGTAGAATCACAAATATATATCCGGGCGGGCCAGCCAGGACGGCTCGGGCAGTAGGACAAGGGACCAAATACCCTGTTGATAATTGTTGATCGAGCTAGTTTCCCGCCAGTCAATCGACAACTATGGACACTAACTTAACACCAACAATAAATAAACAAGGTACAAAACAAGCCTTGAGATCAGCCTGGTTCAAGGGTACCATACCCACCTGTCATGAAGGCGGTCGGAATTCTCTGCCAATTCTTGTCTCCCTGGTTGCACAATGCAAACTCTCACTGTCTACGGAGTACTTCCTGAGTAATTACCTGGTGAGAGTTGGGGTCATGTTGCATCTGACTGGATGATGATACGAGATGGACGGACAACTAGCATGCATCCTTCTGCCCCTTCGACTTTGGATCCGTCGACGGCTACTCCGTATAACTACTTCTGCGTAGGGAAGCACTTCACGCAAGGTCGGATTCTAGGCGATTTCCCTAGGCATAGGCGTTCGTTAAACCGGTGCAGGTTTTTCTCCGATATGTAGGATTTCCGTCTAGGGACTCCGTCGGATCCGGATTGGGGTTCTGATTATGAGATCGAATATGTAGATTAACGGACCAACGGCCTAGCAGCAGTTAGTGAGCGCTAGTTCGATCTGCAGCGTATCCCGACTCCGTAGTTGGATCACTTTATCATGTCTGCCTAGTGGGAACTGGAACGAGCCCGCGAGAGATTCTGGATGAACGGAAAGCGAAAACCCTCGCGAGAGGGTGGAATGGAGCGCGATGGGAGAGGGCAATGGATCATACGAGAGATGACGGTGTAGAGGGTAGGAAGAGAGTGACATGGCTGAGACATCCCCCCCGACTTGTTGAGTTGGTGTTGTTTACTTTTCCTTAGCGTTTCCAAGTTTAGCAGCGGAACAAAGTGAGCAAACAAGGCGCAGCTTTAGTTCCGCTGCCACTGCCAGTGCTCTCTTCTCTTTTTCTGTTTGTGTTCTTTTCGTTTTTTCTAATTTTCTAAATTTCCAGAATTCTTTTCTTCTTTTTTCCCCCCCTGGCTGTTTGGACTTGTTCCTCTGCTCTGTCTGACTGCCGATTATTGTTCCACCGGTCTGACTGACTTTCCGATCCACCACTAACAAACCCCCCGTTTGGGCCCCAACAAGCCTGAATCCCGGTCTCTTCACCCACCCTCGCTTTCGCTCCTCTCTCTCTCTCCCTCTTCTCTCTCTCTCTCTCTCCTCCCTCCCTCCTTTCCGAACTCCCCCGTGTTTACCGCAGCTGCGCCTTTCCACCCGTCCTTTCCTCCCCCGCCATCCCTCTCCCCCCGAAGTTATGGTTCGCACCCCCTACGTTACCATTTCGGGGTAGGCCGAGGAGTCATTTCCTCCCTTTTTCGCATTCCTAACCGTCGGTCGATTTCTTGATCCGACGACATTCGCTTTTCCTCTCCTCCGACCATCCTTTCGTTCGTTTCGTCTACACCTGGGAGGATCGTGTCTTCAACCTTGCGGGCTTCCACCGATTCGACGGACCGACCGAGATTCCCGGGAACGACCTGTGCACAACGTGGATTAAATCGCTTGAAGAGGGGGCTGACCTCCCCGCGGAGGTCATCCGATCGATACTCGGCGGCCGTGATGGGTGTTGAACACCTCGACGCGCGATGGCATGACAGTCCGGACCCGACGACGGAAGCTTGGGAAGAATCTCAGACATGGTGCGAGAGCTTGCGACCACCGCGACGGCGGCGACTAGGCTCGATGGGTCGTGGAGTTGCCTGGATGTGGATGCTGGTGCTGATGGCCCTGGCCCTGGCGACTTCGACCAGCGCCGTGATGTTGGATTTCGAGAACTGTCTAGGGAAGTCCGTCATCGAATCGAGTCCGCTCCAGCTACAATTCGTCCCGCTGGACGTGGCCGTCCATTTTGATCAGGCCGATCCGCTGCATGCCCTGAACGTGACGGTCTACGGCAACGTTTCTGGGACCGCCGATCGGCGGTCGTCGTACCCATCTGCCGATGATCCCCAATGGATCAATTCAACCGAGACCGTGGGTAAGATCCTGGATCTGGATACCACGAACAACAAGTATTCCACCTTGTTGACGGCCGTCAACGTGGTCAGCTTTTCTCCCTACAACGATGCGTCTCGGTTTTGTAATTCCGTCACCCAAGGGGACTGTCCGTTGACGCCGGTGTTTAACGCGAACGCGTGAGTGATTCTTCCCCTCTTGCTCTGATGGACAGCTACTGACAAGTGCGTGCTGTGATGATTCAGGAGCGACTTGAGTGCCTTGCGAGCTATCTCCTTCCAGCATGATATGCTGTCGTCGTACCACTTCTCCACTCTCTCGTCCACCCTGACCATCAAATCCGGCGATGCCGATGCTACGATACTTGGATGCGTGTCGGTCGACGTCACTCCCGACCTGGGATCGTCTCTGAAGAGCGCTTTGGCATATGTGCCCCTGGTGATTCTCATCCTGGTAGGGATCGCTACTGTAACTGCGGCAATCTTCAGCCCTTGGGGTACGACGGACCCTTTCCACTGGACCAGCAACTACGGCCGCGACGAGGATGTGCTACGACTGGTGACGCCCGGGTTTGGAGATTGCCTCCAATACCTACAGTTTGCCGTGCTGACGGGCGCTCTATCCCTGAACTACCCCGGATATTATCAGCCCGTAGTTAGCCAAGTCGCTTGGTCGGCACTGATGTTCAACCAGAGCTTTTTGGACCCCGGCAAAGAGCGCGATCCCATCTCGGACGGGGTCTACCGTGTGAACGCGACTGATGGCCTGGACCGAATGGAGCATTTCGTGGGAATGGCGTCTCCCCAGGACCTGTGGCCCAACATGATGGTGTGGCTGCTCGTCATCGTGATCATCATCATGCTTCTCATCCAGCTGGCGTTTGCCTTCCGCTGGCTGCACCGTGAGATTGCGAGTATCCCCGAGGAAGACCTTCGCGCCAAGAACATGCCGTTCACCGTGGGTAACGTGATTCGGATCGTGTTCAACTACCTGTTTCTACCGCTCATCTCGCTCTCTTTCTACCAACTGGTCATCGCCAGCAAATCCCCAGCCTATTGCGTGGCTCTTGCCGTTGTAGTCATCCTGATACTGATAGCTTTTTCTATCTGGACGATCCGGCTGATTGCGAGTACGCGCCCTAAATCTTACCTCTTCGATGACCTACCGACCGTGCTGTTGTATGGCCCCTTGTACAACACCTTTTGCGACGATGCGGCTGCCTATGCGGTGGTCACGATCTTTATTTCGTTCGCCCGCGGCGTTGCTATCGGCGCGCTGCAGCCGTCCGGAATCGCCCAGATCGTGCTTCTGGCCATCTGCGAAGTCGTGTCGCTTCTAACCCTTCTGGCCTTCCGTCCTTTCGCATCGCCCACCTCTATGAACTTATATCATGCCTGCTTCACTGTGGTTCGGTTCCTTACGATATTGCTCAGCGTTGTGTTTGTTCCCTCCTTGCAGGTCCCGCAGGTTGCGCGAGGGTGGATCGGATATGTGATTCTGCTGCTCCACGCCCTGGTTCTCGTCTTTGGATTTTTCCTGAATGCCTTACAAACCTTGATCGAGGTCTTTGCACGACTGGCTGGTGCAGGCGGAAATGAAGGTGGCGTTACTCGAGGCGGTCTCACGAAGGTGTGTTACTTTCCCTCTATTTTCTTTTTCTCTTCTTTCCAGGTAGTGAACTGGGCTAATGACATTTCCCAGGTGTTCGGTATGCGTCAACTCTCGCGGCGGGTTCCAAGACGCGATGCGGGAACTCGTCAAAGCATGGGCTCCGAGGCTGCGATGCTAGGCCACGGGGACGATCGATTGTCCTCTCAATTTGACGGATCACGACCGCGGAGTCTGTCGGGGAGCTCGGCTTTGCTCCTCAACCGCGCGACTGCCAGTGACGGAAGAGCCAGTGCATTTTACGAATCTGCTAGCGCTCACGGCGCCCACAGCCGGGCCAACAGCAGCGGCATCTTTGCACCGTCGACGCCTGGCGGCCACACAACTTTCCAGGGCGCGGGGTACCACACGCCCGGCAGTAATTCTCCTAAGAGTGGGCCAATATTCGCCATGCATCCGCAGGACCCCTATTACCGACCCCCGCGAACCCGTCGGAAGGGGACAGATGGGAGCATGGGAGAAAAGAGTGGTCGTGGTCAGCGGGTCGCCAGCTATGCGGACGACGACGATATAATCGAAGGCCCGTCGATTTCGGGAAGAGCCACTCCGGTGCCGGCTTATATTCCGGCGCCCAAGGACGATTTGGACCTTGACGATCCTCGGCAGTCGCAGAAAGACTACGCCGTTCGTGAAGTGGACTTTTACTACCGGGTGCGCGGCCCTCCGTTATCACAGTCCGGCACGCGCAAGTTGAAAACGGGTCCGGCAGACCCGACGGGCCCCGTGTCGTCTGCCACGGGATTTTTCAGGAACCTGTTCCAAGGCAAGACGAAGGAGAAAGGAAAAGGCTTTGAAGTTGTCCGGAGTTCACGGGCTCCGCCCCCGGGTCTCTTCCCCGAAGCACAGTACAATGAGCCGTACTCAGACGAGCCTGGAGACCACGCCGCTTCCGGTGCCGTCGGTGCCGGGGCTGGTGCTGTCAGTGCTGCCGGTGGACATACGCGCCAGGTCTCCGAAGGGGAGTCGGTTTATCGAAGCTCGGACGACGATGAGGAGGACGAGGATTCCGAGGAGGAGCACCACCGACCCACAAATGTTGCTCCGCTTAGTCTGCCGCAGGTTGATGCGGGCGGTGCCATCGAGCTTCCGAGCCGCTTGGGCTCGCGCCGTAGCTCTCGGCCTCCGTCCCTGATGTTGGAGACGCCATCAAACCCCGGGCAGCGGCAGGAATTCGCGCGCTCGATAGACGTGGGAGACGAGCACATGTCTCAGAAGTCCCTTCCGGCCGTCAAAGAGGTAACGACAGGGGATCCTAGAGAGTTCCATGACCACGGAGAGCCCATCTTCCCCCCGAACCAACTCCATCCTTCTTCGTCGGGCACCGGTCGGTTGCCCTTCAGTGCCAATAGCTCGCCGTCCCGAGACCGCAATTTCTCGATTGCGTCCACGACGGCGTCCACCTCTTCCAGCCGGCACCATGCACACGAGGGCCACAGCCAGGGGCGGGTGGAACGACCGTCGAGCATGGGATACGTTGCGCAACATCGCACCCGCGACTATATCCACGAGGCCAGCCCGGACGAACCCTCCTTCACGGGCAGCGCGGCAGAGCTTGTTGACGAGCCGCACCATCACCCCGAGGGAGAACGGTAGATTCTCGACCCGTCTTTTGCGAATTCTCACTTCCTATGCGATGCACTCGGTGGCACTTTTCTCTTTTTGCATTCCGTTGGCTCTTGATCCGGCAGCGTGATTGATTTCCTGCGCCTTCCATTTCCCTTTCCATTCGATTCTGTATTCTGATATCAACCTTACGAATTTCCTTTCTAATCGGAAAAAATGTGCGCCGTGGCGTTTGTGATATACGTTTGGATCTTGTTACATATGTACGTGTACATACTGTCCGACGGGCCATGAGGGCTCGTCTTTGTTATAGGTTTATAAATCAATCAATCTGATATACGTGATGATTGTAGAGTATGGCAGAATAGTTGTAGGAGCCAAAATGAGTAAAGTAGATAGATACAGAGTCAAGATTTATACCCCCAGCGGAACAACAGTGCAAGTGGCGAATTGATGACATGCGTTGAGAGGAAGGTATACACCCTCACGAGGAACAGACCGATCCTCTGACATCGACAGTTGGAACCGTCATGAGGATTTTCGCCTCTAGTACGAGTCACTGCAGGGATCACGCGGGGTCTGGAGCGCCTTTTTTCGCGGTGGCGGCAAATCCTCGGCTGGGATCTGTTCGTAGGGAAACCTTAACCTTCGCTAGTCTGCCCCTCGTTGTCAACAGAAATAATAAAAAGGGAGCGAAAAAAAAGGAAGAAGGGGAAAAAAAGAAAGAAAGAAAGAGTCAACTCGGTTTTGTGGTGAGAGGGAGAAACGGAGTGTCACGAGACCCCGAATTGATTGATCCATCCAGAGACGGGCGCCTTTTCTCTCTCTTCCTTCCTGGTCTCCTCTCTCTCTCCCTCCCTCTCTTTCTCCCCTCTTTTCCTGCCGTCTCTCGCCCTCCCCATTGCCCCGTTGATACGGCCTGGTCTTGTCCTCTTTGGATAGAGTGACGGCGCCATTTTCATCCCACTTTTCGTCTAGTGTGTTGTTACGCTTCTTTCACCGCTCCTTATCTCTCCGATAGTGATCAGTCCGACCTCTCTGTATCGCGACCCAATTCCCCGAATCCTTCCGCCCTGGCACCACCACGCCACCCAGTCAATGACGGTCCGTCCTCCAAACGCCGGAGATTGATCTCCTCTACAACCCTAGGAAGAAGATCTCTCGCTGCGACCGATCCAATTTCCGGGTTCATGTCGTCCTTGTCGAGTTCCGTCTCAGCCTCGTCCAATCCACCCGCCACCCGCGCCCATCAGGTCTTCGCCGGCCCCGAACGTGCCCCAACCATACCCCATGCGAATTCCTATAGCGTTGTAGGGACCAGCGAGGCCGGCCCTTCGTCGTCTTTTGCCTCGGAACGGCGTGCGGAGAGAAGGCGGTCCACCCTGTCGGGCTCCGACCGCAAGAGAAGGCTGGTCCACGATGGCGATGCCTGGTTGAGACGCGCACAATCCGGAGACGGCGTGGAAGCCGGACCCAGTAGGAGACCGTCGGATTCAAATAGCAGGTCTATTTCGAGCGGATTCTCCCATGCTAGACGCGATGCCCCCCTGCCCGGCGCGTCTTACGCTACGGCCATCGACTTGTCGGCGTCTTCACCGCCGCCGCAGCAGCAGCACCGCCATTCTCCGACAGGCGAGCGGCGGAGTTCGTGGTCTCGCACGGGAAGTAACTTTTTGGAGTATATACGTCCGCGCTGGCAGCCTGACACCGAGGTGACGGAATGTCCCATCTGCGAAATCCCGTTTAGTTTCTGGTACCGGAAACATCACTGTCGGAAGTGTGGGCGGGTCGTGTGCTCGTCATGTTCACCGCACCGGATCACCATTCCGCGGCAATTCATCGTCCGGCCGCCAGATTCGCATCGCTCGTCCGTGACGCCGCTGGTTCCATCCCGCGCTGCTCAGATCTTGGACGCTGACGCCAACCCCAATTCTGCTGTCAACCCGGCGCTAGGAGGCGGCGAGGAAGTGCGTCTTTGTAACCCGTGCGTGCCGGATCCTAACCCCGATCCTCCACGTGGATACACCACCCTCCGATCTCATCCAGGCCAACCGAATCAGTCGCGGCATCGATCCTACCATTCGCTGTCGATTCCTAGCAGGCCGTCTTATAGTGCAACTGTGAGTACCTTGATTTTGGAAGGGCACTTGACCTCTCCACAAACGAAGAACTGACCGAAACCTAGCATGACAACTTCTCTTCTCGACCCGGCCGCAGAACGGTAGGATCGAACGACTATTCGTCAACCTTTGCCAGCTTAGGAGGATCGCTTGGATCCCAGTTGCCGGAGCGTTCGATGAATTACGGGTCCATGTCTGGTCGGTTGCCCTCAATGATGGGGACGCCTCCGCATGTAGTTTACCCTCCGCACCACCACCCGGGGCTCCCTCAGCCCGCACCGTCGTTATACGACCCCCATTCCCTCTCGCAAGGTAGTCGCCATGTCCACGAGCGCGATCTCTGTCCGATCTGCGACCACGAACTTCCACCCTTAGGCGTCGACGGGAACGAGACTCTCCGCGAAGCCCACATCCGGGAATGTATTGAGAGTCACGGTCGACAGACACGCTCGCCCTCGCAAGGCGATAGCCCGGTCTCGCAGCCCGCCTTGCCGGTCCGCATGCTCGCGTTCACGGCGACGGAGAAGGACTGTCTGGGCCACGACGGGTCCACGCAGGAATGTACCATCTGCATGGAGGATTACGAAGTTGGTCAGGCGCTGGTGCGCCTAGAGTGTCTCTGCAAGTTCCATAAACGATGCATCGTTGAATGGTTTGAGCGGAAGAAGGAATGTCCCGTGCATAAGGTCTCATGAGGTTGAACTTTTGGACTTTCGTTTGTTTTTCTCTCTTTTGGATACTCTCACTTACTGGATATTGGGTAAATGGCGTTGCAGTACTTTCTTATTTTTTTTTTTTTTTTTTCTTTTTCTGGCATGGTTATCTGACGGGGGTGCGTTATTGTTTTGTTTAGAATCGTTCTAAGCGGTGGATTTTTGCGCATGTCTGCGTTGACGCGGAATATGCCCGTTGCCAATTTGCCTGCGAGTGTTTATTTCGGTGTGTCGGTCAATCGCTACTATAAGAATAAGAATAAGAATTAAGAATGAATTTACAATTCGTGTATAGTGTAGATTTAGAAGAACGGTGATTCAGGCTGCTATTCCCCAAACGGGAAGGTGATCAGGCGGCAAAGGAATCCCGCGCGGTCACCTGCTTCTGCTTTTTCCCTCGTTTCTGTGCTTTTCTTTTCTTTTTCTCCCTCTCTTTCTCGCTGATGCAGGACGCATGCGCCGTTTCTTCCCCCCAAAGCTTGGGTTTTTCATCATCGATGACAATTCCCCGCTTCATCGGACCCGTCAACGTCAGAACCCGCTTTTCCCTTTTCTCGCTGCGTGGTCAACGGTTTAACCTCCGGATCACCGTCTGATCGGTCATCGGTCCCCGACCCGACCGTCTCTCCGACTCTCAGGCCCAGCGTCCTATCCACCCTCCACTCTCCAGGTAAGCCGAAGGAATCCGACTCCCTGTCTGCGTCTAGCCTATTCCCCTTTGGACGGTCCGCTGGTCTTGTCCGTTGGCTTGGTAAGCACCGCTCGCTGCGCTGATCGTGCTGGTGAATCTGATGCCAGGGAGCTGGTCGGATCAGCCGAGCTGACTGACATTCTCCGCCCCCGCAGCAGCCGATGGAGATCGACCCGCGCCTGCGCGCCGCCTCGGACGGTCACTCTGATGCACCCGCCCTGTCGCAACAGTCGCTTCCTCATCCCCATCCCCGTGCCTATGTTTCTGCCGCCGCCGCCGCTCCCTCCCCGCCCACTAGACATGCCGACCTCAGCGCCTCCTCGTCCCGCACGACTAGCGAATACCCCGACCCGCCGTCCCACTTCTCCGGCGAACATGTCCATTCCGCCGCCGCGTCGGCGACGACCAATGATGTGAGCTACTACGGCGCGTCGTCTGCCCACTCGTTATACCAGGGAGGAGGCCCGGGGTCCGGGCCTGCGGCGGAGGTGCTCGACCCGAACGATCCGTATGCCGATTTGAAGCGTCCGCGCGCTTGCGAGGCTTGTCGGCAGCTGAAGGTCCGGTGTGAGCCGGACATGAATAATCCGGATGGTTCGTGTAAGCGGTGCGCGAAGGCGAGACGGTCTTGTGTTGTCATGGTGCCGACTCGGAAGCGCCAGAAGAAGGCGGATAGTCGGGTTGCGGAGTTGGAGAGAAAGATTGATGCTTTGACGGCTAGTTTGCAGGCGTCGCATGGGCAGGATCCCTTGCAACAGCAACAACAGCAGCAGCAGCAAGTGCCCGTGACGCCGGTGGAATTGCCGCGCGAGGAACATGCGGGGAGGAGGTGGTTGGGTCCGACGACGCAGGTGGCTGGTTCGTCGGCGGAGGATCCGCATGTGGGTTTGTCTGGGACGAAACGGCATTACGGCGGGGAGGTCAAGAATGCACGGAATGAGCCGATTCTCGGACATGGAAATACGAGCCCTGGTTCGGATCATGGAGACGGTGGGAGGACATGGCGATCTCCGTCGAAGCCGGTGTCTAGGTCGGAGCCGAGCGACTTCGTGGATGTGATCGACCGGGGTCTCGTGAGTGTGGAAGTCGCCTCGGAGGCGTTCAATCGATTTGTCAACCAGATGGCCAACAGCATTCCGATGGTCGTCTTTCCCCCAGGCACCACCATGACGGACGTGCGCCGGTCTAAACCACTCCTTCTCCACGCTATCATTGCTGCCGCCATCGGTCCCATCCAGCCCGATTTGCACCTGCCCCTGGTCAACGACTTCTACAAAGTCATCGCAGACCGTATCATCGTGCGCGGCGAGAAGTCTCTCGAAATCATGCAGGGGTTGCTCGTCACTTGCAATTGGTACGCCCCGCCGGATAACTTCGAAGAGTTGAAATTCTACCAGCTCAGCCATCTGGCCCTGACGGTCGGGATTGATATCGGCATGTATCGGAAGCTTGGGGCGCGGAATAAACATTTTAGTCTGGTTAAGGATCTGATGCAGAAGAAGACGCCAGGTCAGGATCCGGATTCGCCTGAGGCGAGGCGTGCTTGGTTAGGTTGTTATTTTGTTGCTGTGCAGTATGCCCCCTCTTCTGTGTGGTTAAGGTATGGTTGTTAACAGTGACAGGGTGTCTACTTCATTGCGACGACCGATTCTGGTCCGTTGGAGCTCGTACATGGATGAGTGTGTGGAGGTTCTCGAGAAATCGCCCGACGCTTTGCCAACGGATAAAGTGATGGCCCACTGGGCTAAGCTGGCACATATCATCGAGGAGATTAATATGCAGTTTGTGGGCGATGAAACGACGGCTAATGTTGCCTTTGTCGACCCGAAATTCCAGTACACGCTCAAGGTTTTCGAAAAGCAGCTAGAGCAGTGGCGCAGGGAAGCGCGGCCGTATGATTCTCCCATGCTCAAACAAGCGGAATGTATTGTCGATCTCTACATGCATGAAGGGGCCATGCACATGGAAGTTAACGACGAGCCGAAAGCGGAAGACTATTCGAGTCCTACCAGTGCAGCTCACATGAACGCGCTGAGTATCTGTCTCACTGCTATCCATCAGGCGTTGGATACGATTTGTGCCATCGATGGGAAAGATCTCATCGCGTTACCTGTGGTTGCGCTGGCTCGCACGTCTTTCGCCGTCGTGGCTCTCATCAAGTTGTTTTCGTTGGTGTCCGCTCCAGAGACACGCATCGGACAGGTCATCGACCCGTCTAGTCTGCGGGTGGAATATTACATCGACAAGGTGATTCAACATTATCACCATGCCGGTGAGCTTCCGGGCGGCCGCACTCCGAATAAATTCTGCGTGGTCCTCCGCATGCTTCGCAGCTGGTTTGCGAAGCGAAAGGACCAAATATCCGCTCTTCAGGAAGGGTTGGGCGGGAAACGCAACGTTGTGTTTTCGCAAGATGAGCCGGACAACGAACAGAACCAACCCGTGAGTCTTTCGTCCGGTTTGGTTGAATCGTTCATCAGCTAACAATCACAGTCTAAACCCGGCACTACGCCCCTTCATCTGCTCAGCGAAGTCGCTATGGGTGAACCGAAGAACCACGCCCATCTCTCCTACGGCAGAGGCCAAACCCCATACACCCCTCAAACAACTGATTCCCTCAATCAGACTCAATCATCTACTCTCCTCTCACACACTCCCCAATCTCTCGACCCCTCCACAACTACTACAACTACCTCCTCCGACCCCTGGACCCAATACCCCTCCACCACACCCAGACAATACTACAGTAACCCCCCTTTCACCTCTCCATACCAAGACCTTCCTCCCTCCGCATCATCAACCTATCCCGATCCTAACACCCAAAACCCTCACAATCCTAATAATCTCGACCTTTCTGGAACTGGACCTGGTGTCTCGAGTGCAACACCTACTCCGGGCTTCTTTTTGCCGGAATTGGGTCTCCAGGTCGGTGGCGATCCGGATAATTTGTTCGCGTTGGAGAACATGTTTGGGTATGGGGTGTTGAATTTTCCGGCTGATCTTGGTGGGGGTGGGGAGGGAATGGGGTTTTATTGATCTTAATTTGTAATAGGATCTTGTTATCGGGTGGGTTGGTTGGGTGAGTTGGATTGTATGTAAGGATGGTTGGATGGATGTAAATATGGTGGATACTACCTAGAATAGGTATAGGGTTGGGTTTGGATTTGGATATGGATATGGAAATGTATATTATCTTATGTTGTGTGATGTGTGTTTTGATCGGTGTCTGGATGTATATTTTTGGTTGTAGATGGTTCTGGAAGGTTTAGATAGGTCTAGGTAGGTACTGGACTGGACATATACTGTACATATGATAACTACCTATAGTAGAGAAACGATCAATTTCTTTGTATTCAGTTTCTGGCTCGTCTAGGGATGGATGGATGGATGGATTTATGTATGTATGTATATGGATCTGGATAGATGTACATAGAGGTGGTTTTATCATAGCGTTCTAGGTACTGTACTGTACTTAGCTAGGTATGTAGTAAGTGTAGTACATACATACATACATTGTTAGACTTGGATGTGGATGAGTCTATCTATCTGTATCTATGCAGATCTCATGGCTGGACTGGGATGTGACTAGTTAGTTATGGCTAGCTAGCTTTATTTCTTGGCTTTTTATCGGTTAGAGAAGATGATGATTAGATGCATGGATAGATAGGTAGGTAAACAAGGAGATAAATAAAAATAATAAATGAAAATACTAACTAACTTACCATATAAGTTCCTTATATAACTATCATATTCCACTGAATATCAACATAACTTATGCTAGGGCTAGGGCTATGATATAGTATAGTGTAGTATAGTATACCTTAGGACATACTATTATACAATCTAGAGGTTGTATGAAATGGAGAGGAAGATAATTTAATTTATAGCAGACTTAGTACTGATAAAACACAACATAACAAAACTAAAAAGCATAGTCATCTGTATACGTATACAAAAGAAACAATACAAAAATAAATAATCCAGAAAAAGCAGAAGAAAAATAAACAAACTCGCTAGAACAAGAAACCCGCTAGAAGATACACCAGGTATCTATAATGCATTCGTTGACGTCGTCGTCGTTTCGTAAGAAGGCATTTCTCCATGATGATTGGCAGGTGAGACCCGTCGCTGCAATAATGGTTCGTGTTCCCAGTCTCGTGCTGAGAAACCATCTGCCAAGACACCTTGTTCTAGATTTCCGTTCGCACTGGTACCCCCCGGACCAGTGGCCATGTTTCGGGCCTTCTGCCAAACGAACACAACCAACGCAAAACCGACGAGGAAGGTTAACGCGGTAAGAACGATGTTTATGGGGATTGGGTTCCGTCGGAAAGTCTTGAACGTGAGCACGTCGAGCCCGGCCTGGGCGAAATTACCCAGTCCAGCGAGACAGATTATCAGCCCGTAGACCTTGCCGAATGTCTGGAAACCGAAGACTTTGGCTGCGTAGTCGGACACTAAAGTGTAGTAGAAAGGACGGTAGATGACGAAGAGAACGATGTTCGCGTATCCGGCCTGCAGGCTGTCTGGGATGCAGCCGAGGATACCGATCACGGTGGCTGTGGTGGCGAGGACAAGGAGAACGAACGGGGTGCTGGCGGTGTCGATGATGGTGCCGATGAAGGGGATGGAGAGGAGGCCACCGATGGGGAGCAGGAAGTCGAAGGATTCGTTGAGGCGGCGGGCGGCGTCGCGCGAGCCGAAGAGATATTCATATTGCTGGCGCAGCGAGGCAACAAAGTAGTTGATTCGGAGCATTTGGAGGACCGTGAATAGCGTGATGAGCACGAACCAAGGGGACCGGATCTGTTGCAGGGCGGAGCGGCCGTGCAAAGCGCCCCAGACGCCACCGGCGGTGTGCGTGTTGGTTTGCTGCGACTGCTGGTGCTGCTGGCGCAGACGAGTCTGCGCGGAGCCGTTGGCGTCGACGGGGTTGGTGCCGAGGATCGGGTCGGCGATGACAGAGGTGGCGTCATCGTCGCCATCAGTCAGGAGGTCTTGGATCTTACTGACGATGCTTCGGCGACGAACGCGACGGTCGATGCGCTGGCGTTCACTCTCGTTGCGGTCTTGGATCGCGGCGTCGAGCCGGTCGTTCAGTTCCGCGGAGATGTGCACCTCGGCCTGCTGAACAAGTTCTCCGGCGGTCTTGTACGAGGTCGCCGGCATGATAGTTAATTGCACAACTAGTATGAACAATGGAACAACCAAGTATCCCAGAAAGAACTTCTGCGATGTGAAACGCCCATCGCTAGCCTCACTTGCCAGGCGGAAAATTAAGAATAGAGCGCTGGAGGCGTCAAATGCACCCGTGAGCGAGGATAGTATAAGTCCCGAGTGTGTAGGAAATGTGTTGGACAGCTGAAACGAAGAAATGAACACAAATGGGCCGCCCACAGACAGAGCAAGGTAGCCAGGAATATAGGCATCGAAAGGCACAGCAGGAGCTAGACTAAGAAGCAGAGATCCCAGAATGAGAAAAACACATCCCAATACGCCACATACACGCGGACCATAGGTATCCAATATGGTGCCCACAGGCAGGGCCGAAACGTTAGTTGCGACAGCCGCAATGGTGAACATGAGATTCAGACTGTTTTGAATTAGTTGACAGCACGATCTGATCGATCGGAAAACGCACCGGATTTCCTGTCCATAGCATACCGCCTGGCCGCCTTCCAGCTCTTCGGTAGAGCACTGCTCACGATAGACGCCTTCTTTGAGAAAGACCGGTTTGATCGCGGCGAATCCAAAGACAATCCCGGCAGAGAAGAAGCAATAGAGTATAGCAATACAGACCTGCACTGTGGGAACATTAGTCCGCGTTACGGCTACTGAAGTCATAAATTCAGCTTACAGATTCGCCGAGTGCGCCCAACCTCAAATGCTCCAATGGTTTCCAAGCCATTCCAATCCCGGGGTTTAACTTCTGGGACCGGCTCGGCTCTCTCTGGTTGATTCTCTTGATCTTGTGCAGGCACATTCAGCGGCTCTCTCCGCGTGGAAATCCTGTCGGCATTGGCCTCATCTACGGAGGGCTCGTTCCAGCCGGGTCCAGAGTACGGGTTGAAATTCAAACGATGCCGGAAGGAATTATGACTGTACGTCGAAGGAAAAGAAGACGATAGGGAGGGTTCGGGAAGATCGTGATATGCTAGCTCATCGTCATCAGACTCATCTGCAGGAGACTGTTCGCGAGGTCGACGACGGAACGAAGCGGGATTTTGCACCCACGACTCTAAATAGGAGAGACGGTTGAGAGACATCCCGGTGGGGAATGTCCGATCGAAAGATAGAGAATGAGGTGCTGTCAGAATGAAGTTCCCTGAACGGCTCCGACGAGTTCGATATCACGTCAAGGAAGACCCCAGGCTCTAACCAGAAGCTCCCTGGTCTTCTTACAAGGTACTGATGCGGGGAAGGAATGGTATATAGACGGGAAAGAATGACGGAGATGGAATTAGATGCCGATAGTAAGCTAGGATATGAATGCTAGATAGACGGACGATGGAAATGGCATGACTGGCATCACGAGACAGGATGATCGAGTCTCGTTTTCCGATGGAAGTTCAACAATGCGGGTGGCTGGGAAGATGCAGGAAGGAACGAAGCGGCGGCGGCTTCGACGACAACGCGGAGATCGGTGCCACGTGACCCTCAGCTCTCTCCGCTGAGATGAGTCAGCAGTCCCTGGCGGCCTGGAAATCTTGGCGGCAACGGATGCCTGGAAGTGGGCAGAAGTTGGCGGTGAGTAGAGACTCTTCTTCCTTCTCTGTCTGTCTCTGTCGTAGACATGGACCTTCTCTCCTCTGCCAATTCCACACGATGACGAACCCTCGTATCTCCGTTCAACGCCACAACGACCAGCACCCCGTTCGTCATGACTAAGCTCCCAGACAAGTGGCTGGATACGATCCTCAACCTCATGTTTCTGGTTCCATGCCCGAGCGGACTCTCTCCGATACTGAACCAACGGGACAGATAGGGTCACCCGTCTTTAGCTTATCGGCCCATAGCTGACTCGCGGACTGTTGTGCGATTGGACAGAGGCTCTAATATGCTCAGCAATGGTGATCCACCAGAGACCTCGAGTCGATACTCTGCAGTCTCCGAAGCCGAGCCCGACGTCTTCACGACGGCGGATGGAGTGATGACCATTCTGTCGGTGTTTGTCCGCCGTTGGCTGACTGCCATCTTAAGTTGAGCCATGGTTCTGGTGGTTTGCAAGTTTGGAGAAGCTCACTTTATTTTTTATTTATTTCATTTATCATTTTTTAATCCCTTTTTTCTTTTTTATCTTAATTTCTTTCCGTCTCTTTGCTTCTTGGTATTTCCCCTCCGGCTCCGACTCTGGTTCACTATGCCTAATTGGACTTGGCCAACCTTTTAGGCGCGTTGAGAGTACATCAGAAAGTAGTTGACTGACCTGCGCTGCGAAGATCCTTGCTCTCCCTGGCCACAGCCGCCACCGTCCTGCGCCTTTGACATTGTTGGTCCCTGGCTGCACGACAGAAGACAGAGCCAAGATCCTTAGGCCAAGATACTGACCTGCTACTCCGTAGTGATGTTGCATGCTACAAGCAACGCTAGCTAGGGCACACGCCGGCAAGCGTGCTCACCACTCGAAAGGGACTAGACACTCACGCTACGCCGAGTACATCACATGGGACCTCTTAGCGGGTCCGGATGAAGTGAAAGATGACCTATGGGTAGGTGGACTTGGCCATTAATAAAGCAGGTTTCAAGACAGATCAACTTTGACTAGCAGGGGGGCCGGCCGGCCGCAATGGGTAACCGTGGGTTTACCACCGCTCGACGCGCATAAAAGCGGATGCCTGCGAATTACGGAGTAATAAAAAAGAAAAAAAAAAAGAAAAACATGAAAAAGGAAAAAGAAAAAGAAAAATAAGCCGAAACAGCGAGATTGATTAATAACGGCAAAAACTAAAATCTTCAGACGATCAAAGGCAACGTGTGAACACCGCTAAGGCCTCTTAGGGGGATGGCTTAGTGTCAGGCTCTAATCACTCAGGGACCATGCATGAAAGACGAATCATAAACAAAAAACATAATGACATGCCCAAGGGAGTTAAGCGTGAAGACCCGGTCCGGCGACCGTCTCCTGGAGGCTTGCCAGAATGCCCATTGGCAATCAGGCATTTAAATTCAAGACCCCCCCAGGAAGGAAAAAAAGCACCCAAGGAGAGGGGGGATGGTGAGAAATGCCGGACTCTCAAAGTCCAATCAGATGGCTCTGGTTCGCATGGCCTCACATTTAACTCATCCCAAATTTGCCACTTCTAGAAGGGATCAGAGGGCGGGTCTGTCAATCGCACGCGCTCGCCGGGCACGAAGAGAAACAACTTAACACCCAGGGCTCCGTCTTCCCTGAAGCTTGAGTCGATTGGCTATCCCATTTCAAGAATGGGGATGGGATGAGCGGATTATCAAATGTGGCTCCGACTTAAGCTGCCACGGTGCCACCCATACCTCCTCTTAGGCACTTTAGCCTATGGCTGTCGGATGGAACAGCCCTGCTTCGGTGCTTCGGTGCCTCTGTGCTAGAGTCTCCAGTCTCCTCTCCAGCCCCTGGAGCCTGAAAGTCTGGATTTGCCGCCAAGAATTACGATCTTCTGGCTGTCTTCATCGTGTTTATCAGTGTGGTGCTTTTATTTATTATTTTTCTGGGCCTTCAGGTGTTTTATTTTTTTTTGATTAGCTTGATTAATGGTTATTATTTTTTATTATTCTGATTTCCACTTTTCTTTTTTATTTTGTTTCTATTAAAGTCGCAAGTCACCTCCGATGCTAGTCTGCCACTGATCAATCCCTCTTGGCCTCCACTCTGAATGAACCATCCGTCCGGTTGGGCATTTTAACCGTTTAACATTATTTCGTACCATCGCCTTCGCTGTTGCTGTCACCAAAGCGGTTACTTTTAGCTGCATATTAGTCGGCGTTAATTCTCCTCCTCTGGCCTTCTCTTTCTTCCTTCCCTTTTCCCTTTCCTCTCCTCTTATTCTTCCCTCTTCTTTTCTGCCTCTTGGGTTTCGACCTCCGGTTTATTACCGTATCATCTTGATAATCCGCTGCATCTTGTTCCTTCACCAGTTGTGTTGATGTTCTCTCATCGATAATCCATGGCTGTTAGAATTGACAGCAGCGGAAGTATCTGACGACACCGTGATGAGGGGATGGTAAGTAGTAAGATGACTTTGACTCTCGTTGACTTCTTTCTGTGCTTTGTCTGTTCCTGCGGTATAGTCAGCATCTTATCTAATACCCTTTTCTTTCTCTTGTCTTAGTCTCACTTGCCGTCAGCGCCATCTGAAATGTAAATCCCCATTAAGAAAGAACCAGCACTCCCTATCCCCCGTCTCCCCCTACTATCCTCTTTTTTTTGACGTTTAACCTTCCCCTAACATCCAGGATTTAGGTGACAAAACTGGGACTGAATGCTTACGTTGTCAACGATCGGGACGGCAGTGCATTCCTGCGCCCGCGAAGCCGGAAGAGGTCACATTTCGACACGGCCAGAATCCGTCCTTACGCCAAAGGGGCCCTCCTCGTTACGGGGAGAGCGACTTGTCGTTTCCGGATGATCAGATCTGGGTTCACACGCCTTCGGAAGGTTTGTCTCATTATTCATGGGTTTTTGATCGTTTTTTGATGGTCTCGGACCCGCTGATACTAGGTAGTTGCCTTTGAGGACGAGACAGATCGAACAGCTGCCGACTACCACATTGTTTCATCGGCAGCATCCCCTTCATATTTGAGAGAAGCGTCTGAAAGTCAGTCGTCTACTTCTATTGCCCCTCCCCGGCTCGCTGTCTCGCGAGTGGCAGTCTCGCCGGTGGACCCGGGCGCACTAAGGGGGCAGCCGGTAGCTGAATTACGAACTGTTATGTTTAATCATCTCTATTCATCAGAGAATCTCGGGGATCATCAAAAGTTGAATAATTTTAACGAGGCCTTCTTGTTGAGGCATTTCCAGAATACTCTGGGAGCATGGGTATGACCCGTCCCCTTTTCCACTCTGATCGGACGTCTCAGGGAGAAGCAAAGCAGAACCAAGCACGAAAAGATGACTGACTTGAGATAGATGGATGTTTGTGATCACGAGAGGCATTTTTCTACTACGGTCGTCGAACGAGCCCCGTCGTGTGCTCTGTTGAGGTATGCCTGTCTCGCCATCGCCGCTCGCCATCTCTCACACACCACCAACACCATCCCATCGAATGCAGCGGACGGGTATCACGAGCGCTGTATCGCCATTCTCCTTCCGGTCCTTGAAAACCCTGATTTCAAAATCAGCATCGAGATCCTCCTAGCCTCGACGGTCATACTACGATTCTTCGAGCAGTTATCCTGTGGGTCTCCTGATCTGGCCTCGTATTCCATCGTGGCTAGTTTTTTAACAAACAAAATGAAAATAGCACATACTCCATCCAGTGACCTTCAACGACACTTACTCGCCGGGTCAGTGTACATCAGTTCGCACGTCGACTGCGCCATCTCTGGCGGCCTCGCGGAGGCCTCGTTCTGGGTTTTCGTGAAACAAGACATCCAGTTTGCCCTAGCGTACCGCAACCCGCTTCGACTGACCATCAGCCCATTCGAAGAGAAACTCCGCCAGCGATGGGAGCAGACCAGCGTACCGAATGACCGGGACTGGTCGCACAAGGCGATCTGGTTGTTAGCGGAAACCATCAATTATTGCTACGGGGCTACGCATCCGCTCCACATGGACACGATCGACGGGGAAGCGCTGAAGCGAAAGATTTGTGCCTGGGAGGCCGGAAAGCCGGAGAGTTTCCAGCCATTGCATTTTTCGCCGGCGAATACGAGCACTGGGAGGCCGTTTCCTCTAGTCTGGTTTACTAGTTCGGCTCATGGTGAGTTTGTGGTGGGGTGGTGTGCTAGGGGTGGTTTGTTTAGTGTTTACCGAGTTATACTAACGCTCGAGCAGCTACGGCGGTCCAGCATATTTGCATGACCAAGGCATTAATTCACCAACATGAGCTCCACACGATGGGAGGGTCGGAATCCAGTCTCGAGTCGAAAAGAATCTCGGTACGTTGACCTGGACAGGATACTATATGCTATGTTCCATACTAATGAACCCCCCGCCGTCAAAGGACGAGGTGATGAAAAACTTGAGCATCATTTTCGGCATTGCTCTATCTGCCGAGGACGATCCACCCGTGCGCATAATGGCCTGCCACGCTCTCTGTGCCTGTAAGTGTAAGACCAACAATTAAAAAAAGGACCCTTGTCCTTTTGTTTTTCTTGCTAATAACCTTATTTCCCTCCCTCCCCCTTTTTTAATTATCCTGCTATTTTTTAAGTTTCGCGGTTCATTTATTTTGCTTTCGTTCGGGGTTAATTTTTTTTTCTCCGAACGAAAGTTTAAGCAACTCCAACCCCAACAAACAAACTCACGCTAATTTTTTCTCGGGTCACGAGATTATAGGTGGTTCCTGGATTCGCGATCCCCTGGCGCAAAACACCCTTCTCGATCTGCTTCGTCGCACGGAGGCCGAAAACGGCTGGCCTTGGAGTTTTGCCATGCAGAAGTTCAGTCATGATTGGCGGGCGCCGCGATGACACAATCCTTTCCTCCTCTTCTATACCTACCTCTACCTCTACCTATACCATACCTATACCTACCTCCTGCCTATTTCCATTTATCGCAGCGACCTTGCTATTACGCTATAACAAAATTACACGCTACGGAGTACATGACGACCGGATAATCTTGATTCGAATTATTGGTTAATATATTTTCTTTTTTTCTTCTTTTTTTTTGATCGTCCCTCGTTGTGGACTTTCCTTGCATTTGCATGAATACCAACCAACCAACCCTGCGCGGAGAAAGAAAGACAGACAGACAGAAAGAGAAACGAAGGAGAGACATCAAATGAACAACGAACCCGAACCCACCAAACCGGAGTATACACCTATTCTACCCGATCTGGAGGGTGGCCCGATTCAACCAGATCGATCAGCAGTTCGAGGATCGAATCGGGACGATGAAAAAAAGCAAAACATAACATAAAGCAGGTTTACAACTACCGTGTGCATGGCCCCATGACATAATGATGTCGAATAATCAAGAATTCAAACTAGAGAGAGGCAGAAAAAAAAAAGCAAAAACGATTCCTTCATATTCATTATCGACTCAACGTTAGATTTACCCTATCAAGCTATCCTCCGTGGACTACGTACTACGTACGTTGTCCAATCCAGGGAACGGTTCGAATATCCCGCGAGGGCGGTGCATCGTCAATATAGTCATTTATGAATTAGAGAAAAAAGCAAAAAAGAAAACTAAAGACCAATCCCAATCGCGAGAATCTACGCGGATTGAAGATCCGCAGCAAATCATCATCGATCATGGATGGAATCGATGATTGGAGTCGACCTTTACTAGCGGTGTGGTACGCTAACGAGACTAGCCCACATTGTCCGGAGTCCATACTAAAACCAGGCATTTAGTTTATTTAATAACCCATAACCAAAAAGAAAAAGAAAAAAGGAGTCGACAATCCCAGCAAAAAAGACTACCCGGCGGGGAGACCCGACGATCGTCACAACGGGACTTGTTAAATTAGCCTTAGTTCGGGCAATGTTTTACTTCCCGATATCTAATAATCTAAGTTCTAAGGAAGACCAAATAAACTGAGGCCAGCACAACCTGGATAAAGATCCCACATCGATTGTTTGCCATGCGGGGCTGTCCCACGTCGGCCTGCGATGGGGCCGGTTCGTGTTGTGTGGGGCTGGAGAAGCCTGACATCAGAAGGATTGGCGAGGTGAAACATGCCCGGGTGAGCTGGCAGCTTGTCAGTCTTGTCAGTGTTACAGAGGCACGGACTATAGTACTGGGAAGATGATGTTGATATCAATTTTGTTTCATTCTACTCCGGAGTATATGTTAATATCAATATGCACATTGATCTAGTGCAATTAAGGTACGTATCTTACCCTATCGTGCAAACCTAATCCCCAACCTTTTACGCAGTAGTTACCAGTAACCAGGTAAGCGCAAGGAACGACAATCCCTCCGGCACACTGACACACCACAGTCCACAGTCCACAGGGTAAGAATATAAAAAAGCAAAAACAAAAATAGCAATTCTCTCCGCCAACCAGACCGTCAACATCCTCAGCAAGTTCAAATCTCCTCTGAATAACATTAAAGGAGCATGCTAATCACACATCTCGATACGCTAACTGTCTAGTGTTGAATGTCAATCCTAAGAATAGCAAGATTAACCAGTTTCTTTTTTCTTCTCTTTTTTTCCCTCCACCTTGAGTACTAGCCTAAGTATCCACACCCTTCATCCTCCTCCTCTCCGTGCGTTTACCTGAATGGGTTAGCGTGATTAGTCATCCAGTTGATGGAGCGTCGGGAAAACCCCCACAGGATGCGCAATCTCGGGCCAGAATCCGTCGGTCTGGTCTGGCAGGCGGCGGACTGACTTTTGATTTCTTCACTTTATTTGAACAATTTATATGGAATATAGGTAGGACAATAAGGAAGAGGATGACTTGACCTCCAACCACGCATATTCTGGTAGTTAGAGCCGTCATTTATGCGTATACACAAGGTACATACATACATCCTACCAACCACCTCATCCTGATCGTCTCGTAGAACAAATGTACCAAACCGGAACCCTCCCCTACGGAGTATTCCGTATGTAGAGAAGACAGACGGGCCAGTTCATCAGTGAATCTCCACTCCGTGGTTTCGTCCGAGTCCTAAGTCTAAGTCTAACCTCGGACATCGGAGTAGTGATAGTACTATTAGCAACCCCCGGTCTGTGTCAGGGTGAACTTGAACTTCATCTAGTCTACGGAATACCTTCCTGGCATCTATCTGCCCTATTCTGTCCACTTCCGATAGATACTCCGTACGGAGTTGACAGTTCATGTCAATTTATCTACCCAGCCGCATGGACGCGCAGAGTCGCTTATCATTAGGTGAGTAAGTTGGAGACTGGGATTCTTCACGGGTTGGGTCTCGCAGCCTGCGGCCTGCGGTTCCATGGAACCATGCTCGAGGTTATGCGGTGCGGTTGGCTGTATCTGGTACGGATGCGATCCGGCGTTGCAGATTCCAGGTCCTAGGGACCTAGGTCCGGAGTATGGACTATGGAGTAGGATAGGGTGTGTAGATCGGGCGGATGATGGATGATAGGATCTTCCTTGTCTGGAGGGACGGGTGTCTCGTTACGAGGCTTCTTTATACAGATCTATAGTATGGAGGATATTGGATGGGTATTGGATATATAGAGTGAATGGGGAGATATATGGTGTTAGTAGACAGTTATGGGTGGAATTAACTGGAATGTTATGAGTATGGTAATAAGAAGGGTCTGGGATTCGATCTACCACATACACATAACTATGTACTCCGGACAGCGTGACATGCATGATCTGCTTCCAGGACCCGATGGTGTGATTGTGATAGTGACTACGATGTGATCGAGATACACTAGACCCGACCAGAAGACCAGACCGGTCAGATGAAAAGATCCCGATCCTGATCCTGACTGATCCTGCCAGATGTCGACGCAGTGATAGACATGGATAAATGAAAGTGAGACAATCCGTAACTACCCAACCACTACGGAGATCCGAGACTAACTGCATCCTATTCGGATCCTCGACGCACTGCTGTGGACGGTGGACTAGAAGGAGGACTGTGGGTTTCTAACCGCGTGTCTCGATAAGCTTGTTTATTTTTTGAATATTTTTTATATCGATTTTACGCCGCTGATTCCTGCTAGAATCGAAAAAGCAAAAGCAAAAGCAAAAGCAACAGGTTTTTCTTTTTTTTTTTTTTTTTTTTTAAAATTGACCTTCCGTCCCCATGTTTCTCTCTCTTTTACCGGATCCTGTCTGGTCTGTCGGGTCAAGTCAGACATCTCATCTGCCAGGGTCTTCACTGTGGGGACCCTCTTCTGACTACTAAGTATGGTACTCCGTCGTGGCTCAGTGTACGCAACAGCTACGGAGAAGTGATTTGTGCATATCTCCCTTCCGATGGTCCTGAAGAGACTGTACTGAGTACTCCGTAGAGTGCAAATGGTATATGCTCCGCTCCGCGCTGGAGAACTGCTCCATGAGACAGGCAGACGGAGTTACCTAGCTCAGATAGATCTGTCAGTTGATCGCGGGCACAATGCGTTTGGGGAGGGTTAATTAATATGTAGAATTCGTTTCAAGGGTTCAGTCTTGTTCAGGATCAAGATCAGGTTCTGGTCCGATCGATGACCAGTCCTTCCGATGCTCGTCGGGTGGTGGATCGAGTTGGAGGTGGTTGTGGCACACTGGCCCGAACCAAACCAAACCACCTGTCCTTTAATTTTTTTTTTTTTTTTGGGTTTCTCCTTAACTCCTCTCCAGGGTACACTCCGACCCTTTACTATACCAAGTAAAGCCCCCGGGAAGGATATTAGCTAAAAACGATAGGTAAAAGGGGAATTGCTAAGGGCACCCCCAACTTTGCTAGGGTCACCCCTAATTATGTAATACCAGTGGTTATCTAATATAAAATATCAGGTGATCTGTATCTGAAATTCATTTTTATTTACATGACCTCCGTGTATGCCCTATTTTCCTACATGTAGTGCATTTTGACGGTGCCTTCCTTCGCTTTTGTATAGCTTCACACTCGTTATTTTGCTCTACTTGATCTATCTTCCGTTTCTTAGCCCTCGGAAGAGGAACCAGAGGCTCTAAGAGCGGGAGATATTCCGATTCAGTTTCACAAAGGCCGGTCCTCCAAAACGGGTGGATATCAGTCAGTGGAATAGCTTGTTTGCTCTTCAACAGACTAGAAATCCTGTGTGCACGGCATAGCCGTAAGAGAGAGCATGCTGACGAACAGAAGCAAGTAGTAGCTCCCTACTATCAAAAACCTGTTCAACTGGAGGTTCCATTGCTTCGAGGGGAGTAGTGGTAGGAAGAGAATAGAAAACAAATTAAGAATGCTGTTGCTATAGTATTTCAGATACAGATCACCTGATATTTTATATTAGATAATCACTGGTATTACATAATTAGGGGTGACTCTAGCAAAGTTGGGGGTGCCCTTAGCAATTCCCAGGTAAAAGCCATGCCACTGCCAGCGCCAACCAACACCATAACTACCACTAACAAATTCTTCCATATTCAGCAGTGCACCCTGCCCTGTCCATCCCGTCTACCCCCGTCTCCAGGTAATAAGTATCGGATGCTCACCCAACACTACTCCGTGCGGAGTAAGTAGCAGCCACATTTCTGAGTAATCGATCAGTCACCACCAACCAGCGAGCAGCGGCAGTCGTGCACAGTACGAGCGGGGCGGAGGACCTACCTACTCTGTCCTAGACAGTGAGGAGCGGAGTCTCCTACACCGTAAGTGAGTAGTGAGTGGCAGAGAGAGAGAGCGAGAGCCACAAAGGATCTGGACGAGACTAACGGGGTAAACTCGGCGAAATGGGGCTATTCGGCCTAAGCATTTTTTTTTTCTTTCCTCTAGTTAGTTACCGCCTCTGGTGTGGGCTGTTGGTCTGGTCTGGTCTGGTCTGGTATGGCACGGACTGGCGAGCGTTACGTATGTACGGGGTTCCTGGGAAGTGGGTGGATGTTCTAGTTCTACTCCATATGTCTTGCCTTGCGGGTTCGGTTCAATTATCTGAGATTGAGATTGTTTCCTTGCATGGACGGAATGGGATGGATTGATGGGATGGAATGAGAGAGCGGGTGATTATGATGTACACTGTAGGGACGGGAGTGACGTTCGTGAGACGCTCAGAGGAACATCACTTCGCCGCTTACGTAGCTTGTTCCTGGCTTCATCGTGTGAGACTGGATGGTTCGTTGATCGGTACGCATCTAGAGATAATACATCACATCACATCGGGCCGGGGCTGCTTGATTTGCTTCAGTGATATGAAAAGGAAAGCAGCCATTTCTCTCCGTGTAGAGTCCCAAACTGGGAACTACGATCTACCTGCTTACCCAGTCCTGTGGAAATGTATTCAGACCTGTGGGATTTGCGTTTTTCCTTGCTTTTGTTTTTGTTTCTCTCTGCCGTCTCTGAGTGTTCATGGTAAAAACTGGCTAAATGATACTGGATTGGATATATTGGTCAAAGGCGAGGTGTATCAAAGATGGTTTGGAGGTTGTCTCGGAAATAATAATACTTTTGTGAAGGCCATTTGGGGATAACTTAATTCAGATATGAAGTGCATAGGAGAACAATTAGTGAAAATAGATTGTGAAATATTTGACGCTTCCATGCTACCTACCTTAAAAATGATTTCTAGAAATCTACAGCATAACTAGGTAGGCGACAGAGAACACCTCTTCGGCATCTGTTAGAACCGGGAAGTAAAAGTAAACGATTTACCTCTACCACCTGCCCTAAGTAACTACTTCTACTTCTATACAGAGACTTGAGCTTTAGCACTATTGATAGAACTATCATAGGCTTCACCTATAAACGCCGGGACAATCCAATTTCTTTCTTGTTTTTTCCCCACCGAGTCTTTCGCCCCATTTTCTATACCAGACAGATTCAATAAATAATATGATAGAAATCTACACGGTAGGCTTAGCTAGTACCTGAAGTACTCGTTGATATATAAATATACTCCACATACTTATATATATAACACATACATCAATACCTTAACAGCAGCAGTAATATTAGCAACGAGGGTCATAGAGTAAATATCCTCTACAAGATATAAATATAACTAGGAATACCCATTCGACAGAAGTACAGAGTACAGATCTCAACCAAACGTAGGGACAAGATCCAGATCCTATTAAACTGCTTTACGCATAGGCTTCTCACTGAACAATAACATTATCTTGTGCAATTGTGCACTCCGTCTACTTATGTGCTTGACCTGTCTCTAGTATGTACATCATTGGAAGTCGATCAAGGGTTAGAGGCTCATTCACCCTTGGAGGATCTCAGTCTGTTGGATATAAAACTACTACTAATATATCGTATCATACAGCGATCTAACCAAAAAGTGTCATGTAAAAGGAAGGGGCTAGTGAGCAAACAAAGAGAGGGAGAGATGCTTCTGCATTGAGAACTCTATATAAACTCATTTCCTGCATTCACGAATTATAGGGTAGCTAGTACAGATCTACGGACCAGGAGTAGGTTGAAGTAGAAGAATATCTAATGAGATACTCATACAGATATTGGTGTGTTTATTACGGGTGATAACTATTTGTTGAGCACGAATTTCTTGAACATTTATATTTGCTCCTCGTGAATTCAGTAGTTCACCGCTGTTTCAGTAAGCGACAGTAGCTGCTCGCTGCATAATCAGACAAGTATATATGTAGAACCATCAACCAGAAGTAAATCCACCATTATTAGTTGCCAAAATCCAAATACGTAAGGGGGTGTTGAAGTGTATACCAAGTAGGTATGACAATTGCCCACAATTTTCCTGGCTGTACATATTTTCATTTTTGTCAGGCATCGTGATTCATAATTCATGTGCATTCTTGTCATTGCCAATGTTTGCCCAGGCTGACATTCAATCGCTGTGCTGATATTTGAGAGGGATGGGTTCTTAACCCATCTCAAAGCAGGCTTTAGCTTGACTATTCCGTGCAGTATTGAGCTGATTTATATTCAATCCAACCTAAAGGGAAATGGATGTCGCGGCCGCTGGGTTTGATTCGGGAGTTGTAACTTGGACACTGCAGATACTGTTTGCATCATATGATGGGGCCCTCGTTCGGTAGGGCGGGATCGCTGAAGTGGTGTGGACAGGTCAGAAAGAAATGTATGCCATCTCCACCTCGACCAATAGGTCACGACCGGCTTGATCGCAGGACGCGTCGTGCCACAGGATCATCCGAAGAATAGTGCGGAGCTCAGCCCAGGTGGCAATGTGGTGTTCTCGCAAGGTTTGCCCCAGGGCTTGCACAAACCACTCTCGTTCCGGCCGGTTGTCCGAGGCGATTCCGCCCAGCGTCAAAGCCCATAAGATCAACACGAGAGCTTGAGGATGCGTCCAGGTAGACCTGGATTGCCACGAGGTAATGGTTCCCCTCAGGTACAGAGCTAACTGGGCCAGTGGCGAGCTCTGCGCGGGCAGAGGAAAAACGACGCCCACACTGTAGACGAGTGCCGCGAGACGAGTCGCTTCCTGGGCAATTCCCTGGTCGGGATAGGACAGGTATCCTTCGATCTGGGTGATCGGAGGCAGAGCCTGGAGGGTATGCTGAATTAAATTGCGCTGGTCGGCGAGCAAAGCCTCGTCAGCCTTGATCGTGTTCTGCTCGATTCCATCCACATTGTTCATGTACACCCGCATGGCATAGAGGAGGTTCAATAGCTCCTTCGTGAGGCCAAGCTGCCGCAGGTGACCGTACTGCCGCTCCACTTCGATGAGGTCGTAGCAGAATAACGTCTGCAGGGGCATGTTTCTTCGCTCGTCACTTAGGGGGATGTACGAGAAGACCGGCGGAACCAGATATGTGGTGGCCGTGACGATGTCGGAACTTGGAATGGGTCAGTGAGATTCTCGAGCTCTGTCGGGCTTGCTTACAATGATAATATCGGGGCCAATCCGGGGAGAGTGATCTGCTCCAGGCCACCGCGAAGTTTGACCATTTGGATCAATCCTTCAACGTGGACAATATTCGGTGGGAGGCTCCCGTAGACATCCAGCCATTGCAACCGTCGCATCGGCGCGCAGAATGGAGTCGTCCTCTGTCGGCGCTCGTCGTTCTCGTCGGCTGCATTGTGTGCCATGCAGATCACGCTGAGAATCACGGCATCGCACACCGCCCGACCTGGAATGCTGACCTGTTGGTTGATCATTTTGATGGTCTCGAACTCACACAGCTGAAGCAGCTGCTGGTCCCGATGTCGAAAGGATTCCTTCGGGATCCAGCCGTTGATCCACTGCACTCTCTGATGGGAAAGGGAGCCAAAAAGGAACGCAGTAAACAATGTCGGGTCATTGAGAGAGAGAGGGAACCAGTTCGAACTAGCTAGTACGCCGGATTTATCGTTGCCGTGGCCGGGCGTTAGTCCAGGCCACAAGACACGCAGACCTACCAAGTGGTTAATCATTCGCATCGTTATGAGTGGTGGCTTGCACGGTCGGACTCACAATATTGCTCACATGCACTGACCAGATCGGGCGCATATTTGGAAGGAGAGGTGTGGAAAGGGTCTAGCACGTTGGCACCAAAGGTCTCCACATAGTCTCCAGGCGGGGGCGGGCTAGGACTGTCGTGCATAGAGAATGATCCCCGGGCCAATTGGTTGTGATCGAATTTTCCATTGAATGAGCCGGCAATAGCACCGCTATATACGGGACAAGCACGAGCTTTCGGGGTGGTCTGGCGCGCGTTAATCTGATCGACGGATCGAACGAGCGAGGTGCTATTGGAGGTGTTGGATTCCGGCGAGCGGGACGAAGAGCCCGACGGCGAAGACGAGTAAAAGAGAGTCTCCTCCGTGTCGAGATCGACGGATTTCTCATGGTGTTCCTTCAATTGAGTCTCGGCGGCGTCTGATCGGTCCTTCGTCTGGTCGGAGATCCATTGTCCCACATGAGCGCGAACGAGGCGGCGGATGCGGGCTCGCTCGTTGTCGGAGGAGGGTCTGGCATTGACGAAATGAATCGCATCTTTTTTGCGCCCGGCGGCACCTTTGTTCGGCGGCATATCAGGCTTCTTGTCCGGGCATCGCCCATCAAGAGAGGGAGTATAGAATACGGCGAAGGGACGGAGCAGATGCTGGGACCAGCATCATGCGGTCCGAGAGGAGATCCGTGAGAGGTGATTGTGCAAGATCGATCGAAGAAACCGGGAAGATGAAGTGGCGAAGGAAAAGAATTGACAGCCGGGGGGATTGCGCGAAAAAGAACGGGGAGCTAGGCCAGGAGAGAGAGGAAAAACCGAGACCGAAAAGTCCGCAAGGCAAGTCGACGCGACGACAGCGCAGGGCGCAAAGAGACAGGGACCAGGCGGGAGAGGTGAAGATAGAAGAAAGGAAGAAAGAAGGAAAGGGAAGGAGAGGAAAGGAAGGGAGAGGACGGAGGGCCCGTGATAAAGTTTGGGCCCAACACAAACAGGCAGGAGCGAGAGAGGAAGAGGAAGGAGGAAGGTGCGAACGACGTCGGAGGCGTCGGCGGCTGCCCCGTGACCCGCGCGCTTGGCCGGTCGGGATCGCCAGCGTCGGGCGAAGCTTAACGCCGGAAAGACTCGTTCAGACTGCGGAGGCTTCCCAAGGCCATGGATACTTATCCACCGTGGCTGAAGTCTGTTTATTGTCTGTCTGAATGATGTGGTGGTTGTTTTGTGTTCAGCTGGGTGATCAATTCGTTCGTGTTATTCTCGCCAGTAATTCCCTCTCTTATCTCATAACATGTGATGAACTGACTCAACTCTAAACCATTCAGCTTCACACTAAGTGGAGGACGCGAGTATACGGAGTATGACAGCTCCCGTCCCACCGGTTCCAGGGCACCGGTGGCCAGCTAAGCTTCCCCGGACGGTCACATGCTGCATGTGACCGAGGCATGGAACTCTACCTATCCTCCGCCAGCAATCATCGTCGATGCGACCCTTTTTGACTTCCCAAATCCACCGAGACCTGCAGAAATAAGGTCGGACAAGGCGGATGATGGACTGGCCGAGATCAGGATTAATCTTCCACTCTCATTGATTGATCGACACCTTGCTTATGATCATGTAACGGGGCACAAAACAGAATTAAAATGAAAAAGGATATGCCGGCCTGTTTACCTAGTTACCTAGATAAGGAAATTAATCCAGCTCAATCAACGCGTATTTTCCTCCCTCGCCCGTCTCCGCGTCGTAATACTGTTCCAACGCCTCCTCCACCGCCCCCATGTATCCCAACACTTTCTCTTCCTGCCATCGGCGTCCCACAACTTGCACGGCTGTCGGCAGGCCCGCCATCTTCGTCGCGTCATAGTGTTTCCAGGCTCCGTGCGCAAGGGCGTGGTCGCTGCCTAGCTGCTTCAGCGCCTTCTTGTACGGTAGGCTCAGACCGTCTTTCTTGCTGTCGACGTGGGACACGGGCAACACGCCCGCGGAGTAGTCGAGTAGGTTCCACAGGAAAGTGTATCCGCACGAGGACACGGCATCGCGCATCGCTGTATGAGGAAGAGCAGGGGTCGCGTTGGCCGGGCACAGGATGAAGTCGTACCGTTGGGGCTCGGCGTCCCACCATGCGTGCCAGGTGGCGCGGAAGGACTCGCGCTGGGCAACCAGTTCCCACTGAGCGGCGGCCGTCTTGGGGCTGAAGGCGCGGATCAGTGTCGCCCAGGCCGGGTCGCGTCGGATGTATTGCACGTAGAGAGAGTACAGGTAGCGCAGGAAGCGAGGGAGTTTCGCAATCAGGGTTAGTTGGTCAGCGCCGGGGTCGGAGGGCTCGAAGCTGTGACGGTGCGAGTTGAAGGTGACACAGCCATCGGAGTTGAGCAGCTGCGAGGCCAGATTCAGTCCCGTGAAGGGGTCCGCGGTCGCTGGAGGTGTGATCTCTGAGACAGTATGGCCGGCCGCGGTCAGAGCTGCCACGGTGGTGGACACGGCGCGTTCAATGGCCGGAGTAGGAGGGATCACCCCTGATTCAAGGTCAGAATGATCTCATCTTTAGAGTTAGAAACCTAGATCGACGCCCGATGAGTCTTACCATCGCTGGTCATTAACCCGATCCGCAACTTCTTGCCTTTCGCTTCCCTTTCCTGCTCCTCCCGCCACGCGATTGGGTGCACCGTATAGTCATACCTCCACGGCTCCATCCCCACGATCGCCTTGGTAAAATACGTCAAGTCGTTCAACGTCCTCGCCATGGGACTGAACACGCTCGCCACGCCCTCCTGGCCCGCCATACTCGTGTTCACGCCGACCTTGGGCCACCGTCCCGTACTGCATCGCAGCGAGTAAATTCCACTCCACGCTGCAGGCACCCGCACCGACCCTGCCACATCCGATCCGATGCCAATGCGACCCCCAAGCGCCAGCAACGCGGCCTCTCCGCCTGTCGACCCACCGGGAGAGTACTCGGGGACATGGGGGTTGCGACAAGCGCCCCATAGCGCATTGGCCGACTCAAAAGAGAGGAGAGTGATCGGGAGAGCTGTCTTGGCGTATGGTACAGCCCCTAGTGAATTGAAACCATCAGCATAACCCTCCCAACCAAACCATCATTCTTCAATAGGCCATGATTACTAACCCGCATCCTTCAACAACTTCACCATGACTCCATCCTCGGCATACGGTTTCCCCGCTAGCTTCGTATACCCAAGGGAGGTGTCGAAGCCCTTCACTTGCACCGAATCCTTCAGAGAGATGGGCACACCGGCTAGCGGACCCTGCAGGTTGATTTCCGACTCCACCCAGGTCTCAGCCTCCGGGAGGAGCAGCTCCGTGATGCAATTTGTTTTCTCGTGCGCTTGGACAGCGACTTTCCCGTACGTGTGGAGAACGTCGACGGCGCTGAGCGAACGATCTTGCACCGAGCGAACAAGGTCCTCAATGGGTTGGTTGAGGAGGGATCTGTCGTGGCTTGTGAAAGCGGCGTGGTAGTGTGCCGGGAGAGAGGCGAAGCGGGCGGCGCGTTCGTTGCGTTTGAGGGTGCTAGGATGCGTTAGTTCTGATGAACTAGGTTTGTTGTTGCGATTCGAGGGATGAGAGAGAAGCGAAGAGGACTTACCGCACGCGCCGATACGTGAAGTAATCGAAAGGCGGTAGCATTGTGACTGATGGTAATTCACTCAACCTAGAGAGCTTGAATAGCTGCCGACTTGGCCAGGATGTAATGGTCAAGACACGAGAGACGAGAGGAGGAGCTCCCTTTTATTGCGGGGATCAGACCCCGTGCGGAGTAAAGCGACAAGACCCGCTGATAAGCGCCGTCCGGAAGTGGAGATCGCCGATGTGTTTCTTGATTGTTATCTCTGCAATGAACCTCAATCTGAGACCAGGATATTCAGGAACACGGACTCCATCGATTGCCTGTTTCCACCTGTCACTAAATTCTCTGTTTGAAGATGAAAATGACGGATCGAGCGAGATCGAGACGTTGTACAACCGGCGACGTGGACGACACGTGACCGTGGAGTTGCCGAGAGCCGGGGATGGCAGGCCCGATAGGGCAGGTCCATGCGGTGCAGCGGAGAAAAGTCCGCTCGGGATACCTGATCCCTCAGGCATCAGTTTGCCTATCCAGGAAGGCAGTCACTCGATCTAAACAGATAGGACATTACTTGGAGAAAAAGAGTGCGATCCAAAAAAGTAGACAAAGAATAAAAGAACACGTAGGGTATTTCCATCGCCATCCCAATCGAAATCAGAAGCAGTACCGAGACGCCTAACCCCAACTCCCCCAAATGAGACCGGCTCATCGGACCTGTCTGCAACAGGTCAACTCCCATACCGCCATTTCCACACAGAACTCATCAACATTCAGCCCAACCGAACTTGACATGAAGCCATGCCTCATCAAAGCCCTGAGAGAGGACTACGCAGTTCCATCTTCGCCCGGAGCGTTTGGTTCGCGCAGCCAATCATGAGAGATAAAATACCACAAAACGACGCCCAAGGCGGCCATAAGCGACGCGACTGTTACGACCATAACTACCCCGCAGACGAGCGAGCGGCGGCTTTTTCGTCGTTGGCTTTGGATCCATGTATCCCTGTTGCGGTTAGATCAACATATAGATAGCATGATGGAAGAGGTATAAGTTGGTGTGAGCGGTGGTGCAGGGTAAGAGGGTAGACAATGTTGAGATCAGAACCCAAGGACTCGGTGACATAAGATATGAGACAAGGTAGGTCATGACGGAAAGAAGCAGGGGATTTGGCAAATCATACGAATTATATGTCCCCTCTTTATTCTCTGAAGACTTGGCTTCCTCGTCCATGTGGATGGCGCGCGAGAAGCGGCGCCAGAAGGCGGGGTCTCGAACTAGGGCCATGCTCTGGGTAGATAGGTAGATAGATTGGTTGGTAGATAGTGATAAGTAGTAGGTAAGTGATGTTTACGCGTCGTAGACAGGTGGTAGGTTTGGACTGGTATCACTGTATTGGTGTTTGGTTGAACAAACGAAGACGGTCGATCAAGGGCGGAGTGAGCTCGCTACTCGACGGGCCTTGTGAAAGTGAAAGTGTAAAGTATTGACGAAGAGATCGAGGGAGAGAATGAGAACGCAAAGAATAAGAATAATAAAGCTAGATAGTCGACAAGTTAGTAGTAATCTCAATTTCAAGTCCGCGTTGCAGTATCTGCTGCATCCACGGTGGCGGTTTGTCGGGTCGATGTCGCTGTCGAAAGTTAAAAGAGAGGGAATCGAGAGGGACCGCCTCTGGTAGCACCTGCTAATAATAAACTCCAGTTACGCATGTAATTCATCAGACTGGTCGACGGTGGATTCCAAACAACCGGCCGGGAATGACAGTCCGATCTGGAATCCAGGGTTTCGACCAATCATCCGCCCGAGTATTGGCTTCGTTGCCGGGCAATTTAGTAATGGTAGGAATGTCATTGCTACCCCAGCGCGTTCTTTTTTCAAAATTTTTCCAAAAGATTTGTGGGTTAAATCATAAATCTAATTGAGGATGGATGAGTGCTTCTGCGGAGGGGATGAGGCTACAGTATCCCTTGCTTGGTATTCTCTCGACAGCCCGCGGTTCATGCAGGGTCATTTGCATTAGTTCTGCTAGGATTCAATATGATTTCATGTTTATTTTCATTTTCATTTTCTTGTCAAAGGAGTACTACTACCCGCTCGGTTTTTGCAGAAACCATACCCATACCCGATTATATAGGCTTATGTATCTTAGTACGAATACTCGTTAGAAGTGGCACTAGAGGATATCAAGCAATTCATTCAAAGTTATTTCTAAGAATGATCGATATATAGGCAAGCAGTCTTTAAGTTTATCTACCTAAATTCAATTCAACACTTATTTTAATCAATAGGTCATTTCATTTTAAAAATAAGACCGTACAATCAAGAAGATATAAATCCCTTGATCTTATAAGAACATTAGAATCTTGATGTACAGTCCTATTTATGAAGACTCCGAGCGTGTCATGAGGAACTGAGGAGTATACATGCATTGCTATCAATACAGGCTTCAACATCGGTCTAACATTTGGTGGGTTGCAGTCCGCCTCTGGCATGTTTGGTTCGGTTATTTTGAATGTGTTCAGGATATGTCACCGTTGATTTGTAATATGTAACCACGTAGCTTTTTCTTTGTTCTTTCAACTGACATCAGCGATGACTTTGAATTAAGCTTTAGAATTTGGTTACATCTGAGAGATAGCCGTCATGTTGCAACTAACATCGTGATATCCCGAGTAGTGGATGGTCAATCGGGGTCTACCGCATCCAGCGATGAACCGAACACGGGAGGAGGAGGAACCGCTGGTCTGGTTTGCTGTCATCCATTCTGTCAGGTTCATGCCTGTCATATCTGCTAATCCCTCTTTATTCTACCACAATGCACTCTCGATAACCGTGGATCGGTGCGGCAACATGATTCCCGGTAAACTCTCCCGCATCTGCATCCGGACTTTCGGAATATGTGATTGTAGATTAACCAATAAATGATTTCTCTTGATGCTTTATTTCTCTACGTAGTATTCCTTTTATTGTCTGCTCTTTTATCTCAGTTGTGCGTGACTTCAAGACCTGGTTGTAGATTAGCTCGAGTATCTTGGTTGGTTATCTACTTCGATTACGTCTAATGCAGTAGGTGGCAACTCACACCGTGTGATATTGATCTTTCTTTCCTACCTATCGGCTATAAATACAAAGAAAAGCTCCGGTTTGTTCATTCTCCGGAAAATATCTCCCTGTGCTTAAATATTACCCATACTTGGATCACAAAACGTTCAACGCTCTAATTTCTACTCCATACCTGCCATATTCTCACTATGTCCATCGTCGACGCAGCCTTCTACCAAAAAGACCTCTGAGAGGCATTTTTCTTCTCAGTGGACAAATACTGTCGCGTCCGCTGGGAACCATACACCTCCACCGAGAAGCGAACCTGCGGTCTAGCCCTCATCAAAGATCACTGGAAATCGCTAGCCCAGGCGGGTTTTGACACTGTGGATGCCATCTTCACGGTCCAGGGCGTCGAGGACAAGCTATACTTCTTCCGCGGCCTCGAAGTCGTGCGCATCAAGTTTAAGCCTAAGTCCGGCGGCGACACTATCGCTGAAGGTCCTTTGAAGATCTTGGATAAGTGGAAGTCGCTGGCGGGTACGAAGGTGGACCGTGTCGGCGTGGCTATTGCTGTGCCCGGTGTTCCTAACCAAGCCTATTTCTTCAGTGGACCGAACTATGTCAAGATTGACGTGGTCAAGGATACGATCATGTATTGGCCTGCGGCTATCGCTAAGGAATGGCCTGCCTTGACGAAGGCGGGCTTTGACTCGGTCGACGCTGCGCTGCAGGTCCCTGAGGATAAGGCCAAGATATCCGGGGAGACGTACTTTTTCCTCCGGGGGTAGTATGCCCGCGTGCAGGTCGTCCCGTCTAAGCCGGATGTCTTGCGGTGGGGTCTTGCGAAATGGGAGGATCATTGGAAGAGTCTGGACTGGATTGCTAATCAGCCGTCCGCTCCCCGGACACAAACTCCTCCGCCTGGGTCTCAGGGACAGGCTGGTTCTGGAGCTGGAGCTGGAGGATCTCAAGGGCAGCCAGCACCTCAACCTAAACCTAAACCCTCCAAGCTTCTCATCTCCGGCTAGCACATGCAGGATCCTTGCGACCGCGTGGGAAAATCCTGGTTTGCCGAGTACCGCCAAGTCCCTGTCACCGGCATCGAGATCTGGGAGGGTTAGTGGTACGCGAATCATTACTAGAGAATCCGCAAAGTGCAGATTACCTGGTAAGACGGTTACCGAGGGGCTTTTAGTACCGATAATAAGGCCCAGCGGTACAATTCGCTCTAGCTGAATCCTCGTGGCGGCGAACGTATCAACTATTTCTACACCCAGATCGGCGAGATCTGGGACTATGTGGCCATTACCACCAATTAGGGGAAATCACTTTATGCTGGCGGGTCATTCTTGGGAGTTGGGCAATGGTGTCCTCCTTGGGTTCCGGGGATATACTTGGCCGGCGGAGACTACGAAAGTAGGACCTGTTTGGTCTTCTTAAGTTTTGGAGGAGATAAGAAAGAGAAAAGGGTTGCTCATACACTCAATATACTTTGTCTAGTTGGACCCTTATCTCAAAACAACATCAAGAGTTCAATGGCCTTCTATTTATTTATTTGCATCTTTGGTGTAGTTCGTTCTAAGAAGGCAATTTTCACCAAATGGCGATGGCCGAGCGGTCTAAGGCGTTGCGCAACATTCAAGGGAGGGTTCCATTCACCCCTGCAACAGGGGTGAGAACTGCAATCTCGAAAGAGGCTGCCTTCCACTCGACCATCTTGCCTTATTTTCAACAAAATAATAGTATATAATGGAACTAACAGAAAAGAACCGCATTCCTGTTTTATTTTACTACTAAATTAGAATAATGATAAAAGGATTGGCAAAAGAAAAAAGAAATGTCAAGAAGGGGATTCGACCCTGTCCCTTACGAGATCCGTGTAAACCTTTTTCAGGTAAGGATATAAATGTATATCACTTTGAAACGAACGCGTGTACACCGCGTCAGTTAGACCTCGCGCGACAATTTTGCTTAGTCAGCTGCTGGTTGCACCTGTCGCCGCGGGAAATATGCACTATACGTACCACGTACCTTCTTAGCTCTGCTAAGAAGGGTTGACTTTTGGCCCTTTTTAGCAGCGGCAAAACTGCGATACACCCCTAGATAGATAAGATAGACTTAAGTAGTTTTTACTCCAGATAAAAGCTTCATTTTCAACTACGCGTAGCCAATAGTTAAAGCGCAAGCCATAATAAGATCTCGCGTAAATACTTTATTTATAGCCAAAAAAAAAAAAAAAAATTAAGGTGTTGGAGCCTATAAACACGCGATATGATCTAGTTACAGTTTGAGGGGAGCTAACTGAGGATTCTTGAGGACTTGGTCGAATCCCAACGCTGGCACAATTTCTACCCGATTCGGCTATATCACAACACGGATCTCGGCCATACGGAGGGACAGGATCCAAAGAATATACTTTGTGCATAATATGTAGCTCGAAATTGTCTTCTAGAATTGTGTACTTTATCTATCTATATAGTTTGAGCTTAGACACGTCCCCAGTACCCCATGGGAGGTCATAGCATAGGGCCGGGTCGGTCTCCCCCTCGGAGCACCTCGGTCTGTTGGACGTTAATCACTACTACTACTACTACTACCACTACTAGGTTTTCTCATGTAAACGTTATATATACTTTCGTCTTGATCCCCCTCTAAGCTCCGTGGTACTCTATGACTTCGCGAAGGAGCATGCTAAGGTCATTCCCATGTTTCGAGTGAAATCCATGGTGTCTTGGTGCTGATATAAATTTGGAGATGATTGGATAACTATATCGGGGCTGACGACTGTAAATTCCGGGACGTAGGTCGGCATGAGATGAAGATGGTTTAGGGCTAGCGAAATTTGAGCTCCCAGGGTGTTTGGTTTCTAGTAAGAATTTATTTTTGAGATCGTCTGGTTATTGCAGAAGAGCTCATTTGTTGAGGGCTTGAGGTATTTGCCTCAGGCGCCAAGAAATAAAGAAATAACGTCTCCCGACGCGGGTTTACGGAAGATTTTTCCAAGCACAAAAATGATGGGTTGAATTGAAATTGCTGCGCTAAAACTCCAGATAACAAGGCTTGGTCGAGGTCTACGTGTTCTATCTATCCAGTCTCCTGTTTCTGTTTTGCCAACAATGTAATTTTCTCAAATATCTTCCGAGCGAAGATATGCGACCGATAACTGTATCGAATTCCTAGAAAGGCATCTTGATATCTGGTTAGCCTTGATTACAGGACAAGAAATGGCAGCTCAAATAAACGAGAGCAAACAAAAAAGCAAACCCAGAAGATTCAGAGACCCGTCTTGAAAGGTAATTTCGTATTTCCACATTATTCATTTCAGAGAACAAAAGGGATGAAAGATATCATCACTGTACTGGGAAGGCAGGGGAATAAAGAGTATGACAGTGATAAACGTACCATTATTAGTGTAGAGGGAGGGAGGTCCCCAGGCTAGCTGATTCCCTCATTTAGGTCTAGCTAGCGGAGGGGATAGTCCATCCCATCCCTGGCAGTGACGAGGGTTAAACCCGTCCAGTATGAAGGCTCGTTATAGTGACCGACCGACCGACCGGCCGCACTTTGCCGACCGTGGCGGCGTCGGCGTCGGCGTCGGCTTCGGCGGGGCCGTTTCGCAGCTGCAGGATCGACAGGCACTGTTAGGCCCAGTTGCAAGGATCCGAAGCCTACTGGCGTAAATAGACACAATGGCGAAATGGCGATTGCGAAATGGCGATTGCGAAACGGCCATTTTTCAGGATGAAATATGGAAAATCTCTGAAGGGTGGTATGCGAACGGGCAATTTATAGGTTCCTCGGGTGGAGAGGCAGAGTAGGGCCGTGGCCCTAGTGACTTCTGCTCCCTTGCCGGGTTTTCACTGTTTGCATGACGTCTTCTCCTTCTGCCTGAGGCAATGAACAGCTACCCGGTGACAGATCGGGACTAGGTAAAGACACCTGAGGCTGCCAGACGATGAGAATATTTGCGAGTCACGGGAGAACTGGGAATAGAATGTTCCGACGAGTTAGTCGTGTCAAGGCAGTCGCTATTCCTGGGGATTGACCCTGTTCCACATCCCAGTGGTGTATGGGTTGACTATGGTCTCCTCGATTGTATAGGCCACTCACAGTCTCATTGGTGCCCTCCTGAGGGCCACTGAATGAGTGACTATCGAAACCGGATCTCAGTAACCAAAGATCTGCCCTTCCATGAACCAAACCCACAGCAAATCCATCTTTGGCTGGACGTTGACGAGCACATGGCATTTGCCTCATGCCTTGCCACCAACAATGTGGAATGGTCTAGATCTCATCTAGAATCCCGCAATGACCACCGTTTCGATTTGGCTCCGTAGTCACCAACAGATAATGCCACAATTCTCCCGCTACGATCCGACCTGAGGCTCGACTCAGCCATCGAATCTCATGAACCGATCGTTGATTCATCGGTGTCCCGCGGCGGATAGATCGTGGCAGACGCTTTCGTCATAGTTGCCTTGTCGCGACGCCATGCTCGTCATTCTTTTGTTCGTTTCGCCACAAGCTGGGAGGCTTGATTTGTGCCAGATATCTACACTCCATTAGTGGCTGTGAGTGTGAGCCGTTCAGGCGCTAAGTTAATGTGAGAGGTCACCTCCATGCCCCGGAGCCCCTTTATTCCTGTCATTGCCACGGATATGTCTATCTGCAGACCATCACGGTCGCTATAGACACAAAATGCCCCCATGCAAATCTTACGATGATGTTGCCTGGGCAATAAGCACCCAGCTCTGGGAGGACTGGCCAGAACTGCTTCGCACGGATGGCGATATCTACAATGACATTGGAGTCATTCTCTCTGAAGAATTCAACGATCTTGAATGGACGCTGTTCGAATTTCTGAACACAGGCGGTTTCAATACCTGCTTCCAGATGAAATTCCCCAATAACTACGGTGCTGTTATTCGGTTTCCAATACCCGGCGCTGTCATGTTTCCGGAAGAGAAAGTCCGCAACGAAGTCTCTATTATGTAATATTTTTTGGAAACAACTTCAAACCAAATCCCAATCCCGGTGCCGTCCGTTGTTTGCTGGACAGAGACAAAAGAGAGTCCCTCCGAATTAGGACCGTTCATCATTATGGACTATGTCCACCACACAGGAAGTATGGGTGATCTTCTTGAGATGCCAGGGCGCCAAAGCGGACAACCGCCCGTACTCAATCCGGATATCAAGCTGGACAGACTAGAAGCGCTCTACGGAGAACTAGCCCAGATCGTCCTTTCGTTATCAACACTCTCTTTCAGTTGGATCGGATCGCTTGCTAAGAATGATGATTTTACGTGGGATGTGTCGCATTGACCTCTGTCGTACGCTATGAATGAAGTCGTACAACTGGGGACTCTACCCCGATCGCAACTCCCGAATACTACGTACGAAAAAGCATCGTCGTACTTTGAGGCCCTGGCAGATCTATACCTTCTGCACCTGAGAAGTCAGAGAAACGAGGCGGATATCTCGCCGGATGCCGATGCAGATGTCCTGGCGGATGGCTTCCGACACAAGTTCGTGGCGAGGTTTCTCTTCCGCAAGCTTGTCCAAGATCAGAAGCTGAGAAAGCAATGGATCTTCTACGACGATGGTCCATTCCATGTCTGGTGTGATGATTTTCGACCGGAAATCGTTCTAGTTGATGGAGATGAACGCATCATTGGTGTGGTCGATTGGGAGTTTACCTATGCTGCTCCGGTTGAATTTTCTCATGCCGCGTCTTGGGGGCTTCTTCTTAGAAAGCCCGAAGTTTGGCCGAAAGGTCTGGATGATTGGTGTGTTAAGTATGAGAAAGCTCTGCACACCTTTCTGGTGGCGATGAGGAAATGCGAAGACGAGGAAATTCAGAAGAAGCTGTTAGTGGAAGGTCAGCGGTTATCAGGTCGGATGCGGAACAGTTGGAAAAGTGGGGACTTTTGGATCATGTACGCTGCGAAGAATAATTTTGCTTTTAATGTGATATAATGGGAAAAGATTGACCAGAGGTTCTTTGGGTCGACTGCCTATGAAGAAGATGAGGACTTCGGGGATATTTCATCTTTTGGAACCTGAAGAGAGAATGCTTATGGAGGAATATGTGAGTCTGAAGCTTAAAGACAGGAGTGGCGCCTCATTTGGGACCCGGATGAGTATACCGTGGGGTGGATAGAGAGGTCGAAGATAAAGAAGGAGGAGAAGGAGGAGAGGGAAGAAAAACGACCTCAAGACGAGCAATGTGATGTTGTTGGCAACAGGGACCTTTGATTTATTCTATATCTGGCAAGATCGGGGTATTCAACCAGGGGTTAACATTCTGCTGTATTCGAGGTTGAATCAGTGTGAGTGCCTCAGGGTTTGAAGACAATGTGGTAACCGTTGAGTAGTAGAAAGAATATTGGTTAATAATTCAGCCCCTATATAAGCCCCGAATTCGCAAAGATGACCTTTCACCTGCTGCGAGTTTATCTTCTCAAGATGATTGTGTTGTTTCGGCCGTCATAGAGGTAAACAAAAATGAATGGATAGATCAAGAAGAGTATGAGTCTGTACTGAGAGATTGCAAGTTGGGGGGAAAAGGGATGGGATCTCATAATGATATTATATCCAATGCCCATGTTAATAGAATGCACTTGACCGTGGTTCCGACTCCTTGAGTCAGGTTGACCACTGGATAAAGAGCTCGAGTAAGTTTTAGGGGGTAAAGACAGGCTTAATCTTCACCTTTTGTGTTCTTTGTGGCCAAACTGTCTTTTGCCGGGACAACTGCCAGCAACAACCTCTGCCGAGGCCTCGAGATGTCAATTCATTCTCGTTCTGGCAATGGAGTTAAGACTAAGGCTTCGTGCTAAAGCCATTAGAATCGGCTAGTCCACGGAACCCGAATACCAACAGCCCTACGGCTACACTCTACTCAGCAACGGTCACTCTTTTCACAGCCCCCAACCTAGTTGACCGGCTCCAAAATATCTCGCATTATTTCCCCATGAGGATCGGGTTGAGGCTCTCGTCATCTCTGCCCTAAGAAAATGGTCCGTTTCTTCCTTTGATTAACCTGTACTGATCCACAGGGGTATTCAAGGATGTCATTGGCTCCTTCCCCATGATGGACGTCAGACCCTCCTTTTTCTCCGCGTTGAATGTGCAGACTTTATTTGTGCCATTGCACCATGTAGACTTTCGCTCCTTTCTTTTTTCTAGTCTAGGAATTGTTCCGCCGAGACGGAGCAATGCGCCACGCCAATCCGTGGGCTTGAACGGCCTTTGTCCGTTGGCGATCGTCCTCTAACTAGAGTCTCCATATCAACCTGCCCAGACATGTGCCAATATAGGCGTCCACGCAGCGTTGTTCAAAGGATGAGTCTCCACTGCAGTGCCCTGTCATCGCCTCCTGGCCTTCTTGATCGAGTGAGCCGGGAGAGATATAAGAGCCCATGGTATTTGACAGGAGAGGGTATTTTTATATCTATCCAAACAATTTCGCCATTCGTCGCAGAGCATTGAGTTTTCACAATGTTCTGGAAAACTTCCACTCTTTTAGCCCTCACAGAGGCGCTTTTAGTCGTTGCTGCTCCTAGCACCGCCGCTAAATAAAGAACCATGTGCCTTGATCACTCGGCAAGTTGAAAAGAACGCTGCCCTGAAACAAAGTGAGCAGTGAAGAGGATCGAGGTAAATACAGAAACTGACCATATTCTAGCCCACCCTTACGTTTCTCCAGAGTTGGCTCATCAATGTCTTCTATCTCTGCTATTTGACTCTCGCTGCGCTGCCTCTTTTGTGACTGAGGTCAAGAAGACCATGCAGTGGCATTCAACTATCGACACACTGAAGAGTAAGGCATTGTTATTCATCCCTCATATGATTAGCCTTGACACTAAAGCTTTCAATAGACCCTCTCTCCGGGTATCTGTCTCCTGCCGTCGATTTGTTGAGCAGTCTGGACCACTTGCACGGAAAAGCTCTGAAGAAAGAATTCAGCAGCCAGTTCGAATTTGACACAGCCCTTCAGCGCCTGTTGGCCTCTGCCAACGATGGACATCTGGGATACAGCGGTTGCTCCCAGAAGATTTTCCAATTTACTCTCAACACTCCTATAGCCTCAGTTTCGTCTGATAGATTGGAAATTCCCGAAGTTTACGCTTTGGGTACGCTTCTTTCGCGTGTTCTTATGATACTTTTCACAAAAGAAGTCTTGGCTAATAGCTTGCATAGACTATGTCCATTTACTTGGCAACCATTCTGATCTTGTCTCTCCAATTGTATCAATCAATGGCAAGAGGGCAGAGAGTTACCTCGAGAACATCTCACACCACCAAGGCTATCAGGACCCAGATGCCAGGTATAATCAGCTCTTTGACTCACTTACCCGTGTCCCGGAGACTATGACTGTACTTGGATCTTGGAGCGCCGATCAGATATTCCTGCCAGGACATGTCGGATTTGACCTCAAATAGGCCAATAGAACCGAGAAAAAGGTGAACGTAAAATCTGTCCCACTTGCCCAGTACAAATTCAACTATACCGACAGTCGAGTTCTCTTCAAAGACTACTGCATCCCGCAGCCTTCCTCGGACGACGAGGATGATGAAGAGGAGGAAGAGACGACCGCCGCTAGCTTGCCCGCCTCGCCGTTCCTACCAAGGCGATCGTGCGGGATGCATATAACCTGATCTCTGGCTATTTCCCTGAGGATCCGGAATGGAAAGATTTGGCCGTGCTGTTGGTCCCTTCTTTCACCACCAGCGACAAGGGCGAAGGTGAACCGAACAACGCGACCAAGTTCATCCAGGAGGCCAAGAAGGCTGGTAAGAAGAAGCTCATCATCGATCTGTCCAACAATAGTGGAGGTTTCAATGCGAGCGGAATGGACCTGTTCAAGCTATTTTTCCCGGACAAGGAAATTTATAGCGCGGCTCGTCTGCGCGCCCATGAGGCTCTTAATATTTATGGAAAGGTTATGAGCAAGATCCCGCGAGGATCTGAATTGGCAGAAGCATATGACTTGACCCTCTCCGACCTAGTTACCCCTAACCAGACTGCCTTCGAGTCCTGGGCGGAGTACTACGGTCCGCACGAGCTGGCGCAATTGAACCAGACTAGTTTGGTCTCGAATCTCAAACTGAACGACTCCAACTGGGATTTGGTCATTCGCGGCTATGGCATCGTTAAGTAGAACGAGACTTCTTCTGCTTTCGCTGCGGGAGATATCCTTATGGTATGTTTTTGCACCCTTAAACACCGGTATCCCCTTCACGAATCGTTACTAACACGGTATCTCAATATAGCTCACTGACGGAACTTGCACATCTACCTGCACCATCTTCTCCGAACCGATAAAGAACGTCGGCGGCGTTAAGAGTATCCCTTTTGGCGGTCGTCCCCAGCAGGGACCCATGAAGGCTATCGGCGGCTCCAAGGGCTGTGCAGTTGCCAAAGCGCAAAACCTCGTTGCCCTCCGGGAGAGCGCCAACACGGTTGCCAGCATGGCCGACGCCCATGGTAAGCCCTCGCTCTCGCGCCAGGAGCACGCCCGTCTGAATGCCACCATGCCCGGTGCCTTCCCTCTCGAGTTTAATACGTTGTCGTTCAACTTCAAGAATGCCTACCGTGAAGGCGACGATGAGATGCCACCGCAGTTCCTCTACGATCCTGCTGACTGCCGTCTTTTCTACGCGTGTGAGAACATCGTCAATCCTGTCTCGACTTGGATCTCGGTTGCCAATGCTTCTGGGGTAATGGTACTTGTGTTTCTGGCTCTTACCCTACTGTTAACCGGTCTGAGTGGTCAGCTTAGATTGAGGGGCTCAGATGGGTTGATTGTTTAAGGGTATCCTGACTGTTGGTTTGATTGTTGGTTTTCATTTATCTTCTTGGACTGTCTTTCATTTATACCTTATTTGAGGGTTTAATTTAGATGGCTTTTATCTTAGAATTACTTTATTTATTCATGATAGACGTGTATTGATATAGATAGAATACGGTTACTTTATTCATTTAGTATCATCACTGCCGTGGGGTTGACAACCGTCGATTCTATGTAGTTTCTTCTGCAATCCATTTTATCCCCCCTGTTAATTCCAAACTTCATTTCGCTCTACTTACGACGCATAACCTCTCGGATTAGTTCCCATCCCGTGACCATTTCATTTACTCCAGCAACAAAAGGTGTGTGAACGTACGTGTCAAAAAAGGATTACTGCAGAATTAGTCCCGTAACTCGAAATATATCGCAAACATCAAAAGAAAAGTCTATCTATATCGACCGACCAACCCACTCACACATTCATGTATAAAGACCCGAGAACCCTTAGTCAACTACCCCTCCTTCCCCCTCCGTCCTTGTCAACGTATAAATACAGATACTGTACTATCATGCACAGCTCCATACTCTATAGTCTCTACTATCGCGTCTCCCGATACAGCTTCCGAATCAACTCGGCGAAATGTTCCACTTCTGAGCGTACCCACGGCATTGCATGGTGGTAGTCTATTTCGTAGAGATTTGCGCTCGTCGAGTCGTAGTATGTGGCGAGTTGGTGCTGGCCGAGTGGCAGGAACATGTCTTTCAGACCGTGCACGTGGAGGGTTGGGAGTGTGATTCGCGCGGTGGTGCTGGCTTGGTTTTCTGTTCAATCCCATATATCATTAGCAATTGGATTGGCGCATGTAGAGCAGGCAAGCCGCGCATGGAGATAAAACTCACCCGACTCCATCGGTATCCCCCCACCCATACACATGATTCCGAATCGAATATTTCGTCCAGTTCTAGGCCCTGACTTCTTATTTCCCCGCTGCACGTCCAATAACACTCCGCCCGCTGGCCTCGTTCCCTGGCTGAACCCCATCACGCCGACCCACTCGCCCCCGGGGCCCTTGGTGTCCATAAGCCGGTAGATTCGCTCGATGCCGTCCTCCTCGCCGTCGCCGAAGCCGCTGCCATCGGATACCTCGTGACCTGATGGGTCGGTGGTGAACCAGCTGCGGAAGGGCCCATCGTTGCGGAATGCGGGGAGGACGCCGGGGCCCGGCCCGCGCTCGAACGGGCCGTCGAAGAAGACGAATTCGAATTCGGAGAGTAGTTCGGAGAGTTGCGCAGATTGGATGGAGAAGATGGTCGAGTTGGAGCCGCCGCCGTGGAAGCAGGCGATTCGGGGTCGGGACATTCTTGGGATAGTTCTTAGGGTCTCGTGGTCTCGTGGTCTGGAAAGTAAAATAAAGAAATGAGGTAGGAAAGGGAGAAGGTGGGATTAAAGAACAGGTAAGTTAACTTAGTTACCCGTAAGCTCGTAAGCAACGTGTTTGTTGCGTTTGTTCTAAGCTGGAGGGGCGGGTGGGTCACATGAGCTGAGGTCAGCCCTAAGTCGATGGGGTCGTACTTGCATCTATACCTTGTAAATAGAGAGTTCGTTTTATGATCTATTGAGAGTATGTCCAGGACTTTGACTGGCTGCCAGCCTGCAGCTGTATTCTGGTGTATTCCTTTACCCGGACTGCTAGCCGATCCGTGGATCTGAGCTGTCTCTTTTCCCCACATCTTCCTTCGAATCCACTTCTCGTCTCCATCTCCGGACATAAAGAACCAAGAACCCCGCGTCTGCCTGCTCTCCAAATTTCCAGTTCCCCCTCCACCAGCGCCCAAAACCCAGAATCCAAAATGAGAATCCTCATAACTGGCGGCTCCGGAAAAGCCGGCCAATCGCTCATCACGCACCTCCTCTCGCAAAACCACGCCCTACTCAACCTCGACCTCGCCCCTCTCCCCCCACCTCTCGCCTCAAAAGTCCACACTCTCCGCATCGACCTCACCGACGCCGGCCAAGTCTTCTCCGCTATGCACTCGCACTTCACTTTCTCCGAGCCCTTCCACGAATCCACCACCGCCGTCCCAGACGCCGTGATTCATTTGGCCGGATACGCTCGGAACATGATGGTTCCTGACAATGAGACGTTTCGCGGAAATGTCCTCTCCACGTATAATATCCTCGAGGCGGCGTGTCGTGCCGGGGTACGGAAAATCGTCCTCGCGGGGTCGATCTGCACGTATGGTGTGACGTATGCGGATGGGGATATTGATTTCCCGTCGTTTCCGGTTGATGAGACCGTCGATACGAATCCCATGGATGTGTATGGGATGTCGAAGGTGGCGAGCGAGAATGTAGCGAGGAGTTTTGCGAGGAGGTTTGCTGCTGATATTTATGTTTTACGGCTGGGCGCGATCGTTACACCCGAGGAGTTCCAGGGGAGATTCACGGAGTATGTGAAGGAGCCGGAGAAGTTCAAGGTTCATGGGTGGTCGTATACGGATGCGGGTGATATGGGGGGCATGTTTGAGGCGTGTTTGAGGACGGATGGGTTGGGGTTTCAGGTGTTTAATGCGGTTAATGATGAGATCACGAATGATGTGGAGACGGGGGAGTTTTTGCGGACGCATTGTCCTGGTGTGCTAGTGACGAGGCTGTTGGTGGGGAGGGAGGCGCCGATCAGTAATCGGAAGATGAGGGATCTGTTGGGTTTTCGGCAGGGGGTTTCCTGGAGGGAGAGATTTGTTAGGGAGTAGGTGGTTGGATTTGGATTGGCGATGTATATATTTGGTCGCTGTGGGTGTGGATGTTGTTTGGTGCGAACATGTATATAAGTTGTTTGATAAGGTATTTGCAGACTTGTATTGAATTGAGCTTCAAGCTGTGATTCAGGCAGTTTCAGGATTGCAAAAGACGAGGCGACGTAATTCAAATATGGCGAGGAGGTTTGGGTTCGGGCCCTGTGGTCTGTTTGTGCACTCAGGCCAGGAGTAAATATAGCGGTAGGTCAAGATGTCAAGTTGGTATTGAGGGTTGAACAACCGAAAAGTTTTTTAAAAGTTCTGACGAGGTTTTAGCAGTCAAACATGGCGGCAATCCGATAAGGCTTAACCATGGAGGACTCACATCGGCTGCATGAGGTTAGTTATCAAGAGCAGATATTGAAGGAAGAAGGCGGTATCGATCAGATCGGGTAATTCGAAGTGAAGAACGATAGCCTATTCACTCTCAGCGATGCATAGAGAGACGGGATTAGGAGCCAAGCATAAATACCTCTGATTACTATATTTGAGGCACCTGTAAGGAACGATCAAAGACGTTAGAGACCGATAGAATGGGAGCGGATTTGGAGAGAAAAAGGATAGTGTGGCTCGTGAGAATCGAAAGGGGACCATGACGACGTGGTTGATTCGATATACTCAATGGGAAATCCAGTGATACGTTACTTCACTGGCCAACGACTCATGTATAGCAGTGAAATACCAAGGTGGCGGACAGAAGGGGGACTGGTAGGGCTCCATATATGTCCGTGCGTTTGCCGAATTTCTTGATTCAAATTGCGGTGATTCAGGTGAAGAGCAGATTTGCGTGATTTGGTGCCAGCTGGGATATGATCTGCAACGAAAGAACGAGGAAGGATTCTTGAGGTGTGATAGAGACAGAAGCGAGCGTATGATATTGTGGAAAGCTCCTGTTAACTTGCCCCGCCTGTATACAGCCGTATGTGGTTGGTCGCGAACATCCTCAAATGTGCTCAATCCCGCGCAGGTGCTTTATGCACGCTACCTATTCACTTATTCATTTTGGGAAGAGAATGTTATTAGCAAAGCCCTTGGCTGCTGGCAGGTAAACAGATGATATAGTTGTGGTCCTCATTGCTTTTAAATCACCACTTGACTCCCAACATCAATGTGCGAAAACCACCACGCAATATGGACATGAACATGGACATGCACCATCATCACGAACCAGCAAGCACCACCGACACCCACAGTTCAACCACCGGTCCCAATCCAAGCAATGACTCATCCATGTCAATGTCAATGTCAATGCCGACCGTCTTCACGACCAGCACGCAAGTGACGATTCTCTTCACCGGTTGGACCACTACCTCCGTCCCATCATACATCCTCACCCTACTGTTCCTCTTCCTTCTGGCCGTCCTTAACCGATTCCTCACGGCCTGGAAATCCCAACTCGAGCGATCATGGAATCAAAAACTCAATCGACAAACATCGCAGACGAATACCGTGACCCTCAGCGCCGTTCCACGCAGAGCTGGCTCTCGAATCGCGAAGGAAAGACTGAGTCCGCTGCCGAGGTATATGCGCATCGATGAAGAGGAACGCCATGATTGTCGCTCTCAGGGCCATGAAAGTATCGAGAAAACAGATGATGCGAAGGCTTCTTTGTTAAGTAGGGTTCAAAATGCGCTCCCTACCCAGAAACGATGGCAAGCGAGTCGAGCATGGAGCATTTGGCAAGACGGGCTTTTCTCAGTCCTGGAGTGTGTCAAGGCGGCAATTGGGTATTTTTTGTATGTCACCAGCCCTCTCCCACATCTTTTCCTTCTACGCTTTGAGTAGGATGTTATGCTGATTAGTAATTGTACAGGATGCTCACTGTCATGACCTTCAACGTCGGCGTTTTCTGTGCCGTTCTGGGTGGCATCTTTGTCGGCGAGTTAGCATTGGGTCGGTACCTAGGCACGGAGTCAGGATGGGAGGACGGGTCGTGTCATAGAGGATGAACCTCCCTGCAATGGATGAAATTTACTCATTGGTCTACCGGTGAACTAAGCCTTTCGTAGAGGAACCGAAATTAAAACTCGTCTTTCCCCACGCCAAGCCCGTGCCTGACGAACCGTCGATTTCTTCCACCACTGGCATCCAACTGGCATGTCTCCACCCCCGCAAATTCGCGGTAATGTAGACCGAGTCGGGGCATTGTTTGTTCCCTGCCCCACAGATTCCTGGGGCCATAAATAGTGGCGTGAGTCCGGGGTTAGAGGTTGTTGTTTGCAGTGAGGACTCAGGGAGACGGTGTTCGTGATGTATTCTTTCTCTGCATTGGGTGCTTTGGCCCTACTCGGCGCTGGCACTGTCCAGGCGAAACCGTTTCTTCAGAAGATCAATGACACTGCACACATCATTGGGAATGATCTGTGGAATGTCACGATCGGACGACAGTATGGTGTGAAGCTATTTTACAAAGACACCGATCTAGTCGGCGATGCTTGGGGCCACTACGTTAGCTATAGTACTTCTCCCCCCTACCCAACTTCTCTGTCCCTTAACCCAAACAGACCACCCAATTAACATGGCAATAAAGATGGCGCCCAATCCGACCTCAACTGGACCTCCGCCAGCATCCACCACCGCGGCGCCGACTACATCGACGTCAAATTCACCGCCCGCGAAGGCGACTTCCACTGGGTCATTTTTGACAAGCTCGCCGGCGCATACCAGTACTTTGTGAACCACGACCTCCCTACCCTCGGCGAATTCCGAACCCTCTGGCGTCTCGACAACGGGTCCTTCCCCAACGGCCGCACAAATATCAAGGACAGCCCATTGCCCGATCTCGCTGAGTATCCTGTCTCCACGAAGGTGCAGGACGAGACGTGGCAGCGTGCCGATGGGTCTTATATCACTAAGTACGATTTCACTGCGTGGGTTCGGGACTTGGACTTTTATGGCGTCTATGGGGAGGAGTTCGGTTCGTGGTATATTAATCCTGGGAAGGATTATTATAACGGGAATCAGTTGAAACAGGAACTTACTGTGCATCGCGAGAGCCAGACCGGCGATGCTGTTCAGTTGAATATGATTCATGGGACACATTTTCAGGTCTCCGCGGTGGATGAGTTTCCGGATGGGAAGGTTTGGGGGCCGTGGTTGTGGTATTTGGTATGTTTTTGTGTCTTATTTTCTGTTTGGTGTTCTCTCTTCATGACGTTGGGTGGAGATATGATGCATGGAAGCTAACTATGACAGAACGATGGCTCGAAAACCGACGCCGCAGCCCGAGCCAGGAAAGAGGAAAAAGCCTGGCCATACAAATGGTTCAAGGACAAGGCCTACCACACCCGTGGCTCCGTGTCCGGACGACTGCTCCTCTCCGACGGTCGCCCTGCCGCCGGCGCGTCTGTGTTCCTGGGCGATAACGACCCTAGCAAAACAGCGCTAGACATGGGATCGGATTACTACTACACCGAGCAGGCCGACAACCAGGGCCGGTTTACCTTCAAGAATGTGCGCGCGGGCGACTACGGACTGCAGGCGTGGTCAGACGGGGGCAAGATTCGCGACGTGACGACGTCATTCCTGCAGAACGATGTGACGGTGAAGAAGGACAAGCAAACACAGCTGGGCAAGTTGCAGTGGAAGATCTCTTCGCGGAAGAAGATCTTCCAGGTCGGTGATTTTGATCGGAAGTCTTTGGGTTTCAAGAATGGTGGGGCGCCGTACCAGCATGCCCTTGTAGAGCAGTGTCCTGAGGACCTGGTATATACGGTTGGCAAGAGCAAGGCCTCGGACTGGTGCTTTGGACAGTCGGCTAAGGGGACTTGGAGTATTAAGTTCCCGGTTGAGAAGAAGAGCGCGAATGCGTCTGCGCTGTTGACGGTGTCTTTGGCGGGGTATTCTTCCGGTACTAAGTCGAGGGTTCTTCTGAATGGAGACGCGGACAGTCCGATCGGAAACCTGACGACTCTGCCGAATGATCCAGGAATGTATCGCTCTGCGACCACGGCCGGAGAGTGGCGGTTGTTCGAATTTGATGTGCCAGAGGGGAAGCTGCGCGAGGGATGGAATACGGTGGACTTTGAGGTGACGGAGTCGACGAAGTGGAGGGGGTTCATGTGGGATAGCATTGTTTTGGAGGCTTGAGTGAGTAGATTGATTAGTTTGCAGTGGACTTTACGATCTGGTTGGCTCATTTGCTTCTAAAAATTTCGGCTGAGATGAAATATATGGGTTTGAGCATATGTAAATATGTCTGGTCACTGGCAAAGCAAATGATAAATCATGTTAGAGCAGCTCAGTCTCTGCCTTCAACTAGTTATCCATTTTAGTGCTTAGTTAGCTCCATCATTCCCTGTAATAGTTAACTGCGCTGGGTTCATTTGATTGGGCATCACTTGTTCGTTTGCATCACCTGGCTGACCATTCAGCCTTCCCCTCCCAGCCTCCTGACGTGTTGCGACCGAATCTCGTCTCCTTCTCCAAAGCTGGTGGACGATGCCATCAACCAAGTTTCTGTCGTACGATGACTACACCGTGGGATAGGTGTGTGCCTTACCGCTGGAAATGGCGGCGGCTAAGCTGATGTGGACGAAACTCACGAGACCCTGCCAAAACGTCAACAAAACGACCGAAATACCTACTCGCTTGGCTCGATTGGAGGCTATCATGTCGTGATCGCCTGTCTTCCTTCGGGCCTGTACGGCACTACCTCCGCGGCCCTGGTCGCCGAACATATGTCATCAACGTTTCCCAATGTTAAGTGGGGGTTGGTGGAGGTGTCCCGAACCCGTCGGTGGACATTCGTCTGGGAGACGCTGCGGTCAGCAAGCCGACGGATCGCCACAGAGGCGTGGTTCGATATGATTACGGTAAGGTGCCCAGTGGAGGAAAGTTGCGCCCGAACGGATCCTTGAATAAGCCACCGTTGGAACTACTCACGGCCATCGCCGATCTGGAGTCAACCCATTTCATTAGCGAAACAAAGATTCCGAAGATCGTATCCGATGTGATTACACGAAACAAGCATCTTGGACTCAAACTTAGCGCCCCCAGGCAGCATCAAGATACTCTTTTTAACGCAGCATACGAACACCTAGCCTCGAACGATGACTGTGCACAGTGTGATCGAGGCCAACTTGTTGACCGGCCCGTAACGAGTTCCAATGTCCCACGGCTCTACTATGGGCTCATCGCTTCGGGAAACCAGGTGATGAGGGACGGCCAAACTCGGGAACGGCTGGGACAGGAACTCGGCATTTTGTGCTTCGAGATGGAATCTACTGGCCTCATGGATCACTTTCCGTGCTTGGTCATTCAAGGTATCTGTGACTACGCCGACTCACACAAGAACAAACACTGGCAAGGATACGCAGCGCTGACAGCAGCGGCGTACGGGAAGGAACTATTGTCGGCGATTCCTAAAACGCAAATCCGTGGGTCTTTCCTTTTTCCGATCGCAGCATTTTGGTTATGCTGATACATGTGCATTAATTCAGTCACTGGGCTGGATCGCCTTTCTACTATGTCTGTGCTCGCTGCGCTCGTCCAATTCACCGACTTTTCCGGTTCAATTCTGTGCAAGGAGGACCGAATGTAGAAATATCTAGGCGGACTGCACTGGAGAAATGAGAGTACCGAGACCGTCACTGTGCACCTCGAGGAGCTGACTGATGACGTGGAAAAATCGTTCTCTTCAGCCAAGCACGTGCGGGTATCGTCGCTAGAGCCGCATCGTCAATATGAACGCCTCCAACAAATGTGCAAAGAATGCGTTGGTGCTGGAGAGAAGTTGCTCAATCGTTTGCGCTACTTGACTGTGCCGAAGGCAAATGACTAGGTGCAATGGGAGAGTTTCAGAGTAGCTTTGAAATCAGTCTGGGAGGCAGGCGAGATAGACCAACTCGTGAGGCAGCTGGAGCTCTGGAGGTGCGAACTCAAGGGTTATGTCCACTTATATCTTCAGTAAGTCTGATTGTGATGTCTCTGACTAGGGTATCTATTTACTAGCAGCAGGGAGCCTGGAGCTTCTGGTGTCAAGGCCTTTCAACAGGCATTTTGAATCGTTCAGTCAGGATACCAGACGGACGATGCGCACGCTCTTTAACACTAAATTGATGCTCCCGGTAACAAACCAGGCAAATCATCACACGGGCGTCAAGAAACGCAGGGCTCGCATAGTAGCCAGCTTACTCGAAAGCTTGCGGTTCCCTCAAATGGATCATCGCGCCGATAGCATCACCGCAGCTCACCGCAATACATTCACCTGGATATTTCGAGACGTGGGAGAAAATGGGATGAAATGGGACGGCTTCTTGGAATGGTTGGTCAAGGGTAGCGGAACCTACTGGATGCAAGGGAAGGCTGCATCGGGAAAGTCGACACTGATCCGCTTTATTTGGGATCATCCACAGACGTGGACCGGTCTTCGAAGTTGGTCGAAAAACGGCCAATTGATCGCGGGCGTCTTTTTCTTCTGGAACAGTGGCGTCGAAGAACAAAGATCGCAGACAGGGCTTTTCCGTACACTCCTCTTCAAGGTACTCAGCGAGTGCAGGGAGCTTATACCCGAGGTGCTTCCTGAGGAATGGGAGGAAAGGGCAAAGCTTGCTGCTCAAGACAAAGAGATGCCAGAGCTAATATGGTCAATAGATGAGCTGCAAAGAGCCTTCACGCGTCTTGTGACCCTTGCGCGCGATGATATGAGGATGTGCTTTTTCATCGACGGTCTGAATGAGTATGATGGCAATCCAGAGAGAATTGCTGAATATATCCATGATCTTTCAGACCTGTCAACGCATGCAAAGTTTGGTGTCTCAAGCAGGCCATGGTCGATTTTTCAAGATATTTTCAACCTCAATTGCCAACTACGACTGCAAGACCTGACTAAGGATGATTTTCGTTTATATGTGAGGGATAAACTGGGCAGGAATAAACAGATGCAACTGCTTCTTATCGACGATTCAGACGGCGGAAATTCTCTCATACATGAGATTGTGGAAAAGGCAGATGGTATCTTCCTGTGGGTAGAGCTTGTTGTGAAGTCCTTGCTTGGTGGGCCCGAAATGGTGACGACATTTTCGACCTTCGCAAGTGTTTGGCTGATCTTCTGGTCGATCTTGAGAAACTCTATGACCGTATGCTGGAGCGGATAGAGCCGAGGTATCGTGAAGAACCTTCGGAAATGCTTCAGATATTTCGTGCCAGCGGTCACAGTCTGAATGTCATGGCTCTCTATCGGGCGCTCTTGTGCCCTAGTGTAAGTCATGTCATAAGCTTGCACACTGACAGACTTGCTATGAACAAAAAATGACAAGATGACAACGAAGGAAGACCTAATAAGAGAAGCGCTTGTGGAGAGAACAATGTTGAAACTGAACAGTAGATGCAAGGGGCTTCTGGAAGTTCATTCACCTTTTGAGTACGAGCCTCTTACCCAGAAATACGGCCCGTTCCCCGAGCATGATGGTGCTGTTAGTATGTCAATTGCCGATGCTCACGTGCTGCGACAAGGGATCGAAGATGAACCTCCTCAGCTGGGTTTGATGCAACATTTCAACAGACAACTCTTTACTCCAAGCCCCCGAAGTCCAAATGCTCATGGGACACTGCAGCCTACGAATGGCAATAACTCCGGAATTACCAAGGAACACCGTCATCAAATCTTGTATCTACATCGAACTGCCAGAGACTTTTTAGAACAGCCTCGAGTGTGGAAGGCTGTGACAGATTGCACAAAGCGTTCCTCATTTGATCCCTCGGTATCATTCACGATGGCCTATGTTTTGCAAGCGAAGAAAACACCCGTGATCTTGCAAGCCAAGACTGTATACGAGGCGGGCCAGTTTATGTTGTCCAAAATCGCAAGCTTCACAGGAAAAGGATCTTCGGATCTGATAGTGCTGATTGAAGAGTTAGACGCAGTTCTTGCAGAGCACTAGGCTCGCCAATCAGGACAAGGCCACTGGTCGTGCAGCACTGGTGAATGGATGCTCTATGATAACCCGAAGAACTATGCTGAATGGAAGATCTATGCCTCTAAGCGTGCTGTCTGGGGTGAAGACTTGCTGTCAATCGCATTGAAGGTAAAACTAGACTGGTATATCCAGGCAAAGATTTCAATGATCGCCTCGCCGGTATTTCTGGCGCGGAGCCAGCAACTTCCGTTGCCATCCTGGTCCACTCACCATCGGCAAGGACTCCCTCTCCTCGCCTTTGCCCTGTCCCTCGATGCTTGAACTGTGCATCTAGCAACGTTCCGTCCAGATATCAACAGAGTCAGGTTTTTGCTTGAGAATGGCGCAGATCCAAACGAGGTGTATGAAGGGTATATAATATGGCAGTACACTGTTCACTACCTCCATGTTGATAGTGACTATCTGCAAAAGGATTTGTGCGAGTGGCTGGATATTTTTAAGCTGATGCTGAAATACGGCGCAGACCTCAACACACACTGTATCGAGGACTAGAAAGTTTTTCCACGGGTCATTGGTCTCGAGGACGACAAATCATTATCACATGCCCATATGTATGATCATATGCAAACACATACATTGACAAACGGTGCTCCGCATCCCGCTCCGCATCCCTCAATGTCTCCACTTCCAATTTCGCAGCGGAGCAGGAAAGCAAAGGGTCTTTACATAGAGCATCATGGCGTTCTTGCTGTCGCCTTTGATGTGTTCAAGGCCAGGAATATCACAGGAGCAGATGAACTGCTGACCTATACAAAACAGCTCAAAGTCCAACAAAGGAGCATCGGAGCAGAGTCTAAAGATAGTCAATGAAAGAGGAAGAGGTTACCAGACCTACCCGGCTGGCTGGATTATCAGTCTAGTCAGGGTCGTTGCAGGGCTATGAGGAAATTAGTGGGCGAGCTGATACAAATTACCCCCCAAGAAATGCAAGATGACCACTTCGGGAATCACTACTATAGCGACTTCGCCTGATCCATGTCCCACGCTGTACTATAGAAACAACATAGAAGCTTCTTTTAGAAGGCGACCTCGCTAGCAAATGAGAATTCAAAAGGGATGGAATTAAGCTTCGATGATTGTCTGAGGAAAATTTGGAGGGATTCGACTGAAGTCAAACGTGGTTGATCCATCCTGAACATGGTTATACTAGCGAGAGACGACTGATCGGCAAGGTAGGTTCTGGCTCACGTTGACTGTAAAAAGCTTACCAGTCAAAGCAAGGAGATGAGTGTTCCGATTGACAAAATTGAGGTGAAAAGTGCAGTGGCAGAGTGAGATAGATTCGGCAAGTTGATGAATTTCCCACACACCACTGCATTTAGCGAATTCAATGACGCCATGTGTGAGACTTTCTATCCGTCCCACAGGAGACGCACCAAAGTGGGTATATCCCACCCGTTTCGGCAGGCCAAGTTACTCTCAGAGCAAACAGACCTGGCCGATTCCAAGACCAACGGTTTTGAATTGTCATCTGACCGGTTTCTCTCGGCACGGACAGGGTGAAAACATCATCATGCAGCCCAGACGAGCCATTTTCCGACCGGGAGAAGATCTCGCTTCGGCCATCGAGAGACGATCGTCCCGGTCAACGCGACCGAAGTGGATTCGGCGACGGAAAGAGGACTCGGCAGTACAAGCTCATCAGTGACATCAAGCGTACAGCGATCGTCAGTATCGGAAGAGACGATCGTTCTTAGCACATGTACCTGACTCCGTATGGCGGTTCCGATGCCAATGCCAATGTCAATACGGAGGGCATCGGCGTGCTTATTCGGAGAAGCGATCGGAGCGAAGTGCATCCTCAACGGAGGAGACGATTCGGACCGGTGCTGACGAGTGGCGTTTATGAGGCTTGATAAGTGCTCTGGAGGCGTCAAACTCCTAGATTAGATTCGACACCACCGACGTAGAAGGCGTCAGACTAGGATGGCTATGGCTAGCTGGTGAGATTCGAGCCGGAGGCATACCGACGATATCGGACATCGGGCAGGCGCGTTACGGCGGACGACGGCCGAGTCGCGCACTAGCGACCTGGGGATACTGGAGTGAAACAGACCGCAACAGGTGAGCTCTCCTCATGGACAGACCTGAATGAGTACACGTCATGGAAGACCCCGTTGAAGCCAAAATGCGGGAGAGATGAGTCCGGGGATGTCAGAGTGCACGGGCATCTCCCCTCGGGATGCCATTGCCAGGGTCCAGTCCAGACTTCTCGGCACAGTTCGCTTAAATGCAATTAACCTGGACCGAGAATTAACCTGACCCCATGTTTCAGGGCCATTGAGCATTGACATTCCTTGATTCGCAGCTGGAAAAGAACCGGGTCCGCCCGAGACGCGGAGAGTCACGTGAAATACCCATCAGTGATTGGTGGAAAAATCGCGGAGAGTGTGCTTTGTCAGCCATCAGCTGATGCCTCAGGTGTTCTCCCCCTGTCTCCCTCAGGCAGTAAGGCTCTCCCGGTCACTGGGCATGGCAAGCCCTGATTGATGGGCAGCTGGATATCCTCACGTGGATACTCCGTCCCAAAGGATCGCGATCACTTAATCAAAGCGAGATTGTTTTCAGTACAACAGGGCAGGGTCTCATCTACTCGGTTAATTCAACATTCATCCGGGCCTCTCCCTAACACCTAACTGGGAAAATCTCCGTCCCAGAATCAACCGACTGGGTGAGCTGGTGCACTCCTCCCCACTCATGACGCATTGGCGCTCCTCCCCCAGAGTCCTTGATTTGCTCGTTTCCCCATCCCCATGTCTCCCCGGACCTCCACATTCCCTCCAGGCCGATCCTTGCTCGTTCCAGTGGTGCCGCCGGCCGAACGCCATGCGCGTCTTGCACCACCCCGGAATCCGGCTGCTCCCAAACGGGCGCGGATGCCAAGTTCAGCCATGCGATCCCGTATGAGTGTTCGTCGTATATAAGATCGCTGTCTTGGAGCTCCCCTGGCGCCGACTTTTTTTTTTTTTTTGTTTCCGCGATCAGCCCGATCTTGTGAGGTAGAGCTGCCAACCATGTATCGGATCACGAATATTTACGGTATGTTTGACATTCTCCAACATTTTCTGTCCGTTTTTACTCATGCAATACAGTCCTTGCCGCCTTTGGCACCATCGGCGGTGCTCTCTTCGGCTTCGATGTCAGGTACGTTTAACGGTCTTTCTTACAAGGGAAAATGCTGACCCGCGTAGTTCTATGAGTGCCTGGATCGGCACGCAGCAGTACCTCGACTATTTCGACCATCCCGACTCGAATCTCCAGGGTGGTGTAAGTTCTAGCTTTCCTTGTTTCATACTATGTAATTTTGCTCTAACCGAAACTAGATCACCGCGTCTATGTCTGCCGGTTCCTTCGCAGGTGCCATCGGAGCCGGTTGGCTATCCGATCACCTTGGCCGACGCATGTCTCTCATGATTGCTTGTATCGTTTGGATCATCGGTGCCGTTATCCAATGTAGCGCACACAGCGTGGCGCACTTGGTGGCTGGCCGAGTCATTAGTGGTCTTTCCGGTACGGAAGAGGCGTCCATCCCCTGTCCACGTGGCTTGCGCTAACCCTATCCTACCTACCCTCAGTCGGTGTCACTTCGTCCCAGGTCTGCGTCTACCTCGCCGAGTTGGCCCCCGCCCGTATCCGTGGTCGTATCGTTGGTATTCAACAATGGGCTATCGAATGGGGTATCCTGATTATGTACCTCATTTCCTACGGCTGTGGACAGGGCCTCTCTGGCGCTTCCTCGTTCCGTGTCGCTTGGGGTATCCAGGCCGTCCCCGGTCTTATTTTGTTGCTTGCGCTGCCCTTCTTCCCTGAGTCGCCCCGTTGGTTGGCTGGGAAGGAGCGATGGGAGGAGGCTCATGATACCCTGGCTTTGCTCCATGGACACGGCGACCGCAGCAACCCAGTCGTTCAGTTGGAGTTCGAGGAGGTGCAGGAGGCTGTCCGCGTCGCCCACGAGTCGAAGGATGTTACTTTTCTAGCCCTATTTGGTCCCAAGATGTGGAAACGAACTATGTGCGGTGTTAGTGTACAGGTGTGGCAGCAACTGCTGGGAGGTAACGTCGCTATGTACTACGTCGTGTACATTTTCCAGATGGCCAACATGGTGAGTTGATATTTACCCTCGGGCCAGTAATGAGTTGTCCAGCTAACTCAGACACAGTCCGGTGACACGGCCCTCTACTCTTCTGCTATCCAATACGTTATCTTCCTCGTCACTACCGGTGTCATCCTCCCCTACATCGATCGCATCGGTCGTCGACTCCTCCTTCTTAGCGGCTCCGTTCTCTGCCTGGCCCTTCACTTCGCTATTGCCGGCATTATGGCTACATACGGCCACCCCGTTGACTCGATCGACGGCAACGAGAACCTCCGATGGTCTATCGCAGGCGCCCCCGGAAAGGGCGTGATTGCTTGCTCCTATATTTTTGTTGGTGTCTACGGCTTCACCTGGGTATGTCCCTCCCTTGTACCCTCCCCCATGTGCATAAGCAGCAAAATAGAAGGCTAAGTAATTGTAATAGGCCCCCACCGCATGGGTCTACGCCTCCGAGGTCTTCCCCTTGAAATACCGCGCCAAGGGCGTCGGTCTGTCCGCCGCAGGCAACTGGATCTTCAACTTCGCTCTGGCCTACTTCGTCGCGCCCGCTTTCACCAACATCCAATGGAAGACGTACATCATCTTCGGCGTCTTCTGTACTGTCATGACCTTCCACGTGTTCTTCATGTATCCTGAGACGTCGAACCGCTCGCTCGAAGAAATCGATGCTATGTTTGACTCCAATGTCAGTGCCTGGAAATCGGCATCGGCGAAGGATACCTTCACTGCGGAGGTTGAGAGGAGGCAGAATAGTGTGGCGGAGGAGAAGGCTGTTGAGGCGAGTCATCAGGAGATGGCTTGATCTGTGGATCTATCTGTGATATTGTGGATCTGGGGGTCTGTACAGATGATGATGATGATGTGATGTTAAGAAGATCGGGGTAGTTTGGAATAGAGCTACGTCCTTTCCTGTATAGTGTAATACATTTGAGCTATGATGCTGATGAGTCAGTTTTTCTCGGTGGTTTAGCTGTACGATGCCTTTGGACTGGGTTTGTGTTTACTGGTTGTATGGGGCAGTTGATGCTCGCTAGTAAAAGGCTTTGCCTCAGGAGCGAATGAGCAGATTTTGCTCGTAAACCGAATACTAGTATACTAGCCTGTCACCTGCGCCTGAATGCTGATTCGTAAAGTTATGATGCTCCATCCTACTCATCACCTGGGGATATGTTCTCTCGTCTCGTCTACGCTGGGCGGGTGCCACTGTGACCACCTTTGGTGAAGGGAAGTGGAAAGCTAGAGGGTTAGACATTGTTTCAGTGATCCATCACCTATCATCCATCGACCTTCCCCGTTCGCGCAATGATCGGCCCTGTTTCTGCTGTACCAGCAGGCGTTCATGGTTCGGTCTAGTTGACGCTCTTGGTAGATAGTCCAGGAGTATATACTCTATGCTTTATCGGTAGCATTTGTTATTCATCAATAGTCTAAAATATGTTAATCTACTTCACTTTCAAAGCTCAATACCTGCAAATACTATATCAAATGTCTAACACGATACAACACCGCCCTAGGCATAGTATATTCTAATAATCACTCCCCGTCGACCCATATAAATGCTCTCCTCTCTCCAAAACCTCAATTTCATCACCAACACTAACAACCAGCCCCCGCCCCTGCTTCTCCGCCTCCTTTAATCCCGAATCCTCCGGCACGCAATGCATCCCCAGATACCCCAGCGCCGATGCATTCCCCGACTCGACCGTGCGATGCGCCACCAGCGTCGTGCTAGGCTGGGGCTTGCCCCGTTTCCGTCCCGCGGGAGGTACATCGGTATCGAAGATCCCCGTGTCGGGGTTCACGCTGGGCATGGTACATCGCGAGGTACGGCATACGACTGATAGTGTTGGAGATACGTCGGCGTATGTATCTGGTTGTGTTGAACTAGCCTCTCTCTTGGGGATGATGCGGTACCGTTTCCATGTCTCCTCGTCGTAGGCGACAGATCCCGAGATCCAGATGTTAGCGCGGAAGCGCAGCGCGTTGAGAGGTTGGTTCTCGGGTGGTAAGAGGCCCGAGACAGAGTGCACGGAGGATATACTGTTGATGTTGATCGGTTGCTGGTCTGTATATCCGTGGACAGCTCGGGAGCCAATATTTTCCAGTGGAGCGAGGTTCTTGGTCGTTGGTAGTAGCGTGTCCGGGGTGCATCTTAGTAGAGCGAGGGGCTGGGAGTCTGGGATGCGAAGGAAGCGTTTGAGCTTCGGGAGAGCGGTAGCGATGTCTGGGAGGGCGGAGATGTTGAGTCCGGAGGCTGGGCGACCGTGGATTCCAAATTTTTGGATGCTGATGTCGTACGAGGAGATCTGTGAGGGGGTTGGATGGAGCGGGACGATGAATGAGATCTCCGGAGTCGGATGTAGATTGCCGGTGTGAAGGAAGGCGTCGAGTCGGCTGATCCAACGCAAGGGGCGGGAGTCGGTATCTGGGTCTGGGAAAGTGACAACTAAGCAGCCGCCTGCTTGGACGAGCGGATCGTTCGGATCGCTCGATTCATGCGAAGTCCATAGGTAGGTTTGGATTAACGACATGGTCGGTTTGGTACGCTGACTGATAAATTTCCATTCCGGAGGAGAACCAGGGGATACGGTTTCTGTAGCTAGGGCAAAGCATCGATCGTATAGGAATCCAGTTTTGGTCAGGAGGGCACGATCCAGCTCAATCGGTCCACATGATTTGATGGGATGGATGTAGATGGATTTGATCCGGATAGGCTCGTTGGATGCTGGGTCGGTATCCTCGGGGATAGCATATTGGCTGTCATATTGGTCGTTCATGTTACTGTTTGATGGTTTAATGCCTTGAAGCTTCAGGTGTTTGAGCTGTCTGCGGATGGTTGATGCATTGCTGGATTGGAGCACAATGGTTAGGCCGCAGCCCAGCAAGACGAGAAAAGCGGTGGTGCCATAGAGAAGGACAGTTGGCGTGAGGCTATCTAGCAGCCATTGTAACACTTGCAGTAGCATTGTTGCTGGTGATCAGGTCCTCTTCGGGAGATATAGTGAATCGATGAAATGAACTAATCTCTTGATGATCAGCACTATTCAGCAATGGATAATTTCCTTCCTAGGGTTTGTCGGCGGCTAATGACTCGGCTCAGGTGTGGAAGACCACATCTTATATAGAGATGTCTTGTAGGAAATTTCCAGTACTCGACCTACCGGAAGTTCCGACATAGCACAAGCGCGCGTACACATGAGTCACGGCTGTTAAATCAAACGGGGCCGAGAACGTCGATTGACAAATCGATTGTTAAGCACCGAGAGAACAACACAAGATCATGTTCAACCCTCTCCGCCGATCGACTCAGCATACAAAGGGGCGGGACAAGCTATGAAGTTGTGAGAAAGAATGAAAAGAAGATTCCACGCCGGAGAAGAAAAGATGCGGAGAAAATGGGTGGTGGGTCTATGCCTCAGGCAGCAACACATCCGGTTCGAGAAGTTGTGAGGAGTGGGTCCCGTAGGGGTGCGTTTTAATGGGCCCTGTGACCATAGATAGGTGGCTGGAGGTTAGCCGTATCTATTATCTACCCAGGTGCCTTGCTAGTAGAAAGTGTGTTAATAAGTTTTGGCAGTTACAAGGTTTTTCCTTATGGTTTAGCTATGTTGTACTATTCTGCACAATATTTATGTAGATTCCCTCATCTGGAATTTGTATTACCTAAGAATGTCTAGTTTTGATTGTTTCTCCTGCACTTGTATGCATTGACTTCAATATTGTACGAATCTCTAACAGTCCCAAAGGTATTTTTGCGGGATGTGAGGGACTACCTGGTATACATGGCTCTGAATCCCTCGCATAATTATTTGGTAAGACTAAGAGTTCCTATAACTGCTGGTCGTCTTATATGACCAATGAAGAGGCCTAGCGCTACTCTCGTGTGCTAAGAACTACATTCTTTGAATATGCACTCTAACAAACAAGCGACTGCCGTTTCGTCGCGAAACAGACATCCAAATTTTTGGACATCTTAGAAAACTATGGCAGCTTTCGCTAAAACATGATGGTTCAGTACATATGAGACGTGCCGAGAAGGCATTGTGTCATGATCATGGCTAGCGAAGCTTGGATGAATGCTTGATAGAAGAGCACTCGAGAACAGGTTCCGGATCTTAACACATCACGCTCGCATGGATTCCCATAGCCCAGCCACCCAGTTAGCTTTACTCGATATTTGACGCCAGTGTTTTTAAGCTTCTCATTCTACCACTGGCTGTCTACTTGCCAGTCTTGAGTAGAATTTTTGGGGGTATTTACGTCCGTACTTTTCAAACAGTGATAGAAGAAATACAATTTCCTTGTTCGAGGCGAATATTCAAAGACCACTATGACTCTGACGCAAATAGTAATACCGACAGATAACGGAGTCTTTGTCAACCCTAATCCCCTACTGAGGTACTGGCTCAACGTGAGAATAATAAATCATACCCTCTCCCTTTCTCCTGTGCTTTTCTGTAATCCTATAGACCGAGAATGGTGAATTATGACTAGAGTCGTAGAATACTCATCGAGTGTTTCATATTTACCACGGGCTATTCAGAACAGATGAAATAAGATTAAATGGCTGATTCCTGAGGAGTCAGTTGGCTTCTTACCGCAAGAAACAATAGCAGCTATTCTATGAATGTTGTCGTTTCGCATGATCATGTGAAGTTGAGATTAGGATGGCGGCTAGTGGACTCTATCGGTTCAGAATAACGGCGGTTGATTATTCTCCGTCGGGCTCAACAGTTCAGCATGCTTTGTCGACCCCAATCTCGTGTCATCTCTTTGCATGAAACCCACTAGAGAGAATTAAAGATAGCACGTGGTATGTATAATAGTGAACGAACCCCTAATCCGGCCCCCGAAATCTAAGCGAGGACCATATTCCCGAACCGTCAAATCCGTCATGCCCCGATACGAGCTTATTCAGTTCCCCCTTCCATCTCTTCGCACTACCTTACTCCTTTCGTCACGATCGCCCCCAAACGGGTGGTTTCAAAGTTCGTCAAGCTCCAGGGCTGACGCTATTTCGGGTATGGAGTGACGGAGCGACGGGATGATCGCCCGGTGGGTCGACCCTCCGTGGTCGTTATTGGAGGCGGGCTCGACGGTATCCATATCCCAGATCTGGAATGGTGCGTGTCAGATGCTTGGGCTAGGCTTGTTCTATGGGAGCGAAGGGGTGCAATGGATGGGTATAAATACGTCAGTGGTTCGCTGGGTTGTGAGGGGAGACATCCAGAATTCGGTTCAACTTCCATTGATTGACTCTCTTTGACACTATGCATTACGCTACTCTCGCTGCTCTGCTCGCGGTCGGCCTGGTGTCGGCATATGATCTGCCTGATAATTTGAAACAGATTTATGACAACTATAAGGTACCCCTTCCTTGCCTGGATTTAACCATTCGAAGGCGCAGGGCTAATTGTTTAGTCTGGAAAATGTGAGAACAACCTCGCTGGCGGCTTTACCGATGGCATCAATGGTGAAAATACCTTTGCCTATTGCGGCGACATCGATGGCGCTATCTTCCTGCACAGCTCCAGCAATGGTGGCCAATACGATAACATGGATGTGGACTGCGATGGCGCCAATAACACTGATGGTGACTGCGCCAACGACCAAACTGGCCAGAGCCAGACTGCGTTCATGGATTCCTTGAGCCAGTATGGCATCGATGACTTGGACGCCAATGTTCATCCGTATGTCGTGTTTGGTAACACCGACTTCGATCCTCAGGAGTATGGCATGGAGCCCCTGAGTGTGATGGCCGTTGTTTGTGGCGATCAGCTGGTATACCTCCCCTTGCATACCTTTTCGTGTGTGACGTGAGATAGAAAACTGACCTGAATTAGTTCTACGGTATCTGGGGCGACACCAATGGTGAGGACTCCACTGGCGAAGCGTCCATCTCTCTGGTGCAGCTGTGCTACCCTAATGATGATATTACCGGTGACAATGGCCATGCCGATGACGATGTCCTCTACATCGGATTCACCGGTAAGGATGCTGTTCCTGGCGACGAGGCTGACTGGACCACGGACGACACCGATGCCTTCGAGGACAGTATCAAGGAGCTCGGTGACAAGCTGGTCGCTCGTCTTCAGGACTGAATGTCCGGCTCGCTGTGCTTGTCATCTATCATATTTGCTGTTTAACCCTGCCATATTATAATACTGTACATGTACATATAATACTAGTCTTCTGTTATTTTGTCTTACTTACTCCGAGCTGGAGCATATTAAACCCCAATTGTTGGGTCTAGAACCAATTGAGTGCTCCTCTAAGTTAATATATTTAACCTTATTCAATCATTTCAACGAGACTTACTGAAGTTCTCCTGCTTGGTTTAGCTCTAAAAAATGCGATTGGATAAACACCCTACTCTTTCGTAGCTTGCTCACCTTTGGCCCCGACAATTTGAAATAAGCTCGTCGGGGATCTCTTGTAGTTTCGTTTTCATTTTCTATCCCCCCTTCGATCACCCAAAGGGATCCACAGAAAGGCCCTGAGTGGGATTATAGTCGGTGCGGTTTCGGGCGGTCCCTGAGCTGCGGATTTCGGTCCCAAGATATTCAAGTTCAACCCATAACCGCAGAGGTTTAGTGCAAATTCGGTTGCGGTTTTACCCCTAATCAACCCTACCTACTCATAGGTAAGTAAATTCTGAACAAAATACAGTAAGCGCTCGGTTTATTTGGGATACTCAATGATGGCGGGGTGAGGATATTAGGAAAAAATAATTGACAGGCACAATGAGGACATGAGATTGCATTTGTGGCCAAACGAATGAATTCAATTAACTAGGATGTAGATGGTCGTATCTATAGGGAAAAGCGGTCTTCACGCGTAAACAAACACGAATGCTTGGCATGGTGCCTCAGGCACCAAAGAATCAGCAAAACAGGCCGGGAAAAGGAGGTTTAAAATGCCGAGGCGTTTTTTCGCTGCCTTGCTGCCTTGTTTGTTTGGTTTGTTTTTTTGCAAGTACTCTACAGACAGTTCTAAATCCATCGCAAACTCGTTATCATTAGCATCTAATTGTTGCTGCTACATTTCACTCATTCTCTTTAATTATTCCCATCTAGAACAAGCGTTAAGTCTTCCTGTAACTGTGTCTTCAGTATCTGTTATTTTAAGTGAGTTTGAAAATATATATCTAAATAGAATGTGGGTAGATAAAATACAAAAGACGGATTAGCTGAACAGACCAAGTTAATGCTGATACTCCTAATAGTCTACTAAGTCCCTTCATGCAATGTGACAAACAACAAAAATCTAGAGACTTGGCTATTGCACTGACAACTATTCTGCGCACGGAATGTGCCCATCTGATTTTCCTGGCACAGACCATCAAATAATTATTGACTGGAAAAAACCTAGTAGGTTGTAAGTATCGGAGCCAGGCAAATTTAGAATTAATTGTCCACATGTCCACACTATCTCTCTGCCCAAACGCAGGGTCCGTACAGCAGATCCGGTCCCACGTGTAAAAGCTATCAGACCACAAAGCTATCCTCTAAACACGAACACCCGTTCTCCAATCACGAGAATGGAGAGCCATGTGGTACGATACGCAAATGGTGCGATGTGACATTTCAAGGTAGGAATGCAGTAGGTCAAACCGATTATGTATCGTTATAGCGCGGTTAGGCAGGGCAGATTATACCCCCGAGTTATCGATATGGCATCCGAGCATAACCGATGATATGCGACCGAAGCTGGAGTGTATATAAGCAACGACCAAGGTTGCGATATTCGCATTTTCAATAGCTGGTCAAGTCCCACAATCAGTACGGTGGCTGATGACAGGTTAAATGGAGCATGGTTGTGATAGCTTATCTAGGTTACATCGGCGCTGGACGAGAGAAATTAGTACCCGGGGATAGAGCTGAGAAGAAAAACATAATTCCATTCGTTCAGAGGTATTGAAGTCATACTTCTGAAGGGTTTCATGGAGGGCTTGAGTAGTTGGTTCTGTGTTCAGCGGAAGGGTTTTCAGGATACAATATTGAGTCGGATAGTCTCCGCTCATTGAAGGCTTTGGAGCAAAATCTCGTGAATTTATTGCTGGTCCAATTCTGTATTCAGAAACTAGACGAGCTCAAAAGAAGAAATAAAGCATCCAAACCCGGACGAAATCATGAAATACAGAGGAGCCGTGTTATCTTAATGTCAAGTGTAATATCGAACCATAGGCCTCCTGTCCCGAATGATCCCATAATTCACCACTAGTTACACCACAGGATTCTGTTGGCTCGTCAGGGGCGAGAAAGCCCCTCAGCTAGTGGCTGATAACGAATAACGCCCCGCAATTGGCAGACACGGAGCTTCCAGAAGATGGCGGTTATCTCCAGCCTTTGATAGCCCGCAACGCTAAGCCGCCGAACAAGATGTCTTATCGCAGGGCAAGCCAGCCAAGGAAGGCTTCTTGCCACGAGCTGGTTTGGAGTATTTGTGTATATGATTTAATATTCCCAGTTGCTACTGTCGTTCCTTTACTCCCGTTTTTTCCCTACCTGTGTCCTCCCACTCCAATCCTACCCTTTCTAAGTGACAAACAGTCAATATGGCTGCTTTCGACTCCTCGAGTCACAAAACGATCGAAAAGACCGTGGAGCCGAGTACCTCGGGTTGGGTGTCTGATGTTGACCATGGAGCTGAAACCGAGTTGCATCGGACACTGTCCACCCGGCATATCACCATGATTGCCCTGGGTTCTTCCATTGGCATGGGTCTCTGGCTGGGCAGTGGTACGTCCCTGGCTAACGGAGGCCCCGCTGCCATTTTCATCGGTTACATTCTCTCTGGTACTATGATCTGGGCAGTTAGTCACTCCATTGGAGAAATGGCTGTCATGTATCCTCTTCCGTCGGCTTTTGTGCAGTGGACTTCGATGTTTGTCGACCCGTCGGCTGCGTTCGCGCTAGGATGGTCGTATTGGTTTAATTACTTTATTGTCATTGCAAATGAGCTGCAGGTTGGTGATATTATCCAGATTGACTGATCTGAACTAACTGGGGCTAGGCTGTCAACACTGTCTTGACCTTCTGGACAGATAAAGTGCATGTCGCCGCGTGGATTAGTATCTTCTGGGTGGTGATTATCCTGATTAACGTGGTCGGTGTCAAGTTCTTTGGAGAAATTGAGGTCATATCATCGACAATCAAGTTTTCGTGGATCATTGTGGTCATCATTTCTCTCATCGGTGAGTTCTGCCCTGTTCACTGTTTCAAGGCTAGCCCTAACACCACCCAGTCGTATCCGCAGGAGGCGCTCCCGCCGAAGGCCCCATAGGCTTCCGATACTGGAACTCCGAGCCTTTCACCAACGGATTCAAGGGGTTCCTCTCCGTCATGCCGACCTGTATCTTCGCCATGTCCGGTTCCGAGAACTGCGCTCTCGTCGCCGCCGAAACCACCAACCCGCGCAAGTCGGTCCCGCGTGCAGTCGGTTCTATGTGGTTGCGTCTGTCACTATTTTACGTCCTGGGTTCGCTCATGATCACTATCACTGTGGACCCCATGAACCAGGATCTATTCGGTGCTTCGGGTGTCAACGCTTCCCCATTCGTCATTGCCTACCGGAACGCCGGTTTAGCTCCTCTGGCCCATATCATGAACGCTGTCATCTTTATCTCTGTCGTGTCAACTGGAAGTATCTCTGGCTATGGTGGTGCTCGTACGCTTATGGGAATGGCTCATCTTAAAATTGCTCCTAAGGTATGCTTGCTGCCCCCCATCATCAAACTCACCTCCGTTCAGTCAATGCTAATTCATGGCCAGATTCTCGGCAAAGCCGACAAGGCAGGTCGTCCCCTCGCCGGCCTTGGGGTCACACTCCTCATTGGCGGCGGTCTTGCATACTTGAACGTCAACAACAGCGGCGCCGAAGTCTTTACCTGGTTCTCCAACCTGACCTCTCTCTTCACGCTCTTCGGCTGGGGCATGATCTGTCTCTCACACATTCGCATGAGGTACGCCTGGAAACTCCAAGGCCGCCACCCCTCCGAGCTCCCCTGGAAATCATGGACCTATCCATACGGTGCATACTGGGGTCTGCTATGGTGCATTCTGCTCATCATTGCCGAATTCTACCTCAGTTTGTGGCCATTGGGAGGCAGTCCGAATGTGAAGGACTTCTTTGCCAATTATATTAGTGTGGTTGCTATTGTGGTGATTTATCTTGGGGCCAGGATTTATTATCGCGGGTCCTGGTGGATTGATGCCAGTACCATTGATCTAGACGGATTGAGACGATTCTATTCGGATAGAGATTTGGAGGCGAAGGGAGAGAAGAGGGGTGGCATTCTGGGGAAGGTGGTTGGTGCTATCACAGACTAGAGGTGAGTCTGCTAGGTGTATATGGGTAAGGCTGCAATGGAAGAGTTCTATATGCGGGTGTAGGTTTGGAATTCAGTGGTCACCCTCTTGGGACCTTAATGTATAGAAAGAGGCTCATTATTAACTATGATGGAGTACACTATTCTATTAATTATCACCAACATAGCAGCCCTTTTGGTGCATCCCCAACAGATCCGGGTAGGCAGGCAACGAACCTTTCTCGGACTAACAGAAGACAGATATTAGCGCGAATTGAAGCTGAAGAGGAAGCTCACCCAGGGATGGAACCATATGAAAGGACAAATTACTCATAGGGCACAAGAAAGAAAGCTTACCTGTCGGTTGCCCAAACATAACGATCATGTCGTCATGTTCAGTCGGATATTCCATTTCTTCCAAACAGACAAATCCATACCAGGACACCCCCGAGTCTGCCGCTGGCGGTGCATACTTCGCTTCCTTGATCCGTACTCCCCATTCACCCTTTTGATCGACCCTTTCGAATTCATCCATGTTCTTCACGGCGAAGTTTATGCATTTCCAGAGTTTGAATTGATGGAAGAAAGCAACAACTTGCGTCTTTGTACCACGTTGCACGACTTGAATGCGGGTTATGTTGGCGTCCCAGTGTTTGAGGGTCGAGAGGAGTTTGCGGCGGCGAGTAATAAAGAAGCGGGTGGCAACACTGGATGAGAGAAGTAAAATGTTAGTGTAATCCGCTGAAAGTTAAAGAAGGAAATGTACGAACGTGTCAAAGATAACCTTGAATCCCGTGATGGCTTCTTGAAAATGATGCAAGTCTGTTTATAAGATTATAGTCAGATTGTGGGCAATGGTACCTGGGCGTGGGGAACTCTCACCCTTTTCCGTTTCAAATTTGATTCTCCGTATAGTGGGCTCTGTTTGAAGTGCCTGAAGAACGTCGATAACCTTGTTCTGAAGACCGTTACTGGCCAAGCCCTGAGCGACTGTAATGGTGAGGTCTTCCTGCGAATGTCGATGAAGATGAAGGACAGTATCGTCGAGAACCGATAGACCGATCGTTAATTCGCCAGGCCCTGTGTGTCGATTGACGGTTAGGGGAGTTCCTGAATCAAACTTTGTTTGTATTTCTGCTCACCGATGTTAATGCGGTCCGTAATAGATCCCCAGTCTGATTCAATAATGACTCGCAAGTTCTCCGACAGAGTTGTTTTCCCATACGGGTTTGAGATGAACTCAGGCTCCTGTGCCTGTTCAATGACTGATGCTAGACTTTCACCGAACTCAAGGTGGCGAGCACCCTGGGCTCCTGACTCCCGGGTCTGGCGTTCCAGAATAACGTATGAACTGACGGGAAACGTTCGGAGAGCAGTCTCGCCTGGGCCAGGAACTAGGTCGACAAGAAGCGAGTGCATTAAAGTGCGCGATTCGGCATGATGGTAGTATAGGAAGACGGAACGCCTTTGGCCATCCTCAACTATTTGCAAAAACAAACCAGGAGAGCCGTCATCTGCATCCAACAGGCTATACACTATAGGAGATTCATTTCCTAAGTTATGGGATATTTGGTGCATTGCCTTCATGTGTGGAGGAGTCGAGATGAAGAGGCGATAGCCACGGTGCGATCGACGATTGTTGGGTCCTGAATACACTGTAGCGGTTCTTTTGAAAAGGCGCATACGGCATTCCTTCACTGGCTTGGCAGGAAACTCGATCGGCTTGTCGTGGTTAATATAATGACAAGTCTTGATAGCATCGTCGAACAGGATCTCTTCATCCTGCCCGGCAACCATGTCTATCTCAGCCAGGACGGTATGATGAGCCGCCTCCCAGAACTGTTTGAAACTGTCCTCGCTGAACTTGACATCGAGGAAAAGACCATGGCGAAGCTTGACGAGCATCGACAATCTGCCCACATCCCACTCGATCTCCTTCCATATCGGTCCTTGTTTTCCGTTGGAATGGATTGTGATGTGCACAAGGTCTGTTTGGCTTGCAATCACCCCCAGAGTTTGCCAGTTGGAGCGGGTTCGGATAATTGAGAACATGCAGTAAAATGAGTGTGCGAGGGAATATTCCTCCTGTGCGAACAAGGTCACCTTGACAAACTCACTTGTATAGTGGAAGAGATCCTCTGTGTCGCCAAAGGCAAGGGGTATGCTCCATGCTGCGAGTCGTTGGTCGTTGAGGATGGCAGCATCGTAAGACGTGACGGGCGCATAGAAAACCCAAAGGGATTTCTCAAAATCCATCATCCGACCCAAGTCTGTACGCCCTAGAAAGGTGGTTTCTAACTGCCTCTCGTACGGTCGCAGATATTTGAGGACACAGCGGTACTGATCGAGAAGGTCGCCTCGGGGAGTAGTTTTGATCCGAGGGTCGGCAGTGATGATTCGAAAGTCATCTTGGGCGATGACCTGGTGACAAATCCACCATGCCTTGCCTAGGTCCATCAGACCTTGTGCCATCGCCATGGATGAAATCTCATCCTCCTCATCAGGGATGAAGTTTGAGTCACTCGAGGTTTGGGCACGCGTTAGGACCACTTTCCCACGAAGAGCCCACCAGATTGCTGCTCTCAGCCACTCATCGATTGTGATTTCTTGTACTGGCTTAATTGTTTCAACGTATGGTTGGAATAAGTTACCGAGGCGCTCATGCAATCTCGTGCTGTTGGCCACGTTGTTTCCACTGAGTTCTCTTTGCCGGTGCCCGAATGGGGAAGTCGTGCCCGGTCGTGGTTCATTCCAAGGGGGATGATGGGTGACAGAACTCGGAGAGGGGATCATAGGAGGTTGGGACGCGGATCGAAGGGGAGGAGGGAGAGCTTTATAAACGGTTTTGGGCCCATCATGGCGTTCTGGAGAGAAAAGCGTGGTTAGCATAATAACTCGAGAGGGTAGGGCGTTCGTTTGTGAGGGAGAGAATAAAGCTCACGGCGCATATGAATGCTGTCCGCTTGGTGTAGCGTGGCTATTTCGCTTCGCCCATACGCAGGTGGCTGCTCATAGCACTCGGTAGAGATTTCATTTCTAGAGCCTGCTCCTAGAAACTCCATGATTTGCTGTTCCGCGTTCACCGGTTCGGAGCTCGCCTGGCTGGAAGATCGGCGCAGCCAGTCAGCAAATCGTGGTTTGGTTGGCTTGCTATCCATGTTGGTTTCTTCTACGCTGAGAAGTGGGAATCGAACCATCAATCGGAATGAGTATCAGAGTAATTGCATCTTTTGAATTCTGAGTTGGGCGATGAATTTATATCATGGCTTCTGTGATATAGTGCAGTACCATGTGGCATGGCATACACGCGAGCCACAATATCGGATAAAGCTAGTCACCTTGTGTCTCAATGTGAAGCATTCTTATGGTTGAGGCCCACCAGACGAATTTTGTCTCACTCCGCATGACAGGGATGTAGTTCTAGAGCATTATCTATGCAGCAGGTGAACCGGTCTGGTAGCCGAAGCGGTGTCTGCTTCGAACGGGGCTTTATCAAAAAGGTTCAATGGTAAGGGGGATAAACATTTGTTGGCTACGCTGAGGGATATTATGACGCATTCTTGACAGCGTATTCTATCATGCGCTGAGAAAGCCAACTAACAGTCTATAACTAACTTAATGACTACTTTGATCTAGATTTCTTCTGCCTTGACCTGATGAATGATTCCTACCGGACTTAAGTTTTCCGATATTTTCCCGCTTGTTCAAATGAATTGACAGTAGAATTAGCCTACGGTACCCAATGATAACATAATAGGCGTGATAATCGAATAATCAAGTCACTACCTAGGAGCATTAAACACTGCGAAAGGGACCCAGTCTCGTTGGCCAGCAAGTAGTCATGTCAAATTTCGGCGCATGGAATCCATCCTATGCCATGATTCCAATATGTAACAACAATCTAATAGTACTCTCATTCTATTCTCGGAAATACATGAGTCTGACGGACATAGTAAAGCGGTAAAATTTAGATAGTCGCTGTTGAACCAGAGGTGATCTAAATATAGTAGAGAAGGTAGTATCCTTAGTAGAGCATAATAAGGGATAAAAATGTCGTAGATCGCAAGCCAATAACGGGAAAAAGATATTGGCAAAAAGATTCGACTTGATTTCCCGAACTATCCTAATCCTAGATCTTGTCTACTCGTTCGAGACTCGAAGCGCTACAAGCACGTTAAGGTGACATCGAAGAGAACTTATCCACAAGGAATGTTTCATACTGGAACCTTTCTCGAGCTTACCGAACCATTGGCGGATGTTGGTTGTATCTCCACCAAGCCAGCCAGCCATCGACCTGATTGATCTATTTTCAACGTCCTACGGCCTTAGCCGACCCCGTGACTTACCCAGAACGATACCGCACACTTCCGGATTAAGATGGATCACTATTATTAAATCAATCAATCAATCAATCAATCAATCACTATTATTAGGATTTTAGCCCAAATGTGCCGAAGTATATATAACGCCACAATTCCCTTTGGAAACTACAGGAAAAGTACCTGTTCGAAACGCACTTGAAATGCGGTTGAGTCTATAGTTTAAGAGTAAGGCTTGTTTGGTGGCACGTTGAGTCTATGACTAGGTTCATCCCAACATCATTCAGACGAACGGGTATAGCACTAAACAAACTATTTATCAAAGATCTGCGGTTATTTCACCACCAAGGGCACGTCTGATCTAAGAGTCTTCAATCCATTTGGTGTGATGCTTCGGTGTAAGTTTTTTCTCGATTCAAGGAAGCCATGATATATTCGAGACCAGATAATTCTAGACCTTTGCTGGAGACACCACACTGCTGGTCTCAGTCTTATTTACAAGTGGCGAAGACAATGTTCAAGAGTCTAAAGATGCAAAAGTCGTGTGCTCCTTGGCAAAAAAATGCGGTGGTTGATCATCCACGGTTCAAGGCTCCAGGCCCCACAGATTAGCGTTTGTTTAATTTTTCTTGGTCCGAGAATGGAACACTCTCCTTTTCAACCAGCAGTTGCTTCATTAATTAAGATTAAATGGAATGTCTCCTCCTTCAAGTAACCGTTTGCTAGCAGACCATTACTCTTGCGGCTTTAAATAAGCGATCATGTTTAAGCCCAGGACGACTCCAGAGTGGCTGTTCTGTGGCGCTCTCATAATCCAAGCGGCGACCGTTTTGATTTTAGAGATGTAAGTCTAGGTAACCTCCAGGGACCAAGACAAATTGTCTAACGAATGGCTGCTTTAGATTCACCCTATCCCAGTGGGCATCCTGGGTACAGCCTAATATCATCCAGGTCACTACGTCGTATATCACACCTCTAAACTTAGGAATTCTGTTGTTCGCTTGCGTTTGCCTATTTGTACTTGGTATCGACGCAGTCGCTCATAAGAACGCGATCCTTCTTCTGGCAATTTGTGCTAGTAATTCCTGCGGTTTGGGTTACTCGATAATGCAGTATAAGCACATTCGGACAGCGATTCACGATCTCCCTCTCACCCATGACGGGCAAAATAGGCCATTCGTGGATCTGGGTCGAGATATATGGCCACAAGTCAGGCCGGCTCAGCTTGCGGCCCCAGCAATTATAGGGTTTTGTACGCTTTTAGTCTGGCCTTTGGCGTATCAGTTGCACCGCCAGTTCGTGTGGGAACTTTACAGATCTATTCGCGGAGATACAAAGACAAAAGTTCGGTATCGAGCCTACGAGGTAAGGGAATCTGATTACCTTCGGTCTTCGACTCTCAGTCTTCGGCTGTGGGTCTCTGACTCTCGGCCTTTGACTCTGGGCTTTTGTGCTGCAGCTATTGCCGAGTGCTCAGGTCTACATCGTGCTTCTCAAGGTTGATTTCTACTTCATCATTGGCTTCATCCTCCAGTATAACTTAATCGACGTTCATTTCGATGAGCCCGAGTACTCTCTCACCATGGCGCTCATACCAGCTACACTGATTGTCATGTTTTCGGGGCTATACTTTGTTCGATCGGAACGCAAAATTGCTATGATATGTGTCACTGTATGTGCAATCCTTTCGACTCGGCTCTTCGTCAAACTTTCTAATAAACATCCATCGCCACTACAAATCTGTTACTTCGCCATGATTGCCTACCTCTTAAGTCGGATTATAGTCTTGTTCGGGAACGGTCTTTGCGCAAACTCTGATGGCAAGGACATGATGCTGCTGTTTGCTTTCATGTCGCTGATTCTTACAACCCTGATGGTCCAATCGGTGATCCGATGCATCCTGAACTTTGGCCAAGGGCTGAAGAATGTGCTCAAGCCGAATAATTTATCAGATCGTGAATCGTATCGTCCCCGACCCCTACCGGAACACCCATCATCTCCTGTTCATTCGTTACATTCTCGAATGTCGATCGATTGATTTGGGCTGCGATAATACTCAAATCGCTTGATTCAAATATTCTTTTCATCTCTCACATGTACATATCATACAAACAATTAGACCTACATAATAATCATAATAATTGAATCATGAAACCTCCTTCAACTATTAGTTTGCTGCTCAATCAACATGAAATAGGTAGGCCTGTCTTTTTACCACACTCCAACTCTTGTGTCGTTATCATCGTTTTTCCAAGAGCTCTACCAACTTCACAACCACATTCCAGGCTATCTCTCAATAGTATCTCTTCTTTTCCTTCATGATTCTGCATGGCAAGATTCCCTATGGACAAACTTGCCGGAGACCCGCAGCCCCATTTTTATTAGGGCCTACCGTGGTATTGATCCCAAAATCAACGAATGACACGGCACGCTATTTTTATGTCGCTTTTGAATGGTGGCTCTAAATCGGACCTATCCATCAGCCCACACTCAGCTTGCCGTGTCGGCCTGTCGTCAAGTCCGTAGCTTAGCAGGGCCCAAACCAGCAAACCCTTCTGCTCGGTCCTCGGAGAAAGGGGGAAATATGCAATCCAACATTCCAACCAAGAAATCCCATCGCATGGTCCTACCGTGCGCAAGTCCTCTATTTGTCTCGGCTTCCACGTCTGGAATACCTATCGGCTAGCAGAAGCAAGGCGAACCTAGAAACAACAACCGAACTTAGGCAAACGCGCAGTACACACTTACCACAATCGTGCAAGACATGTCTCCCTCGCCCACCCCGCCTTGTACATACTCCGTAGTCCGTATATCCGCCCAGCCTTGTGGGGTCCGTGTCTCTCCCTGGAGTCTTTATCCGTCAGAGCAAGGTTCACCAAGAGTTTAATTGGTCCTCCTAGTCGCCGACATTCGCCGCGGTGAAGGCCTTCGGCACTGACGGTATCCATATTTTCTCCAGGCCCCTAGATAACTCGCTGCTACCTCTGTGTACCACCGCACGACAATTAGTATCTTGTCTTAGGCGTATAGATGTACGTTTCTGGTGCTGTAGCGTCAGAACTTTATTTGAAACGTGCAAGTTCATAAACGCCATGTGAATGTGCCCCAAACCCTGGCGATGCCAAGCCCAATGCTCCATCTGGCATTCTTCTAGACTAACGGTACTTTCAGGAGGAAATCGGATGTCCTTCGGAGCTGCAGGTTGTTTTATCTATAAATTTTCACGTTACTTGATACTATTGCCAGAATAATATCTAGCACGTGTTTAACGATGAACGGGAATAAGGTGTACATTTGGACTGCCCCTTGCGAGGTATATATCGCAGCATGTGTATGCCTCATCATTGGGGAGAAACGGATTTATGGAAGCTTGTTTATATTTATCCGACAGAAAGCCTTCGACAGTTTAGCATTATCATTAGATTGGCTATAATATAGGAAGAAGCCTTTCGAGGTGTTGGATTCGTTTTCATGAAACAGTAAGGCAACGAGAATTGGCCGATTGGAACCTCAGGCATTCAATTTTCCAGGTATGTTTACGTAAGGATGACGCCATTCGACCTTATATCCGCATTACTTATGGTTTAACATTCCGGACCAATCAAATAAATGTCTGTAGAAGCCGTTTGCCAAAACAAGTGCACATATTTCTTAACAATATAACGTAAGGCTTGCATGGACCTGGAGAATGAATGCTTTACAAAGGAAGTCGTTGCAGATAATTAACTGCCTGACTTAACTTTAGATTTCATTCTTGAACGTCTAGGGAGACTTGTCAAGAGAATAGTGTGACGGTCCACAATGGAGCTTAGTAAAAGACAAGTTTGTTTATGACTCGTAGTCAAGGACTTTTCCCATAGGGAGGAAAGGCTCTCTAGGAGGGAGGATCCAGGAGCTCTATTTACTGCCTGGGGCTTTGCCTCAGGCAGGAATGCTTGCAGGATACCTAGGAATGTTCCTGGATGCCTACTGCGGAGGATCCTTGATCCTATACTATGTAACCAGAACGTTCCTCCGTACAGGGAAGCTCCCTGGCTTCAGGAGGTAACAAATAGGAGAGAAAATCTTCTTTTTAGTGAATCGTTACAATCGTATGCCTTCTATCATTCCCTAGCGGGCCCGTGATCCGGTCATAGCCCAAAAGTTTGTTTTCTCATGTGTAATAATATGAGATTTCAAAACTTGAGATTCGAGTATGAACAATTAGACAGCTCCCACAGACTACCAGGTGATGGAATTTCCTGTAAGTTTCGAAACTCTTGCTCAGCAACATTCACAAACTGATGCACACCTTACGCACTAGGCTTCCGAGTTTCCATGGTTATCGACGGACGTCATACACGGTCGATTATTACGTGGACGGAATACTTGATGATGATACCTGTGACTCACGACCACCCCCAAGTGAGATTACCTCTGATTCATGCCCCCGACTTTCCTCAAGAAATACCCTCGACCATGCTTCTCCCGGATTTTCTTTCGGAGCTCCCGGTGGGGACCCCATCTGGTGGCTACAAACGTGAAAGCCATCCAATCTGCCATCAAACGGAACATGGAAAGCCCATACATCGTCATATCCGACGTCAGTTCCGGGATTGTCGAAAGGCTGGTGGAGTTTCCGGGCTTGCGCGTGCTTAAAGCCAGCAGGCTATTTTACAACGCCGTTCTGAGGCAGTTAATCCTGAAACTCCCGTCCAAAACTCACGAGACTGCTAGTGGGAACTTCCACGATATGCTTAGGTCGCATATGATTCGCTATGGGCGAAGAGATAATATCTAGAGGCGTGGGAATAGTCAAGGACGGCCCATATTACAAAGAAACAAATAAATCACATTCTCCATCTCGAAGAGTACGGAGGAGACCGAGAAGAGCCCACACTGGTGATCGAAACCAGTTATTCGGAAACACTCTCCCGTCTAAGAGTGGATGCCAGATGGTGGCTTGGTCGCTCAGGAGGGCAAGTCAATATTGTTATTCTGATATCTATCGACCCCGACCAGCCTCGTATCGCTATTGAGAAGTGGGAGAACAGGTCTGCAGCCCACGAATATAATCTCCGGGCCGGACGTTCAGTCTCGTGGTATAAATCAAGCGAGATCGCTATCACTTTGATGAATGGCAAATATTTGATCACAGGAGTCCTGTTGGTCTTCTCGATTGAGGATATCTTGCCCCTTACCACCAACACTGCTTCGCTTGTCATCACAGACAGAGATCTTGAGGAATTGTCGGAAATTGTATGGGAGGAGCAGGTGTTCATAGAGAGACCTGCGTGATAGATGACTGCGGCATGGAGCAGTACTCTCGGCTTTTGCGACACAGATGATATCTGAAGCGGTTGGACATGGAATATGTTTGTTTGAATGGACAACTCGAGGAGAGGAGACCGAGTATTTATGCAGCCTGGTCGCTTACTTGGAGATCGACCGCTCGTTCATAGCGATGGCAGGTTGGTGAGCAAGATGTTAATGAGGTTCGCGACATTATTCTAGATTGGTGCGGCCTTCAACCCAACTTAAGTGAGGCCAAGAAAATTTAAATTACCTCGCTATCTATCCATGGATGGGAGCTGTCTGACCGTTCGTTCTTGAGGCTCATCTAATCTACTATGGGAGTACAGAAGTTCGGGAAATGACCGACATAATGAAATGTATTGTGAAGAATCTAATGAAACCAATGAGTTTGCCATAATCGACCAGGCGCTTCGTGAAATTCGGGAAGAGAAATGCCAGCGTCGGCAACAGTAACACACTCATTTTATTATACGGGCGAGGGGCTGATGTTTCACTGAGGACCGCATTCACGATTTCCTGATTTCCTCTGTTTTCTCACTTTTAACACTAGGCACCTCTTTTCTTTCCTCACCTAACTCCCTTACCTCTACACCCCTCACTTTCTCCCTTCCCTTAATCACCATTTACTATCCCATACCATTACTACTTACACGACGGATCAAAACGAAGCTCATTCGGATTGTTCTGCTCGTTTTACCCTTACTCGAAATTCTGGTGGGCGAGGCAGGAGCCGTACCCAGCCAGGAAATGTCCGTGTGGGACAAATTTCGGGCTAGGGTTCTGAAGCCTCAGCTCCAGGAAAGAGAGAACCGGAAGAATCGTCTTGACCAACACGATAACAGACCCATCAATCCTACGGGAAGTCCGGTCAATGAACGTACACTTCCTCCAATAGCAAGCTCTCCGAGTACCTTGACCCCCGTCCATATCGCAGCAGAGGGCAATATGGAGGTCGAAGATTACGGTGAAGGGCCTTCCCAATGGCCAAGCCAAAGCGACACGGAATCAAGCTTTTCTTCGTTCGGCCCAAACGCAGACAGCGAATCTGAGCAAAGTGAGGAAAAGTCCGACCAGGACCAGCACAGCTCCCAGCAGAGCAGCGGTGACGAACTGCCCTTCAATACGGACCAGGATGGAGTCGACATGGAGGAAGACTAGGATTAGGACAGACGGAAGAAGCGCAAGGCAAGGAAATCAAAGCCGAAATAAGCGCACGATTGGTATCATCCACTCCTTAACCTTCGTGAACTCACCAAGGAAGAAATCTTGGAGGTCATCCGGAAGAAACCTAAGGACCGAAAGAAGTACCTTGTCCATTTCAACAAGGACGATAAAATCAAAGTAAAACATCACGATCTGCTTTTTACTATCGATACCAATGGCAAATTTATGGTTCCTGATTCAATCTTGCGATCTACTGCCGGAAAGGACTTCAAGGGCCGATACAAATACCTCCATCCTGAAGTTTTAACTAGCAAAGGACAAGTGCGAAAGAGGGCAAACCGGATCCTGGAGTCAGCGAAACACCCGGATGGTACGTTCGAAGTTGTACCAATGGAGCTGAAGAACTTTAGTCGGAGCAGTCGACAGATGTTAGCCTCGCAGGCCCTTTTTGATCGTCCCTTAACGGGGCTCGACGAATTATCAGACCGCAAATCCTCCGACAAACCAGACTTATCGGAACTCCCGAACATAAGACAAAAATATGAGTGCCAACGGCTTTTGCGTCTTCACGAACGGACAGCAACAGCGAATTTTGATATGGACATATAGCGCAAATACAGGGACTTGGAAAAGAAAAATGTAGAACTCAAAATTCAGCTGGAGACCACCCGTAACCTCGCAAATCGAGCTACCGAGCAGATCCTGGAAGCCACTCGGCAGTCCCTACGAGAGGCTAAAGCTACTATCGTCAATCTACGTGCGGAAAAGGGCCAACTTCAGCAATCCGTAGTCGACTTGCGACAAGCAAGAGGTACCTTACAACATACTCTCCACATGACCGTTCTTCTCCATCCCGATTTACGGATCCTCCCTAATCCTCAGTAATCTTCTTGAATTCTCGATGCAGTCCTTTATATAGCAACAAAAAAAAAAAAAAATTAAAAAATTGGAGGGGAATCCTGTGACGGGAGCAAAGAAATATTGACCGTACTTGCCAACCTGAGCATACGGGAAGAAACGAAAATCTCTTTTTCATTCATTCAAAGAATGATAACAATAACAATAATCTTCTAACTAACCGTCCGATCCTTGAATTTCATCGTTTTCATAATCTACATCTTTTTTATCGGTATCTCACAGTATGCAGTGGTACACTGGTTACGAGAGAAAGACCGAAACAACATCGCCTAGATTAGAAGGTAGATACAAAGACAAAAGGGAAGGATCTCTCAACAATATAATGTAAGAACAGTACAGGATTTTGGAATGGAACTTCTACAAAGAAAGCCATAGCCAATAATTGACTACCTGGCTTAGGTCTAGGATTTATCCTTGAATCCGTAGATAGGTATATGTCGTTTCAGAGATACGAGAAGCAGAAGCTGATATAGAGGGCGACCTTGTGCCAGATAGCAACTGAAGAAAATAATAATGAATAATGGGCGAAATAACAAGAATTCATCAAAAAGAGTGTTATTTGAGACCTTTCAGACAGAGATCACTTAGACACTGTAAAACACCTTGTTGACAACATAACGGGGCAAAGCAATCAACCAAGCATACTGGTCGCCTGTGATTAAAGTAAAGTGGCACGACCCTTTCCATGAAACGCCTTCAACTTTGAACAACTGCTAATCATCAGGTTGGGATGTGTGATCACTTTGGTACCGAATGATGCGCATACTGTCCGTCATGCTGATGCGAATTAAGCACCGCCTGCCGTAGCGGTGGGGTAGTGGGACTGCCCGTTCGAGGAGGGCGAGGAGTGCGAGCTGTGGTGTGAAGAGTGCGAAGAGGAGGCGTGATGAGAGGATGAACTGTGACTGGAAGCCTGCATAATTACCCACAGTGTGGCAACTAGAGCCATGTAGAAACGCATTGCGGTGGGTGGAGAGGTAAAGGGGACGACGGTGTATCTGCGAATGTGGTGGACAGATTAAATGAGGCGAAGAACGAGATTTTATGACCGAGGAGGATAAGAAAATAAAGACGCATGTAGTCATGAGCTGAAATTTATAGAAAAGATCAAGCGATGATGGCGAGTAAAGTATAATGGCCTTATTGCGTGATGAAGAGGCCACATAGAGTAGGCCAGACCCTGCCACAAACTATCTTTCCTGTATGCGCGTCAGAGGTTAACGTTTGAATTCATATTGCTCTCAGATTCGCTGAGCATACTGACATCACGACGGAAAGCAAGGTCTTGTAGGAGGGGTACTGTTCCGTGGCTGGTTGCTTGAGGATTGAGCAAGAATGAACTCTTCGTGACGATCCGTTCCGTCCCTGCGTTGGCCCTCTTTCGTAGAATATCGCATCATTTTGATTTGGTCTGATTGGAGATCAAGATAGATCTGCTTCAAAGTCCAGTTAATTTGGTTTCTGTTTCGGGATTGCATGCAAGAATAGTTTCGGTCACAGGCTGGAGCCATCCTTTCTGTCACATGTAATTCTTATTCAGGTAAGAGATACTTGACAGTAAAGATTACTGTTCTGCAATAATTTGGCACAAGTTATTTTTTGGATCCTGATGTTAGGTTTTGTGGCTTTAAACGTTTGGATTTGAAATTTTCTGGCAAGCGGATAAACCTAGATGACACTGTTGTTGTCGTATCGGTCCGGGCCACCACGGGAAGTTTTCCGGTCCAATTGTTCGTCAGTTCCAGTGCAATGATCAGCTAATTAGTTTCCTCTTAGCTTTGTATGAAAGCGTGGCTGACAATTATATGGAACTGTCGACTTTCGTTGATTTCCGAAGTGACGTGTTGTTGATTTGTCTGCCAGGCAATATGGACGCACCCTAACGCCTCCTAATCAACTCCTCTATCCAAACCTAGACCTGAAGACGCTCTCTACCTGATTCAAAGATGCTGCTAAGCCTCGTCTTCTTCAATCGTTTTGTTAATTCTTACGATACCTTGAGTTCGAGCTACATTCTCGAACCCGGTCGCTAATTTGTCCAAACAACAAGGGAGATGCATCTCGCAGAGTGCCCAATGAGCGGCAAACAATAAAAACTCTTATGAGAACCGCAAATGGATAACGTGCATTTGCATAGCATCGAGGTAACAAATTGACGACATGGTCAATTTAAGAACTGGCTGAATGGGGATGCCGCGATCGACGCGAGCCGAGATCCGAAGCCGAAATGCGGGGAAACTTTATATATATAAATGATGGCTGTTGCGGATTGTGGTCTCTAGATAATTGAGATTCATGAAAAAGCACAATGAACTTCGACTTGCCGTCCGATCTGACCCAGTTCCTTGGAAGTCTTGATTCCTTCATTGATACGGAGATCCTCCCCCTTCAGAACTCAAATGACAACAACCGCTTCTTCGACCACCGCCGGGAATTTTCTCGAACCGATTGGAGCAAGGGCGGACTTCCGACGATAGAATGGGAGGCTCTTCTGAGTATGCAGTCCACCATGTGCATTGCTCTATGCAACGTCAAAATGTCTAATAAGCAATTCTAGCGGAAGCTCGGTCCGTCGCAGACAAGGCGGGCTTCTATCGCTTTGCCCTCCCCGGTATCTACGGCGGAAAATCCCACCCCCAAACTAACCTGTGGATGACAGCCATCCGGTACCATCTTGCGTCTCATCCAATCTACGGCGGCGGTCTGGGATTAGCAAATGACCTACAGAACGAACATAGCGTGGTGGGTAATTTTCCCGATATCTTAATGATCCACCACTTTGGGTCGGAAGACCAACGTCAAGAACTCATTCCTCTACGCCTCGAGGGCAAATTCCGAGCTACGTTCGGACTCACTGAACCTGATCATGGAAGCGATGCTACGTTCATGGAAACGGTCGCAATTCAGGTCCCGGGCGGATTTGAGATCTCCGGAGCGAAAAAATGGCAGACAGGTGCACATCATTGCACGCATTTCGTCATTTTTGCGAGGACTTCTGGCACGCCGGGCTCTAGTCGGGGGATAACGGCGTTCCTTGTTCCTCGGGAGGCGAAGGGAACGAAGGTGGTAAGTTACGAATGGACGATGAATATGCCGACCGATCATGCGACCGTGACTCTAGATCGGGTTTTCACGCCAGCCGAGGCTGTGCTGGGGAATGTGGGCGAGGGATTGGCGATCGCGCAGACATTTGTGCATGAAAATCGTCTGCGACAGGCGGCTAGTTCATGCGGTGCAGCGAGATTCTGCCTGGAACGGGGCATTGATCGCGCGAAAAACAGGAAAATTTGGGGCGCAAAGAGTCTCTCCGAAAACCAAGGCATTCAGTTTCCAGTCGTTGAGTTGGTGATGCAGGTCGAGATGCTCCGACTGCTGATTCTGAAGACTAGCGTGGATATGGATCGGGTAGCTGGGGAAGCGGAGAGGGAGGGGAGGAAGCCTTGGGTGGAGATCGAGAAGAAGCTGAGCGATAAGGTCGCAATGGGTAATTTTTGGGCTAATAGATTAGTTTGCGAGGCGGCGGATAGGGCGATTCAGGTATTTTCCAGGCTTTTTCTGTTCTATTCATTGTAGCTGTTGAAGAAGGCGGTGCTAACGGGAGCAGATCCACGGGGGAGATGGATACTCGCGCCATTATCCATTTGAGCACATTTATCGGCATTTTAGACGGTATCGAATTACGGAGGGGTCAGAAGAAATCCAGATGAGAAAGATTGCGGGGTCTTTGTTTGGGTTTAGAGAGGGAGAAAGGGTGAAGAAGTTGTGAATTTCATTAAGTGGATAGTAGTGGACGGGGCTATGTTGGCTGCAATTGCGAGGGGCTGGGAGCTTCTCGGGATGCTAACAGATTGTGACTCATATTGCGGTGAGAAGTGGGAATCGCTCTGTTTTTACCTGGGGATTAGGATAATAGCATATCCGAGGAAAGCGACGAGGCGAACATCCTATTCCAGCGAGAAGCATTTGGGTCTAGCGAAGCGATGACCGATCACCGACTGCCGAGATGGTCTGTGATGTCATATATCGTCCCACCACCTAGAACAATGCATTGTTCAGCATTAATTCCGGCCTGATCCTAATACCTCATATATTTCCTTAATAATCAAGGCCACAAGTGAAGCCCCAGACATCACATCCAATGAGATCCGGGCATTCGATGAAGCCCATTGAACACATTGCAGCCGGTGATAGGGCAGCCGTGCCCAACCACTCAACGAACAACAGCGCATCCGGTGCCTGACTAACTCCTCACCTAATGCGCTGGGTAAAAATAGATCCACGCTTCTCGAGTCCCTGACAGAGGAGCCCTGGTCCGTCCTCTGCCCGGATCTGAAACGGCTCGCACAGACCAGTTTCATTGGGGTATTGTCAGTCGTGGCAGCGTTTCAGACTCAAGGCCTCACTAGCTGCCCAGGTTAGGCAAGTAAATCATGTGAATTTTGGCTCAATTATCGAATCAGCTGCCTACTTCTCTCGACCTAGTGAACTAGTCACCAACGGTGCGAAATGGTTTGGTTAGGCGGATATGGCGGCCCACAAGTAGCGGTGAAATAGCATCACGCCTACCTGTCGCCTCATCATAGGTCTACCATAATCCAACCCGGCGAAATTCCCCTCTCCTGGTGGTCGCCCATTTTGTGCCTCACGAACGAAACGATGCTGTTGCCGGCCTTGCGACTGCCATGGCTCAATCGGTGGTTTTGTCTGTCATTGCCAGCTGGATGCGAATACGCGTCGATAAATAATGGATGGTCGGAACTCGACTTGGTGGAGGATACAAATTCTCCTAACTATTATTCTCCCTTACTTGGACGTACATAACGTCTCTCTGAAAGCTCGAGCTCTTTACTACTATCTGTCATCCTCTTTCTTCCCCCGCCTCGGAGAAAGAAAGACAAGAACAGCCCGCCAGTTTACCTCCTACCTTATGCTCTCTGTTCTCCTTGATTTCCTTGCGCAACTTTGTCCTTGTCATCGCTGTCAGAGCATGGATTGCTCCATTGCGAGACAATCCCGATTTCCATTTTTCTTCCCTATCTGGTCTTCGTCGTCTAAACGGTCGCAGCCAGAATCCGCCGTTTCGGCGTCAACGCAGACTCAGACGCCCACAGTACAGACAGTTCCCAAGATGGGTATTACCTCGACATTGCAGAGACGCTCGACGGAGCGCGAGCGCTCGAGTCGTGACGCTGCTAGAAAGGATGTCACCGATGGCATGGAGCGACTCGTTGGTCTGGACAATGTGAAAAGACAGTTGAATGGTGTGCAGAGCTACGTGCAGATCTGTCGCCGGCATGGTCGCGACCCACGCAGCGAGTGGTACAATATCGCAATGCAGGGTAACCCAGGCACAGGTATGGTTCTTCTCATCGCGGTGAGGCTCAAATACTAACGACACCAGGCAAGAGCATCGTCGCTCGGATCTACGCCAAGATGCTCTATTCCATCGGTATCACCGACGCTGAGACTGTGAAGGAAACCTCGGGCTCGGAGCTGGCCTCCAAGGGCTCCGAGGGAACTCAGCGTCTCATCCAGGATATTGTCGACGCCGCCCCTTCTACTCAAACTGCAGGTGTGATGATTGTCGACAACCCGCAAACGCTCGACAACTCGACCGACAGTGCCTCTGCTGAGCAGACCCTCTCTTGTATGGTTGAGGCTATGGAGCGCCCGACGAACCGTATCGTCGTTGTCTTCACCGGCTACCCTGAACACATTGCAGCCTTCCTGCGCGATCACCCTCGCATCCAGCGTCTGACCTGCAGCACGCTAAATTTTGCCGACTTCGAACGGCACGATCTCTTGCAGCTGCTGGGTCGTCGCATTACGGGTGAATACCAGGGTCGCATGCAGGTCGAAGGTGGTCTCGAAGGCCCTTATATGCAGGTTGCTGCGCGTCGGCTGGCTCGAGGACGCGGCAAGAAGGGCTTCACCAACGCCCACGCTGTTCGCGACCTCGTCGCCCATGTCGCTCGCCGTCAGGCTCAGTATCTGACTGACCAGACGGACGGCATGGACGAGGTCGACTACTTTTTCTTTTCCCGGCAGGATCTCCTGGGTCCTAGTCCTGCGGATATCCGAATGCAGAGTGAGGCCTGGCAGCAACTGCAGGGTCTTGTCGGACAGGAGGCTGTCAAGGCCTCCGTCCGAGAAGTGTTTGACACTCTAGAGGAAAACTACACGCGGGAGCTGCGCAATCAGCGACGACTCCCCGTGCGGTTGAATCGCGTCTTCACCGGTCCACAGGGCACTGGAAAGTCCACGGCCGCGAAACTCTACATGCAGGTGTTGGCTGATCTGGGACTCCTGAACGACGGAGAAGGTATTCTCTCCGCCTTTGGGTTCCATGAAAACAAGCTGACGACCACAGCACCGGTCAAATCTCTCTTCGCTCTCGACAACACCCCCTCCGACACCCTCATCATTGAGGTCGATAGCCTTGACGGCACCACCGTCGCCATCCCTCCTCGTTACCCCCAGGATGTGCTGGACACCCTGACGACCGAGTTGACCAAGCCCCGAGTTTGCACCGTCCTCATCGGTTCCACCTCCGCCGTCGAGTCGCTCCTCTCGCAACTCAGCAAATCCACGGTAGGCAAATTCGAAGGCCAAGTCGTACAATTCAACCGTCTTACCCGCGAGCAAATGGAGCAGCTATTCCAGTCTAAGGTTGAAGATAACGATATTGACTCAACCCCTGAGGCCTTCCAGGCGGCCATGGATATTCTCGACAACGCGCGTATGCGCCGCGACTTTGACAATGCGCGCGCCATCGAGAGACTTGTCGCGGTCGCAAATCATAACTTTGAGGACCGACGCGCTAGATCTTCCGAGCCAGTCGAGCGGGTCCTCCAAGCCGAGGACTTCCAGCCCGATCTGGTTGGCGGACACACCACGTTGGCGTTCCGCGATGAGTTGCGGTATTCCATCGTCCCGGATGATATCATCTCTGTTTTGAAGAGATATCATAACGAGATGAAGGCCGCGTGGATGCAGGGTGTTGAGCCCAGCGCGCGAATTCCGTACGCCTTGGTGTTCAAGGGTGCACCTGGTAAGTTCAGCACTATCTTCTTTTTTTCTTCTCTCATGAATAACTACTGACTATTCCGTCACCAGGTACCGGCAAACGAACGGTCGCCCAGCACCTTGCCATCCTCTACTACAAGATGGGCGTTCTCGAAACCAGCGACCTCGTGGAATGCTCCATCAGCGATCTGGTCCACTTTGTTGGTCAATCGCCCCGAGCGCGATCCCAGCTCGACCTCAGTCGTGGCAAGGTTCTCTTCATCGAAGACGCCCACCGACTCGGCGACAGCGAAACCACCCTCCGGGCTATGGATGAGCTAGTCTATATGCTCCCCAAGCACGCAGGACAGACGGTCGTCATTCTCGCTGGCCCAGCCGCCGAAATGGATCATTTGCTGGCCAACCGTCCTCGACTCGCCAGCCTCTTCCAGGAAGAAATCGCCTTTCGAAACCCGACGCCCCGCGAGTGCCTTCGTCTACTAGACAGAAAGCTCGATGAGCAGGGCGTCCGAGGCCCGAGAACGTTCTTGACGGACCCGAAGGACCCTACTCATCGGGAGTTCACTCGCGCTGTCCAGATCCTATCGATGTTCCCTTGTTGGAGCAATGAACGGGATATGGACGTGCTGGTGCGATGGATGGTCTCGGCCTGTATCAAGGATGTGCCCCTTGAGAATTCCAACGAGAAGAGCAGTAGCAATGCAGCCTCGGTCAAGTTGGTCTTGGCAGATGAGCAAGCCATGTCTTGCATGATCAGATTGTTCAATCTGAAGAGAGACCGGTTGCGATTCAACCAGGATCCTAAGGCGAGAACCTTGCCTCGAATCCTCTCCCAGCCTAGAAGCACGGAGAGAGGTGGTGTCAGGTTCCCTGTCTAAGCTGTATACTAACCAGCCCACTTCATCACTAATTATCTTGTGGTTGTGTGTGCTTTTTGATGGCGACTTGATGATGGCGTTGTGGATGTGTGATTGTTTTCTTTTATTTTGTCTTCTGTCTCTGACACAGTCACTCTCTTGGACCTTTCCTTTGTAATAGCGTCTTCTTATTGATGTTTTTGCATTCCGGCTTTGTCATTTCAGACTGTTTACATTGTTTTTGTCAAATTCTGCTTCAAACTTTTATCTGGAAATTCGTTGATCGAATCACTCCACTCTCACTCGTTTACAACAACCTTTCCTTTGTTTTTTCTTTGCACTGGTCAGCATTTGCATGGATGTTAGGGCTTTTTAATATATTCCACACTCATATGTTATATCAGACTGTCGAGAACCAGACTCGCGAAGTAAACATGTTATTGTGCTTACTATACTTTGATTCTCCGTTGAAATGACCATTATGCCTTTTATGTTCATATCTGCGCTTTATTTAATGAATTATAAATCATCAAGTGTTTACCTCAAAAATAACACCTTTCTCCTGGTTCACAATCCCTAATACTCCCTTAAAAAGAAAGGTGTCAAAGTAAAAGAACAGGGAACTCCACCTCCCTCGTCCCACAATTTAGACTCGGCCTTCCTCTCCCACGCCCTTCTTTCCCTTCAGCCTCGCCCCTCCACCACGCCTTCAAAAATTTCAAACTCTTCGTAAATATATCGCTTCTCCACCTCTCATACGTGTTCTTCAACTTCGTCGTAATAGCGGCTCGGTGCTCTTTCTGTATGGCACATAAACCCACAACCACGACAGGCCAGCATGTGAATCCGTCAGACGGGGATTCCGGGATATAGGTTAGGTATGCGATGAATTGGGAGACTAGGGATTGAATATAGGGATCGGAAATGGAGGTTGATGGGGAAATGGTGTATCGGAGGTAGATGAGACAAGCGAGGCGGTAGCATTCGAATGCTAGTCCGTCGCTTAAGGTTTCGGTATTCATTTCTGGGGTTGGGATGAATGGGGGCTGGGTGATTTGGAGTTGGCTTTCTGTGGCGAGGAGTTTGGATTTTGTTTTGGGGTCGAGTTCTTCATTTGGGGAGGTGGGTGACGGTAATTGGGATAGGAGAAGGGAGACTCGGAAGACTACGAATAGTGCCTTCTGTGATATCCCTAAGATGGCCCCGCCTTGGAGATACTCCATTAAGCCTGGGGTTTCGAAGATTTGGTTGCCTTGGTGGAGTGAGAGGGATGAAGCGTGGGTGAAAGCTGTTAGGGAGTATTGATAGCAAAACATTTCCAGCAGGAATTTGCGTAGTTCGGAGTTTGCTGGTACCATGTGTAGGCGCTGCGTGATGAGCGTTGCAGCGGCATTGATGTGCGGGATGAGGCGATCTGAGGAAGTATAGTTTTGGGTCTAGATAAGTTAGTTACCATATGCATGTCATATTGGATACAAATGTTTTTCATACCTCATGTAGACAGAATAAGAGTACAGCCAAAAGGTTCACGTCTAGTCGAGTGAGGGCATACAATTAGCACGTACCTGGTCACATGTACCCATGGTTACGACCCCGGGGAGCCCTAACAGGAAGGAAGTAGCAGAAGGAAAGACAGAACTTACCAGAGACATCCTGCCTCGATCTCTGCATTCCAAGAGCCCCTCTGAGCCCTTCAACCGCGGCCCCATAGAACTCCACTGCGGCCGCCTGAATCCGCACATCAAACGGTTCGTACTTGACCAAATCTCCCGCCGCAACCATCAACACACAGTTCGAAATCAACGGGCTCTCGATAGTCTCGGGGAATAAATGCCCCAAGATCCGCGTACGTCCGTTCCCAATCCGGCTCGTGAGCCATGTTGGTCCGAAATGCGAGAAATGTGTTAGTAGCCGACGAACCAGCTGATCACTTGGCGTCGCGAATACGGTCACCATGGCGGCTAGCTCAGGCGGCAGACGATTGCCACCGTCTGCAAGATTTTGTCGCCGTCGGGGCCGTCGTTTCTGTAGGGCAGGGCTGCTGCTATCGGGGGATTTTTCGGGCCATGTGCAGGTCAGATTGTTACGCTGGCAGCCACTACAGACGGGGTGCGTCTCATCGCATTTCTTCTTGCGCCGGCGGCATGAGCCGCAGCCTGTCTTGGAGCGGGAAGGAGACCCGGAAGTCGAGACAGGCGCACGTGGTTGTGGCGGCATGCTGGGTGGAAGATTATCCGGGGTACTGGGGTTGGAGGAGAAGGCAGTGAGTGGAATTGAAGGAACGACGAGATGATGGCAAATGCAGATCGCGAGAGCGCGGCTGTTATCTGGCCTTATCGGGTTTAGTGTGTCCTGTGTCGGTTACCGGATAAAGCGATAGGCTCGGTGGGTCTCCGATACCTTGGTGCTGATATCCACTGAGGATGTCCACAGCATGGCATCATCCTGTCGCGGAATATCGCTGGATTTGAATCTTCGTTCTGGTACCTGGGTCTGGCCTAAAACTATGGCAATATAGCTCTATCTTGGCTTTACGTAAATCAATTTTTAGTTTTTCTCCCCATATTCCCATCTGTAAGAAGTCTGTGAGCTGGCAAGAAATATAAATGTTAGCGTGCTTCCCCGTAATCAAGACAAGCTTGCCTAAAAGCAAAGAACACCATGGGTATTGAGGCTCGAGAAGAGGGGCCTGAAACAGGGTCTCATGAACGCCTGCCTCAAGACACAGGGGGATTAGACCCGACAGCCACATCTCAGCGATGGAATTATCCTCGATCCAACATTCTACGCATCGCGTCAACTTTCTGGTCGTTTCTTGTGATGGGAGCAAACGACGCTGCATACGGAGTAAGAGTCTAATTAATCTTGCAAAGAAAATCCCCCTACTGACGAAAACAGGCTCTGATTCCATACGTCCGTCCCCCCATTCCGCACCGTTGATAAATCCTAACGAGACACAGCTCGAAGAATACTACAATATTAGCTATATGGTCTTCTCCTGCGTTTTCCTCTCGCCTCTCGTTGGTTACGTTCTCGCCGCACTCGTGAATAATAAGCTCCATGAAACTATCGGACAGCGTGGCATTGCGCTCGTTGCTCCTCCGTTCCGACTCATCGCCTATATACTCAGTTGCGTTCATCCGCCGTACCCCGTTCTCGTGGTTGCGTATATTTTTGCAGGAATAGCGAATGGTCTGGCGGAGGCAGCATGGAATACGTATCTCGGGAATATGGATAAATCGAACGAGATCCTCGGTCTCTTGCATGGTGTCTATGGTCTCGGGGCAGTGATCAGTCCGCTTATCGCGACGAATTTGATCACGAAGGCCAATGCACCTTGGTATTATTTTTATTTCTTCATGGTACCTCTCCCCTTGGCTGGAATCTTGGTTTAGATGAAATGCTAAACTTAGAAAGATTGGCATCTCCGTAATCGAAGGAATCCTCTCCCCGACAATGTTCTGGCAATTCACAGGCGCGGCATTTAGGAAGGCACACGCAGATACAGGCGATACAAAAGGTATCGGGTTGAAAGATGCGCTCTTCAAGTGCCCTGCAGCTCGCGTGTGCTGGCTTTGCGCCGTTCTGCTGCTGTTCTACGTCGGTGTTGAAGTGTCCACCGGCGGTTGGATCGTCACCATTATGATGGATGTTCGGAACGGAGCGGCGTTTCCGAGCGGAATGACAGCCACGGGCTTTTGGTTGGGTATTACAATCGGGAGAATGGCGCTGGGTTTCGTCACGGCGAAAATTGGGGAGAGAATCGGTACTTCGGTATGACTGACTTCGTCGCGCGTCTCGTTATCATCGCTTTATCTCACGGGAGTGTTAATGGCCTATTAGATCTACATTACCTGCTCTATCGCCTTCTCGCTGGTTGTCTGGCTCGTGCCGAACTTCTACGCTTCTGCCGTGGCTGTTTCCATACAGGGCTTCTTCTTAGGCCCGTTGTTCCCAGCTGTTGTCGTTGTCATGACCAAGCTACTACCCAAGCACCTGCACGTCACGTCTATTGGGTTCGTCGCTGCCTTCGGGGGTGCTGGTGCTGCGGTGTTGCCATTCGTGGCGGGTGGCATTGCGCAGGGATCGGATGTTAAATCCCTGCTACCGTTCATATTCGCGGTGTCTGTGGGAATTTTGATTTTGTGGTTGGGGTTGCCGAGATCGAGGTCTTAATTTTAGTGACCGTTGGATATAAATCCTCGAGGGAATACATTCGGATTGGTGTATATAAATGACAACCTGCAGTGGCATAAAAAAGAGCAAGCTCAGATACTGGATCATTCATTAAGAAATTTGCTAAAGGTTGAGGAAAGTGATAATTCTTTAAGCATAGAAGTTTGAAATCAGGACTTTGTTTTTCTGCCAATCGACCGGGGAATTCTAGCCAAGTTTTGAGGTGATTACAAAGGTCATTAAAATACAAAAAAGGATAAGACATCGTAGTCATTATACATTTCTTCATACACCAGACATTATACTAAACTCACTAGACGATTGATAAGGATCCTCACAGTCATTTGGCATGAGCAACTCTCTCACTTTGGTACCACTCTCCCCGAGTTTCTCAGCTAGGGACATTGGCGTAGATCCTTGAGTATCTCCTATGTTAACTGCAGCACCTTGATCAAGTAGTACTTTTACCACTCCACTGTTGTTTTTCTTCACTGCAATGAGAAGGGCTGTTTGGCCTCTATTGTCTCTGGCGTTGACCTTTGCCCCATATCGAAACAAGGCACGGGCTTCGGAATAACAGTCCTTCTCAGCTGCCAGCATTAACGGCGTTCGACCCTGATTTAACCGAGCGTTTGAGTCCGCGCCATTGGATAGTAAAAGTTCCACTATCGAGGTTGAGTAGTGATCAATTGCAACTGCCAGGGGCGTGTCTCCGGAAGTGTCACGAGCGTCAACAGCGGCTCCGCATTCTAGCAGAAGCTGCACAAGTCTTTCATGCCGGTGGTATACTGCCAGCATCAATGGTGTCTGACCTCTATTGTTCCTTCGCTCTAGAATCGGATAGTTGCTGAGAGCTAGAATTACTTCTGCTGCTGCTCCATGGCCATTTTTGCAGGCCCATGAAAGCGCAGTCATGCCGCTGTCGTCATGTTGTGGAAGAAGGCCAAATCTATCTCTTGAGATCAAGAGCTGTAGGGCATGTGCGTGTCCATTCTTGGCGGCCCAGTGAAGCGCTGTTTTCCTCTTATTATCAACCTCGTGAAGTAAGGATTCTCCCCCTTTGTCGAAAAGAAGTTGTATCATTTCACGATGACCCTGTCTGGCTGCCCATGAGAGCACCGTCAGTCCTTGGTTGTCCCTTGTGGGGAATGAGACCCCTTTCTCGAGGAGAAACTCAACCATGCGCTGAGAGGCGTTACCAACTGCCCATGACAGTGCTGTTCGGCCATTACTATCGCGATCTTCCAGTGAGAGGCCCGGTACGGTGAGTAGCCATTGCGCGGTCGCTTGGTATCCGTTGACTGCGGCTAGTAAAAATGACGTCATTCCGTTTTTGTCTCGGGATGTCAGATCAGCATGATTGCCACGCAGAAACTGTAGGATTCCTTTTTGACCATTTGCAGCAGCCCATAACGCTGCGGTCCGGCCTCTGTTATCCTTACACTCCAGATACGATCCCGCTTGTACCAATAGTTGAACAATATCAATCTGGCCGTTTCCTGCGGCCCAGGACAACGCGGACCGGTTGTTAGCGTCGACGGTATCTGAATCGGCTCGGTTATACAGCAATAACAGCGCCATGGTTTTATGCCCATTCGAAGCAGCCCATGATAGCCCTGCCCGACCATCACGATCTGTCTCGTCGGGATTGGCGCCGACGTCGATTAAGACCTGGATAACCCGGTCTTGGCCATTGCCTGACGCTCGAACAAGTGGTGTGCCGCTCATTGGCTCGTCCCTGACGACATCTTGCCGGGGACTGCTTCGAAAGGACTGTATGAAAGTAGATAAGAAGGAGTTATGCGTCCACGATGCGATTTTCAAAAGGGCACCATTTTCCAAGAGAAAGTGGACCATGCTTTCATGCCCATTCGCGGCGGCCCATGAAACTGGACTTCGACCCGCTCGATCTTGTGTATTAACCAGCGCCCCTGCTTTCACTAGCTCAGCAGCTGCTTCAACATGCCCCCGTCGAGCAGCAAAAATGAGCGGTGTTCGACCATTTCGATCCTGACTATTAACAGATGCACCCTCTCCTATCAGTGTGCAGATGACTCTCAGATGTTCGTTTTCGGCTGCAAATGACAGCGGTGTCCTCCCAAAAGCGTCCTGCGCATCGAGAAAGGAGTCTGTCCAGGAGATAATATCCGTGACTTTCCGATAGATGGACTTTCCCATCGCTTCCTCCCTTTGAAGCAATACCTCGACCGTCCGTTCCAAGCCGTAAAAGGCCGCAACATGCAGCGAGGTGAGTCCAAATGAGGACAGCTGTAAATATTCTGGGTATTCTTCGGGCAAAATCATTGCTTGACCGCATTTGATGAGTGCGTTCTCGTTATCGAGCATGGTGATTACATCATCGGTTAGGTCAATTGTTGATCGTTTTCCATGGTATCCCCAGTTGCGTGTGCTGTAGTGATGGATGATTTCGGGTTTGTGGCTGGTGTTCATGCGCGGGTCGTAGACCCTTCCCAACGCCTCAGTGTTCATCAGACTCTTCAAACAGATGCTCGCTATCTTGCTTTCGCCGTCTGGGAATAAATAAACTCTTCTCTGGACAATATACACTCTCGCTGTTGGGTGAATGAAGTCGATCATGTCTGTCTCCGCGTTGACTGTAACCAGGCCAGCACATACTGACACCACACGTTCTGCGCCAACCTCGTCCGTTATTGTGACGATTTCGGGACATTGTAGACGTAAGATATCCCGAAGGTCTGACACAGACAAGGCCGTGTTAGTAAAGCTTAGCCATAAAAGAAGGGTGTCTGCGACCGCTTTCTCTTCGGACGCCTGCCGCTCTATCCACTTTAACAGATCCGCGTAAGCGTCACAGTATACTTTCGGTCGCCAGACATCCATGTCCAAGTGGTCCTGAACATCTTCTGCACACGTGCATTTGGAGAGGAGGCGCATATAAAGGCATGCCATTAGGAAACTGACTTATGTTAATTTTGCCCAACAAGCACATCTAAGTCGCATCTGTACCTACTTTCCATTCGCAACTTCCTTCATCATGGACTTGATCTGTTGCTGTAAGAATGTATCATGAAGAATAAACCCCGGCAGCCATAGCCTGTGCGCGTCAAAATAATAATAGATATCGTCATCTCTAGCCCGTATATTAATCGACAACACGCTTGTCGGGGTTTCTATCACGTTGCTATCGATATCTCCAGTGATAAGAATGTTGGCATTCGAAGATGCCTGAAGAGTGAATAGGGATCGTAACAGCCTTTCTTGGTCACTTTTCATCATATCCGTCTCATCTACTCCGTCCACGACAATGAAAATCCTGGAATGTTCACACGCAACGGCAGATAAGGCTCGGAAGACTTCGCTGTATCCAGGCAAGACTCCACTCGATTTGTGTGAGTCGTAGAGTTCTTTGACATTGTGTGGGATGTGACATTGGCCAAGTACCAACTGCTTCAGTATGCTCAAAAGGAATTTCATCGGCTTCTCCTCGCCTTGCCGATTGTAGTCGCAATATAAGAATGCAACTCCCGCTTGCTGATCACCGGAAAACCGTGACTGAAGATCGTGGACTATCGATGACGCTGTTACGCTTTTCCCGACGCCTGAAGCTCCCGATAAATGCAGCGTTTGTTTTGGGCGAGAAATCCATTCCTGGAACTGAGGGGAGTCTAAAGCAGCGCTTCTTGGTCCCTCTGCGGTGACGAGTTGAAGGTGTCGTTGATGTGGGCCATAGTCCACATGGCTGAGCCAGGCCACATAAGAGTCATTGGGAGTCAGTGTTTGCGCCATCGCGCAGAAGAAAAGGTCGCTACGACTTCTGTAATCAAGAATGATGACGTCCTGGAGGTAGAAGTGGGATGGCCATGAAATATGAATAAAATATGACTAATTATGGGGTTCGTTAATGATATGCAGGAATAATGAAAATCGATGGAGGTGTGGATGGACGCCAAGCTGTCCCTTTCGGTGGTGAGGCGGTGGCAGAATCTACAGACATCGCAGTATTGAGTTATTTGAGATGGGCTTTGTTTACATTCACTTCACTTGTTTGCCAAGGAACTGTGTTATGTAACCTGCAGGGTCTGTCCAGATCAGCCGAGGTAAAAATAAAAACAGACTACTATGAAAGATTGGTGAATGAGTCTAGGTTAGCCAACAGATACGCGGTGTGGCCGCGGGAGATGACTAATCCGCTTATATCATCGCCTTGCTTGACCGGACCGATCATGCAACCGATCAATATAAAATCGTATGATTTATGACGATATAGATCATGCAATTCCGCTCATTTTATGACGATCCTGAAGCCCTGAGACTGCATAAATATTGGCTTCTTTATCGTGTAGTTAGAAAGAATCAAGACCTTCATTCAGTTGAAAACGATCCTATTCCTTAGTTGAATAAATCGCTTCTCGGTAGACCCACATATTTCTGCCACACGCGGGAAGTAAGTGGTCACATGACCTATACCGGCGTGCCAGCGTGCAGCATCCGAGGATCTTCCTCCGGCGTGGATCAACTATAGTCCTAGAGTCACGTCATCATTTAGGGGGTCATATACTCCGCTGAGGATTAGATGACCAATAGAACAACACATCACCTTAACACGGCGCCAGATTGTGCCGGCGGAAGATGACTAAACCGCTTATATCATCGCCTTGCTTGACCGACCGATCATGCAATCGATCAATATTATGACGATATAGATCATGCAATTCCGCTCATTTTATAACGATCCTGAAGATTCTGAGATTGCATAAATATCGGCTTCTTTATCGTATAGTTAGAAGAATTAAGACCTTCATTCATTTGAATATGACCATAACTTATTGTTGGAACCATTATTCAGCTGGCATGCCTTAGTCATATGACTCCTTGGCATGGGCAGCTATTATATCTTCGACGAAGCTAGTAGTTTAGAATGAGGCTTTACTTTTACCCACCGAGCATATACATACATTCCGTTGAATCGATAGGATATCTGCTTGAGGCAATGACAAAGTCAAACGACACTTATAAAATCGGTTGAATAAGCACTTCTTCTGTAGACCCACATATTTCTGCCACACAGGTCAAACACATCAACAAAGTTGTTCCCTTCTAGAATTCCTAGATCAGGCTATATAGTGAGTTTGCTTGTTTTTGCTTAGAAATCTCATGCTCGGTCCGTTCTCTGCTCTGCGGACGGGCCGGTCTTCAAGGATCGTTGCGCAATAAAGTTTGAAACACGCTACGCCTTACATGTGGGTCGCAATGTGGGTATCCTAGGACACTTCACGAACCTTGTGAAGAAGATTGAACAATTTCTACACCCAGACGATGGGTATTAAGATGACATTGGTTCAAAATGTACCTAAATTTCTTAAGTTCACTATGAGCTTCTGGAAAATTTAAAGGAAGATCTAGAGTTTTTCATCCATTTTTATATTATGAACAAGTATATCCACTCAACTAAGCAAGTAATCAATCCTCTTTCCTCTATCTATCAAGCAGATGTACGACTTACAATCGTGCAGATCTGTCTACCGTTTCCGTTACCTCTCCCTCACCCCATCTCTCATTGACCTGTTGTCAAAGTCAGCTTCAATGTATCACGAAACGCACCACAATCAATCATCTCCGGGGAAAATGAAAAGAACTCACATCAGTAATATGATCATACCCCAACAACTTCGGCGCCAGACCCGGATCCCGCCACGCCAATGCCTCGCCTTCCGGCGTCGGAACCATCTGCATCTTACGGTCCCGTTCTTCCTGCTCCGGCCCGTCATGGAGATGGTAGAGATACTGTTGCTTGTTTCCTCTCTCGACGACCATCTTTGTGCGTTCCTTGCGGCATTTCTCGAATACGGCTAGGGCGTGGCGTTTTGCAGATACAAATTCAGGTGAGGTTTTTGATGTGCCAGGGGCGTTGGGGAGTCGGGAGAGGCATTCGCCGAGGACGGCGCCGTCTTCGAAGGCCATTCCGGCTCTGTTGAGTATTGAATGTTAGTTTCACATTGAAACGGTATAGTCAATCAGGATAAATAGAAGAGTCGCACCCAGATGCAAGGTATGGTAGTGTAGCGTGAACAGAGTCGCCGAGCATTACCCATGCTCCGGAGGGATGGGTCCATTGATAGTCGCCGTATCGGATACAGAGGCGCCACTTATGGACTGATTGGCACAGCTTGAGGAGTTTTTGGATTCTGGTCAATTAGCGAATGAAAGTTGGAGAGAATAGTGTCTGGTGGTGTTTACCGTGGATCCCACCCTTCGAATAACGCACACATCTCCTCCACGTTCCCTGCAACTGTCGAGGCGAGCGATTCTTCAGGAATATCGTCTGGTACGAGAAGGACCATGTTGAACAGGTCGCCTCCGCGAAGGACATAATTAACTGTCCTGGTTAGATTCCTTCCCTCGGATTGGGTTGTAATATAGGCATACCAGCATGAGCATCCGGTCCAAGCCAATAATTGACCTGCGGGTCCGTCACAAAGCCTTCCAGCTCTGGATCCTTTAGCATTTGCTCCGTCGACAACAATAACCTGTATGCCAGATCCCCCGTCTTCACCGGCGGATCTTCTCGTCCCAACAAAGCCTCTGTCAACTTGCCAAACACTCCATCTGCACCGATCACTAAATCAGCTGTCCATTCCCGCCCGTCCGCGGCGATAGCAGTGGCTGTTTCTCCCCCGGGCGACACTTTCACGTCGTCGATGCGCGCATTACACGTCATCTTGGCGCCGACTTCGAGCGCCCGCTCAACTAGACACCGGTGGAGATCCGCACGATGGAAATCGCGATACCATGTTCCTGGGTATTGGCTTTCCGAGGCGTGGAAATCTAGTGCGGAGATGTGGTTTCCTTTCCATCCGACGAAATTGCATACTCGTGGGTAGGTCATGTACGGTTTTAGGGTCTCGCCGAGGCCCCAGTGTTGAAGGACACGAGAGGAGTTGGGAAGGACTTGGATTCCAGCACCGATTTCTTTGATTTCGGGGGCAGCTTCGAGGATGTGGGCGTCGTGGCCGGCGAGGGAGCAGCTTATTGCGGCGCCGAGGCCGGCAAGACCAGCTCCGACAATGATGATCTATGATTCTCGTTCAGCTGTTGTCGTGAGGGGAAGACGAGGGGCAGAGGGAGGGGAGGGAAGTGTACCTGCAATCGCGACGATTCATCGCGGTGCTCTTTCTGCTTGACGTGGATGGGTGGTGCCATTGTGTCCTGTCTTGTCATGAATTGATTCGGATCTGAGATTGATTCTTCCCAAGTTCAGCATCGCTTCTGCCTCTCAATTTATCTTCCGTATGGTACCTTGTGCCTGTCCTGCGTGCCAAAGATGGGGGTTAGTCGCTTATCAGGATGGGGTGTACGGAGGCATCGTATATCTACCACGAGATGTCGGAAAGATGTCCAGAGTATCGTAAGATCAAGCTACACTTTGAAAATTTTATTGCAATGTCTCGAGTAAGTGGCCCCTTGCAGGAGTATGACGACAGTGATGGCTAACCTGGAAGTTCTCTCTAACCGGTCGCACTGCGCTCGTCACGGGCGGTGCTCGTGGCTGTGGCCTGGCGTTCGCGAGAGGGCTCGCTGAGGCCGGGGCTAATGTAGCTGTGTTTGACATTATTGAACCAAGCGATGGCTTTCATTCTATGGAGAAGGACTACGGTGTTCGCACGGCATTCTACAAGTCCGTTTCCAACCACATCTCCCTACACATCTACGTCGCCCACTAACAGATCCTTACTATGCGACAGGGTCGATGTTGCCTCGGAAGAATCACTCGAAAATGCCTTCAAAGCGTTCCAATCGGACTTCTCGAACGCTCTGGACATTTGTGTCCCCTGCGCTGGGATCAACCGCCACCTCCCGTTCCTCGAGTTCACCTTCAAAGACCACCAAGACCTATTATTAATCAATGTGATGGGCCTGTTTTTCACGGCCCAATTAGCAGCCAAGCAGATGATCGCCAACGGAACCAAACATGGCAGTATTGTCCTAGTGGCTAGCATGGCGAGCCACGTTGCCGTGAGAGATCAGCTTTGTAGCGCATACTGTGGATCCAAAGGGGCTGTGAGAGCGATGTGTCCGGCTATTGCGAAGGAGATGGCTCCTTATGTGAGTTGTTATTTTGCTCGCTTCTTCGTACTTCGAGGACTGGAATATTGACAGGGCCTGGAATAGGGTATCCGAGTAAACTCAATCTCTCCGGGATATGTCCACACCGAGATGACGGCCGCGGTATGTTTCTCCTTTCGGATTGACAGTAGTCCATGTCTAGCTAATGGATTTAGTTCCCCCATCTTGTGGAAAAGTGGAAAGCCGACGCGATGAACGGCCGGATCGCCGAACCCGACGATATCATGGGGGCGTGCGTCTTTCTGGCCAGCGACGCGAGCGCATACATGACTGGGGCGGACGTTGTCGTGGATGGGGGGGTGACAAAGTGGTAGGCTCCTTATGCAGGGATCATATCCAGTGTTATCTATCGAGAGGAGATTAGCAATCAGCTCGATAGGGTGTATCTTTGGCTGTGGGGTAGTTAGCGTGGGAGCTCCTGAGAGGCAACCCGTCCATCCACTTCTGCAGGAAAGGGAGGCCAAGGGTGGGGGTGAGGGGAATCTCCCGGCCGATGTTCTCCAACTTTTGGATCAGTGAGGTAGCTTTACTCCAAATGCGGTTCTCTCGTATAGCTCCTTTGGAAATAAAATCTTCCTCGCCTCTTGCAATCTTCTCGGTCGCTGCAGTCAATAGATGCTAAATTAAAAGAGAAAAGAAGAATGTCTCCCAGCTCAAAAAACGGCCTCCACGAGGAGTCCACGACAGTCGTTGTTGTCGGCGCAGGGCCATCGGGGTTAATGCTAGCGTGAGTGTTCCTCCCGACCAGCTGTTGTCTCCAAAAGCATTGCGATCGGACTTGAAGACAACAAAAATCGAACGATTGTAAAGTTAACAAGGTCAAGATGCAACCTCGTCCGCTACGGCATCAACACCGTCCTCCTCGACGACCGCCCCGATAAAACCTCTACTGGAAAAGCAGACGGCATGCAACCAAAAACCATCGAGACATTCCGACAATTGAGGCTCGCAGACCCATTGCTCAAGAATGCAGCGAGGGTGCATGACATTTCCTTCTGGGTATGTCCTTCCTATCTCTCAAGCCCCGTCGTTAATTAGGGTAAGGACTAGACTGATCCGTGACATGGCGAACCCTAGGAATCAACTCCGGACTCCTCTCTCCATAGAACCGGTCGCAAAACACACTATCCCGATCATCTCGTCGGCGCTGCGGATCCGTACATTCTTCTGGCGCATCAGGGGATGATTGAGGATATTTTGATCCAGGATATGGAGGACAGAGGGGTTGGTGTGCGACGAAGCAGTCCGTTTGTTGGATGCGAGCGGCTACCAGGCGGGAAGCTGCGCGTGGAATATGAGAATGCGACCAATGGAATGAAGAAGACGGTATTGGCTGATTATCTGGTTGGATGCGACGGTGCGCGGTCGAAAGTGCGAGAGTTCATCCCCGACGCGCAGTTGGAGGGAGATATGACGAATGCCTCGTGGGGTGTTCTTGATGGTATGTCGTCCGGTGCCTCACACATTTTTGAGTTGACTCTGACGATCTATATGAATTAATAGGAGTGATTGAAACCGACTTTCCCGATCTCTGGAGCAAGGTCGCCGTCCGATCGCACACTGCAGGGTCGATCTTGTGGATTCCGCGAGAGCGCAACATGACCCGACTGTATGTGCAATTATCCTCGACGGATGGAGAGCGGGTCGACAGAAAGATGGCTACGGCGGAGTATGTCATGAAGCGCGCAGCAGACGCCATGTACCCGTTCTCCCTAAAGTGGAAGACGATTGAGTGGTTTGGGAACTACGTTGTTGGTCAGCGTGTCGCGAGACATTTCAGCGATGCGGATGGGAAGATCTTCATCGCGGGCGATGTGAGTATTTTCAGCGCACGTTCCCATGACTTTTACGATCTAACACGATGATAGGCGGGACATGTCCATTCCGCCCTTGCGGCTCAAGGGGCGAACACGAGCATGCACGATGCCTTCAATCTGGCTTGGAAGTTGAACTTGGTTGTTCGCGGCCTCGCATCCCCATCGCTACTCTTCACTTACGAGGAGGAACGACGAAAGATCGCTTCTAACCTGATCAACTTCGACGCTGGGCACTGCGAGGCCTTCGCGCAAGGGGATGAAGCACTCGCCAAGAATTTCGACGACAACATCCGATTTATTTCTGGCATTGGTGCAGAGTATAGTCCTGGAATGCTGACGGCGCAAGGGATAGGAAAGGGTAAACTAAAGCCCGGTGCCTTGATGGTTCCCGCCAAGGTGACACGGTACATCGACGCGAATCCAGTGGATATCCAAATCGACATTCCGCTGCTAGGACAGTTCAGAGTATACTTCTTTGTTCCTGATGTCAAAGCAGGAATGGAATTCTTGGAAAGCCTTTGTCAACGCGAGACAACAGTCGGCAATCTTGCATCGATAGCTACACAGTCCTATTCCGAAAAGCCTCGAGGATATGCGCCCTCTGATGAATTCCTGCAGCCGCAACGATATACCCCGGTCTCGGACCTTGTCACATATGCGCTCGTCACCAAGTCGGAGAAGACCCAGTTCGAGATTGCTGACTTACCAGAGACACTACAGAAGAGTCGCTGGACCCTGTATTTGGATAACAGGGATACGACCGGCTGCACGGAGAAGTGGATAGGGCAACTAGATGGTGGAAAGGCTGGAGTCGTGGTAGTAAGACCAGATGGGTATGCCGGAGCCATCGGATCTTGGGCTTTGGAGGAAGGAGCTCAGGCGAGACAATGGGTCGATGAGTTTTTTCAAGGATTTGTGTAGGAATCATGATATTTTATAGGAAAGCTCAAGCATAATTATTAGAAATTCTTTGGTGCTTCCCACAATAATGTCTTCAGGTGTCGCCTGATTTAGTTCGCTGCCGAACAATATATAATGCCTTTATCCTAACACGGAAACAGACATACCAGGCACCATCAGGAAATGAACCAATTACACTACGTTCAAGAGTGAAAGGCCTGTTATTTATATTTGGGAGTTTCCGATGATTGGGAAAGTTGTTGCCATACTTCTGGCGACATGTGGTCCTTTCCCAGATTCGAAAAGTTGCAAGGGGCGTTCAGTGCACAATGGAGCTAACCGAGAGAGGCAATGGACTAACCTGCTTCGGATATTGGTGCCCTGTTGCCTGATCTCCGTACTCTCTACTTTTTTTTATCGAAAAATCGTTTCTCTCTACGCGCGAGTCTGCTGAATAACTAGAGAAAACAAGGTGATAACCAACCCCAATTATGATACATTGATTTAAAATCAGTGAACTTATATTGTCGTCTCGAGACAATGGATTATGAAATATAGTTCAAACTAAGCAAGGCTGCTTTATTGAAGAGAATTCACACCTCACACTTGAGGGAATGCCTTAGCACCAGATTCTGATCAACCACCTTGCAAGAACTGATTTGCAACACTGCTACTAGATCTCCTTCATTTGTGAGAAGGCCTGCACATGCTCTCCGCAACGTTTCCAGCACCAATGTTTATTGCTATAGCTAAGGAGCGCCCCTGTTCTTGCGGATCATCTCCAGCATGCCTTGTAACACTGTGATTGGCAAATTGGCAACTGGTGGTCCTATAGTCTAGTGGTTAGGACTCTCCGTTTTTTGAAATCTCAAAAGATGCAGCGATATCCTGTTCAAAGACAAATATATATTAACCTCAATGTGTTCGAATAGCACCATGAACACGCACTGCGCATTAGTTAAAACATAGTTCGGCAGTAGCGCTTCATTTCCTTAGTAAAATATTTAGCCAATATATCAAAGAGATCTTATTCGACATTAGATCACAGTAGGACTAAGAGAGCACAGCGTCAATTTACGCTTGGCTAAGAAAAGAAACCTGTGGAAGGTACGTTCATGTAAAGAATGCCTTCCTTGAAATAATTTGCTCCTGACAGTCGAGGCAATACCAAATGACCAAATTATTGTCGCTTCCACCAAGGAATATGGATACAAATACATAGTGAATAAAAATCGAGTAACTGCCAGCGTCGAAATTTTATTTGGTGTCAATTACTGGCCCTTACCGAAGATATTGTGTTGCGCGCCTAGACAGGTTTGATACCGATTAGCATTAAGTCGTTATATATGCCGGGAACTAAAAAGATCGTCATCTTACCGGGCTGCCAGCCCCAACTTTCACTATAGGTCGGGGTCACTCCATCAAGGGGTTTAACGTTGTCGCCTGATTTTTCTGGAATCAAATTATGTTAGAGATGAACAATCCAATATCTTGTTTTGACTACTTACGATTCCATGCGATCATCTGCTTTGCACCCTTAACACACTTGGATTCGTCGTCGGCACAATATTTAGGGGGTTTTGCGGAACTAAGAGGATTCGATGAGGTCGCTCCGGTCACATGGCATTTGAAGCCCTGCATATACATGTTCGGTTGACCGCATCCGATGGGAACCTGGTTGGATCATCGTGGAATGTTAGAAGATGTTTCTTGAAGATCCCGAGGACTTGGTATATTGGGTCTTACCCAGAGCCATGCACAGGTGCATCCGCCTGATGGGCACTCAGGGAGGTCGGGGACCTCGTAGGTTGCCAGGCGCTTCCAGGGGGTGCTTTAGAGAGAAGTATTGGTTAGTACAAGAAATCACGTATGAGAAACAGAGTAAGGCAACCTACTGCTCGAGAACAGAAAAAACAGCCAGGTTCTCCATAGTGACCTGAGCCATGTCAGATTCATAGCTGATGGCAAAGGCAGTGCCACCAGCCATAGTCTGGTTATTAGTGTGCATGGCGCCGTCATCTTGAATACAGTCAGATGGGGTACCGGGACCACTCCAGTCCTCGGGATGATCCTTTCCATCAGGCCAGTCCGATGCAAACTGGCCATCAAACGAGAGAGTCGTGAGGCCACGGTTGTGAGCCAGCTCAACCGTGAAATTTCCATTGGCAGGAAGCTTGAGACTGTCACCATCCGCGGGAGGAGCTTTGTCGCAGCCACGGTCATGCTGGAACCACCAGTCCGACTTCTCCAGCTGGAACAATGGAGCCACAGCAGTATTAGTGTTCTGGTCCTCCTTGCCGGACGTGCCGTTCAGGCAGTACATGCCTTTCGCCCAAGCAGCCACATGGGCGTTGGCGACGGCAGCGAGAGCCAAGATAGCAATAGGTCGAGACATGATTGGGAAACGATAACAAATAAAACAAAATAAATTCAATGAGCGACTGGAAATTACAGGCTGACCGGCAGCAAATGAGAAGATACGAGAGCAGATAGGTAAAGGGGTGTTGGGAACGAATAACGAAAAGAATTCAAAGAGGGAGCTGACGAGCAGATATCACTCGTGAGCTGACTCCTTTTTATATGACATTGTGTGGATGTGTACCTATGCAAATACGACCCTGCAGTCACTCGGCAGCCGGTAAGCAGTTAGATTAACTCAAATAATCCCGCCCGACATGCCTAAATGAGGAAATGGTCTTGTTCGTTGAGAATAAGGGAAATTAGAGGACCCTGATTTCATCCTTCGTATTCTCTGACAGCCAATCGATCATTCCCACCCCACCAGGTGGATCACCATAGGGCGATGTTGCGTAATCCCGGAATACCGTCCAAGCGCTTCAGATATGTCCTAGTGTTTTACACAGTGCAAATTATCTTACTGGGGTTATTATAAGTAGCTTTGCCAGCCCGGCTGAGGTACGATTTCAACATGGAAGACTGGTTTTAGGTGTCTCATCACTCCTTTTCGTGCGTGATTTCTTAACTTCATTCACCTTATTCCCTCGTTTCTGATCCCTATTTCGGTTTTACAACATCTCTTACGAGGCAGCTGGCTGCTTTAACCTAAAACCCTGCAACCTCCTTACAATGCGAGCACTATCGTTCCAAAATGTCCCTCTGTGGCTTTCGGCTTTGCTAGTTACTCCAGCGGAAGCGTTTTTTCGCATGCCCTGTCCGAGTCGCTTGGTCCAAGAGCGTGCCGATCCCATCGTGAATCCAGGTGCTGTAGCCGCCCATGTGCACACCATTTCCGGGGGCAACGGGTTCTCCTTTGATATGGACTATGAGGATGCAAGAGCATCGCAGTGCTCCTCATGTCCTATCAAGCAGGATCTGTCCAACTACTGGACGCCTACGCTTTACTACCAGGCCGAAAATCGGAGCTTCATCAGCGTTGCCCAGGCCGGTGATGGCGATGGGACGACTGGTGGGATGACGGTCTATTACCTGTTAGTTATACTATTTACCTCTGCTTATCTGTTCTTTACCACATTGAAAGCATAATGACACGCTTGTGCTAGGCAGAGACCCGGCCCGAACAATGACAAACTTCATGCCTTCCCCAAAGGCTTCCGAATGCTCGCGGGCGACCCCATGAAGCGGAACAACACCAACGACTTCGAATCAGAGGCGGTTAGCTATGTCTGTCTGAACTATAACGGCCCTGCGAAGCCGGAGACAAACGCTTTCCCTAATTATAATTGTCCCGATGGCCTCCGTGTGCAACTGTTTTTCCCTTCCTGTTGGGATGGCAAGAATCTCGATTCTCCCGATCACCGCTCTCACATGGCCTACCCTATCTCTGGCGCGTATAACAACGGTGCTTGTCCAAAGAGTCACCCGGTTCATATGGTCTCTCTTTTCTATGAGGTTATTTGGCAGACTAATAAATTCGCCGATCAATGGTATGGAGATAAGCAGCCGTTCGTCTTTGCTCACGGTGATCCAACGGGATATGGCATGCACGCCGACTTTGTATGTTCCCTGATTCTATCGATATAGTAATTGCCCTCGAACTGACATACGGAACCAGGTGAATGGGTGGGATGTTGATGTTTTGCAGAAGGCAGTTGATGTCTGTCTGAACGACAGTGGACGCATCGAGGACTGTCTAACTCCCGAGGGAGACTCGGTTTTCGAATTCTTCACTGGCGAAGAGTGCCAAGCGTGTAGTTTGCCCTCCTATGTCGACGAGCAGATTCACGGCGTCCTAGACAAGCTCCCTGGCTGTAATCCGGTGACCTACGGGCCAGAGCGAGCTGAGCATGTCTCCTGCGCTAAAACTCCCATAGGTCAGGCGGCCCCATACTTCACTGACCTCATCGAGAAGAATTGGGAATACGTCGGGTGTGGAATCGACAAGTATGACAATCGCACCTTCACAGCGGAATCGACTCGCGACGACAAAATGACCGTGGAGCGCTGCACGGAATTCTGCAGTAGTAAGGGGTACGATTACGCCGGCCTGGAATATTCGTCTGAGTAAGTTACTTCTGGCACGCGGGAATGATCTTTGAGTCGCTAATGCTTTATAGGTGCTATTGCGATAACTCGATCCCGGCTGACAGACGCCCGAAAAAGGGTATTATGGGCAATTGCCAGATGTCGTGCTCGGGCGATAATTCTCAATACTGTGGAAGTGGTGGCTCCATGTCCATATACCATAAATGCAGTGGTGAGGCCAAATGCGAGAATAACGAGGTTGGCTCGCCGGGAAAATTGAAGAACAGCGCGGAGGAAGCCAGGGTTAAGCAGCACCTGCGCCGGCATGCGGATAGGAATTCTCACCGGTTCTCCATTTAGATAAGCCAGGTATTAAGTATCGAAGAATACGTAGGCCCCTTGCTGTCAATAAACAAATTTGGAACCCTTCGGAACGTGCGGAGTCCAAATGTGGATATAATGTCAACATCTGAGAAACGGCATTGATTCTTCCACACACGGGAGATTGAAATTCCATTTTCCCTAAACCGTAAACCAAATGGCATGAGTGATGGTAAAAGCTCGAGCCTATATAACTAGAAGACATAGACGCTCTCCTTGACACTCCTTTTCTGGTAACTGGGCAACCAAGACCTATTGCACCCCCAAAGAAAAACAGCCGGAGGATCAAGTTTTCCTGTCCACGAGAAATCCATGCCCATTTTTTTCAACGAACTGTCTGGGTGCAGGAGTGGAGAACACCGGGTTTTCTCCGCCAGCAGGATCGAGTGAACTGAGGAGCTGGCTTGCCCTCGCAAGCATCGGGTCAGATGATAAGAGGAATTGAAAGAGCCTTTTCAGATTTGTGAAAGAAGGGATTCCCTATCTTGAGCTTTGGGTATCTTCTGAGAAGGAAGTGTGATATCTGTTCGAAATGTTCAAAGTCAAGCACCGTATAGATCAGGAAGCCAACCCCCCATCACAAGAAGGGTCAAACACAGCGTAGAGAACACTGCATTTTGTGAAAAGTTCCTCACTTTTAAGGAGTCGCAAGCGTATCCACTTTTTTGCAAGCAATGATCACGGATAAAACGAGAAATCCTGGTCTTCTTGCGGTGTTGGTTGAATGGAGAGTGTTATAGACTTGTAGAAGAGGTCTTAGGTTTAGTCGGCAATGCTGTGGTCTGACGCCACCTGGAGGCCTTGTCGACAATAGTTGGAACTTCATTGACGAAAGTCATCCTCTCTAGGGTATGGAGGCTGTCATAGCAGCCCAGACTCCCTGCAGCACACTCTAAGCACGTAACCAACTGATCACCCTCATTACCTTCGCGTATCTGACACCGAAAGAACGTGTCTTCCCACGAAATCGGGCGTTGACAAGTATCACAGTCCCCAGTGGTGATAAAAATCGTTCTGTTCCCCGTCCTCTTGATTGTCTTTATGGTCGAGCACTTGTCCTCGCTCCACATTAGAAGTTCATTCGGATCTGCAACGCTTTCAAGAAGCATCAGGATTGTGACCTCATTGTAAATCCAAAAAGCCCAAGACAGGGGAGTGTATCCAGCACAGTCCCGCGTTTCTATACCCATGTTATTCTTTAAAAGAACTTTTATCACTTCCAGATGATTGTTCTTGACCGCGAGTATTAATGGCGTTCTTCCACAGCTGTCATGACAGAGATCGCTGAACCCATTCTCAAATAAGTAGTTGATTACGGTCAAGTGTCCGTTGGCCGAAGCCACAGAAGTAAGATCCCCCAATGTCCTTGTGGCAGAGTATATCCCAGCTCCCGTATGGTGCGCAGAACAATTTCCAATTCTTTGACAACAATTACACAATGATCTTGATCATCGGCAAGCTCAAGAATATCGAGCCGCCTAGTCTCAACAGCCAGAAGGAGGGGGCTGCGGCCGAACCTATCCCGACAGGTGAGAAGAGTAGGATCTCTCTTGAGGAGATATTTGACAACGCTTTCGTCTCCTCCTTCAAGTGTATAGAAAGTGATGTCTGGCCGATGTTGTCCCTGGCTCTTGGAATGGCGCCTTGACATAGCAAAATGTTGACAATTTGTTTAGCTCTCCACTTGGCGGCTTTCATCAGCGGAGTTTGACCCTCGTTGTCCTGACTTTCAAGATTGGCTCCATTACGGATCAGTATCCGCGCAATGACATAAGCCTCTTTAACGGAATGATGCCAGACTCAAAAGTACCTCTTCAGTCCTGTAGAAATATCCTGAGGATCCATTGCCGCAAATGAGAGTGAGCTGTTGCCTGTTTCCGGGTCCCTTGTCTCAATATCCGCCCCTCTTTCCAATAATAATTGAACCAGTGAACAGCGACGGTTAGCCACATGCCAAAGCAACGAATACTCATCAGTAGCGTTGGGACCCATTTTCACGCCATAATGCAGTAATAGTTTCAGGATATCGCGATTGCCTTTCAAAAACATCTCTTGGGAAACAGTCTACGCCTCAAAGTTAACGTATGGGTCGGCTCCGTATTTGAGTAACATTTCGACCGTTCCTCCATCGTCTTTGGCCATTGCATCAATCAATGGAGTGCTATTATTCTTGGAAAAATTAGGGTTGGCTCCTTTTTTAAACCTCACAACAGCAGGTTTGGAGCCACGTATCGCCCAGCCCAAGGGAGAATAGCCCCGACTCCTAAGGGTGTCTTGCCTGTCAATCTCTGCCCCTGCAGAGAGCAAGGATTGAACAAGATCCAAGTGTCCATTCTCAGTAGCATATGATAATTTTATTCAACCGTTCGGGCCCACAACTTCAACGTCACATTCATGTCGAAGCAATAATCTGACTATTTCCTGGTGTCCATTTTTTGCTTCCAGTGACAAGGCTGTTTGTTCCACGCTTTTAAAGTAACCACTGGATATAATATCAGGTTGAGCTCCCCTATCAAGAAGCATCTTGACTATAGGGTAATGCCCCTTTTCCGCAGCCAGCATGAGAGGCGTATTCCCGTTAAATCTATCAGGGGCATCTCGTTCTGCCTGTTTGTCCAACAAGAGCTTAGTTATCCTCTCATTTCCATTTTCAATAGCGTATGACAATGGCGATCTGTCATTTCCACCTCTAATTTGTGCGTCCAATCCTAGCTCAAGGAATAGTTGCACAAGGGTTCCATGGTTGCTCTCTGCTGCCTGACAAAGAAGAGTTGTTTGGAATTGGGTTTGAAGCTGCGGGTCAGCGCCCTTTCCCAGCAAAAGCCTCACGATTGTTTCATGGCCATTGCAGCCGCCAATGGCGAATCTCCAAACCCATCCAAACAATCAATTTCACGGTTATCATGGAGTATAACCTCCAGCTCTTCATCGAAGCCCAGACCAGCTGCTAAGTGAAGGCCAGTTGTTCGACATGGGATTTGGTCGAAGTCCCCGTCAAATCATGAGGAATCCCAAACCTGAGCCTGTTTGTATGCTGCAGATCTTCAAGTTTTGTAAAGCATGCATAGATCCTCGGGTATAGAATGCACAGCCTGAACCAGCTGTTTCAAAAGACTGGCCGTGATGTTTTTCAACTTCTGGTCATGTTGCTGGCGATAGTTGCAGAAAACATAAATGACAGCAATATCTTGTCTCATTGTAAAGCTTTCTTGGAGGTGATTAATGATAATAGACGAGAGGATTGGTTTTCCTGCTCCAGGAATCCCCGGGCAGAAGAGAACTCCTTGTTCTGTACCCACTCACGGAATTCAGCTGTGTTTAGTAACCACTGTCCAGTTCCTTCCTGTCTTTGGTCATAAAAGTCGGCTTGAAATGTCGCATAGTTGGTTGGGGAGATCCAGTCGGCAATCTTCTTCCTTTCTTGATCATCACTCCTTTTAATCATGCGAGATATTCCAGTGTCGTCTTCCGATATCAGGCTTTACCTTGTTCATCATTCATCAGCTACGGCGCCTATTCATGAGGTTCCCAGGAGGTTTTACTCACGGATTGATCTGGTCAATTGGCATATAGAAAAAAAGCTCTCTGGCATAGGCGGCCGCGGCGGCTGCGGCGAGACCATGCCACTGGTCATTCTTGTCTGAGTCGCAATAGTCTGAGATTCCCCGAATCACAAGACAGGGGAAGTCACTTAAGACACCTGCGCCCTCCATTTCGAAGCACAGCACCCCATACTCTTGTCCTAGAAGGTCTCGTTTCGCTGCATCCTTGATCACAAGCTCCCCCGATGCAATAGTGCCTCGGTGAACGATGATGCGTTAATCGAAGTCATGAAGGCCGTCTCCAACCCGTGTGACACGCTGTTTTAAATCTCACTGACCTTCTCGCATGATCTGCCAGTATTATGATGCTCATAGCTGGCCGGGAACAGATTGTCTGTCTCTATGCCCGGGAAACGATAGCACAGTAACCCAGGGAGACTCGTGTCAATACGCCGGATGTTGTTTATCAAAGGATCTTCTCTAGAGCGGGCACGCTAGGTGTCTAAAGCTTGGGCCGCTAGAAGTAAGACTAGCGGCGGAAGGGCCAAGGCTCCAGTTCGCACAAATATACCAGTTTCGGCTTTGCCATGGTCATACTGAATGGCACCGGAGTAAAGCCCAACGGGCTTACTCACGACCACATGGCCGAGTCGGATCATGCCATGTTCCGTGACCACAGGAAAGCCGCCTCCTATGCCGACTAGTAGACTGAATCGGATCTTGGAAAACGTCATTCGCATTTGGGCCACAACCGTCGCCGCTGTAGGGTTTCCAGCCTGCCACAATCCAGCGATAACAACATTGAGACCTCCGATACTGCCAAGATGATAAAAATTGTGGTCGATGAGTGACTGCGGGAGCTTGGAATGCTCCTCATCCAGCATCTCGAGAGCTGCGATCAGCTTTACCTGTAGAGAACAGATCCACCCTACAGTGTAGTCCCCGTGACCTAATTTCTTTGGCGTGTATGGTGGCGCGCAACCTTTGTCCCGCCCATATTTTGGTCTTTTCCTGTCCCTTGCTTTGGTCCAATCCTCGGTGTCACTCATTCTGTTTTGCACGGTCAGGTTGGGCAGACACGGTGCCACCAGAGACAGGATAGATCACGCAGGGCGCAGGGGAGAAGATTTTCCCGAAATCTCGATAGCTGAAGAAGAAGTGACTTCTTTTGTTCGAGGTCTCTTTACAGGTACTCTGTTTGGGGTCGCACGATCGACCACAAGACTGGAGAAAGAGAATAAATCGAACAGGTGAATTGGGAAAGTACGAGGCTCTGATGAGATTCAGCTTCAGCTACACGTGACGCGCCAGCAAACACAGTCTCCTCGCACTAAGCAGCTGGGCGATTACAGGGATATGTGTTGATTTCTCATTGATCAACATGTTAATCAATTACCCCCGCGATACCGAGCGCTTAATTGCAACACCTCATCTACTCCTCCAGGTACCTCCTCTTACCTCGATCCATAAGATTCCCGCATTCCTTTCAGGAAAACTAGAAACGCTCAGGTGGATTTGTATAGACATTCCGATAGTGACCAACTCGAAGGTTCTTGGAGCTGTTTGAGGAGGGTAGGTTTGGGGTGAATGGCAATGATGCTAGGCTCTTGGCTTTTCTATGAAAAATATGTTTCTCAGGATGGAGGCTAGGTAGAGGTTGTAAACAAACGTGTATTTCATATGGATGTTCTACAGAGCCCACTTGCACTGCAGTGATCAAAGCCGATAAAATGAATAAATGGATGCCTTTGTTGATACTGAATTGGTTGATAGATGTAGGAAGAGACGAGGTCTTCCACGGTGTTGCATATCTGACAGATGCCTTAGGCAAACAGCGGAATTCTTGGCTTCTTGCCTCAGGCATCTCAACGCGTAAAGCCCAGATGGAATGCTACGACGCAATGTGTGGTACCACCCATTCCCTGAGATGGGTCAGTGCGGTGGCGGCCTCACGGAGTAATGATCTTGATTTAGGGTGAGGCGTTTTATATGCTGAGAATCACCCTCCCCGGTTCTTGGTGGGAACTCATGGGGAAAATGACAGCCAACTTCTAGTTACTGGGACATGAGAAAATGTGATGACCTTTGCATAATATAGTCTATTTCAAAGCACATTTTAGTATTAACTTAGGTCTGTGCGGGTTGATCTCGGAAGCAGAGCGGCAGGTTAGGTCGCTTATGTCCCATTAAGAATGATTTATCATCGCAAAAAGTATATAACCAAAAAAAAAAGGTAAAATGAAGTACTCCTGCTCATCTATCCCTTCATCGTCTCCCAATAGACCTCCGGAATCTCAGGCCATTCATCCACCCCATCTAGCAGCGCCAACCCCATACCCCCACTCAAGTGCACCTGAATATGACAGTGCAGCAGAAACGCGCCCGGGTTGACAACATGGTACCGGATCGCGAGCCACGTCGGACCCGTTTCTGCCGGCGGAGTCACAAACGTGTCTCGGATCTGCGGGTTCACGAAATTGAAGCTCTCGGGCATGTGCTGCGCCGCTTCGGCGACGGTCGAGTAGTTCCAAGCTCCGTTGCCCTGGCCGAGCACGAAGAACTTGTTCGAGTGTTTGTGGAAAGGGTGTGGGGGTTGAATGGGCCCGGTGACGGCGAAGATGATGTCAACCCAGGTGTTGTTTTGCGTGGAAATTGTTAGATCCTTTTCCTCGTTTGCGGCGAGCGGGTAGTAGAGGAGCGGCGAGGCGTCCTCGAGTGAGAGAGGATAGCTGGAATTCGAATCACCTTGGATCCAGCGGTAGGAGGCATTGTAGCGCTCAATGTTCAGGATGTGGGTTGCGGCGACTTCTTGGGACGGCACGATGGCTGGGAAGGGGGTGATGGTGGATTCGTTGAGAACGATGGCGTTCTTGGAGAGCGGTGCACCGGTCATGTCAATTTGAGGGATGGAGGGGCTTTTTTTGGTCTTGAGAGGCGTGGTGTAGGACATGATGGCGGTGGTGTTGAGGAGCTGGTTCACGCCGGTGTTGGCGACGCGCACCGTGTAGTCACCCGCGGGCTTGTTCAATTTTACGAGGACCGAGTAGCGGGCGCCGTTGGCGATGGTGATGGCGCTGACCTGGGTGGGAACAATGTAGCGGCCGTCGATCGTGTAGACGTACATAGGGTGCTCGTCAATCGAGAAGGTGATTGTAGACACGCCGGCCGAGCTGAGCAGGTCGAAGCTGGCGTACTTCTCGATGGGGTTGACTTGGAGGTGTTCCAGCTGACCTTGCGAAGGGGTGCAGCCCGAGAATACGGATGGCGGAATGGCGCTCAGATTGTGTTGGAAGTTGCCTTGCACGCTCGCCAGTGTAGGGGGCATGCATCTGTCACGGTCAGGTCCTCCTCGGTTACCACATTGACATGAATACTGTCTTACCCAATGTCCGTCAGCTTACTGCTGTTCCCCAGCAACTGTTTCATAGCGGCCGTGGCATGGGCATTCAAGTCATCCACGCCGGGACAGCCAATGTTGCCTTTGCCGTTCACTAGAAGAGCATTGGCGCAAATTGCATCACGTCCCATGGCCTCTTCGGCATTCCACAGCTCCTCCGAGGTAAGCTGACGCCAGTCGGAGAGTAGGACCGGGCGGGTCTTCTCCTCTGCTGCTTCAATTGCTCGCAACTCGTTCGTGTTGTTGGTGACGAATTTGAAGGGCTTTTCGACCGTATCATGGGGGTGAATATGAATTGCGCCGTATAGCCCATCCTCGATCTGTCCCCGGCGGTGGGCGTGGTAAAAGTAGCTGCCGTATTCCGTCGCGGTCCATTTGTAGAGGAATCGATGTCCAGGCTCTATGGGCTTTTGCGAAAGGCCGGGGACACCGTCGGACCAGGGTGTCCTAGATTGCTCAATTCCTAGACAGGTATTAGCGAGGTATTTCAAATTCAATGAGGAAGCGTCTACCGTGGAAGTGAACAGCTGTTGCGTTGGGAAGTTTGTTGGTGACTAAAAACTCTACCTCGTCTCCTTGTCGCAATTCCAGAGTCGGTGCCGGGAATTGGCCATTCGTGAGAATCATCTTCCTGGGGATACCTGCCGGCGCCCAATCCTCCCATGTCAAAACTACCTCGAAGCGCACCGTGTTGCCAGTACGCTTGACCAGCTGGTCATGTCCACGCGCCTGAGACATGAGACATACCAAAGATGCCAGCAGAGCCAGCAGAAAGTGCAAACGCGCCATGCTGGAAAAATCGATGCAAGAAAACTTCCGACCGGCGAGCAAGAAAGGGGGGTCTCTTTTGAGTGTTTAAAAGTGTTTACAATGTAAACCCCGTTGAGAGGTTGATCAAGCACCTCTGCCGATCATATCGAGACATTCCATTCAATATCTTAGCGGAGGCGTTCGGTAGACAGGGCCCTAGAGGCCTAAATAGGGATCCTACAATCCATCCCTAGATAATAATACACACACGTTGCACCTCACCAACAAACCCTAAAGAGGGCCCTGAAAGGCTGGGCCAACAACATCTCCAGTTCTCGACTAGTGGCGTTCGTAAAAAACAGACTATCGGGACCATGTCATGGCTCCCAAGTGCCCGATCCAGAAGATCTTCATCACTAGCGCCATGATAGCCATACGAGGCTGTGGACCCGAGGATTCAACTGAGAAATCGTAGGCGGTGGTAGGCGCAACTAGCAAGGCTACCTAACAGGTCAAAGCTTGGGCTGTGAAAGCAAGGTCTCCCGTAGTTACTGTTGGACCACGTATATGTCAGACGGCATTAGGAAGGCTTTGCGCACCGCACGAGAGTGTTGAAACTGTTGTTGAGTTGAGAAAGGGACTATGAACTGCCGAGACTCCCGCCCCACCCCAAATCTCGGGAGCCGACAGGTCTAATCCATGTATCTTCCTACTTTGGAAGGACCCTCGCGGATGTGAGATACACCATACGGAATCAGCGAAAGAGGGCGGAGGCGCAAACCTTCTCCCGGATGTGGACGGGAGGTGAAGTCTACCATTGTCCCAATTTTCTCGCTTATATGCAGTTTTTTGGCCAACGGCAACAACCCACCGTGAGCTTGCCAGTAGTTGGCTGAGAATTGTCTGTATCATGGACCTGAGAGAGCAGAGTTCGGGGCCACGAAATACCTTTAGACTTGCAAGTCGGGCATTGATGTGATTCTGGTGGGTCGGGGACGCCGCTATCTGGAGGGCTTGGTTCGAGATGTGCAGTTCCCGGGATAATTCAGACCTTCTTCACTAGTGTCATGCGTTCTGTTTGCCCTATTTGAACATAAGAGCCTCATGCTAATTATATCTGACATCCGGGCCCTTGAAAAGAAAAGTCTCTACAGGCCGGGCCTGCCCAGATCAAATTAATTGATGTTATGAACCCGTGTCGTAGCTGTGCGGTATGAGGACTCAACTCCTTTGTTTAACTATGTCTTTTCTGCCAGCCTTGTCGCCAAGACAAACACTAGAAGCACTGACCACCTGAGCGGGTCATAGATATCGCCATGGCTAAAATAAGCGAGGACCGACAGACGAGGCCTCTTAGGCTCTTCCCTGACGAAGGCTTCTCTTTGGCGCCTCATCGTTGACCAAACGTTTGTCACTCAGGATGTCATTTGTTACAATCATAATGGCGCTGCCAGCGAAGAGTTTCTTTCCAGATTCCTTGGTTTGAGGACGGCCCGCGTCATGCAATGCTTCGATCGGCTATGTTTATCCCTCGTCAGTATTCACACACCAGCTGTTCACCTCGCTTCTATTCTATATTCCGGTATCTTTGTGAATGTTAGTCAAGCAGAGTTCAAGATTAGTAAGAGGATTCGATTGTATTCCTCTCTTTATTATAATATTTGACGCAAATCTTCTGATTTGGCAACAATTGAGTGAGATATATAGATAGTGATGTATTATGATATCTAGCATAGTTAGTTTGACAGTATTTACAGCAGGAGGTGCTAGATTTCAAAATATTCAGAGTCTCCTTATTACTTTTATCGTATAAATATGGTTCTAGTCTTTTTATAGTCTCTAGTGATATACTCGCTGATATCGTTCCTGTCATTACCCTCGGACTTGCGAGTGGTCTAAACAGAGAATCGGCATAGACCAGGCATGATGCAGGACACCCCAACGCGATAAATGCTTGGTCAATGTAGTATACCTGTTCGCAAACATTGATCGTTGTTTTTTTACAGTAAATACAGGCTGAAATAGAATCAAAATAGGCGCAAAAAAATCACTAGAGCTTAAGCTTATTAGAGATTTACATTATATATTAGATGTACATACAGAAATGTTGAGCAAATCGTGTTAGAAAACTTAATCGAGCGGACTTGGTTTAGCGATCAGGGAGGATTCGGAAGAGGCCAAAGATGCCGGATAGCTTTGAGATAGAAAAAAAATCTGATGTAAATAGTCAAAATTATGTAAATTAGATGAATTCAGAGCCCCTCAGGGTACCTTCACATTAATATCAAAGAGTGTAGGCGTTGCTAAGTATTAAATAACGAAATTGCACTCAAAGTCCTCGATTTTTCGATCATGTTATATGTCAGCGAATATGGGGCAATTTTACCGCCAGGATTCAACACCTTGCCGCTTCCGTCTAGATCAACTCTGACGGCATTTCATGGCTTCAAGATAAGCCGATTTCAAAGAAGCCACGTAGTCATATTGCATGTTAAATAGCTTCGTTTCGATCCTCTAAATCAAGAGGATCAGACCTTCATTGAGCCTCGATTCTGCATACAAATTACTAGACAATACGAAACTTTCATGATCCAATATTATACCATGCAGATACACAAAAAATACCACAAAAATTACATAATCTACGCAGGCTCCACGGGAATTGCTAAGGACACCCCAACTTTTTACTAACGGCACCCCATCTGATTATCTAATATCAGTTATTATGTAATCTCACCACAACTGCACACCCTCGTAATAGAATTGATATTTTGATCAACTTTTATATGATTAAGATGCCTCGAGTTGGCATGCAGATTAGTTGAATGTATTATACTTTACATGACCTGATTGTATGCCCAATTTCCCCGCAATTCGAGCACTTAGAAAGCGCTTTTTTTTTGCCTGTTACAGCTGCAATTGAAGTCCCCTTTCCAACACCTAATCTATCCGAATTTCCACCCTTTTTGTCTGATCTTTTTGCCTTTGGTATAGGCAGTCGCGGTTCGAGTAATGGCAGGTATTCAGATTGATCATCTGGTGCTATATTTTGCCTCCAAAACGGATGAATATCCGTTAATGGAATAGGCTGCTTCATCTCTAATAACCGTGCGATTCGGTGGGCACATGGAAGGCCTCTTGTCCTAGTAAAACTATTAGTACATTCCGATAGAGGGGCAAGGGACGTAGCTCTTTTAGCAATATCCACTTGATCATGAATAAGATTAAGTGAATAACGTAAGGTTTTCCTATTAATATCTGAATATAAGAAGGACTGACAGAAAATCAGCTGTTATAATTGATCCTCTTTAACCTCACGTATTAGTGTGTCAATCTGACAATTTAATGCATAACTAATTCGGCTTCAAACAGTTAGGATATTACCTGTTGAAGCTTGAATATACTTCTTGATAAATGCGTGAGAGCCTTCGACTCGTGAAGTTGCTGAATTTCCAATATGGAAGTGCTGATTTGTCTAACAGCGGATCACTTTTTCTTTATAGATTAGCCATGTTTCTTTGATATATCGTAAGGCGTAGGGGGATACTGATTGATATTTCTTGTTAAAATCTTGTAGTCTTGCTTTATATTTATCTTCTGTTGGCGAATTAACAAGGTTCTGCCAGCCTAAGAGAAATTCATTCCATGTTTGATCAGTAGTAAAGCACTCTTTCACTTTTGCAGCAATGTTTTTATTAATATGCCATAAGCAGAGTAAATGAGGGTAGTCTGGATAATCTTTATGAAACGCACTTAATAGAGCAAGATCCCGGTCAGTACAGAGAACCGGAGGTTGGAATTTTAGGGGTTCAAACCATGAAAAAAAGGTTTTTAATGCCCATTTATATGATTCCTCCTGTTCATTTTGCATAAAGCAGAATGCAATACTGAACGCTGTATTTGATGGTGAAACGCCTATAATATGGAGTAATGGCATTTCATAGCGATTTGTCTTATATGTGCAATCTAAAATAAACACTTTATTATACTGATTAGCGTAACGAATTGATTCAGGGTAGGCAAACATAAAAAATGTGATACGTCCCTCTATATCTTGTTTAAATGTAAACTTCCACTGGTAAGTAAGTAGTTGATCTAGAAGATATTGAATTGGCGTACGACCAGCAAGGCGTTCCCGTAAAAGGGCCTGTCTGAGGTTATATAAATCCTTTGGTACAATTAACAGAGTAGGATCACTCTTTTTAACCACGCTGATAATCTGTCATGGAGGGATATTTTTATCAAGAAGACGATAAATTGTAGCCCGTTGTTCCTGACTGATCGTTCGTGCTACTGGATGTGCGATCATATTATCTTCAAGCTCATGATTATGGTCAGGGTTGCTCACTTTTACGTGCCATTTTCTATCTGAATTTTTAGCACTTGATTTACTAGCATATAAGCGAAAAGCACATCCAATTCGTTTAGTATTAGTCTTTCGGCATTTTGTCCCATCCGATGCATTAATCCGATCAGTATACTGACCACCACGATCACAGCCAATACAGATATTTCTACCTGGGTTTGATCTAATCGTGGTGATAGCATAGCCTTGAGAAATTGCATAGTTGCGGAGAGCTGAAAGCATTTCCTCGAGGGAATCATAGGCTTGATCAAATGGGGTTGCCATAGTAGAAAGTGAGTAGAAGAGTGAATGGATAGGTAGTCAAGTATATAGATTGTTTGATCAATAACTTGATTTTCAAAACCGAGTGGGAAATATCGAATGATAAAAATAATAATTGAGTGTATGGAGTTGCTATAGTAATTTATGGAAAATGCAGGTTACAGGTCAGCCGCCCCTTGGAAAAGGTCGGGTGCCGCCAAGCTGGTCATGTGATGTCCATTTGGCGGCATGTGCCCCTTACCGTGTATGTTTTTAATTACACGGCATCTGGGCTTTTCAATACAGAACAATCTTAATATCTCTCAAAGTACTTAACAACCGATTAATAACTGTTTTCTTGCTACTCAATAAGTAGATTCTGTAACCTTGCCCGTCTTTCCATAAGTTCTAGTTCTTTTTCCTCATTTTGAAG